CCATTCCGTACAGATGCCACTTCCCGTCTGCTAATTCATCCCGTAATTCGTCCTTGTACAAGCGTTCAAGGCTAACTTAACAATTCCAAATGCCAACCACACCAGGCGGTCCCATCCATGCGAATTGCAAATGGTGGCGTACTAAGTTTATGCCATTCGTTTATAATCGAGCGCACATGCCTCTCGTCTTATTCACTTGGTCCGACCATGTGTCACTATATATCAGGATCTCCCCTGCTGCAGTTCAAACGTCTCTAAATAATGATTGTGCCGCATTGCCTTGCTCTGCACGCACGAGCAGCCACACGCGTTAGCCTGACGAGCTTTGCCCCATATATATAGGTAGCGAAGTCCCTGTTCGCAGATATGTACTGCTGTACCATGTCCCCTTCAAATCAGTGTTCCCATCTCATCATACCAAACTTTTCCATTGCCGTGGATCCATGATCCGTGTATGTAGAGTCTTCAAGCCCACCATCGCCAGCGCCGCTGCTGCCACCACCAGCAGCAGCACCACCACCACCACCACCAACACCTCCATCGCCGCCCCCTGGTAAGTGTGTAAATAGTGCACCTTTTTGCGCATAGCCTGAGCTTGCTTGGCCACACATGTTTCACTACCGTACCTCCCAGTGATCATGGTGCAAAAATAAATAATTCATTGGAAAAATGTGCATAAACGCGCAAAATAAATAATAGGTCCGGGGCCTGCGCGTTAATAAGAATTAGTTCCCCAAAGGACTGCGCGTTAACTAAAATACCTACACCTCCTCTCTGATCGGTTTTAATTCGTTTTTGGCCTGCCCTTGGTTCTAGGCGCTCCGATAGGCCGCGCCGTGGAAGCAAGGGAAAAGCCATAGGGAATACCGGGACTTAAGCATTACAGTAAATTTCCTATTTAGGTAACATTGCGCACGAAGCCATAACATTGACATATTTTCCAAACTATTGCTATGTGTAAGCCACGGAACCTAGAAGAACAGTTGTTAGAACACACAGACAACTTTGTTATGGGGCATGGAAATGAGGTTGGTGTTATGGTTTGGATCAGTGAATGTTCGAAACAACTACGTTACGTGTTTTCCTGTTGTCTGTTGTTAAGGTGCAACGTTGCTGTTCGGAAAGGGGCTGTCGTACACGTGCTTTCTTACAGTTGCTGTTTGGCATCCCTTCTTGATCACGGACAGTCGTTGTAGTTATACACAAGGAAGCCTTCACAGTACCGTTAGAATACTTATGTTGTTAATGTGTTGCTATGACTGATGACCAACTGCTTGCGTTGCAACAAGCTGCAGAACGTCTAGCTGTAGACAATGGAAGACTTACTGTCAAGCACTTAACAGAAAGCTTGAGGAACGACTCGCGATTTGCCAATGTTACCAAGACACAACTACAGACCTTCTTTTACACAAGCAATATTGGTAAAGAATTAGGGCATGGCAGCGGCACCAATGAGGCAGCTGTTAACGAAGAAGAGAAGTCTGGTCCGCCACCACCCAAAAAACGCTGTCGGTGGAGTACTGAAGATGAGCAGGCTTTTAATAAAGCGTTACAAACTATCGTGGCTACTGGGAAGGAAGCTTCGCCACAGACAATGCTGCAGGAAATGGGGCGGCCCAGTATTACGGTACAGCACGCATTGTGCGGAATCGACTGCGGAAGGAACAAAGTCAAAAAGGTACGGTCGCTCATAGTGAAGCGTTTGAAGGTAACTAATGTTTCGCTGACGACATTCCTCCATCGCACCAACGAAGGTGACATTGTTCCAAGCAGTGCTCAAAAGGAGATCGGTATAGGTATGTTGTTTGTTATGAGTGCATTTCAGAGAAGGTTGCAAGTGAGACCCTCCTTATTAGCAAGACGACTTGCTCCTGAGGGCCGCAGACGCCAGGCTTGCCGGTGCAATGAGCCAATTGCCACTGTACAGGCCTGAGGCTCGACGCTGTAAATGCCACCCTCATATGCCTTTACGCTGCCAACTGACCCTCCCAAACGGGACACCCATGCGCCACTCTCCTAAGAAGCCTCATCAGCCCCCCTCCCTCGTAAGCAGCCGTGAAACCTCACCCAACCACCCCGCCGCACCGTCAGCCCTCCATGCCGCACACCCATTTGGCAGGCCATGAGATCGCTTCGGTCTGGTTAACGAGCTTTAAGTTCATTGCTCTGCTTCTCCGGTCTTTCTAGTGTAAGCTTTAGACTGATACAGTAGAAGCGAAGTGGAGAATAATTGCTCAGACCTCTGCGCGTTACAAGAATAATACCTTCCAGCGCTGCGCGTTAAAATAAATAAACCCTAAATTTCTTGCTGCGCGGTGATCAGACACAGGTACGGTACTAGGTTTGTTTGCCGATTCGGAAATGCTGAGTTTGATGGTCCTGTATATATGTGACGTGCCAAAAGTGGCGACCAGGGTCAACAATCCAACATGGAGAGGCTCTAACATAGTACCCTTGCTTTGCACATTCTTCTTCGTTCCGCGGGCGAGCCAAATGTGTTGCCAGACACACCAAAGCAGCAGAGATTGCGTGCAGTTGTGCGTCAAGCAAGAGGGCAGGCCGTGAGATTGATGTTTCGGTATGTCATTTTTGCCGCAGTGGAACCATCAACACCACCTCCAACACCAAGCCCCCTGCACCCACTGCTGCCATCACCACCACCATCGTCAGACCCAACACCGCCGCCCTTTGGTACGAATCCCTTACTGACCTGCAAATCATGTATACACACAATTGACACAAGCTAACAAATCGTGTTTCAAATGCCACCCTCACGGGTCCTGTTCAGGTTGTGAGTGGCTCTTCCATGCGATCTACTCACGATTGCTTATCCAGTTCTCCGTCTTTATGTGAATGTCTACTCATGCATCCACGTGTCACCATCATATCCTCATCTGCTGTCCATGGTACCCCACCTGCTTAAGCCTTGCCCTGTTTGCTCTATGCCATTTATCACCTCACTCGCGCACGCATACGATATATACCTTCTGCACAGCAGCCGGTTTCCTGGACATACAGATGTGCCGTGTCCTGTCCCAACCAGTCTTCCCTACCTGTCACAACCTAACATCCCTCTGCATGCTTGCCCATCCCATCCCTGTAAACGCTGTGTGTAGACTCTGCAAGCCCTTCCCCACCATCACCATCGTGGTGGTCGCCAGCCCACTTGCAGCAGGGCGAGGTGCTGTATCAAGGACAGCATTTGACTTCACCTTCTGGAAGATGCGAACTCATCATGCAGGGAGATGGGAACCTCGTCATGTATGAAATGCCAGTTCATCATCCTGTCTGGGCCCTTCAGATTTATGGTGCCTTCCCTCCCAAGCTCGCCGGACCGTACAGATTGACTCTGAGGGTAGGTCCATAGATAATAGCAGCCGTAGTAGTTGTCAAGCGTACATGCATGCTAGATGATCATGTGCATCCATGCATGCCGGTGGGACGGAGGGAGGCAGCATAATGAACATTTGTTTGCTCATCAAAGAAGTATGCGCATTAATATGCAGGATGACGGCAATTTGGAGGTTTCCGGCTCAACTGGGGCTGTCTGGGCTACACGTCTTGGTTCTCTGGATGCCGGTCCATATACTGCTATACTTCGTGATGGTTGCATTCTCGTCCTGGTTGCTGCGAACAATATCGAGTACTGGAACAGCAGTGAGTTGGCCAGCAGCAAATTGAGGCATGCACTGGCTGCTGTGTGTACTCCACATGTCTTTATCTGGATACCTACTTGTTCTGGTTTGGTAATGTGCTTCGTATGCAATTGTGACCGCACAAGACCAACGCCACTGGAATCCTAGCTTACTTGCCATCCATCCATTATTATGCCGGGCCCTCCCACGCTCTTACTCTGCTTGCTGTACGGCAAGCACGTCGTACAGCCATTTGACACACGCCCAGGGAATTAACCGTTAGGTTCCCTTGCGTAGGCTCTATTACATGCCGTTTCATGCCCCATCCCAACCAGTGTTCCCTATCCCATCCCTGTATGTAAATGCTACGTGTAGCATCTCCAAGCCCATCAGTACCACCAGCAGCAGCAGCACCACCTTCAACACCGCCTCCTGGTAAGCGTTAAACCGTATACTTCACGCACCTAGATAGCTTTGGTCGGCCGCGCACCAGATCTATCCCAGCCGCCCATTCAAGTCCTTGTTTATCTGCTGTTGAATCTGGTCTACGGAGCACCACCACCTTCACCACCACCGCCCCCTGTTTCACAGTACGTGACAAAGGTTGGAGGAGGTTGGTTTCGAAGAAAAATTTTGCGATGATCGGTCGAGGTGTTCATTAGGAGCTATGGCTGTTCCCTTGTTTCCAAGCCGCGGCCTAGCGGGGTGCTACCTGGCTCGCTCTACACCTCCAAGCCACATCTCTGCCATTCCGTACTGATGTCACTTCCCGTCTGCTAATTCATCTGGCAACTTGTACTTGTACAAACGTTGGTTCAAGGCTAGCTAGTCGTATTCAAAATGCCAGCCGCAGCAGGCAGTCCCATCCAAACGCATTCGGATTACAAGTGGTGGCACACTAAGCGAATGAGACCGTTACAAACTTACAATGGGTCCCGAAAATGGAACACGGGTAATAACCCCAACCCTACACTGAGAGAGTGTATGTTACCGGTGTGATTTATTACCGCGCGCACATGCCGCTCGTCTTATTCGTCCATGTGTCACTATCAGCCTCTCCTCTGCTGCTGTTCACACGTCTCCATATGCTTATGCCGCATTGCCTTGCTCTGCACGCACGAGCGAGCAGCCACACACCTCATCCTGACCAGCCACACGTGTAGACTCAACTCAACTCAATCAATCTCAAGCGTTTGAGCACCATCTCAACTAAGAGCCTTTCTGGGAGTGCACATACATAGATAGCTAAGCCCCTGTTCGCACGTATGTACTGCTGTGCCATGTCCCGTTCAAATCAGTGTCCCCCATCTCATCATACCTAACCTTTTCCATTACCGTACGTGGATCCATGCTGTGTGTATGTAGAGTCTCCAAGCCCACCATCGTCACCGCCGCTGCTGCCACCACCAGCAGCACCACCACCAATAACACCACCACCTCCACCACCGCCCCCTGGTAAGTGTGTTAAATTAATAATGCACTTTTATACCCATAGCCTGTGCTTGCTTGGCCACGCATGTGTCACTACTAGGATAGGTTTGTTAGCCGATTCGGGAATGCTGAGGTTGATGGTCCTCTGACGCGCCAAAACACGCGACCAGGATCAACAATCCAACATGGAGAGGCTCTAACATAGGACACTTGGTTTGCACATTCTTCTGTCCGCGGGCAAGCCAACTCTGTTGCCAGACACACCAAAGTAGCAGCCAAGCACAAGGGCAGGCCATGAGATTGATGATTCGGTCTGTCCTTTGATTGCCGCAGTGAAACCATCAACACCACCTCCAACACCAAGGCCCCAGCCTCCACTGCTGCCATCACCACCACCACCGTCAGACCCAACACCGCCGCCCCCCGGTAAGAACCATGCATCGGTTTCCGCTTTCTTCGTGTGTACCTTGTTGAGACTCAGCATATGCTCTGAAAGCAGATCTGGGAGTCAACCATCGCAAGGCTTACTCTGGTTGGGGAACGGCATTCGCCTCAATTTCCTAGGTAGCTTCTAGCCATAGCTCCTGCGGCCGGGGCCTTGTAGGGACAAAATTAGTAATAATGTTTTCAACAACTTGAGCCTTCGACCCTAACTAATGTAGCTTCCAAAGCCGTCCAGACGTTCAATATACTTCTGGATCGCTCTATCTAGTGCCGCAAATATCCGAGTATTATAGTTCTGGCAACGAGTTTCACAGTACGTGGCAAAGGCTGGAGGAGGTTGGTTTCGGAGAAACCTGTTGCTATGTTCGGCCGAGGTATTCATTATGTCTGTTCCCTAGTTTCCAAGCCGCGGCCTAGCGGAGCGCCTGGAATGAAGGATCAGGCCAAAAACCGCCAACACCCTATCTACCTGGCTCGCTCTCCACCACCAAGCCACATTGTTGCCATTCCGTACAGATGCCACTTCCCGTCTGCTAATTCATCTCGCAATTCGTCCTTGTACAAGCGTTCAAGGCTAACTAACCAATTCCAAATGCCAACCACACCAGGCAGTCCCATCCATGCGAATCGCAAATGGTGGCGTACTAAGTTTATGCCATTCATTTATAATCGAGCGCACATGCCTCTCGTCTTATTCACTTGGTCCGACCATGAGTCACTATATATCAGGATCTCCCCTGCTGCAGTTCAAACGTCTCTAAATAATGATTGTGCCGCATTGCCTTGCTCTGCACGCACGAGCAGCCACACGCGTTAGCCTGACGAGCTTTGCCCCATATATATAGGTAGCGAAGTCCCTGTTCGCAGATATGTACTGCTGTACCATGTCCCCTTCAAATCAGTGTTCCCATCTCATCATACCAAACTTTTCCATTGCCGTGGATCCATGATCCGTGTATGTAGAGTCTTCAAGCCCACCATCGCCAGCGCCGCTGCTGCCACCACCAGCAGCAGCACCACCACCACCACCACCAACACCTCCATCGCCGCCCCCTGGTAAGTGTGTAAATAGTGCACCTTTTTGCGCATAGCCTGAGCTTGCTTGGCCACACATGTTTCACTACCGTACCTCCCAGTGATCATGGTGCAAAAATAAATAATTCATTGGAAAAATGTGCATAAACGCGCAAAATAAATAATAGGTCCGGGGCCTGCGCGTTAATAAGAATTAGTTCCCCAAAGGACTGCGCGTTAACTAAAATACCTACACCTCCTCTCTGATCGGTTTTAATTCGTTTTTGGCCTGCCCTTGGTTCTAGGCGCTCCGATAGGCCGCGCCGTGGAAGCAAGGGAAAAGCCATAGGGAATACCGGGACTTAAGCATTACAGTAAATTTCCTATTTAGGTAACATTGCGCACGAAGCCATAACATTGACATATTTTCCAAACTATTGCTATGTGTAAGCCACGGAACCTAGAAGAACAGTTGTTAGAACACACAGACAACTTTGTTATGGGGCATGGAAATGAGGTTGGTGTTATGGTTTGGATCAGTGAATGTTCGAAACAACTACGTTACGTGTTTTCCTGTTGTCTGTTGTTAAGGTGCAACGTTGCTGTTCGGAAAGGGGCTGTCGTACACGTGCTTTCTTACAGTTGCTGTTTGGCATCCCTTCTTGATCACGGACAGTCGTTGTAGTTATACACAAGGAAGCCTTCACAGTACCGTTAGAATACTTATGTTGTTAATGTGTTGCTATGACTGATGACCAACTGCTTGCGTTGCAACAAGCTGCAGAACGTCTAGCTGTAGACAATGGAAGACTTACTGTCAAGCACTTAACAGAAAGCTTGAGGAACGACTCGCGATTTGCCAATGTTACCAAGACACAACTACAGACCTTCTTTTACACAAGCAATATTGGTAAAGAATTAGGGCATGGCAGCGGCACCAATGAGGCAGCTGTTAACGAAGAAGAGAAGTCTGGTCCGCCACCACCCAAAAAACGCTGTCGGTGGAGTACTGAAGATGAGCAGGCTTTTAATAAAGCGTTACAAACTATCGTGGCTACTGGGAAGGAAGCTTCGCCACAGACAATGCTGCAGGAAATGGGGCGGCCCAGTATTACGGTACAGCACGCATTGTGCGGAATCGACTGCGGAAGGAACAAAGTCAAAAAGGTACGGTCGCTCATAGTGAAGCGTTTGAAGGTAACTAATGTTTCGCTGACGACATTCCTCCATCGCACCAACGAAGGTGACATTGTTCCAAGCAGTGCTCAAAAGGAGATCGGTATAGGTATGTTGTTTGTTATGAGTGCATTTCAGAGAAGGTTGCAAGTGAGACCCTCCTTATTAGCAAGACGACTTGCTCCTGAGGGCCGCAGACGCCAGGCTTGCCGGTGCAATGAGCCAATTGCCACTGTACAGGCCTGAGGCTCGACGCTGTAAATGCCACCCTCATATGCCTTTACGCTGCCAACTGACCCTCCCAAACGGGACACCCATGCGCCACTCTCCTAAGAAGCCTCATCAGCCCCCCTCCCTCGTAAGCAGCCGTGAAACCTCACCCAACCACCCCGCCGCACCGTCAGCCCTCCATGCCGCACACCCATTTGGCAGGCCATGAGATCGCTTCGGTCTGGTTAACGAGCTTTAAGTTCATTGCTCTGCTTCTCCGGTCTTTCTAGTGTAAGCTTTAGACTGATACAGTAGAAGCGAAGTGGAGAATAATTGCTCAGACCTCTGCGCGTTACAAGAATAATACCTTCCAGCGCTGCGCGTTAAAATAAATAAACCCTAAATTTCTTGCTGCGCGGTGATCAGACACAGGTACGGTACTAGGTTTGTTTGCCGATTCGGAAATGCTGAGTTTGATGGTCCTGTATATATGTGACGTGCCAAAAGTGGCGACCAGGGTCAACAATCCAACATGGAGAGGCTCTAACATAGTACCCTTGCTTTGCACATTCTTCTTCGTTCCGCGGGCGAGCCAAATGTGTTGCCAGACACACCAAAGCAGCAGAGATTGCGTGCAGTTGTGCGTCAAGCAAGAGGGCAGGCCGTGAGATTGATGTTTCGGTATGTCATTTTTGCCGCAGTGGAACCATCAACACCACCTCCAACACCAAGCCCCCTGCACCCACTGCTGCCATCACCACCACCATCGTCAGACCCAACACCGCCGCCCTTTGGTACGAATCCCTTACTGACCTGCAAATCATGTATACACACAATTGACACAAGCTAACAAATCGTGTTTCAAATGCCACCCTCACGGGTCCTGTTCAGGTTGTGAGTGGCTCTTCCATGCGATCTACTCACGATTGCTTATCCAGTTCTCCGTCTTTATGTGAATGTCTACTCATGCATCCACGTGTCACCATCATATCCTCATCTGCTGTCCATGGTACCCCACCTGCTTAAGCCTTGCCCTGTTTGCTCTATGCCATTTATCACCTCACTCGCGCACGCATACGATATATACCTTCTGCACAGCAGCCGGTTTCCTGGACATACAGATGTGCCGTGTCCTGTCCCAACCAGTCTTCCCTACCTGTCACAACCTAACATCCCTCTGCATGCTTGCCCATCCCATCCCTGTAAACGCTGTGTGTAGACTCTGCAAGCCCTTCCCCACCATCACCATCGTGGTGGTCGCCAGCCCACTTGCAGCAGGGCGAGGTGCTGTATCAAGGACAGCATTTGACTTCACCTTCTGGAAGATGCGAACTCATCATGCAGGGAGATGGGAACCTCGTCATGTATGAAATGCCAGTTCATCATCCTGTCTGGGCCCTTCAGATTTATGGTGCCTTCCCTCCCAAGCTCGCCGGACCGTACAGATTGACTCTGAGGGTAGGTCCATAGATAATAGCAGCCGTAGTAGTTGTCAAGCGTACATGCATGCTAGATGATCATGTGCATCCATGCATGCCGGTGGGACGGAGGGAGGCAGCATAATGAACATTTGTTTGCTCATCAAAGAAGTATGCGCATTAATATGCAGGATGACGGCAATTTGGAGGTTTCCGGCTCAACTGGGGCTGTCTGGGCTACACGTCTTGGTTCTCTGGATGCCGGTCCATATACTGCTATACTTCGTGATGGTTGCATTCTCGTCCTGGTTGCTGCGAACAATATCGAGTACTGGAACAGCAGTGAGTTGGCCAGCAGCAAATTGAGGCATGCACTGGCTGCTGTGTGTACTCCACATGTCTTTATCTGGATACCTACTTGTTCTGGTTTGGTAATGTGCTTCGTATGCAATTGTGACCGCACAAGACCAACGCCACTGGAATCCTAGCTTACTTGCCATCCATCCATTATTATGCCGGGCCCTCCCACGCTCTTACTCTGCTTGCTGTACGGCAAGCACGTCGTACAGCCATTTGACACACGCCCAGGGAATTAACCGTTAGGTTCCCTTGCGTAGGCTCTATTACATGCCGTTTCATGCCCCATCCCAACCAGTGTTCCCTATCCCATCCCTGTATGTAAATGCTACGTGTAGCATCTCCAAGCCCATCAGTACCACCAGCAGCAGCAGCACCACCTTCAACACCGCCTCCTGGTAAGCGTTAAACCGTATACTTCACGCACCTAGATAGCTTTGGTCGGCCGCGCACCAGATCTATCCCAGCCGCCCATTCAAGTCCTTGTTTATCTGCTGTTGAATCTGGTCTACGGAGCACCACCACCTTCACCACCACCGCCCCCTGTTTCACAGTACGTGACAAAGGTTGGAGGAGGTTGGTTTCGAAGAAAAATTTTGCGATGATCGGTCGAGGTGTTCATTAGGAGCTATGGCTGTTCCCTTGTTTCCAAGCCGCGGCCTAGCGGGGTGCTACCTGGCTCGCTCTACACCTCCAAGCCACATCTCTGCCATTCCGTACTGATGTCACTTCCCGTCTGCTAATTCATCTGGCAACTTGTACTTGTACAAACGTTGGTTCAAGGCTAGCTAGTCGTATTCAAAATGCCAGCCGCAGCAGGCAGTCCCATCCAAACGCATTCGGATTACAAGTGGTGGCACACTAAGCGAATGAGACCGTTACAAACTTACAATGGGTCCCGAAAATGGAACACGGGTAATAACCCCAACCCTACACTGAGAGAGTGTATGTTACCGGTGTGATTTATTACCGCGCGCACATGCCGCTCGTCTTATTCGTCCATGTGTCACTATCAGCCTCTCCTCTGCTGCTGTTCACACGTCTCCATATGCTTATGCCGCATTGCCTTGCTCTGCACGCACGAGCGAGCAGCCACACACCTCATCCTGACCAGCCACACGTGTAGACTCAACTCAACTCAATCAATCTCAAGCGTTTGAGCACCATCTCAACTAAGAGCCTTTCTGGGAGTGCACATACATAGATAGCTAAGCCCCTGTTCGCACGTATGTACTGCTGTGCCATGTCCCGTTCAAATCAGTGTCCCCCATCTCATCATACCTAACCTTTTCCATTACCGTACGTGGATCCATGCTGTGTGTATGTAGAGTCTCCAAGCCCACCATCGTCACCGCCGCTGCTGCCACCACCAGCAGCACCACCACCAATAACACCACCACCTCCACCACCGCCCCCTGGTAAGTGTGTTAAATTAATAATGCACTTTTATACCCATAGCCTGTGCTTGCTTGGCCACGCATGTGTCACTACTAGGATAGGTTTGTTAGCCGATTCGGGAATGCTGAGGTTGATGGTCCTCTGACGCGCCAAAACACGCGACCAGGATCAACAATCCAACATGGAGAGGCTCTAACATAGGACACTTGGTTTGCACATTCTTCTGTCCGCGGGCAAGCCAACTCTGTTGCCAGACACACCAAAGTAGCAGCCAAGCACAAGGGCAGGCCATGAGATTGATGATTCGGTCTGTCCTTTGATTGCCGCAGTGAAACCATCAACACCACCTCCAACACCAAGGCCCCAGCCTCCACTGCTGCCATCACCACCACCACCGTCAGACCCAACACCGCCGCCCCCCGGTAAGAACCATGCATCGGTTTCCGCTTTCTTCGTGTGTACCTTGTTGAGACTCAGCATATGCTCTGAAAGCAGATCTGGGAGTCAACCATCGCAAGGCTTACTCTGGTTGGGGAACGGCATTCGCCTCAATTTCCTAGGTAGCTTCTAGCCATAGCTCCTGCGGCCGGGGCCTTGTAGGGACAAAATTAGTAATAATGTTTTCAACAACTTGAGCCTTCGACCCTAACTAATGTAGCTTCCAAAGCCGTCCAGACGTTCAATATACTTCTGGATCGCTCTATCTAGTGCCGCAAATATCCGAGTATTATAGTTCTGGCAACGAGTTTCACAGTACGTGGCAAAGGCTGGAGGAGGTTGGTTTCGGAGAAACCTGTTGCTATGTTCGGCCGAGGTATTCATTATGTCTGTTCCCTAGTTTCCAAGCCGCGGCCTAGCGGAGCGCCTGGAATGAAGGATCAGGCCAAAAACCGCCAACACCCTATCTACCTGGCTCGCTCTCCACCACCAAGCCACATTGTTGCCATTCCGTACAGATGCCACTTCCCGTCTGCTAATTCATCTCGCAATTCGTCCTTGTACAAGCGTTCAAGGCTAACTAACCAATTCCAAATGCCAACCACACCAGGCAGTCCCATCCATGCGAATCGCAAATGGTGGCGTACTAAGTTTATGCCATTCATTTATAATCGAGCGCACATGCCTCTCGTCTTATTCACTTGGTCCGACCATGAGTCACTATATATCAGGATCTCCCCTGCTGCAGTTCAAACGTCTCTAAATAATGATTGTGCCGCATTGCCTTGCTCTGCACGCACGAGCAGCCACACACCTCACCCTGACCAGCTTTGCCCCACAAATATACATAGATAGCTAAGTCCCTGTTCGCACATATGTACTGCTGTGCCATGTCCCGTTCAAATCAGTGTTCCCCATCTTATCATACCTAACCTTTTCCATTACCGTACGTGGATCCATGCTGTGTGTATGTAGAGTCTCCAAGCCCACCATCGCCATCGCCGCTGCTGCCACCACCACCAGCACCACCACCCGTACCACCACCACCTCCACAACTGCCCCTTGGTAAGCGTGTTTAATCCCTTCACATTCGTTGTATGAACATAGTCGGTGATTACTAGCCAACCGGGTTTAGCGTTTGTCATAATTTGCTCTGCGCTGCAGAGGAACCGCCAAGCCCATTGGTGCAAATTGGCCCGCCTGCACTGCCCCCTTCTAAGCAGCTAAGAATGCCAGATTAACTAATTGCATGCACCAAGCCTGCTGTGGCCACCCAATAATGCACGTATAATGTGTTTGCCTGTCCAACACAGAATATGAACTTACCGAGTGGTGACCGGCGATTGGGCACACCTGCAAAGCCGACATGTTTACCAAACCATGTTTTTCCCAACCAATGGTCTCTGTCGTACCCTTTGCTTCCAGGCTCCAGCATTGGCGTCTCAGATATAATGGCGGTCAAGTACAGTGGCGTGGGTGGCCAAGCTGAGGTTCACTTCTTGGACCGTGACAGCAATTGGAACAGCTTCTCACTGCAGCTGCCAACCGTGTTGGCTAACGCCACGGCCGACAGCCACGTGTTCCTGCTCAGCCGCACCAACCTGGACCTCTTCGTCATTGTTCAGCGCGGCAACAGCGGTTTCCGTGAGCTGCAAGTCCTCACCGCAGCCAGTAGCTACCAGTCGTTTTCACTGCAGGTGGCAATGCCACAGCTCACTTTCGATGAGTTCGCCTACTTGCTCGATTACCAAAACAACCTGGTGGTCGTCAAGTATAAGGGCGAATATAGCACCGAGCTGTACGTCCTCTCACGTGAGAGCAACTACCAGTCCTTCATGCTTCAGACGAGCACAGGTGTGCCAGTAAGCAGCCCCAGCACACACGCCTTCCTGTTGGACTCGGACGACTACCTGGTTGTCGTCGAATTCAGGTGTGTGTGGAATAACGAGTAGTGCATGGGCACGCTGATGGTTGCGATGGGCGGGATTAGTTTATTAGGTCTGCTGGTTACCCGTGTCTCCAATAATAGCAAAACCAATAGTTCAAGCAATCCCTCTTTACTGGTTTAAGTACTTTCCCATGGCTGCCATTATTGCCTGCTGGCATGTGCACTTTTGTGCTGTAGCCCCTGCCAGTGAGTCCTAACGCACAGCTATGCTGCAAGGAGTGGGTCCTCGTTGGAGTAAATTTAATCCTGCCCTTGCTCCTATCTGCTGCCATGCGTACAGTGGCACAAGCGGGCGCACTGAGGTGCAGACCTTTTCGCCGTATAGACTGTACAACATGCCTCATGTGCAGAGCGCCATTATCCCCCTCACTGGCGTCACACGTGATAGCTTCACCTTTCAGCTCAGCGACAATAATGATTTGTTCGCTATCAAATATGCTGGCGATAGTGGCAGCACTGAGGTCAGCGTGCTGCCCATGATATGGAACTACCAGGCTCTGTTGCTGCAGACTGGGACTGCGCTGCCCCGGACCAACCGCTCCAGCTTCTCCTTCCAAGTCGTCCGATATTGGTGAGGAATGAACAAGCAAGTATTCTGGTGTGTTCGGCATTTTCCATAATGCTGTGCGGATAGATGACAGCTACTTTGTTCCAAACGCAGACTTTTCTAGAGTGAAGGAACGAACGTTAGAAAAGGCTGGTTCTTGGTGGAATGAATATAACGATGTTAGTTGTACGTACGGCATAAATGCCTCCTTCTTATTGGCAGCTTGCCCCCGTTTTCGGCATCTGCCTTTGTAGTAGCATAATCGAGTGTTTGTTAGGCCCTTCTGCCAGGGCTTTTAGGTGTAGTTTCCCGCCCGCCTCCCCGTGCTGTCCGCCGCGGGCCGGCCATGGCCGGGAGGAGAGAGGGTTGGGGTGCGGTCGCTCGCGTGGACTTGTGGGACGCGCTTGTTGCGGCTGCGGCGGCTCTATGGCCGCCGGCGTTTTGCCACTCGCGGTTCGCGCGGGTTTACCTTCGTGCTTGCCTGTGCTCGGGAGGGGGCGCTTGCCCGCCCGGTGCGTGCCGCGCGTTCGTCTCAGGGTGTTTTGTTTGCCCTGGGGGCCTCGTGCTGTCTCGTTGGCGAGGTGGTGCGACTCGAGGCACAGATGGCCACTGGTTCAATGTGAAAAACGCTCACTTTGCAGGGTTACAGGCTGTGGAGACTTGAGAGGAGGTCCGTGAATTGTAACGATGATGATTGGAATCCAAGAAGTAGTATAAATCCCAGCCCCGCCAGCTGTCAGGTCTCATGCAATGTCCATCATCAGCGTAGCGCAGCGTTTCAGGCTTGCGATACGGCCTGTTTCGGTGTCACTATCTATTAACAACTTGGTTATCTGCTGTTGGATTTATTTAGGTAGGATGTACGAGCGTATCTTGGCTTCTTGAGCCCAAATGTGCCGTGTGCCTTTATTCTTAGGCTGAGATGTGGTCTAGCGGACACCTTTGCAGTTGCTGTTTACTTGCTAGAGCCCAATACCGGGACTACCCACTGTGGGATCGTCGTCCCAGTACTGGATTGGGTGTAACGTATGCACCTGAGACGGAAAGCCAGTGCACAACGTCACGTCTTGCTTCCCAGCCAAAGCCGCACAGCATAGCACTCTCCTCGTTGGGATGAAACGGCTTGCACCAGGGACCATCTTTGGGGGACAAGTCGCCTGCTTGCATAGCAGTATCCACATAGGGAAGGCCCACCCTCCATCAATTGCCGACTTGTGGGTTGCATGTAGGACATAAGAACGCTTGACGTCTGGTGACCCATGGGTCAAACAATCATGCTGGACCACTGAACCGCCACTTAACCGGGCGTGATTGCTGCCACTACCGTCTATGGATTGTTAGAAAGTGCGAGCCAAACGCGTTGGCCAAGGAACGAACAGGTCCACGAGATCATCCGGTCGTCAGTTCTTTGCATAGTTAGGTCGCGCATACTGTATTCTGACCAGTTAATAATAGATTAACCGTAGCGACCTACTATTGCCCCTTCTACCTTGTTTAGGAGGTCTAAGCAACTTAACCCACATCTACCCACAGCTAGCATTGCGATTTGGTTGCTTGCCAGGACTTCATGCCTGGAAGCATCAGTGCCGTACACAAACAAAAATACACACTTGCGTCATTTGCAGCCCACAGATATTCACATGTTACTCCACTTCTTCACACACCTTCTAAGGCATGTCACTACGGTACCCAGAACCGTAAACACAAGTAGCCATATTATCATTAACCGCTACAGTACCTTGAGCTTACGGCCTTTCTTGCGTCAAGGTGTCAAGAACAAGCACCTCCCCTAGCACCTCCCGCGGCTCTAAATTATTATATACCCTTCTTTCAATCTGTACCGCCTGCGCTCTACCTGCAAAAGCATTTCAGCGAATAAATATTAGTCATCAGCCACCCACACGCAAGCAAACCACGAGGAATGTACCGGTATCCGCTCCTCTGCTATCGACCCCGCGGCACTTGGCGCCTGGCCCTATGGCGACGCATATCTCGGCGGGGCTTGGTAAGCATACGTTTAGCACGTGTCCTGCATAGTAACACCACCTGCAAAAGCAGCCATACCATACGTGCCCACGCCAAGCAGTCGTAATCACACGATGCAAGACAAGGGAAAGCGTTGGGACATGTAAATCAGCATGTGCCACCATCCAGGATACAATAAGAATCCGTATGGAACAAAACACTCGCGCCAACAGCCGTCCTTGGTGCATACGAATCGCCCTTCTCAGCTAGACGATGAATCACATACTTAACGATCACACACTAAAACCTATCCCGGCACCTAGATGAGCTGGTATACCGGGCGGTAGAGCAAGTCATAACCGGACAACGCTGCGGCTCCTCGAAGCCCAGTACAGATTGTTAACCCTACGGGACGCCGTACTTTCGTCCCCACATCCCGCCTGCTAGCAGCCTTTGCAGCTGCCTAGCCAGCAATGTTACCGGAGGCCTACCGGTAGCGGCGTCCGCTGCGCCGGCAGGCGTGCTGACGCAAGCAAACCTGGACGAGCACTGGCCCGAACGTTGGCCCCTCAGCACGGACGAGCTACACACCCGAGCCGCATCGGGCATTACATGCGTCCACACATGGTCTAAACATGGAGGTGAGCTGAAAGTAGCGGTAACTAAATGGAGCGGCAGCTCAAGAAACCCTATGCTATTCTACGGGCGGCTGCAAGCGCAAGCATGTGCGAATGCAGAGCCGCAGCGCCAGCACCCAACCAGCGAGCGAAGGGAGGCGCACTGCGTGCATATTAGCGGCTACCAGCCGGCAGTTAGCAGCGAACTGAGCAGCGCTTATACAGCAGCACTTGCAGCCATCAGTAGGTGTTGGGGTTGGCTGCCACGAGCCCATACGCCCACAGCGCTAGCGCCCGGCCAGCACAGGCAGGTGGGCGGCCAGCGAGTTGAGCAGCTCGGAGCGGTTGGGCTTGCCCCTCAGCGGCGGGGCGCCCAGCCCCTGTAGTAGGTCCTGGGCAGATGTGATGGCGACAGGGCAGGGGGGGGGGGTTCACTCATGTGAATCAGGTTGATGCATGAGAAGGGTCAAGGTATAGGCGGGTTGCGGTACACGTACGGGTGTGTGGTCTTCAAGCACATCCGTACGTATCACCGGTGATACATGCATGGCGGCCCATATCTGACTTCCTCACAACGCTCCTCACCCTACTACCGGTACGTTGCATTCTTTCCTCTAACAAGCACTCCTTACTACTCCTTACCCTGCTCCGACCTCCGTCGACCCTACCTTGAACATGTGCACCGTGAGCGTGCCCCTGCTGCTGCTCCCCCGCCCATCCTCCGGCATCACGGCCGCCAGCAGCTCACACAGCAGCCGCTCCTTGGGCGCTCCCCCCAGCCCCAGCCACACGCTGCGACCCAGCACCGCCGCCAGCTCCGGACCCGCGCTCTCCTGCACGCGCTGCAAGATAACTGCCCTCGCAATGCCGGAGGGCGCTTGCGCCGCCTGCTGCTGCTGCAGCAGAGGCGCCAGGTGGTGTGGGTAGTAGTGCTGGCGCCACCAGGCTTGCATGGCGTCCTTGACGGGGTCGCTGCCGCTGTTGCCATAGCCCTCCTCCTCCTCTCCGTCTTCACCGTTATCCGCCTCCTCCTCGTCTTCTCCAAACGTCATGAGTTCGTCTGTGCCGCCGCCCTGACGTATAACGCGCCTCTTGCGTGGAGAGCGCATGGGGTTACGGGTGGGGGTGCGGGCGGGGGTCCTTGGCAGCGTCTTTTGCGGCGTGAGGCACTCGAGCGACTGCCTGCAGCAGGTCTCCACGTCTCGTTCCAGCACGGCCTTCCGCACGGCTCTGTGCAGCTCTCGGACCCGCGTCTTGGGCATGACGTCCAGCTGCTCCGCGACCGCCTCTTCCAGCGGCTGCAGCTCGGGCGCCCGGCCCAACACCTCGCGGACAGCTCGGCGGAGGGACAGCAGCTGGCTTCGTGAGAAGTGGTCCCGGAGCGTTTGCTCTATCATGCGCTCGGCGTCCGACTGCTGGAGCGTGGCGTTAGGAGGAAGGGAGCACAAGCAGGCTCTCGGCAACGGCAGCATAGAGGGTAAGGTTGATCGGGGGCATTCCCGACGGAGCATACGACAGCAGACCGCCTACTCCTCTACAGACTTCCCTGCCCAACCTCACCTCGGCACCCGTTGTTCGCTTCGTCGCCTCCACCTCCGCCCCTGCTACCACACGCTCGGTTGCAGCTGACACATGCTGGTCCGCACCCGGATCCTGCAGCACTGAGTCCGTCAACCGCCGCCTTGCTCTCAATGCCCCACGTCGCCCTGTCCCAGCCTCTTGCTGTGTCGGCTCCCCCTCCATCCTTCGCAAGCTGACTTCCTGGAGCAGGGACTGGAGCCGGGCCACCTCAACCTGGTGGGCGGACACGTTTGTGGGCAAGGGGTGTCCGTTTTTTTCGAGGGTGAGGAGGTACCATGGCTGAAGTTTAGGATGCCGCATGAGTAAGGATATAGCAGTACAGATGACGGGTGAGGGTTCCGGGAACAGTCTCTGGGAGCAAGGCTCTGGTTATGCTGACAGCAAGATTTGCAGCAACCTCCCCTCACCTGCAGCCTGGCCCTGCCCTCAGCGCTGGACTGCTCTTGAGCGTGAAGCCGCAGCCGGAAGTCCTGTAGCGCCGCCTCCTTCTCGGCACGAGCTCTCCGGCACTCCTCCTCCTTGCAAGCTAGCTGTTGATGAAGGGCGGCCTCCGCCGCTACCATGTCCCCCAGCTGCCTGTGGAGAGCTGCCAGCGCCGCCATAACCTCCTCCTTGCCCACCATCGCCCTCTGCCGTGCAAACTCTGTCTCTGTCAGCTGGTACCGTAGGGCTACAAGCGATGCCTCCCCCCTCTCAAGCGTCTGCTGCAGGGCCGCATATGCCGATTCGCTGCCCTCCAGCCGCCGCTGTAGAGATGCAAACGCCGCCTCCCTGCCCTTCGACTGCTCATGCAGTGCCTCATTTGCCGCTTCACTGTCATCCAACCGCCGCTGCAGGGCGTCATATGCCGCCATCTCGCTCTCCAACTTCTGCTGCAGGGCATCATACGCGGCATCCTCGCTCTCCAACCGCTGCTGCAGGGTCTCATATGCCATTTCACTGCCCTCCAACCGCTGCTGCAGGGCCGCATACGCTGCCTCACTGCCCTTCGACTGCTCTTGTAGGGCTGCATGCGCTGCCTCACTGCCCTCAAGCCGCTGCTGCAGGGCCGCGTACGCTGCCTCACTGCCCTTAAGCCGCTGCTGCAGGGCCGCAAACGCTGCCTCACTGCCCTCAAGCCGCTGCTGCAGGGCCGCATACGCTGCCTCACTGCCCTCAAGCCGCTGCTGCAGGGCCGCATACGCTGCCTCACGGCCCTCAAGCCACTGCTGCAGGGCCGCATACGCTGCCTCACTGCCCTCAAGCCGCTGCTGCAGGGCCGCATACGCTGCCTCACTGCCCTTAAGCCGCTGCTGCAGGGCCGCAAACGCTGCCTCACTGCCCTCAAGCCGCTGCTGCAGGGCCGCATACGCTGCCTCACTGCCCTCAAGCCGCTGCTGCAGGGCCGCATACGCTGCCTCACTGCCCTCAAGCCGCTGCTGCAGGGCCGCATACGCTGCCTCACTGCCCTCAAGCCGCTGCTGCAGGGCCGCATACGCTGCCTCACTGCCCTCAAGCCGCTGCTGCAGGGCCGCATACGCTGCCTCACGGCCCTCAAGCCGCTGCTGCAGGGCTGCGTACGCTGCCTCACGGCCCTCAAGCCGCTGCTGCAGGGCCGCATACGCTGCCTCACTGCCCTTCGACTGCTCTTGTAGGGCTGCATGCGCTGCCTCACTGCCCTCAAGCCGCTGCTGCAGGGCTGCATGCGCTGCCTCACTGCCCTCAAGCCGCTGCTGCAGGGCCGCATACGCTGCCTCACTGCCCTCAAGCCGCTGCTGCAGGGCCGCATACGCTGCCTCACTGCCCTCAAGCCGCTGCTGCAGGGCCGCGTACGCTGCCTCACTGCCCTCAAGCCGCTGCTGCAGGGCCGCATACGCTGCCTCACTGCCCTCAAGCCGCTGCTGCAGGGCCGCATACGCTGCCTCACGGCCCTCAAGCCGCTGCTGCAGGGCCGCATACGCTGCCTCACTGCCCTCAAGCCGCTGCTGCAGGGCCGCATACGCTGTCTTGCTGTCCGTCAACTGCCGTTGTAGGGTCGCATGGGCAGCATCGCTGCTGATCAACCGTTGTTGAAGGGTCATGCACGCGGTTTCGGTGCTGTCCAGCCGCTGTTGCAGGGCCACACGCGCTGCATCGTGGCTCAGCAGGGCTTGCTGGCAGGCTGCCTCCCTCTCTTCCTCCCGCCGCAAAGCCTCCGCCAGCGTCGCAGCCTTGTCCTCCAATAGCCGCTGAAGGTCCTCCATACGCCGTTGACTCGTCGCGTTCTCAACTTGCAGCTCCCGCCTTGCCACCTCCACGAGCTCCGCGAGTTGCGCCTGCCTGCTAACGGCTGTGCGCTGAACCTCCTCCAGGAGCTTCTGACAGGCATCTAGCTCCGTCTCCTTGCCGGCGAGGGTGTCCTGGCATTCCCCCAGCCGCTGCTTCCACTGCAGCTCCGTCTCGGCTTTGACCCTCAGGCGCTGCTCCTCCATGGCCTTGGTGTGGTGTGCCCTCTCAGCTTCCAACGCCCGACCGGAGTCCGCCATAGCGGCCTTGCTGGCGTTCACCTGCAAGCCAGTGTCGGTTTACCACAGCAAAGGTCCATAGCATCATTGGCACAAGGGGAACAAGGTTTTACTTGGAAAGGGTGGATGGCAGCTGATGGCAGGCAACAATCCATTGTGCACCATTTGGGTGGGAAGGAATTGGGGAACCTGGGTTGCAGGCCCACATACAGCCGACAACAAAGGCATGACCGACTTCGTGGAGACGGTGACAGTGCCAGTAAGGTGTACCCGTACGACAGTGTTTACTCAACCCACCTGCACCGCTAAGCCCTTTGCCCTCAATAATAACCTTGGCACCAGGTTCTTCCCAGACCAACCCACCTCACGCTGCAGCTCCAATCGCAGCTGCTCCGCCTCCTTCACGGCAACTGCAGCAGCTGCAGCCGCAGCCGCCCTATCCTCGAGCGCCTGCTGGCGCGCCACCTCCTTGTCAGCAAGCTGCCGAGCCATATCCGCTTCCTGCGTGCCCTTGACGTGGAGCTTCTGCTGCCACTGCTGCTCTGCTGCTTCCTTCGCCGCCTCAGCAGCCAGCGCCGCCGCCGCCTTGTCCTCAAGCAGCTGGCGCCACTTCTCATCTTGAGCTGTCAGGGCCGCCTGCGTAGCTGCTGTCATGTGTTCGAGCCGCTGGCGCCACTCTGCATCCTTCTCTTCAAGCGCCCGATGCCACTCTACCTCCTTGTCCGTCAGGGCGGCCTTCAGCTTGGATTCATGCGCCTTGGCCTCCGCCTGCTGTGCACTAGCCTGCAGTATAGGGAACGGAGACAAACGTTTGGGGAACGGCCGTTGGTTTCCAGGTGGGGGTTATGTGTTGCTAGGTAACTTGCTGGCCGTGTAAATGTAGTGAAAATAAAGGGCGTTAAACAGGCAGCAGGCAAACCGGTGTTGCGAGTGGACCCGCGGGCCAATGAATAGCATTGTAATGTGGCCCAACGCATTGCTGTACATGGTAGCAACGCAGGTACGCAGCGTTATGCAAAGGCGTAGCCCAGAGCGCAATATGGCTTGTCCCTGCCCAGCGCCCCTAGTTACCCTCCCTTAAACACCTGAACATCTCCGTTTCCGTACCTGCTCCTGCAGTGCTGCTACCTCCGCTGCGCATTCCGCCCGAACAGACGCCAGACGCCCCGCCGCCTCCTCACGCTCCTTAGCCCAGGCCTCCTTGTCGCCCTGCTGCACTGCAGCCGCTGCCAACAGCTGCTGTTGTGCCTCCGCGCGCGCTTCCGCCAAGAGAAGCCCATCTCGCTCCACCTTGGCCTGCGAGGCTTGCAGCTCATTCTTGACTTTGCCCAGCTGCTGTTGAGTCGCCTGAAGGTTATCCTACGAAAGAACATTAGTGCATTGGGTATCGCGATTTCGGGAGGAGGATACACGGTCAAACATTGGCCTTGCGCGTTGACGTGGTGGGTGCTTGACGGCAAACAGCAGTACAGCACAGCAACAGCATGCTCCCAAAGTAGCAGGACATGGGTCGGGGTCGCATGGCACAGGAGCTGGGAGCTGCGGATGGTTATTAGGGTCACCAGCGGCAACGGAAACTGACGAGGACGGTAGCGGTGTGCACATGGGGCCGCGTGTGACGTCTGGTGACGTGTCTGCAAGGGATGCTGCCGTGTGTCGTACCCGCATCCTCCGCATCTCTATGTCGGTGTTCTCCTCCCTCCGCTGCGCCTCTTCCACCGCTCCCAACGCCTGAACGGCCTTGCCATTAGCCTGCATGCACACCACACCCAACAAATGAGCGCTGTTGATGTGTGTTTGCAGCTTACGGTAGTTGTCGTGCGCATCCTGCCTATGGTGTAGCCTTGGTGATTCAAGGACGTTGCGACCTTGTGAATGCTCTGATTCAGGATGCGCGCAATTCAATTGTTACATCCTCCCTATCATCAAGATTATTACAACGATGTGACTAGCAACAAGCCTCTTACGTCCTACGGCCTTAACTCTTACGCACCCAAGCCCAGGCCCAACCCAGATTCATGTACCCGCTTCCCCGAGGCACACTCAAGCCCTACACCCTACAAAACCCCTCACTCACCAAGGCAAGCTGAGCCTCAAGGTCGGCCACCAAGGCACCCTTCTCCGCCAGCGCTTTCGCTGCCTGCTCCGTTGCCCTGGCCAGCTGCTCTTGCAGGGCTACCACCTCCGCCTCGCTGTCGGCCCTAGCAACCGTCAGCTGCCTCGCCAACTCTTCCTTTTCCGCAAGCGCCTGCCCGGCACGTTGTTGCAACTCCTCAACTCGGGCCTCAGCAGTTGCCAGCATGCGTGCGAGGGCAGCATTTGCGGCATGGGCCAACACCAAGCAGCGCCGCGGCACCTGCTCCTCCTGCTCCTCCTCCGTCTCTTCTCCCTCCTCCTCGTCTTGGCTGCCTTGCAATCCTGGGCCGAAACGTGATAGTACCAGCACCCCCTTGTCGTTGTCGTCGTCATTTTCGTCTTGGCGCAGGGGAGACGACGAAGACCGTTTCTCAACGTCGGCGTTGTGCTCGCCGGCAGCCTTGGACGCGGCCTCGCTTGCATGTGACCCATTTGATGCTTCCTGGGGTACCTCCGGCACGAGCGCTTCCTCCTGCCCCTTCTGTGATTCCAGTTCCGGGTCCAGCCAGAACTCCTGTGGTGAGAAATCCGGACGAGCGGCTGGCTTTCCGGATTGCAGAGAAAGCCGCCGCCGGTGCTGTAACAGCAGATGATGAGGGTGATGTAGCTGCTGCGCCGAAGGACACTGGTGTTGCTGCTGCTGCAACCATAGCTGCCTAGCAAAATATGGAATGCGGATGTCAGCATGTTCCATCTCTTCTTCCATCTCTCGTCTCGCTGCCTCTAATGCTGCTATTTCCTCCTCGTGCCGCATATCGGCCTCAATGTTCCGTTTCATAGACTCGGCAATTACGTCTATTCCCTGCAACACTGCTTGTAAAGAACTTCGAGGCGTTGACAACGCCATGCTAGTCGCACCAGAGGAGCGAGCTATGCTCCGACTGGAAGCAAAGGGTGTGAGCACCAAATTGCGCTCTCGTGTTTCCACGGTTGGAGGCGCATATCGTGCCGTGTACTCGTTGGAGCTTTGCAATCCGGCACAGACGCTGTGGACTTGAGTACACTTTGCTAGCGAAGCCAACATAGCTGCTGATGGCATTAGCAGGTGGACGCAGGAAGCGGAGCTTCGGCCTGAGGTAAGCAGTGCTGAGTCAGAGGAAGATCGCATCCCATCGTAGCGCGGTGCCCCATTTCCTTCGCCGGTGCCTGCGCAATTGATGCCTGCGACATGGCGTCCATCTTCCGACCGAATGCTGCAGAAAGAGAAACCAGAATTGCAAAATTGATTAACATGATGTGCGTCTGCAATACTGGCTTCATGTCTAAAGGGAGACCGAAGTTACATGACATCAGCAATGCAACATGTCAGCTACCGATACTACGTGGACGCACAGCACGCCGCTTACCTTGTGCCTTCACGCATGTCTAACAAAACGTCCTATCAGCAAGGTTGGCGGATTGGTGTTATGCAAGGAAGCAGCCACGACAGATACAGCAGCCATACATAAGGTCAGGATTGTTCTTGCCGCTCCTTGGAGGTATATACTTTACAGATTTGCATTATCTGTTGGTAGAGCAAGACAAGAGCGCTGGAATAGAGGGCCCCGTTCCGGAAGCCGGATCTTTGCTGAATCCATGCTGTACACCGAACCTCCCAAGTCCCAACAGCTAGCGCTTTAGGACTGGCATGTTTGGCATATGGCTGAAGGTTCGAAACTAATATCGTTCAATAGCCTTAAGACATGGATGCATGGCTTTGGTATACCTTGTAATAACAAGGTACCTTCCACGGAATTCCTGCCTTAGGAAGCTACTGTTGCATTCCTTTGCGCGTTAGATAACGCACAAACGCGCCGCTCCAGCTCCCTGGCCTGATAAACCCCCGTGCTTGGCCCGCTCCCCTTCAGTGGGGTCCGGGTGCGAAGCTCCGAAGATTCAGGATATATGAAAATCGGAACAGGATTTCTTCGCTGTCCTTGTATGTTCGCAACTCTTCATGAAAGTTCGAAGGGGTCGCTTAGGGTGCCCTAGGGATTGCTGGGGCTGCCCGTTCGTTTCTAAAGCGCCAGCATCTTTGGTTACCCTATTCGGTTTCCAGAACTTCGCTACTTCAAGGCGTTTGATGGTGCGACTTCTGGAGGTTTTGGGTAGCCTGTTGAGAGATGTGAGCACGAGATACTCGTCGGTACGGTACAAGCTCTTGAAGGAAACAGTGCAGGACGCAACACGTGTCCTCCATAGCCTATCCTCACATGCCTATTAGGAACACCCGCCTCAAGAGACAGGGGAATCAAGGCAAACAAACGGAACGGAATCACGGATGGGAAGAGACCGCCACCCCTGCCATATAACTCAATGACACGGCCACACCACTTTCCTTACGCGCACATTACGGTATGTACAGATAGGCTCACTGCTCGATAACAAACCTCTATTAGATGTTCAATTGTCGTCCCACGTAATGGCAAAAGGGGGTATCCTCATTGTCGTCGTCACCACTGCGGGACATACCAGCTAGACTGCGGTTGGAATACGGTGAACAGCAGATTCACAAGGAACGCATCGCAGCACTCAATGTTGCCATTCAGCCACTTTGGTGGTAGTCCACCCTCCGTCCGCTTTCTCGACATGACCCAACATTGCAGCGCAAGGAGGTCATCTTGGCTGCCCTCTCCGTCCCTCCTGCCATGCACCACCCGAAGTAGTCACGGCACCGCTTGGGACTGCGAATCCTCCACCACTGCAGCCACAGCCTGCGTTCTTAGTCACACTAATGCGCTGGACCATCCAGGTGCCTCGCACTTTATTAGGCCGCATGCATAAACTTGCAAGTCACGACACAAGCACCAATTCACCAGCAGGCCCCCATGATCCCTACATCGCCGCTGCTCACCCCAACCACCGCCTCACACCACCCACGCTGCAATGCAGCCCCATCCCCACGCATGCACCAGCCTCACCCCCGCCTACTGCGCATCGCCGTTGGCTGCCCCATTTGCCACCTCCTGCACCCCTCCTGCACCTCCCTGCGCCCCATCCCCAGCCCCAGCAGCCTTCGCTGCCGCCCCCGACACCCTCTCCCTCGCCTTCATGAGGAACTCCGACACAAACAGCAGCGGGTCCTCCGGCCGCAGCTCGTTGAGCGCCCGCAGTGCCTCCCGCAGCACCGGCACCACCGTTGCGTCCATGTATTGGCGCACTGGCAGACCCGCAGCAGCAGTCACGGTGCCCGCGGTGGGAGGCACGGCAGGGCCGCCGCCGCTGCGGCCAGGGGAGGGCTGCGGCAGCACCTTCGGAACCGAAGGCGCCCCCGCCACAGGCGGTTCTCGGAGTGAGGGTAGCGGAGGAGGGATGAGGTCTTGCGGACTGAAGGTCCCCGGCAGCAGCCCCTGGATGGTCAGCTTGAGTCGGTGGTAGGCCGCCTCCAGCTCGTCGTTGACCACCCGCGCGTCGAAGAAGCCCGATTCGCGCGACCGGTCCAGCTCCGCCGTGGCGTTGGCGAGCCGCAGCCGCACTTTGTCCTCGCTCTCAGTGCCGCGACCGCGCAGACGCGCCTCAAGCTCCGAAAGAGAGGGAGGGTCCACGAACACGTAGCGGGCCTTGGACGCGGCGCGGGAGGCCTTGACCTTGGAGGCACCCTGCACATCAATGTCGAGCACTGCGATGCGCCCCGACCTCCCCACCGCCGCCACGCCTGCCAGGCTGGTGCCGTACATGTTGCCGTGCACTTCGGCATGCTCCAGGAACAGACCCGCGGCGATGTCCCGCTGCATGGCCTCCCGCGTGCTGAAGTGGTAGTGCACGCCGTCCTCCTCGCCCGGCCGGGGGCCGCGCGTGGTGTGGCTGACGCTGAACCCGAACTTGTCCGCATGGTCGGCCATCAGCCGCCCGATCAGTGTGCCCTTGCCTACGCCGCTGGGGCCGCAGATCACAAGCATGGCGCGGATGGCGTCAACCTGAAGGGGCAGGGACCAAGGGAACGGTTTGTGGTCGGGTGAGCGGATAAGGGAACGTTATGGTAGTAGTGCAAGGGGTGGCAACGTGGCATCAATCATAACGGTGACGCCTACAAGCAGCCACGCATCTCACAATGGCGACCCTAAGGATGTGAGTTCCACACAGCGATACCCCGTAGGCCCAGGAGCAGCCTGCCAATCCACCCTTGCCGAGAAGCAACCAGATCTAGTAGCCTTGAAGTTGCCTCATCCGAGAATCTTTTATTGGCGCGCCTTCAGCCACTTTCCTTGGCGCACAAGGCATAATTAGCCGCCCACTGAAGCGTGCTGACTAGCAAGGGCACCCGCAAACGCATACCGGGGTGGAGGTTTCCCGCTTAACTCGTCACGCACACTGCGACATATACGGTACTACCGGTAGTAGCAAAGCTGAATATGGTCCTGACCTAGCCCCGCATCTAGCCCAAGGCGCGACTCCGCTATGTACCCCTTCTACACTGCACTCTGCGCACGCCATCATGCCGCCGCTTGACGCACAGTGCCACGGTGCCAGTTGGGTTCGACAGGGCTTCGTAATAGCCGTGCATGTAATCTACGGCGAGAAGCTCCCGCCGTGAGGCCCTGACCCAGGGGTTCATAGTAAGCACCCCAAAGACCAGGCCCTAACGCCAACCCACATGGAAGATTTGCCTCCAATCCAGGCGCGCACTCTCACGAGCTCCCGTAGTGTTCAAAGCACGTTGGATGCATTAGTACACGCCCCCACATTGCGCACGTCCCCTCATCCCACCTGTTCTGCAGCCTTGGCTTCAATCTCCGCCTGCGACGGCGGCGGTGGCAGAAGCTCCTCCGGGCTGAACGTTCCCGGCAGCAGCTCCTGGATGGTCAGCTTGAGTCGGTGGTAGGCCGCCTCCAGCTCGTCGTTGACCACCCGCGCGTCGAAGAAGCCCGACTCGCGCGACCGATCCAGCTCCGCCGTGGCGTTGGCGAGCCGCAGCCGCACCTTGTCCTCGCTCTCAGTGCCGCGACCGCGCAGACGCGCCTCGAGCTCCGAAAGAGAGGGAGGGTCCACGAACACGTAGCGGGCCTTGGACGCGGCGCGGGAGGCCTTGACCTTGGAAGCACCCTGGGGAGGGATGATGCGCAAGGGTGGCAGCGTTCGGGAGGTTCGAAAACTATACAGTGGGCGCCGTGGAAACCAGAAGGTAAGGTGCTGCGAATCGCCGGGATCTAGACGTTAAATACAAGGGTCCTATCTACGGTATTCACACCATGCCACAATGCGGAGAATGCCGGCGAAACGTCGCACGGCCGTCCCGCAAGGAAGGCCCTGCCCCATTCAGCATGTGATGCCACGGCGCGCCCCAAACCCACATGTTCCGCAATCCAGCCACCCCATCCCATCCATGCATTTCTCCATGGCCTAAAGCCTTAAGCCCTCCGGCTCCGCCTAACCTGCACATCAATGTCGAGCACCGCGATGCGCCCCGACCTCCCCACCGCCGCCACGCCTGCCAGGCTGGTGCCGTACATGTTGCCGTGCACCTCGGCATGCTCCAGGAACAGCCCCGCGGCGATGTCCCGCTGCATGGCCTCCCGCGTGCTGAAGTGGTAGTGCACGCCGTCCTCCTCGCCGGGCCGGGGGCCGCGCGTGGTGTGGCTGACGCTGAACCCGAACTTGTCCGCGTGGTCGGCCATCAGCCGCCCGATCAGTGTTCCCTTGCCCACGCCGCTGGGGCCGCAGATCACAAGCATGGCGCGAATGGCGTCAACCTGAGGGGGCAGGGACCAGGGACGAAGGGAACGGTTTGTCAGTCTCGGCCGGTTGCACGGCTTGTAGTGGAGCGGGCAGCCCTGGAAGAAGGTGTGACGCAGCGAGACCAGCGTAAGGGTAGGGGCGCACTTATGAACCTTTCCGACGACCGACGACTACTCCACTGCCCTAGCCTTCCTGGTCAACTAGGTATGGCATAGACCAGAGCACTCCCCACCAAAGGAGTCGCCCTGGCTACGGCATAGCTGGGGTGGCGCTCACACAAGTGAGTTGCCAAGGCGCGGAAATGCCAAGGATGGATGAAGCATGACGCCTTTGCTGGACAGACCATTAATTAACATTGACGGCTATCGCCAAGTTCGAAGCCGCAACGTGCATGGGACTGGTGTGCATGGAGTTTTCTGTGTTTCATGGAAGCGATCTTTGTTCACATGTGTGAGGAAGCGCACCCAGGTGCGAAGCGTTCGAACGTGTGTGGCTCAAAACCCTAAAGCCTTAACGGCGGTGCCCAACTGATGGATAGCAACAGTGATTCCAGGACGCTAACGGCTCCCATGCGCCTTTCCTCCCTGTGCACACCCTCTAGATGGCCACCTGCAACTCGGACGCCATCCCGATTTTGGGTTGCCCTTCATAACCATCTTGCTGAACAAAACTCAGGAAGCTGTAGGGGTTTATCAACACAGGAGGGGCATTTTCAGAACCCCAGACCCACTTAATCCTGGCACTTCGGTCGTCCACCCACCTGTTCTGCCGCCTTGGCTTCGATCTCCGCCTGCGACGGCGGCGGTGGCAGAAGCTCCTCCGGGCTGAACGTTCCCGGCAGCAGCTCCTGGATAGTCAGCTTGAGTCGGTGGTAGGCCGCCTCCAGCTCGTCGTTGACCACCCGCGCGTCGAAGAAGCCTGATTCGCGCGACCGATCCAGCTCCGCCGTGGCGTTGGCGAGCCGCAGCCGCACCTTGTCCTCGCTCTCAGTGCCGCGACCGCGCAGACGCGCCTCAAGCTCCGAAAGAGAAGGAGGGTCCACGAACACGTAGCGGGCCTTGGACGCGGCGCGGGAGGCCTTGACCTTGGAGGCACCCTGCACATCAATGTCGAGCACTGCGATGCGCCCCGACCTCCCCACCGCCGCCACGCCTGCCAGGCTGGTGCCGTACATGTTGCCGTGCACCTCGGCATGCTCCAGGAACAGCCCCGCGGCGATGTCCCGCTGCATGGCCTCCCGCGTGCTGAAGTGGTAGTGCACGCCGTCCTCCTCGCCCGGCCGGGGCCCACGCGTGGTGTGGCTGACGCTGAACCCGAACTTGTCCGCGTGGTCGGCCATCAGCCGCCCGATCAGCGTGCCCTTGCCCACGCCGCTGGGGCCGCAGATCACAAGCATGGCGCGGATGGCGTCAACCTGAGGGGGCAGGGTTGGAAAAAATGTTAAACAGGGACGGCCATGCAACCAGCAGCGCGCATAGACCCGACGATATCGGTTCCCATGTTCCCAAGGCCTCTCCCGTCCATCCCGGTCGCACCTGCTCCGTGGCCCGCTTCTCCACCTCCGCCGCCGCCTTCTCCTCCTTCAGCTTGGCCACCCGCTTGCGATCCAGGTAGCCCCGGCCCGCCGCCTGGATCCTCAGTGCCGCCTCATCTAGCGTCAAGCCCCCAGCTGCCGCCCCCTCCTCATCCTCCCCCTCGGCGTCCGCCTCGCCTCCTTCGGCCCCATCTGCGGCCGCCGCCCCCTCATCTTGTGCTACTGCCGCCTCCGTCTCCGGCGCAGCTGCGGCGGCTGCAGCCGCCTTCTCCTCCTTTAGCTTGGCAACCTTCTTCCGGTCCAGGTAGCCCCGGCCCGCGGCCTGGATGCGAATGGCCGCCTGCAGCTGCTCCTCTGTCAGGTCCGCTAGCTCTGGAGGCAGGTCGGACCGCGCTGCTGCGTCTGCCGAGCCGCCCTCGGCCTCTTCCGCTGCCGCCTCCGCCCCGCCATCTCCCTCACCATCTGCCTGAGCAGCAGGCTGCTCCTCAGCCTCAGGGGCTGCCGCTGCCGCCGCCGTAGCTGCCTGCTCTTGCCGCTTTGCTGCCACCTTTTTGCGGTCCAGATAGCCCCGACCCGCCGCCTGGATCCGCACCAGCGCCTGCACCTGCTCCTCGGTATAGTCCTCAAGGTTAGCGCCTTCAGCAGGAGCAGCATCAGCATCTGCTGCCATCTCCGCTGCCGCCTCCGCCTCTGCGGCCTGCTCCCCCTGTTCCTGCTGCTCCTCCTCCTGCTGCTGCTGCTGCTGTTGTTGCTCCTGCTGCAGCCGTTGCTTCTCGGCGCGTATGGCATCCACCTTCTTGCGATCCAGGTAGCCCCTGCGCGCCGCCTGAATGCGCAGCGCCGCCTGTATCTGCTCCTCACTGTACGCTTCGGCAGCCGCTGCAGCAACCGCATCCTCACCCCCAGCCCCCTCCTCCTGCTGCTGTTCCTGCTGCGGCGGCTGGTCCTCTTGCTGCTGGTCCTCTTGCTGCTGGTCCTGTTGCTGTGCTGCGGTCGCCGCCTTCTCTTCCTTCAGCTTAGCCACCCGCTTCCTATCCAGGTAGCCCCTGCGCGCCGCCTGGATCCTCAGTGCCGCCTGCACCTGCTCATCGTTGTAGCCCACTTCCTCCATCCCCTCAGCAACCGCCCCCGCCGTTCCCGCTCCTCCTTCCAACCCCGGCGGCGGCTCCGCGCCCTCCTCCGCTGGCCCATCACCGGCCCCCTGCTGCTGCTGCTCCCCCTCCCCTTCCTCCTCCTCTTCCTCGCCCCGCCGCTCGGGCTCCTCCTCCAAGGGCAGCTGCGCCAGGTCGGCCTCCAGCGGCGGCCCGAACATGTCCATGAAGCGGCACACGCGGCTAAACACGTCCGCCACCTCGCCCGAGGCGTCCACCTCGGCAACGTTGGCGCCCTGGGGGCGGAACGGTGGGGATACATCTTTAATAGCGATGATTGTACCTCTTTAGCTCTTCAAGCAGCTCTTCAAGCAGCTCTTCAAGCAGAAAATCCACATGGATCCTCTTCCCGCTCCGCCCCGAAAACCTCCTCATCTTCCCCACCTGATCCCGCAAGTAGTCAATGACCGGCTGCGACTCCTGAGCAAACACCCGCATGCGCTGGCGGATGGTGTCCTCGGTGTCGTCCGGCCGCCCCGACGTGGCGCCCCGGGCCAGCAGCCGCGTCACGGCCACCTCCTCGGCTAGACCCAACAACAACACGCCGTCGCAGGGCTTGATGGCGGCCTCGAAGGCCTGCAGAGGCGAGGTAACGACGCGGCGTTGCGGATGTGCGAGCGGGACTTCGGACGGCATGGAAGCGCTCAGGCCCGTCTATGTCCCGTCGAGACGACGTTATAAAAGGTGATACTCCACCCAACCCCAAACGCTGTGGCACCTGCATGCTCCCTCCCTCCCTGCCCGCCCCACCCACCTGCAGCTGGTCCAGCTGCCTGGGGAAGCCGTCCACCAGGAACCTCCTCCTGGCCGCCGGGGTGGCCACCATGGCCGCGTTCAGCAGCCCCAGCACCACCTCCGTGGGCACCAGCTCGCCGCCCGCCAGCAGCGCAGACACCTGCGACCCCACATCGCTGCCCTTCTCAACCTCCGCACGCAGCAGCGCCCCAGTGGACACGTGCGTCCAGCCGTACCGCTGCCGTATGAGATCGCATTGAGTACCCTTGCCGGCACCTGGCGCCCCCAGGACAAACACAACGACCGCATCGGAAAGATCCGCGGGGCCCTCCTCGACGCCGACGATGACGCTGGGGACGCCGTCGGCGCCGGTGGAGGCGCGGACAACGCGGCCGGCTCCGTCAGCGGCTGCCTCGCGCTCGACGGCTGTGGAGGGTGGAGAAACGGGGAAATGGACGTTAGGAAATGGGCATTACGGTTGCGCCGGCATGGTGCGTCCAACCATCAACACAACCCAACTGGGTTATGGGCATTTGGTCCTTACCACCTCAACCCCGTTGCCTCTATTTCCTTGCCTCGCTTCCACCATTCTCTGCACCTCAACCAAACCTCCTTGACCTGACACCATACGAGTTAACCCCATTCCTCCCGCCCATCTCTCCCAACCACCTTTCCTTCTTCCCACCCTCCCATCCACCCACCCAGCGCATCCATGGTGTTCATGAAGGGCTCCACCGCCGCAAACACTTCCTCAACACTCGCAGTTGCGTCCACCTCGTGCACGTTGCCGCCGCTGTCCGCCAGGAAGTCAATGACCGGCTGCGACTCCTGCGCGAACACCCGCATGCGCTGGCGGATGGTGTCCTCGGTGTCGTCCGGCCGCCCCGACGTGGCGCCCCGGGCCAGCAGCCGCGTCACGGCCTCCTCCTCAGCCAGACCCAGCACCAACACGCCGTCGCAGGGCTTCACCTGGAAAAGCGTGGTGGGAAAGGTGCGCAGGGGCACGCAGGGGCGGATGTGGGTTGGGCTGGTGAGGCAATGGAGTAAGCAAAGAGTTGCATGCTCGGGACCGCGTGGCGAGGACCTTTTCCCCTACGTGTTCCAGTGTGCATGTTGTTTAGTCTAATGCTATGAAAGAAGACATGCATGCAAAAGGAAATGCGCCTCTAGTCCTCTAACTTCCCCCATCGCGTTTCCCTTTCCTAACCACCTCAACAGTTTGGGTTCCTCTACATCCGTCGCTACAGGTGCCCCTGCTGCCTCACCTGGTCCTGGAAGTCCATGAGCTGGTCCAGGGTGCGCGGGAAGCCGTCCACCAGGAAGCGCGAGGCGCCACTGCTAGCCATGGCGTTGGAAAGCAGGTCTGGTGCGGCAGGAGAAGAGGGAAAGATACGGGGGGTATGAGGATTGGACGGAGCGTGTGGAAGGTAGGCGCGAGTTGTCAGGTGTGAAGGCAGTGGATGTGAGAGTATTTCGACAGTGGAGATAGTGCAGTAATGATGCGATAAAGCGGAATGCGCGAGGATGGATGGCCTGACGCTGTAGGACGTGGGGCCAGAGCACCTGAACAATCCGGAGCATTTGCAGGTAGACGCTTACCAAGGATAATGTCCGTGGGGACCATCTCCCCAGCCCGCATAATCTCGTCAACTTGCTGCCCCTGCAAGCCAGATGGTTTACGGAATAGCGATGGATACGGTTGGACTGCCCTTTAAACGTAGAAACCTGCCGGCGCAACAGGTCTGCCGCATGTCGTCGTTTGAACAGCTCAACGTCTTTGCCCAATCAAACAACTCTAGGATGTCCTCCTCGCCCGTAGGTTAAATGCATATGCTAAGGGAAAAATACGGTGTGCTATGACAGCAAGTTGAGCGAAAAATGCTGCGACCAGCTTACCACTTCGGTACCGGCCTGCACCTCAGCTCGCAGCAAGTCACCCGTTGACAGATGCGTCCAGCCATACTTTTCCACAATCCTGCTGCATTGCGTCCCTTTGCCAGACCTGCGTTACCGGCCACCAACTTAGAGAGTCGGACAGGCGCCCTAAGCGGTGAGCTTTTCTGCTTACCCTGGCGCTCCAAGAACGAATACTATAGTCACCCTCTCCATTCCAGGGGGTTTGGGCAAGAAGGGCTGGGCAGCGGTAAATAGGTCCTCCTAAAGCATCTTGGAAATAAGTAAGGTGATCACAGGTTGCAGTTTATCGATAACCCCAAAGGTTTCGCTATACAGGCTGTGCTGCGGAAAATCCTTTTTTGTACGACGGGCAGCTGACTATGATTTTGGCACAGCGGCGTGTAAATCATCATCTTTCCAGTTTTCATTCCCCCACCACTTTCCCCACACAGTCATGTCGCGTTAGAGATATGGAATCATTTGAGCACGCCATAGTGCAGGGCACGCATGCTATTTCCCGCCCGGTAGCCCTGGCCCTGCACCTATGCTTTGGATTGACCTACGCAACGCATTTGTATAGGCACCGTCTGGAATGGGCTCACGGAAAATGGGCGTTGAACTGTTTCCTATTCCCGCTTCAGGGCGGCCATCGCCATGCGGTGTTCCAGGTGTTCGCTTGGGTAAGGTTCATATTACGTTGTATCTTGTGCATATCTAAGACCTAGTTTTACGCTTGACGCGTTTCTTGGGTGTTGTGAACGCGCGATTGTGCAACACCGTCCGTCCGCTCAGACTCTTAACGTTCCTTTCTACAGGGGCTTTGGGGACTCTCCGCCGCCATCAGCGTTCCAATATATGTTTCGCTGCTGGCGGAGAGGTAGGGCGGGTGGGGCCTGCTGTTGTCACGTCGGGTGCGTTTTCCAACTGTTCAATTAGGTTCCCTGGCTTTCACCTATTCTTTCTTTTGTCAAAATGCCTGTTTACTTACAATGAATTCTTATCCGGCTGCTTACAGTGAGATCGGCATCAGAGAGGATGCCAGCTGGTTCAATGTTCGCAGCTTTATGTCGATGCTAGGCCTGCGCCGGCCGCTCATCCCGCTAACCCACATAGACGTGGCTTCGGGTGCTGCTGCCGTGTCAAGTCTCTGGGGCGAGCTCTTCCTGCTGAAAGCTCTATTAGTATTTGACGGCAGCGCACGACTGGTTCAGCGCGGTCGTGGCGGCAAGGCGCCCTGCAAGGATCTCCGTGCCGACTGCCGCGGCGGCGAGAAGCCCACAGCAGCTGCTACTGCTACACCAGGGGGCAAGCAGAACCAGGCGAGCGGCGTCTGGAATCGGGAGCAGCGGCACCAGCAGCCGCACCGGAAGCAGCACCAGCAGCAGGCAAGTGGGTTGCACTAGTGAAACGGCTGCACCTGTAGTCCCAACCCGTTTTCTTTTTCCTTCGCTGTTGAGTTGCCACTGCAATATCCCGCCATTTCCATCACAAAGTCTGAACCAACAATATCATCCAACCAAGCACATTCGTCCCTAGCTCCATCCTGCTGCCTGAGCCGCTGCTCCTCATCGTGCCTCCCCATGCGCACCACCCTCAACTCCCTCCCGACTGCTGACCTCCCCTACTGCCCCCCACTCTCCCATCCTGCTCCCCCTCTGCCCCCTGCAGCTGGTTGCCCCCCGCCTGGCCAGCCTGCTGGTGTGCCTGATGGGCGGCGCGCTGTCGCTCACCGGCTGTGTGCTGCTGCTGGCGCTGGAGCACATGCCGGACACGGCGTCACGGTGAGGGGAGGAGCAGGCGGGAGGAGGGGCGGGAGGCGATGGGGTATATCACATAACGGCATGCATTGTGTTAGGCTGTTAGTACTTCAACTTTATGTAAATCTCCGCTTTCCTGCTCCTAATTCCTCGCCACTAAACCAGCTGCGCTTGCTTGCACCTTCCCATTCTGCGATTTAAGTACTGCTGCGTTGCGTCGGCTTCTGCTTTCCGTCCACCTCCTTCCACTTCTCCCTCTCACGTTGCCACGTTACCATCACCAACTTGGCCTTCTCATCCCCCCCTGGACTCCACCCCCGCCCCTCCAGCGTGCTGTACTGCTGCCTGGCGCTGTCGTGCGTTGCCATCGGCGCCAGCAGCACGCACGGACTGGGCGGCCACCTGAGGTACTGCGCGGGAGCAGCCAGCAGCGCGGGCGCGGCGGTGCTGCGGGCGGGAGGAGGGGCGGCGGCGGGAGCGGGCGGCAGCGGGGCAGGCGGAGCAGCGGCAGGCGGGCCGGGTAATGGCAGGGGCAGCGAGGGCGGCAGCGGGCGGGGAGGAGGTGTGGGGCAGCTGCAGCAGGGGGGCATGTGGGCTGGCGGCGAGGAGGAGGCTCCTGACGCGGACGCGGTGACGTGGCGCTTCTTCCAGCCCTTCCAGGGGGGCAGCGTGTTCGTGGCAACGCAGGTGGGTGGGACCTGTGTGTAACCCGTGCCCGTTGCCCTTGGTCTCTCCTGACCCTTGCCTACTGCGCCTAGGCCGCTGCACCTACGACCCTTTTGTGTCTTGCCACCACTCTCCTAAGTTGGTTTTCTCCCTCTTGTTGCTGCTGCCCAGGCGATCGGTTGGACCCTGTTCAGCAGCACGGTGGTGTCGCTGCTGCTGCTGGCCAAGCAGCTGGTGGCGGGGGTGGGCTACTGCCTGCGCTGGTGGGCGCTGGCGGCGGGGGCGCTCATGGTGGCAACACAGCTGGTAAGGGGGGCCGAGGAGCGCATTCGCAGACCCCACTCCGCGGGGAGGGTTCACAGCACGCCTGCCGTGTATTGCCTGTCTGCCTGCCCAACTCCTCCGCAGGGCGCTACCCTCCTCCTTCCTCCTGCCTCATCACCCCTCCCCCGCCCCCGCCAGGTGCTGGGTGTGTCCATCCTGACCTTCCAGCACAGGCGCCGCGCACGCAAGCTGCTGCAGCCCGTGCTGCTGCACCCGCGGGACGCATTCGCACGCGCGGCAGGTGCGGGGAGGGGCTGGCTGGGGGGATGGGGTGTGTGGCTTGGGGGGTGGGATATCCTGCTGGCTGGGAGTGTGGTGCTCCTGTCTGTTATCCTGCTGAGCACCCCCAACCCCCCGGAATCCTACCTGGCTTGACATGCCTCCCCGCCCCATGCACCCATGCACCGACACAGGCTTGGTGATGCCGGTTGTGATGATGTACCTGCCCCTCCACGTCAGCACCTCAGCCATGGCAGCGCTGTTCGTGCTGCTCCCCCCGCGGCTGGCGCTGCTGGCGCTGGCTGCCGTGCTGCTGCCGTACTTTGTCATCACGCTGCGGGGGCACCCCGCGCACACGGGTGGGTGGGGAAGGTTAAGAGGAAACAGCTAGCTGAGGGGGTCGCGGGTGGTGAGGTGGGGGAAGGGGTCAGAGACCATACCAAACATAAGAAACCACAGGTTGACGCAACGCAGTGGGGATAGGAAGGGTGGGGTGGGGGCAAGTGAGTGATGATGGTGGGTGCAAAGGGGTTTGGGATTTGGGTCAGTGCATGTGTTCAGAAAACGCGTGTGTGTATTCTGTAGCGAGATATTGGCGAGACAGGTGTGCCTTTGCCGAAGCTGCAGTACCCCAGACCTCAGCGTCACTCCTCTCCCCCTCCCTCCCTCCCCCCTCCACCTTCCCTGCCTTCCCAGGCTGCCGTCGCTGGCAGTGGCTGTGCCGATGGTTCGGCCGCGTGGTGGAGGGAAGCCTGGCTTGGTGGTCCGGCAGCCTCACCCTCATACGCGACTTTCCCGGCACTGCGGACCAGGCGGCGGAAGAGGCACTCAGGCGGCAGCAGAGGGAGGAGGGCGGGGAAGAGGAGGGCGGCGTGGAGCAGGAGGAGAGCGGGCAGCAGCCGCGGCGGCGCTATGTGTTGGGCTTCCACCCTCACGGGCTGTACCCCACGGGTGCTGGCTTCCTGCCGCTGATGCCCGGGCTGCAGTGCGCCTTCCCGGGTCACACCATCGTGACGCTCACCGCCTCCATCGTGCACTACCTGCCGGGGCTGCGGGACATCGCGGGCTGGGCGGGGTTCAGACAGGTGGGGGGAGGGAGGGAGGAGTAACCAATGTATTGAATGAGAATGGGAGGAAGGAATACCGAAACCACAGATTCGAGCAGAGCACTGTACCTATAGCCCTCTTCCCCTCGCACTCTTTTGTTCCCTAATGCCGCCTAAAGATATTATTTCTGCCATGTCCTTAAACCCTGTCCTCCTAAACCCTTGTCCCACACCCAACCTCCCCACCAGGTCACCCGCGCCACCTTCCGCCGCGCGCTGCGGGACACCGGCGCCGTGCTGCTGTGCCCCGGCGGCCAGGCGGAGCTGGTGTACGCAGACAGGGCCTTCCCGACCCGTGGGTCACCCGCAGCGGCCGCAGCAGCCGCCTTCGCCGCCTCCACCTCCACTTCCTTCACGTCCTTCTCCATCTCCTCACCCCCCTGCTACTCCTCCGGCTCCAAACCCACCGCCGCATGCGGCTCAGCTGCATGCGGCCCAGCCCAAGAAGCAGGGTCAGGGCACGGAACGGAAGCAACGCAAGCCGTCTCTCCACCCTCCTCCGCAACCCCGCTGCCTTCCTCCTCTGCTGGGGAGACCCCTGATGGCGCTAGCGGCGGTGGGGTAGTGCGCAGGGGAGGCAGCAACGGTGTGCCACATCAGCCACCTCACCCACAGCCCCGCCCCCACCCTCAGCCTCAGCCTCACCCTCCCCACCAGCTGGTGGTGTTTGCGGGCCACCAGGGGTTCGTGCGGCTGGCGCTGGAGGAGGGAGCCTGGCTGGTGCCGGTGCTGGCGCTGGGGGAGACGCTGCAGGTGGGGGCGAGAGGAGGGGGAAGAAGAAAAATCCCGGGGGCGGGGACTGGGGTCGAGTGGGGAGCGGGAGGGGGAAGGGGGTGGTCCTCAACCTGCAATGCATCACAACTCAAACGCAACCCAGCACGCCCCCTTCCTCCGCCAGTACCGGTACCTCAACAGCAACACCTATCCTGACAGTACACCTGCCCCGCCCTGCCATGCCTCCTCCCCCCCTCCCCCGCAGCTGCGCAACCTCATCTCCGCCCCCGCCATGCAGCGCGCCACCTACAAGCGCCTGGGCTTCCCTGTGCCCTTCATCCTGGCGGGCCGCTGGGGCGTCACCACGCTGCCGCTGCGCAACCCGCTGGTCTACGTGGTGGGCCGCCCGCTGCCGCCGCCGAGGGGCTGGGAGGCGCAGCGGCGCCGCAGGCTGGGGGCGGCGGAGGGAGGGCAGGCGGCGGAGGGAGGGCTGGTGGGAGAGGAGGAGAGCAGGCAGCAGCAGCAGGGTGCTAAGTGTGTGGAGGGTGGTGGAGTGGGTGGTGACGGGAAGGAGCAGCAGCATGATGGGGGTGGGGGGTTGCGGAAGCGGCGGGGCGGGAGGGCGGTGGGCTCCTCCACCTCCTCCTCCTCACACCAGCAGCAGCCGCATGGGCGCGGCAGCAGCAGCAGCAGCTCCTCCGGAGCGGTGGTGGTGCCTCAGGCGGTGGTGGACGCCTACCACGCCGCCTTCTACCTGGCCCTGGTGGGGCTGTGGCGGCGGCAGCGGGGGCGGCACCCGGTGCTGCGGCACGCGGAGCTGGTGCTGGAGTGGGGGCGGCATGGGCCGCCGGAGGGGGTGCGGGAGGAGCTGGCGCGGCTGCTGCAGGGGGAGGGAGAGGAGGGGGAGGAAGAGGAGGAGGGGAGGGAAGAGGAGGAGGAGGGAGAGGTGGTGTTACGGTATGGAGAGGTGAGTGGTGTCGAATGGCCGGTAGGAGGCTCTCCCCTTGATATCAAGTCGAAATAGGTTAATGCCATGGTGGTAAGCGTAGAGTACCGGTAGTTCGTGTAGGAGAGGGGGAAGGGCAATTCCTGTCCGCAGGTGTGTTGGAGGCCGGGTTGGTGAGATTGCATGCATTGAAGAGGAGCTAGGAGGCCGCCTGCGGCGACAACAGAAGCAGCAACACCACCACCACCGCTCCCACTTTCAGTTGCTTCTTAGCACCGGGCTAGCGGCAGCACGGCACGAGCTAGGGCCCTCCACCGCTTCCGTTTTGCCTGGCATGGTGCTCGTTGTGGTGCCAGCTGCGCTCGGCTGGCTTTGGTTTACATAGCGATGTGCAGAGGTACATACATAGCTGGATGAATAGGGAGCCAGCAGGGCTGCGAAAAGGGCCCGCATTGGGTGTGTTAAGATGCATTCTTTTGGGCAATACTTGTGGGCGGGCTTACATACAGAGCAGTTTCTGACAAGCAAGGCGCAGTGTACAAATAAAGCTGAAGGGGGCTGGAGGTGGCGTTATCTTTTTCTCTTTATTTAGGCGAATATGAGCGGTGGCAGCGGGCGGGTGCAGTGCGGCCTGTGTGGTGGTGGTGGTGCTGTGGGGCTAGGTCTCTTTCATCGTCTTGGGATGCAGTCACAAGAGGAGCTGCAGGTGCGACAACGCAGGTGTAGCAACGGTTAGTGGGCGAGGTCGGTAGCTGCTGAGGAGGCAAGAGAGGATAACGGGGGCGTGTCAGAGCTCAAGAGGGGAAAGGCGCAAGCTGAGCTGGACTGGTGGCCGTGCGGTGTGTCTGGGTCAACTAGTCCGAGTCGTTTGCAAGTGTGATACTGCCTCTGCTGGTAGCATTGCGTGCGGTGGCGTTTTGAAGGCAATAATGCCATGTCGGCATTTGGTTCGGACCTGTGCGCTAGCTTGCTCGCAGCTTGCACGACATGCCCCTAGGGTGTAACAGTACGACCTGAGTGCGCGCGCGGCCTGCGGTTGCGTTCCATGAATGGGACCTGCTGGATGCCTTACAGCCCTCTTCTAGGGTTGGGTTTGGCTCCTACAGTCTTCCCAGCAAAGGCAAATTACATGCAATAAGCCTGTATGGTGGGAAGCGTGGGTTCGAGGAATGTCGCCTTCTGGTACGGCAGAAGCGGCCGCTTATAAGTAGTCGCTGCTGGTACACACCGGCCTACCTCCACAAGCTCACAACTGGTGGTTGCCGGGGCCCTTGTGTGCAAATGCAGCGCAGCACCGGAACGATGTGGGCTGCGCTTGGAGAAGGTTGTGTTGTGTTGCATATCTCGTGTAAGCTCACATTAGTGCACCAGACGGCCGGGAGGGGCGCGTGGCATGCAGCTTGCAAAGAGGCATCTACTTGTCCGTGCTGAAAGCTGCCGCGCGGGAAGCCCCATGGGTCACCCAACGCGTGTTGTACAAGTGGTTATGGGCGCGAGCCACCCTGCAGAGTTGAGCATGTATGCACCTATGAACAACTTGTACCCATCCAAAGGGTGTTAGCATGTCCAAAAGGTTGCACCTTGCACAACTCCTCCTCGAATTGTTGCTTTGTTTTTGATGAAAGCCGCAGGGCTACCGAGGCTAACGGGGAACCCCTTCTCTCCGAAAACATACGGAGGACACAAGCAGCTAGCAAGGAACACGCATAGCCCTCAGTAAAGGCCCACACGGCACATGGATTACTTTCCTCCCCTAGACAACTGCCTTTAAGGAATATATTTCAGCAGGTACGCATAAGCTTTATGAACCCTCTCCGAGAGAGTGGTTGAGCTCTTAGTACGGCGTTCCAGTACAGACGGCTCGCTTGCCCCGGCTTACCATGGAAGCCTTATACAGTCTTAATCGGTAGCGGTCCGATCGGAGCTGTTACGTTCCTTACGTAGTCTTTCGGGTCTACCGTCGCTATTAGCCTGCGTCGTGTAGCGGGCTCTCAGGGTCTTAGGCGCCGTGTTTAGCTAGTAGTTTAAGGAACAATGAGCATGGCCCTGAAAAGCGCGGCAGGGTTCTCCCTGGGTGCGGGGCGCCTCCTGCCTTGCCTCAACGCCCAGCTCTCCCGGGAACTCCAGGCTCTTGCGGGACCTGGTGAGGCTGTCAAGAAAAGTGAAAACTGAAAAAGACTCAAGGACTAGAGTCCCAATTATTTGTAGACTTGATGGATTTCGGTGTGCCGATATATTTGCTGCGCCTATCCATGCAGGCCGTGATGAGAAGTCCACCGAGGTGTCTACTATGGTAGGCATACTGGCTTATTAATTGCGACGAGGTAGCCGCTGAGAAACGCGTTTGTGTGCAGCTTGCAATCGGTTGGTTCAACCCTTTTCGCAGGGTCCTGTGCAGCTGCAGCAGGAAGTTCGGAGCAATGCAAGCATTGCCACCTGCGGGAAGCTTGGCCTGGGCTTCGCCGCGCAGCTGGTACGCATCGGTGCACAGGTTGCTGGAATACTACCTTGCTTAACTGTCCACGCTATGTGCTTACAGGCGGCACAGCAGCCAGCCGTTCCGGTCCTAGCTGCTGCTGTTAAGGCATGCGGCTCGCGGTCTAGCCCGCTGCTCCCGGCGAGGCCCGCTCGCCGGTCGCTGCTGCCTGGAATGCCCCGCATGGGCGCTTCCCTGGTAGGTCTTAGCAGAGGTGGTCGATACGGGGCGTGGACTGGTGTGCAGGGGGAGGGACCATGCGCAAAGCGTGGCCCGGGGTTCGTGGGCATCACAGGCAAGGGTGTGACAAGAAGAACCAAAGCCAGGAAACGCCCGTAAGGTTGCCAAATTGGTCGAAAGCCGCACTCCCCATTTCAACCATGCACACAGCATTTTCTCGTTCTCCTTTACTACCGGTAATACGCACTTGGTGTGTTAGTGCTATCGATGTACCTCGCCTACTACGCATGCGACTTGCGAAGGGGGAAACGGAATGCCTGGCTCTACACCTTTTTGCGGGCCTTGCATGTTTGGCCCGCGGGGGCTTCTGGCCGGTTGACAACGCCGCTGTGTCCCTTCTGCCCCTGCAGACCCAGAGCCGCGCCTACAACGCCTGGTCTCCTGCTCAGCGCTACTTCGTGGAGGGCGACCACGTGGTGGCTGCGGAGGCGAGCCGCACCTTCCAGTTCACAGGTGGGGCGAGGAGGGCAGGCTGTGGCGCTGTGTAGCTGGGGGCGGTGTTGGGGATACACGGATACCAGCAATGTACGGTTCTGCCGTAAGGATTGGGTGTAGGATTTGGAGTCCATGGCAGGACGAACGATGGCTTCCTTTCTACCGAATACCATGGGGAATGTGCACATTTGTGCTGTATGCGCTGATGTGGCGTGCCGGTATAGGAACTCTGACAACTAGCGATTCGCCGAGCTCAGACGCGGCTAGGGGGCGATGTATGGTAAATATACAGGCTTATGACAAATGGCATGTTCAAGAGTTGCAAGCCTTGGAGTATAGCCCTGTATGTTGCCCTCTACGCCCTGTTCGTGAGCGGATGTGTGCATAGCATAGGGAAGCACGTGAAACTACCCTCGGCAATTTTGTGTGCATGGTACACGTAGCCGGATGAGGCCCGCAGTGGCTGTGGGGGATTTCGGCCGCCCAGTGGTCATGCCATTGGGGGGCAAGCCGAGGGTTATTGCCGCCCGTCGCTGCCAAGGACACGTGAAATGCTGCACAGCGGCGCCTTTTGTCAAGTCCTGCACTGCCCCCTGGCTTCCAACTCGCACTGCAGGTCTGGACTCTGGCGGCTTCTACCCGTACGTCATCTCGACCGCCATCTACACCGCCATCGCCACCGTGTTCATCGTGCTGCCGCTGGTGGTGGCGCCCTCGCGTGTGGACCTGGACAAGTCGTCCGCGTACGAGTGCGGCTTCGACGCGTTCGGCGAGGTGGGGGTGCTTGTATGGGGTTGACCCGCGGGTAATTGTGTGTCCGTTGGCAGATTGCGGCATGAAAGGATAGTGGGGATTTTTTTCCGATGTGGACTGTTACACATTAGCCGAATGCTGGTATGCATTGTGACGTGGGAGCTTCTGTTCACGACAAGCCAGCCTAGGTGTTTGTTCAGCGACAATGCTATATATGCGAACGGATGGCAGAATAATATACGGTTTGCTGCTTTACCAGTGTACCGTCGCCTTAACCATACCTTCCCCTTTGCCGTAATCCATAACCGCCCTGAAAGCATTTCCGGCCACAGCGCTTTCCACAATTTCCAAACCCTTGCCCCCACAGCGGACTGTAGCACTGAGCCCACACCCTTGCTTCCGCCTCCGCTCCCCCAACCCTCCCTCCCCGCAGGCCCGCCAGACGTTCAGCGTGTCCTTCTACCTGGTGTCCATCATGTACCTGCTGTTCGACATTGAGATTGCGTACCTCTTCCCCTACGCCATGACGCACGCCAGCCTGCCCATGTACTGGACCATGAACCTCTTCCTGGCCATCCTGGTGGCGGGCTTCGCGTACGAGTGGGGCATGGGTGCCCTGGAGTGGCGCGAGTAAAGAAGCAGCTGCTCCGTAGCGGGGCTGCTCTGTGATGCGGTCGGGGCCCGGTGCCACAGGGTGTATCGCGGTTCGCGCGGACCACCTGCGTGGTCTAGGGCAGGGCTGCCTACAGGCAGAGGCGGCCATCTTCGGGTTCTGATGTCTGGATGCAGAAGCGTCGCCGTTGCTGGTTGGTGAGCTGGGCCTGGCTGGGGTGTGCGTGCGTACGGGCGTGATGCTTTCCAATGGGTCGGCGTCCTGAGGGGCTCGCCCGCAGCTTATATTGTGTGGTAGCTGTGTGCTATGACTTGTGCTGTGTGGATGGAAATGGATTTGTTTTCGTGTCCATTCGCGCTTTAGGTTAATACCGTTAGCAACCGTCCAGGGTAGAGGGTGGCGTTCCATAGGGTGGAATCTCATGGTGGCTGCTTTGGGTTTGCTGTCGGTTGCCGTCAGTTCTGTACCGAGCGTGAAGAGGGGGCTTGCGAGACATGTGACAGCTGAGCGACGTACGAACTGGCGGTGGCCCGATAAAGCTCCAGGGTACGTGTGTAAAGCGATGTTTCCATGTGCTCTCTGAAGCCGTGGGCGCACGAAAGCGTTGGCTTTGCAAACCACAACACACAGCCCTTGGCAACTCAAGTGTCTGTATGACAGCGCACCGGCAGCGCCACCGTATGCAGCTGGTGCCTTGACTTGGCGGGAAGGGGAGGGTCTAGCCTGCGGAAACCTGTTGTGCACGCATGACATGGGAACGAGAGAAAATCACCCACATTAGTACCCACATGTGAAATCGCCGAAATAAGAGAGTTGGTCTGTTCGAGATGCCTGCAAGTCTATGACCCATGTCGGCAAGGCAGAAGGTGCATCCTTGCGTGTTAAGCAGCTGGTGCCGAGGTTCTTCGCTGCGACACACGGCTAAGGACAGTTCTTCGCGGCGGTTCGTGATGGGCCCTATACACTCTGGAAATGGCCCCTATACGGCTACGCCTAACATGACTTCTATGCACATAGTTTCACAATCTTCTGCTTCGACGGCTGGCCTCCTTTGCCATGTGAGGTCAGTCGGAATAAACTAGGAGGTTCTGGGCTTGCGCGTTCCTGCTTCTGTGATCTCCACGTAGACTATCAAAATTGAAAGGACCAGTAGCCAGAGATAAGCTCTATTCAATCATGTAAAAGATCTGTCAGAAAGCGATGTCGCTTTCAGTTGACAAACGAATCCCTATTGCACCATCCCGTCGTAAATGAAAGTTGATGTTACACCTTCGGGGTAACGAATTTATATACCAAACTAGATCGTGCTTAAGCCTGTCAGGGTGAATGCGCTGCTAGTACTTCATCTCTACCGTGCAATCTATGAGTACAATTTTCAGCAATTGTAAATACATTAATACAGTAGGTGAAGTTGGGTCGACATGACCTTGTTGCCGCTGTGCAAAATCTTGAGTACGGGTACGGAGTTTCCTACGTGTCAACCCTTGCGAATCCATACCATATTTTCGCCAAGCAGGCCCGCATAGCCTAGATCAAACTCTTCGACGATATCCTCGATACAAACAAAACTTTAAATTTCCTCGCTTGCATACTGATATCCTCACAGAGAGACCATCGCACTTCCGGTGGTCCTATCACCAGCAGTTGACAAACAATTGATTGGCTCTTTCACCTCCGCAAGCAAGTACGTTCTGTTAAGGACGATGCGAGGCTCAAGCGGAGCCTCACACGTTTGCGCACATTGTGGAACGACGCAAACTCCCTGCTGGCGCAAGGGCCCACCGGAGAAGCCCACGCTCTGCAATGCTTGCGGCAGCCGCTATCTCGTGAAGGGAACTTTGGCGGGCTACTTTCCTGGAGCACGCCGTTCCTCGGCGAATACCGCGCGAAGCGAGATTCCCCAGATGCACCACGCAGTTGTGGTCACCAAGGGCTCGCGAAAGGGAGCGTTGCCTGCTGCCGAGGGCCATAAGCGGAAGGAGCGAGATTTTGATGGGTAAGCTGAGTCGGGGCACCTTGTCAATCAAGTGTGGGGAAGGGGCCGCGGACTGCCTGCCCTCTCAACAATCGTCCTAACGCAAATACTACTTGCTGACAGGTATGAGGGCCAGGCCCAGCGCATTTTCAACGACTATGAGGCGCTGGAGCAGCTTAGGTACTCGCTCCTGTTTGGCGCGCCAGTACTCATCGGCAACGGTGCAGTTGCTGCCACCGCCTCGGACTCGTCTGCTGAGGGCCAGCCGCATGAAGATTGCTTTCGCCGGGAGTCTCACTACCTCGATGCGTCGTCCGACGAGTACCCGGTAAGGAAATGACCCTGGGGCTTCCCATAAGCGACCCTTTGTTAGCTCTTTTTTGCGGAACTATGCGAATGCCTTGAAGCTTAACAACTTCGCACGTAACAACATGTGAAAGCAGCTGTGGCTGTAGAGATACCTGTGTCGCAACTGTGTCGCAACTCTCGTGGCCATAAAGGGTCTTATTTGGGAAAAGAGCCTGCGTTTCCTGTTTCGAGTCCGTTGCGTACTTGTCAATCTACATCTGAGAAAGTTAGTACGTTGACGGGGTGCCGTGACTTGCAGATGCCATTCCATGCTAACTGCTGGCATGACATCCGCTTGTTTTGACTAGACTTGCTGCCCAAACGCCGAACTATTACCTCTTGCCTTTACACAGGAGACGGTACAAAACGTCGCCCCCAACCCGTTCCCTGCGACGGCGACGACGGGTATTTCCGGACCTCGGCCCGCTATGTTCCACCGGCGGCCACGGAAACAGCTTCGGCCAGTGGCGTGCTCCTGCTAACGCGGAGTGCTGACGCAGGAGTTGTCCCAATAATGACCAGCTCGACTAAGGGTTTGCGTGCACGGCTCGGCATGGGAGCTTCCTACAGCGGATGTTGCCTTGTCCTAAGCCCGACATGTCCCGCCGTAAATAAGCGGTCATTTGTCTTTCAGCTTATTCTTCCTGGTATGGTTTTGGGGGCAGGCATGTTGCTCGGCCAGGCCCTTTTGGTGTCGCTGTTGTTTTGCTTGCCTGTTTTGCCGCACGCTCTCTTTTCCATGCTACAGCCCAGAGGCCTTCTTTCCGTTGGCTCGGATGCTCGGCGGTGGCCCGGGTCATGGATGCCGTGTAGGGACTGCGGCTGGCAAGCAGTGTGCTCAAGCTTATTTTGATGCCTTGTGTGTGTTTGTTGTAGTGCTGTAGTTGGTAGGCTTCGGTTCCTGACACGTTGATTGCTGCTTGCATGGGCGCAAAGAGTGATAGGGGCATCGGGAGAGAGTTTATAAGAACCGAGGGCTCATGACATTGGGGCGAAGATAATTGCTTGTTGTTAGAGATCAGGCCTAGGGTTAGGGAATGACGAGGGAGGGATAAAGACCAATGACCATGAAGGCATGGATCACCCTTTGGGTGTTTCCCAGGTTGCTGTCGCCAATGCGGGGTTTCTAGCTGCGGATTGCGGTTTGGCGCGCCCATTGCTTGCGCCAGGTTTTGCCGGGACGGGCTTCCATGCATGTGCCGTGTTTTGTTGCGCTGCACGGGTTGCCCGTGGTTCCCAGCGCGGCGGCGAAGTTAGTTTGGCAGGGCCACCCTGCAGGCATGCTCGGTCTTGAGTGTGCTAGTGCGCCTTTTGCATGTGGGGAAAGACTTTTCAAATGCTCTTATGGGTGTATGATTTAAACCGCTTTGTCGGAGGCCGTTGCTGTAGTTGTGTGCTTTGCCTCTCGATACTGGCGCGCCCCTCGCGTTGGTAGTTGCTAAGAGTGTCCTCGCTTGACTGGTGTACTACGGTAGTTGATAGCGTGTCCTCGCTTGTCTGATGTGCTACGGATGGGTTTAATTTTTTCCGGGACCTCTGGTACCCCCTTATAGTGCTGCTTTCACGCCGGTGCCGGCGCACGGCCTTCAATGCGGCCGGTTCTACTGTTTCTACTACTGCTACTAGTTCGCAGCTTTGCGTATTGCGTGAACGAGGGTGGGCTGTGCTGCGTGGCCCGCGTATAAAAGACATGAAGAGTTCTTCTCAGCTGGTTTAGCACAATAGCTTTACGTCTAAACCAGCCTGTTGAGGGGGTACTTGTCGTGGCGACAGTTGCTCGTGAGGCGGGTTTAATGCATTTATGGCGGTGCAGGTGTTTGTGGGGGATCTTCCTCCGCTGTACCTTGCTGGCCTTAAAGGAGGAGACTTGACGGGTTGCAGGCGCGAAAAATTGGGGATATTCCCGAAGTTATTTCCGTGGAACAGTGTGGAACGTTTTAGGTTTCCACCACACCACGATGTCGCCATTTCTTTTGTACCATAGCCGAGGTGGACGTCGGTTGGCGGTTGTTGCCTCTTGCTTGTGCATAGGTGTGCGCCCATTTTTCATTGTCGAGAGGCGGCGTCCGTTGAGGCGATCGGTACCCTGTGGGCCGAATGGTTTAAGCTCTGCCGCATGTACTCTATTGAGAGGGGAGGCCTGCGCTGGTGGCCGCTATCGTAAGATACCGTCGGAAGACTGGTGTGCACACATTGCCGGAATTGTACCTGCACAGCTGTATGTGTAAAGTGGGTGACCTGACAGCTCCCGCCGTTGCAATTTCTGTCTGCCGTACTAGCCATTGTGGCATTCGCTTGCCTGATTTGCACCCTGGAGTCATTTGAAGGAGACCACCAGACCAGGCGCTCGAGGACTACGATAAGACCGTAATTCAAATGGGATATCTTGAGAAGGGCTTTTACCTGCCACCGTACCAGGTCCTCTACAGACGTCTTCCACCGCCCACTGGCCTCCCCGACCCCTGTCTCCAGCTATCGCTGCCTAGTCGGTACCGCTCCTGCCAGCCTGCTCGCACTGTTCCTATCCTCGCTCCCGAGATCAGGGCTCCGAAACACACACCAACATAAACATCCTGCGTAACCGTACCAGCTATAGCATGGCGTTTTGTCTCGCCTACCCATTTCAGCCCTACCCCTGCTCCCCCTCCTCGTCCACCACCACCACAAACTCCAGCCCCTGCTGCCGGGCGTAGTCGTGCGTGTTGTGGTCGGTCACGTTGGTGTCCGCCAGCTCCAGATTGAGGAAGTCCATGTGGGCGGGGCGGGGAAACAGCGGGCCTGAGGGGGGGGGTAATTTGGAAACAGAATCCGCATTAGGCTAGATAGTTGGGATAGCATATAAGGGGGGGGGCGGAACATGGGCAGAGGTGGTTGCTGGGGCTAGGAGCGGTACGGTGGGGCGAGGCGGGGTAAAAGGAGGCGAGGTGGTGAACGCATCGAGCTGCAACCGCTGTGGTTAGCGGGACGAGGATGACAGGGAGAGAGCAGCGCGCTCACCACTGTTACCGTACCCCTTTCCCGATCCCCCACCATGCTTCGCCCATCATGCCGGGCCCCCCCACCCGCACCGGCATGCCACGTGCCCAGGTGAAGCTTGAGCACCGCTCCGAAGGGGATGCGGAACACGCGCAGCTCCTGCGGCTGCGGGAAGCGCTCCACACTGCCGCTGGGGGCAGCTAGCGCCACATACCTGGTGGGGAGGTGATACCGGTACATAGTGAAGTGAAGTGGTGGGGAGCAAGGGTGGGAGGAAGGTATGGGAAGGGAGGCGGGTAAAACGGGAAGCTGGAGAAGGGAGGGAGTGGGTCCGGGAGGGCATGAGCCATGAGGGGTGGGGGAAAGAGGGGGCGGAGCACCCAGAGAGGCCTTTGCACAGTGCCGTGTCGTGTTTTCTGCGAGGTGAAAAGAAGACGACAGCACCAGACACGCACCAGGGGTGGGGCGGTGTGAGGCTGCCCAGGCACTGAGTCACGTGGGCGTGGTAGGTGATGCGACGGAAGGTGAGGCCGCGGAGGGGCAGGCGCATAATGTAGAACCTGTCCCAGGATGTTGGGTTGAGGGTTTGAGAAGGCGGGCGGGGGAGGGGAGGTACGGCACACTGGTAACACAAACCCGGGTACAAAAATTGGGGGCGGGGGAGCGGGGGACAAGGCAGCAGAGATGGCTGTGATAAGCGCATTGCGGTTGCGACCCTGGCGCTTTTAGTCCGGCAGGGATTTGGAGTCTAGGGGACTATCGGCGAAGTTGGGATGCATAGCTGGCGGTCCAGGACTTGCGTCCGAGTCGGTGGTGCGTTAACACGTGAGACGTTAGCGTACAATGAAGTCCCGTAAGTAAAGGAAACAGCTTGCCGTCGCGCTAAACGAACCAGAATGTTTCAACTCAACAAGCAGCCATGTATAACGCAAGCCCAGTCAACGTCGTAGACCGTGGTATGCGGCGGTTTGTGACATCGCAACTGCAACATTGTTACCCGCCTGGGCGTCCCCTGGTTCAACACCAGCTGCGCCTCATCCTGGTCAAACAACTTTCCATCCTCGCAGCTGGAGATGATCTGCAACATCAGGTAGGGTGTATGACACACCCTTGTGTGACTCGTGGCCATCCATCTAGGTCATCCCTGACGACCATCACCTGACCAAAAGGCTTGATGTTCTCCGGTGTAAAAGGTGTTAGTTTGAGCTTAACCTGTTTTAACTGTTGCGGCTCGCTATTCGTTGCGCTGGTTGCTTGAGCCCGTGGCCGAACCAGCATAAATGGACGCTGCGCACTTAATGTGCGTTGCGAAACAGCGCGGCTAGCGTGAAGCTTCATCTTATTCATTGGCTTCGACGTTTCAGTCCTGTCACAGTGTTGGAAGCTTCGAGCTTCACCAACCGCAGCGCGTGCTGCGTAGGTTCAGGCCCTGGGGTCGGAGCGCGACACTACAATGACGCGACATATAAAGGATCAAATTGCTTACATGACATATAGTGATCAAGTACAGAAATCGTAACAAGAGGCATATTTCGATCCTCTCAATTGCATACTTAGGCAACAACAAACCAACGCAACACTCTTGCCGCAACGCAATCATGATACTCCGCCAGACGGCACTCCGCTCTGCTCGAAGAGGAGTAGCAGCGGCCTCGATGCCGGCCGGCTCGGCTGGGCTGTGGAACCTCGCGGAGTTCTTGGGCCTGCCACAGAAGGGCCCGGCTGAGGTGGAAGGTGCGCCGTGACACCTCCTGCTCATCCCCCTTCCACCACATCATCGTACTGTCCTCTTTCAAACTGCCTCATGACTTGGAGTTGCACTGCACCAAGCCTTGTCGTGACTGTGGACTGCGGGATCTACCTGGATTGGGATTGCGTTGTTGCACTTATTTATTATTTTCCCCCCCTCCCCCTGTGCCGTCCCCCCACCCGCTCTCGTACCCTGCCGTGCGGCCCCCGTCCCCTGTCCTCCGCTGTCCCTCTCCCAACCCCATTCCCACCCCCACCTCCGCACCTGCCCCCCCCAAGTGGTCGCCATCGACCCCCGCACGGTGCTGCAGCCCGACTTGTTGCAGGTGGGTGGGTGGGCGGGCAGGTGGGGGTTGCGCCAGGGCCGGACCGCCTTCCTTCTAGGGACCTACAGCCCTTTTCAGCTCTGGGGCCATTTCCTCCCCTTTCCTTACCCCCCAACCCCACCCCACGGTTCTTCTTTGTTCCCCTTTGAGATGGGCTTACCGGCTGCCCTGTGGTGCAACCCTTGGTACGGCCACCTGTTGTCAACTTGTCATGCGGTTAGCTTCTTCCTCTCCTCTCCCCCCCCGCCAGTCCCCGGATTGCACCTCCCTAGAGTCTCCATGATTGCTGCGCCCACGGCATGAGTCGGGTCATATATCCCCCCCCGCCGTTTACCTACCACCCCCCCAACTAAGTAATTTGAGATGCGTGTCTTTAGGATAGTGTCTCCGAATGAGCTCACTGCATGAGTCGGGATATGGGATTGGGACTCGTTGTATCACTTATATAATCCCCCCCCACCTCCCGCCAGTCCGCCCCGCTGGAGTCCTGCGCCGCCTCCATCAGGGTGCCCCGGGAGCTGCTGCCCAAGCTGTCCAAGGTGGGGCGGGGAACATAGGGGGGACAGGGAAGGGGAGGGAAGGGAAGGGGGGGAAAGGGGGGGGGAGGGGGGTACCGCGCTATCGCGTGTCATTGGTAGTCGGTAGGGAATGCCTTGTCCTCCGGTTAGACCGCGCCAACCCGTCTCCTCTTCCCTGCCGACCTCCCCACATGTCCCCCGACCTCCCCTCCCCTCCGACACCCGCACCCACTCAGGGTGACTCGGAGCTGGCAGACATGGATGAGGTGCGGTGCCGGGGTGCGGGGTGGGGCGGGTGTCACAGCCCCCCTTCATGGGCAGCTCCCCCCCATGTGCGGAGGCTATCACAACTTCTGGGCGGCTCCGGTTGGGTGCGCTGAGGGGCGGGTCGCGCCGTATAATGCGGTACACACCTTCCTATTGCCACACCCTACCCCACCCCACCGCCTCATTATCATACCACACTTTGGAATTTCTTTTTTCCCCTCCCGACAGCCCGGCAACGCCTGGTACTTTGGCGAGCGGTCCGAGATCTTCGACTACCGACTGGTGGGGGAGATCCCCACCAAGTCAGGTGGGGGCACCAACCCAGAGTTACCAAATCCTATTATTATTACGGTGTGCTGGGCAAGCTGGTGGGGACGTAGCCTATAGGGTATCCAAGACCTAGGGTGTTCCTGCCATCTCGAGTAAGCACAGCCTTTTCGTGCTGCTACGGCAAGGCTGTCCGGGAGGGCTGCTTGGGGGATGGATGAGGGCACGGTGCATTGCCTGTCAATACCCGGAAGTTGCGGGGAGGATACCGGCAGTGGCGGAGAGGCTGCAAGTGAGAGCGGGGTGCCCCTGGGGACGTGTGTGGCTCCGGGAGCTCTGGAGCGGGTGGTATGAAGGGAGCGGAGCACCAAGAACGGGAGTGCTGCCTCCCACCCTTATCTAGCGAGGGTAATGACCCAGACGGGCTGCTCCGCACATCAGCGGCACACGCCCCGTGTGCTGCAGTCATAGGTTTACGAACGAGCAGCTCGTGCATGCTGCATGCGACCACCAAGCTGCCAGTCCGTAACACACACACATCCGGCATATGTTCCTCTCCAAGCTAGTAGTACACCCTCCATGCTCCATTCCCACCACCCTTATGCCCCAAACCGCGACGTTACACAGCATCCCAGACCAACACCGAGGCCAACGTTCCATCCTGTCCCTCCCCCAACCCCAACAACTCTCCCACCCACCCTTGCCCCCACACAAGACACAGTTGATGCCGCACTTCATGCCTCCCCCTCCCCCTCCCTGGCCCATCCCACATACCAACCCTCCCCACCTCTCACCCACTCGGCCTCCTGACTCCCCTACCTCTCCCCGCCTCCCCGGCTGACCCCTGCCGCCCTCTGCGGGTCACCTACCTGCACCCATGCATGCATCTCGACATATCAGGCTACGCTGCCTTCATCCCCCGCGATGCGCTGGAGGCATTGCGGCGGGGCGACCCGCAGCAGCTGCGCCGGCTGCTGCGCTGGGAGGACTTCCTGCAGCTGGTGAGCGACGAGGTGGTCTGGCCGCACCGCAAGACGCCCTTCCTCTTCGCAGGTGAGGAGGGTGGAGGGTAGTGAGGAGGAGAGGAGAGGGGCTGGTGGGGCGGGCAGGCGAGTGGAGGACCCTCGGGCGATGGGAGGAGAGCAAGGGGGAAAAGAACCAGCGCCAGCATTTGGCATCCGCACAATGGTTGGTTACAAAGGCGCTGTGGGGTGCGGTAGCCCTTGTTAGGTTGGGTCCGAGGCAAGCGCAGGGCCACTCAGGACCCTAGGGCCCTCCCACATTGACACGAATGCTGTACGGCAGTTGAAGACACTGCTTACTACACCACAAAACCCCTCCGTAACAGCCTCTGCCGTAACGGCCCTTGAAAGGCAGCCCGAACTAGGATAAGGCGGCGTGTTCCCCTAGTGACCCGTCCATTCCCATGGTAGCTAAGAGGGTAGTTCGCACTCGACAAGCTTAAACACTTGCTCCCGCGCATCAAGCTACCTCGCAGCGGCATGGATACCCGAAGCTGAATTCCCCTCCCCACTCCGTCATATGCTGCACGCCCCCCAGGGCGGATGGTGGAGGCATCCATGGCTGCGCTATACACGCTGGAAAAGCAGGGCCGTGTCACCGGAGTCCTCATATCCAGCGAGTCCTCTGGCGGTGGTGGCGACTGACGCCAGCCGTAAACTCCAAAGCGCGCCGACTGCGCCAGAGGCTCCCGGCTTCCAATTGATTGCGCCTAGGATGCTAGCTAGCACCAAGGCACATGCTTATGCCTGCTTCGCCGCCTTTGCCTCGGCAACCCTGCAGTTGCAGTATTAATAGGTTGTAAGGCTGTCTATCCTTCGGGGGAACGCAAGTGCGTAAGGGCATTCTGGTCCTTACTTCTCCATGAAGCTGGTGTACTTGTACTCGTCGTTAAGCATAATCCAGACGGGGAAGAAGAACACGCCGGTCATAATGAGGGTGCGCACGAACAGCGACCCCATGGGCATGGGCTCGAACTGCGGAAGAAAAGCGGAGCTACGTAAGTTGGGCCAAAAGCTGTATTTGTAATAGAAAGAACATCTTGTAGAAGTGTCCGAGATACGCACTACGTTGTTAGGGAATACGCACGTTGTAAGCGAGCTTGTTGCTGTTGTCACCGAAAACATGGTCCAAGCTAGTGTCCACTTTGGGCTTAGCATAGTCAGCTAGGCCCTTGCGGAGCTGCAGTTGCTGCTGAGGCAGCTGCTGCGATTGCAGCCGCATGGCTTGAGCCCCCAGCCGGCGAAGAGCGTTCATTTTTGCTGCAGCTAGGCAACTCACACTAAACTAGACAAGCGAAATCATGCATACGGGTGTATCACTTCAGCATGCTCGCTGCCCCTTTCCGTACTACAAGTACGGCCACGCTTCCATGAAACAACTGGATCCGGTTGACTTTTAGCAAGAGCATTGCATTGCTATATTGCCTTAAACACCATACCAGCTTTCGTCTCCATTTACTAGTGCGAATCCCAGCTTGCGGCAGAGTTGCGGCTTAGCATGACACGTGCCCTCTTGACGCCCATGCTGAAAGCGTCCAAATGCCTTACCAACCCCTTAGACATCCCGAGTGCTGCCTTATAATGCTCCCAATCTGTGTGGAGGGCGGCCAGAAGGAAGGCGACCCTAACCATAGCACCTGCGTAGATATGCCGGAGTGACTGTATGACATAGAAGGTCACGCCGCCCGCTTCAACCGAAACGGCAACGACGCAAAAGGTCTACGGACCAACAACCCTGCTGAATTGGGACAGTAGCTTAAACCCGTGCAATCATGCTTTGGCAGCTGCGCTCCCATCCATTCCGCTGCTTCAACCACAGGGACGGTTCACAGCAGGTGCCCTCCGCCTACATTGCTTTCCAACGGCTTATTTCCGCGACTTGGCATTAGTACACCGGGCCCCTGGCAATGACGCCCTCACATGTACGCGCCGGGACTCAAAGCCCTAGGTTTGGTCAGCAGAGCACGAGGATGACGACCCATGGGTCTGACAATACCGCTACCAGAGCAAGACAAGATGTAGCGAGGATGCAGTGCACACCCGCAGGTGGGAGGATAGGCCGAGCATGTCACAGCATTACATCAAGGAACGGGAATTGCCGTACGGCAAAACATATTGCACTGAAAGAGGAGAGGCTCAGGGCCCGTCCCCACATTAGGGTTCGCCGGAAATGCATATATGCGTCGAGTTATTTGACTGAAGCCATATATAATGTACGACGGCTAAAGAAAGAAAGCACCAGGAGTGACGTCCCTGTCGTCATGTCCAAGCAAAAGGGTTGTTGCAGCTAAACCCGCTTTTCCCAAAAAGGAGCATACAACGTGTACCGTTTAACTGAGTTTGCAATCTTGCAAAGAATGAATACACACCTGCGGTCCCGGTGCCCCCGGCCCTCAATCGCCGAGGTAACCCGACCGAGCGAACGGCAACGGGGTAACATACAAAACACACGCAGGCTGCTACCCGCTTGACCCATGTTGACGCAGACAGTTCTGACGCACAACGCGTTTAAGCCTGCCCGGGTAATAACCCATTATAAGCATCCTGACCGTACAAGCTTAGGAAGTAGTAGTACTGGTAAGCAATATACTAGGAATGGATACGACTGCCCGGCACATTTCATAGAACCGCAGGCGGTGGCGGTGGCCTCAATCGGGGCCTCCCTCCCTCCTGCAGTGCCCGCCCGCCGGCACACAGCATTAGATAGCATCGGCTAGTCACGGGGGACACGCCCACACACCCGCCCACACCATCACGCAAGTGCGGGAAAGGACAGCCCAGCACAGCCAAAAGCGACTGCACCCCCTCCCCAACCCTCTGCGCCTTCGTCGCCCAGCAGCTCACTCAGCGCTCCCGCCGCCGCACCAGAACCCCCTCCTACTCCGCAATGGACCCCAGCTGTACGCTTCTCTCCACAGCCTCTCCGTCCCCCTGCGCCGCCTAGCTCCCCTGCCGCCATCGCCCACATCCCCAACCGCGGAGTCGCTAACCACGTCCGATCGTCATCATGAGCTACGCACCAAGCATGCAACCCAGCGCGCTGCCCTACTGCCAAGGCCTCCCCCCAACATAAATAACCTCCCGCACAGGACGTCCCTACCTAACCGTCCTTTCCCAACATTCCCCATTCCGACCCGTATGCCACCGCTATACATCCGTCAGCAATGCCACAGCAGCAGCCACAGCCACAGAAGCAGCAGCCCCTGGCTTTCAAACCCTCAAAACGCCCCCGCCTCTCCACATCTTCACCCGCCCTCCCACTCGCGCCCCCCAACCCGCCCCTCACACCCCCTCACACGTCCTCGTGGCTTCCTATGGTTTGGTCTATCCTGACCCCCCTCACACGTCCTCCGGCTCCTCATTCGCGATGTCGCCCCAGCGCACCCCGTACTTGGCGGCCAGGTAGTGGGCGCCCACCGGCCCCCGGCTGCCGTACGGGTACAGCTCGGGGATGAGCTGCAGAGGGGGCAGGGGGCGAGGAGGCTTTGTTAGGGGGCAGAGGTGATGGACGCGGGGGCCCTCCTCGCATGGAGCTCTCCACCGGGTTGGGTCTGGATGGGGTTGCACCGCCACCGCAGACCCCCGACCCCGGGATGTGCGCCAGGCAGCCTGCTGCCGCACTCTGCCGCCTTCCCCCCTCCCCCCCCCGCGGCTCTTACCTTTCTGCTCTCGATCTCGTGCAGCAGCGGCGTGAAGAGGTCCCAGGCCGCCTCCAACTCGTCGTAGCGGATGAACAGCCGCTTGTCACCTGCAGGGGGAGAGGGGGGGGTCAAAAACCATGCAAAACCATGAGAAAACAAAGGTGAGGGCAAAGCAATGGGCAGGGCGGGGGGTGGGACACGGAGGAGAGGCAGGGGAGAAGGGGGTGGGGGTCTGGGGGGAGATGTCATGCTGTGAGTAGGCACACAAGGGGACAACACACACACAAAGGACGAGGAGCAAAGCGTGCCCCTGCCTTGCCCTATGGTTTCCGATGGTCTGCCCCCTGCCCCTCTTACACCCCTTGTCCCCTGCCCATGTCCCCCCTGCCCCCCTGCTGCTCACCATTCACCACATCCAGCAGCAGCCGCTCATACGCGTCCGGCAGCTCCGACTGCTGGAAGGCGCTCTGGTACTGCAGGTCCAGCCGGGTCGTGTCCAGCTGCAGACCCAGGCCGGGGACCTGGCAGGGGGGGCGGGGAGGGGGGAGGGAAGCGGGTGAGGGTGCGGGTGCGGGGGGTGAGGTTAAGAACTTGGTCGAGTGAGAGGGCCGGTGGTGGTAGTGCCGATGTTGGATGTCTTTTCGCATGACACGCAGAGCTAGGCCTGCCCGCCTGCTCTCCCCGCCTTCTCCTTTCCAATCCTCCTCTCCCCGCCTCTCCTCCTCCCCTGTCCCGCACCTTGTTGTTGACCTTGAGGTAGATGGCCTCCTTGGGCTGGATGCGGATGACCAGCTCGTTGGAGGCGGAGTCCAGGTCGGGGCCGAACTTGTGCTTGTACAGGTTGCCGGGGACGTGCCTGGGAGGGGGCGGGGAAGGCGGGAAGGGGGGAAGGGGAATTGGGGGGTGAAAGCTGGTTGGCGTTTACGCGCTACTTGCCTCATGGGAATGGTTAGGGGGACTGGCTGGCAGTAAGCGGTTTGCTTAAGGACGGGTAGGCCCGTAGGATGACGGGACGATGGAAAACAGAGCAAAAACTGGGTGCCGCTGTGAGGAGTAGGAGCAGGGCACTAGTCACCCCTCCCTCCCCCCTTCCCTCCCCCCGCCCCACCTGAACTGCACCCTGATCTCCGCCCTCCTCGTGTGCAGCGCCTTGCCGGCCTTCAGCAGGAAGGGCACTCCGTCCCAGCGCGCGTTGTTGATGAACAGCGCGCACGCCGCAAAGGTGGGCGTCAGGCTGCCCTCCGGCACCGTCTTGTCGTCCCGGTATCCCGGCAGCGTGCGGCCGCTGTGCACCCGCGAGCGGTACTGCCCCAGCACCGTGTCGTCCAGCTGCACCGCCCGCATGCTGCGCAGCACCTTGACCTTCTCGTTGCGGATGTCCTCGGCGGCCAGGCTCACCTGAGGGGTGGGGAGGGGAGGAAGAGAGGGAGGGGAGGAAGAGAGGGAGGGGAGGAAGAGAGGGAGGGGAGGAAGAGAGGGAGGGGTAAGGAGGAAGGGATACGGTACCATGTGGGCAAAGGACGGCCTCGCCGCTTCCCTCATCCCCCTTTCTCCTCCTTTCTCCTTTCTGCTACCCCATCACAGTAGGAGCTTGCCACCCATTGTTGCACAACCACCCATTTTCCCCACCACCTCCGGCCCCCTCCCCCCCCACCGGCGGCTCCATGGCGAACAGCGCCAGGATCTGCAGCAGGTGGTTCTGGATGACGTCACGGATGATGCCGTACTGGTCAAAGTAGCCGCCGCGACCCTCCGTGCCGAAGTTCTCGCTGAACACAATCTGCGGGGCCGGGCACATGGAGACAGCCACGTGCATGGTGAGCAGCCAGGGGAGGGGAAACACGCACATGGGGAGGGGGGGGGGAGGTTAGGGGACAGCGGAGGACATGATGGGGTGGCAGCAGCGGCGACGGCGGCGGTGGTGGTGGGAGCAGACGGGCCAGTCTCTCCACCCACCTGCACATTCCGGATGTACTGCCGCGACCAGAGCGGCTCGAACACCAGGTTGCTGAACCGCAGCACCTGTGGGGGGTGGGGTGGGGGGTGGAGGGCAGCAGCGAACGGGGAATGGGTGTCGGTGGGTGGGTAGGAGCGTAATCAGCGTACTCAACAGGGTTTCATGAGAATTAGCCCCTGTTCCGAGTAACCCTGTACAGACCACCCCTTTTCCCCCTCTTTCCTGTCCCGCCCCGTTCCCCCCCTACCGTGAGGTTCTCGATGAGCTCCTTGCCCAGGTAGTGGTCGATGCGGTAGATCTGGTCCTCCCGCAGGTGCGCCGCCAGACCCCGACTCAGGGCGGCGCTGCTGGCGCTGTCGCGCCCAAACGGCTTCTCAACGATCACACGAGTCCAGCCCGTCCTGACAGCAGGCAGCGGGGCAGCGGGGTGGGGGCGCAAAAATAAAGATAAGTGAAGCAATGAGTCCCAATCCCATATCCCGACTCATGCAGTGAGGGTGGGGTTGGGGTAGGAGCGGGAGGACGGGAGGATGTTGGAAATCAGCAGGTGGGTGTCTTGTGGCGTAGGTGGTGTGTGGCCCACTACCGCACTATACTCCCCAGGCCTCAAGGAGGAGCCCAACCTCCCCCCGACCTCCCTCCGCCGCCTCTCCCCCGCCCCCCTCCCTGCCCCACCTGGTGGAGCAGTAGTCCGCCGCGCCTCCCGCCGCCGGGATGAACACGTTGGGCGGGATGGAGAGGAAGAACATGCGGTTGGAGCGCTGCTTGCCGCACCCCGCCTCAACCTCGCCCATGCGGCGGTTCAGATCCTGGAAGGATTCGGCCTCGTCGTACTGACCCTGTACGGTGTACGGCAGTAGCGGAGGAGGGCGGTACGGCAGGCAAGCGTGCGGTTGTTGTTTAAGCTTGCAGAGGGTAAAAGTAGCTAGCTAACTGGCTAGTCAGGCAGTTAGTGAACAGTCTGTAAGATCTTCTTCTGCTTGCGTTGACGGCGGAAGACCCTGCCCGTGTCCTCACAAGAACCGCACCTCAGAGCCCTACTTAGCAACCCGTACCGGTACTTGCAATCACCCACCCCCCTTCCACCCATCCCCTCCACGCCGCGCCCCTCCTCACGCCTCACCGGGCTGTAGAAGCAGCGGCGCAGGAAGTCGTCCTGCTTCTCCACGCACCGCTCCCTGGGGGCAAGATGGAGGACATGAAGCAAGCGAGGAGGTGTGCAGTTTGTGCAGGCGTGCGTGCATGCATGCATCATTGCAACGGGGGTGTCCTCCCTTCTCCTCCTCCCGTCGTACCCCCAAAATCGGTGCCTTCGTTTGGTCGCTCTCTCTCAACCCCCAAAGTCACCACCCTCTTGGATCACCTTCCAGCTCCCATCCCCCACCTTGCCGACACCCTGCACGTGAGGGTGGATGCGATGAGCTCCCGGAACTCAGCGTCCGTCATGCGGCTGCGAGCGAAACCAAACACATGGAACTCCTGCAGGGGGGAGGGAGAAGGGGGTGTTAGGGAAACTGGCAGCGAAGGGTATGTATGAGGATAGCGTTTTGGGAGGGAGGGAAGTGGAGAGAGGGCACCGAGGGTGCGGGGAGTTACTATTAACTAGGAAGCAGTTGGGGCGTTAGGGGCAGGGCCCAGGGTCATCGTGTCGGCTGTAGCGCATGTCCCTACCCGGCACCTGCTCAGCACCCTACAACCCGCACGCACCGGTGGTAGGAGCCCCTCATAGAACAACGCGAACAGGGCTGGGAAAATCTTCTTTTTGGCCAGGTCGCCTGACGCGCCCAGGACCACGACGCTCAGAGACGTCGTGTTCCAATCATTACGCTCCAAGTCATATGCCTACGCGAGGGCATGATAGAACCTGTGCTCCTCAGTATCACGGACTTGGAAGCAGCGCTACGAATAGCATAACCTACGTCCTCGACGTTTAGTTTTCCGAAAGAGTGCAGCGATGGCTGCGCAACGCCGTTGCCTGGCGATGTCACATGTTCTGTTAGGGAATACAAAAAGGGAAGATATGGAGAATTGCTTGCCGCTTGCGGAATACAACTGTGAGGACCCTAATCGCGAAGGCACTTGCCAGTAGTAAGTGAAGATCGTAACGGAGTAAGCAGCTGTCGTCGAACATCTTGATTAAGCTTGGGGCAAACTTGCGGGCTGGGGCTCGAGCCCATGGCCGGAACGCATGGGCGAGCAGCCCTTGCCAGCGGCAACAGGGTTGACGCTGGGACCTTCGAGCCACCGCATAGTGATCTTTGTTGGGCAAGCATGGCAGCGCACTAGTTTTCCAACCTCTTCCTTGGGTGGTTACACCAGGGATGAGTAGACACTAGGATAGGGTTGATGCAAGAGCGGGCTCGAAGGGGTGCCTCCTGTAAATATATTACGAGCGTCGTGGCAAAGGTTTTCGTGGAGTTGAGGAGGTCTTCGTGATCTCCTGGACGACAGGTCTAACCGCGAACCTTGCCGTACAGCGGCTCTTTCGAATCGGGTTCTTCCGGTTGGGCCCAGAAGTCGAGAGCATGCTCAGTTTGTAAGCTATGCATTATAGCGGAGGTCGAAACAAGTCTTGAACCTAGCGGCGAAGTCGGTTAGACTTTCGGAAAAAGGTACTCGTAGACAGCTGCGGGGAGCCGGGGACGCTTTTGCGCCAAACGCAGTATTGAACCCCACCTAGTGCAATAGCGTTCCACACCGCTACGGTGTCCGATATCCGCTTTAGTAGCTCCCATGTCACTAGGTGTCGTTGTGTTTGTCATGGCAAGTCATAATTTCTTACAAATCAGTGTGTTCCCAAGACACGGCAGTGGTTAAGCCTACTAAATTGTCTGTAAAGGAAACTGGATACACGGTATGAGTAATAAGAAACGGGGGCCCAATTAGCATTACTCCAAACGCTGTCGCCTCCTTTGGGGCAGATTTCATGCTTGCCTTTCCATAATGGGCATAAAGGGGCCCCTGCCTGGCCACGCCAACGAAGTCATGCAATAGTGAGCTTTTGCCCAACAGTGCATGGAATTACCATCAACACAACCTAAGCAGCCGTGGTGTGCCGGTCACCTTGCATAAGCCTCACTTTTAATGGATGTCAATTCCTGTGCAAGATTTCAACCGTGAGTGCATGTCTCTCCACGCATTGCCCTTCTCTCTTCCCCTAGTGCCCCCAAAGGCCCCCACGTTACCCGCCATGTGTCCAAGAATGTACCCGATCTGCCTCCCTCCTCTGCTCACGCAATGACACTCTCCCCACTCCTCCTCACTCCCCCTCCCAACGCATCCGCATCCTGCACCCAGCCGCCAACACAGTCTCAGCCTGCAACACACCAACACACCAGCTAGCACACCCTGCTATGGCAAGCCTCAGCCCTAAACAGCTCTACCCGCACGTCATGTCCCTCTCCCAGCAAGTTTGTCGCGTTTCCCTCTGCACCCGCCCCTCACAGCCCCACCACGTAAGACAGTCCGATGATGTCTGGGTCGGGTCTCGGGTGGGGTTCCAGCCATTGGGAACCTTCTCATTAAGTATTCTTCTCACTTCCTTCTTCGCCCCCCCCCTCACAGCTCCATATCCGCCAGCTCATCCAGTTCCCGCTGCAACCGCTGCCGCTCATCCCGCTCTCGCACCAACTCCGCCTCCCGCGCAGCCGCTTCCGCCTCCCGCGCCTGCAGCGCCGCCCGCGCCTCAGCCAGCGCCGCACGCAGCTCCGCCACCTCCGCCTCCCGCGCTGCCCGCGCCTCCTCCGCCTGCTGCTGCGCCCGCACCGCAGCCACCCGCGCCGCTTCCGCGGCACAACGTGCCTCTTCACTCTCCGCGCACGCCTTGTCAGCAGCCGTGCGCGCTGACTCGGATTCCGCACGTGCTGCCTCCGCTGCTGCACATGCGCGCCTCTGCTCCTCGAGCTGCGAAACCAGTTGCGCGTTTTGACTCCTCATCTCGTTATACCTGGCCTTGAAGTCGGCCACAGTGAGACGCTGCCCGCCGCCACCGCCGCCACCGCCACCGCCGCCGCTGCCACCGCCGGCCTGGCCCCCGGTGCCGTCTCCGGTGCGGCTGCTCGGATGACGTTGCTGCCCGCACCCCGAGTCGGAAGCTGCTGCTGCTGCTGCTTGAGAGGCCAGCGGAGGCTGCGGTGATGCAGTTCCCGAAGAGGGTGCTCGGTATGGCGGCAACCCAACCGCCGTGGCCGCCACCTCGGCTGGCGGTGCCGCCGCCGCATCCTTGTTGGCCGCCGCCCCGCCTGCCGCCGGCCCTCCTAATTCCCCTTTCCGTCCAGGCGCGGCGTCCGCTGCTGCTGCTGCTGCTACTGCAGCAACGTCGGATACTTGATGGGAAGGGTGTGCTTGTTCAACCTCTGCAATAGCAGCGAGGATATCTTTCTCGGTAGGAGGGGCGAGGACGCTAGCGGCAGCAGCTGCTGCCGCCCGCTGCGACGGCTCAAGCACAGCTGCTGCTGCCCCCCGCTGCGCCGATTCACGCTTAGCTGCTGCTGCCGCCTGCTGTGCCAACTCAACCACAGCTGCTGCTGCCGCAGCCGCCAGGGAGGAGGAGCGGGCGCGGGTCATGGTCTGCCCGGCAGCTGCGGCTCCATTGCCGGCACCTGCAACGTCCGCTGCTGCCTGTAGCTGCTGCTGCATCCGTTGCTGCTGCGGCGGCGGTACGTCTTGATATTGGAAATCGCCAGCCGCTGTCATGGTTGTCGTTGCTGCCGCTGCTGCTGCGGCGGCGGCGATGGTGTTGGTGGCCGCAGCAGCGGCAGAAGCGGCAGCGGCGGCGGCTTGGGAGGCAGCTGCAGCGGAGGAGGTACGCTGGCGCTTGCTGGCGGAGGCGGGGGACTGGGTGGACGGCGGCTCGTCAGCGGAGGCGGGCTGACCGCCGGCACCGCGCTTGGAGCCGTTGCTGTGAGAACCTGCAGGAAGCAGGGAGCAGGAAGCAGGAAGCAGGCAGCAGGCAGACGGGTTATTAAGCTGAGTGGCAGTCCTGCCGAATTCAACCGCCTGTGGAGCAGGTTAAGGGCTTGAGTCGAATATAGTTTAGCTAAGGCGCTTGTGAAAGTCGGTGCTTAACGCTGCAACAAGGGACTTCAGGAGACGGGAGCACCCCCGCTAAGCCCCGCCTCGAGGTACCGGTATCAAGGCACCCGCATGCCGGACATGTCGCGATGCAACACACTCACGTCCTTTCCGAGGGGCGGCGGCTGCCGGCTGCGGAGCGGGCTCCCTGGCCTCCTCCTCCTCGGGCGGCTTGGGCTGCGAGGTGAGGCGGCATCGGAGGCAGCAGTGGTAGGCGGCAGAGGAGGGAGGCAGCGGTGGAGGGGTTAAGACAGGGGAAGCGCGGCGGCGGGCTGTACGGCGGCTTACTAACGAAGCCGCGCAACCGTCATGGTAGCGCATGCATTCCCCAGCTATCGGTAACCAATGAGCGCCAGCCCCAGCCCGGGGCACCCCCAACCCACCCACCCACCCGCGGCAGCAGCGCCACATCTAACACGGGTATGCGCTGCAGCGCCCGCAGCGCCCGCCTCGCGGCCGCAGCCAGGGCCGCGCGAACCTCCCGCGGAGACCGCCTCTCCTCCTCCTCATCATCATCATCATCATCCCCCTCCTCCTCCTCCTCCTCATGCTGCTGCTGTTGCTGCCGCTGTTCCGCCGCTTGACTCATGGTGCGCGCTAGCCGCCCGGGTGTCACCGGCGCCACCACCCCCTCCTGCAGCCCCGACAGCAGCTCCTGCACTGTCGGTGCGGCGTAGGCGAGGGCTCGCGCCATGTGCCGCCGCACCCCGCCGTGCGCCGGCATGTCCAGGCAGCTCTCGGACAGTATGGCACACGACGTCAGCAGGTCCTCCAGCGCCGCGGCAGAGGGGCCGACCAGCTGCAGGGCGGGGACGGCGGGTGGCGAAGGCGGCCTGAGCACCACGGCCGCCACGCAGGCTTGCAGCGCAGCACACAGCAGCCCCAGCCCGTGTGCCGTCACGTCGACCAGCGCAGGCAGATCAGCGGGGAGGGCAGCAGCAGCGGCGGCGGGGGGTAGAGCTGCGGCAGCCGAGCTGCTGCCCTCCCCGCCGTCAACAGCACCACCATCAGAAGCAGCGGCGGCACCGGAGGTGGCGGCGGCGGCGGGAGAGGACTCCCTTGTTCCCTTCGCTGTCGCCGCCGCCGCGGCGACAGCAGCAGCAGCAGCCCTCGTCGCCGCCACCTCATCCGCTCCATCCACCGCCGCCGCCCCCGCCGCCACCAGCGCTCGCAGGATCTCATTCCCCTGCTCCAAATCCTCCACAGTGCGCCGGTAGCGCTCCATGTCTCGCAGCAGCCCCAGAAGCAGCGCAGCGGCGCTGGCAGCGACCCATGGGTCGCCGTGCTGCAGCAGTGGCAGCACGTACGGCGCGCAGGCAGCCTGCAGCGCTCCCAGCGTCACCACGTCAGCAGCAGCAGCGCCGCCGTCTTCATTACCACCGTCATCGCCGTCGCTGTCGTCGCTGCCGTCATGTCTTGGGTGGCGGCCTGTGAGTGTGGATCTGAGTGCGTCCAGCAGCCCCACCAGCAGGCCGGGCTGCATGGGGAAGGCGGGGCAGTGCTGCAGCAGGCGGGGCAGCATGCCGGACTCCACCAGCGGGTGCCACACCTGCTTGTGGAGCGGGGCAGGCAGCGGGAGGAGCGAGCGGGAGGAGTAAAACGAGGAAACTGACGAGCTGTATGACGAGGCTTGACCATGGGACCCATGTAGCCACCCCGAGGGTGCGGAGGTAGGGGTGGGCAGTTCAGCTAATGTTGCATGGATACACACGCACGCCTGCTCTGTCCTTGCCGCGGTTTCGATGCTCATGGCAGGGGCGAGAGGTCCGGCAGGACACCGGCAGGACACCAGCTAGCAGTGTTGCGCGCAGCCCACCTTCTCCTCCTCCACCGCCACCTCTAGCACCACACACAGGATGGCCAGCGCCGTCTTCTGCAGGTCCTCCCGGATGGTCAGGGCGGTGCGCCCCCCGCCTCCGCCCGCACTGCCACCACCACCGCCACCGCCACCACCCTCCGCACCGCCAACCCCGCCTCCACCGGCAGCGGCCGCAGTGGCCGCAGCGGAGCCCTTCTTCTTGGGTTTTTTTGTCTGGGAGGGCTGCGGTAAGAGGAGTGGGAGGAGACGTTAGGGGTCGCGATGGGGATGTGATGGTCAGGTCCGGGTTGCGGTGGCACACGAGGAGGAGCGCAGCCCGCATGTCACATCCCTGCCACATCCCTGCCCAAGCCTTCTTCTGCCCCCCTCCCCCCCTGCGTTGTTGCATACATCTATAATCCCCACCCCCGCCCCCACCTTGGCCGCCCCCGGCTTGCGTGTGTCAGGGTCCCCGCCCAGCAGCATGTTGGACAGCGCGATGGGGAAGTTGGGCATGGCCGCCACCGCAGCCGCCATGGACCTGTCCAGACTCACCAGCTGCAGCAGCGCCTGGGGGCGGGAGGGGGAGCAGACGGGAGGGAGAGAGGGGAGGGGGGGGGAGGATGTGAGCAGGGGGTGAGGCGGCAGGCATTCGCAGCAGCAGCAGGAGGCGGCCGATGGAACTCAGCAGCAGCGGCAGGCAGGCAGGCAGGCAGGCAGGCAGCGGTGTCGTCGGACTGAGGTGCAGTTGTGGGAGTGCGATTGGGTGAACATGGTGGGCCAACAAGCACTACCGTAGCTCCTTCCCCTATCCCTCCCTATCTCAACTTTCCAGCCTAGTGCGGGATGTCCATTCGGACCCATCCCAATTATCCCCACCTGCAGCGCTTCCAGTTTGAGCGAGGGGCGGGTGGGCGGCCAGAAGGCGACGTAGGCCACCGAGGCTGGCACCCCGCTCTCACGCAGCCGGGGAGCCAAGGGGGTGCAGCCGCCCGAGGGGGGCGACAGGGCGGCCAGCCGGACCAGCCGCACGGTGAGCCTGGTGGTGGGGGGGAAGGAGGTGGGGAACGGAGAGGGAAGAGGAATGGGAGAGGTGGGCGGGTTAAGGAACATGGCCGCGAGGAGGTGTGTTAAGGAAACTTGCCGGGAGTAGGAACGTACTGGGATGTCGGAACATGAAGCCCCCACAGAACCGCCGCAGGAGCCGCAGGAGGTGTGTGTGTTAAAATAACTGGCCGCGAGGCGAAACGTACTGTGATTGCCGAAAGATGAAGTCGTGTGTGTTAAGAAAACTGGCCGCGAGTCGTGTGTGTGTGTGTGCCCATCTCGCCCTCACCGGCTGCTGTGCCACCGCCGTGGCACCTCCCCCCTCCCTCCCTGCCCACAGCAGCCGTCCGCGCACCCCTCGCCAACGCCCACCTCACCCAACTCAGGCCCTCCCCCTCTCCCCCCCTCCCCCCCACCTGACGTAAGCTGCCAGCCCCGCCGCCCCCGCCTCCGTCATCAGCGCAGGGAACACCCCCACACCGCCCAGCGCGCGCAGCAGCCCCGCAGCCAGCGCGTCACCCGCCAGATCCGGCACCTCCTCCTCCTCCTCCTCCTGCTGCTGCTGCTCCACATCCCCATCCATACCTCTGCCAGCAGCAGCTGCCGCCAGCCCGCCTGCTGCTGCTGCTTCCCCCGCGCCCCCAGCTGCAGCAGCCGCAGCAGCAGCTGCCTCACACGCCGCAAACATCTCCTCCATCAGCTCCAACGCCACTTTGCACTCCACCTCGTCCGACCGCCCCTCCTCCACCACACGAACCAGCCGGGCAGGCAGCGACGTGGGCGGCAGCTGACATTCCTCCTCCTCATCCTGTTCCCCGCCTGCGGTAGTGACGCTAACGCCCGCTGCTGCTGCAGCTGCTGCTGCACCCCGCTCAGCTGCCCCGTCTACCGCCATGCAGTCCTCCTCGTCGCGCTGGCCATCTGGGTGTGGGTCCGCGGCTGCAGGGCTGCTGCTCCTGCGGGAAGGAAGGGCGGTGGCGGCAGCAGCCGAGGAGGAGGGCGGCAGGGAGGGTGGTATGGTGCGGCCGCGCAGCAGCGCCGCCAGCCGCGGGTCAGCCATGCCCGAGGCCAGCGCGGCGAATAGGTTGGTGAAGGTCTGGCGCAGGTGGCGGTTGGGCAACGAGAGCTGGCACACCGCCAGAGGCCCCGCGGAGGCGACGGCAGGTGCTGCATGGGCGGTGGTGGTGGTGGTGGTGGCAGGGGCGGCCTCGGAGCCGCCAGCAGCAGCAGCAGCAGCAGCAGGAGGGGGCGGTCGGGAGCTGCTGCCGCCGGGAGCGCCGGAGGGACTGATGTTGAGGTGTTCCCGATCTGGGTCGAGCGCTGTGTTTGCGGCGGCGGTGATGGCAGCCCCGGCGGCGGCGGTTGGTGACGTGGGTGAGGTGGCAGCGGCAGCGGGCTGCGCGGTTGCTGCTGCTGCTGCTGCTGGTGGTGCGAGCAGCGGTATGCCGGGTGCCCCCTCGGGCCACACCAGCAGCACCAGGCGAGTGAGCAGGGCGGCGAGGGAGGTCATCAGGTGGTCCAGGATGAAGTGAGGTAGGAGCCTGGGGGGGTGGGTGGGAAGAGGGGAGGGAAAAGGAGGGGACTTGGGTTTCGGACTGCCTCTGGCATGCTCGCACGTCCCAATCTCGCACAGCCCATTGCGAACGTTACCCAGCCATCGCCGCCACCTCGCTTCCTCGCCAGTGCGCCCCCCCCTTCCATCCCGTCCCCCCCCCCAGCCCGCCCGCCCGCCGCCACTCACCACACCCACTGCATGACGGAGGGCAGCAGCGAGGGCATGCTGATCACCTTGGCACCGCCGACGCCACCGTCGCGGCCGACGCCCTCCCGGCCCCCGCCGCCGCCCCCCGCCGCCGCCGCTAGGCTGCTCGCTGCCACCGTCACCGGGTCCGGTACCTACGGTTGGGGGGGGGGCAGTGGAGCGGCGGGTGTGAGCGACGACAACGAAGAGCATATAGAAGGGCTTTGCAGAGGGAGCGCGTGATTCCTCCTCCCCAGCACGGCACTTTTCTCTTCTTCTTTTCCCCCTTCTCCTCCTCCTCTATTCCCCTCCCTCCTCGCACTATGTCTCCTCGTCTTCCCCGCCCCCGCCCCCTAGTCACACGGCTCGTATGTTGCCTGGTTCGCTTCCTTCTATTTACCACCACCCCCCCGCCCCACCTGCGCCGCCAGCTGCTGCAGCAGCCCGTTCAGCTGCTCCACCCGCTCCACCCGCAGCCCGCTGAGCAGCGGCGGGCCGGGCGTGCGCAGGCAGTTGAGCAGCGTCTTGGAGGCCAGCTTCTTGCTCTCCAGCTCCACGCTGGGGGTAGCCAGCAGCTCCAGGCATACATCCGCCACGTCCTGCCGCACCAGCGCGCGCAGCTGGCCGGGACTGGCGTAGCCGGTGAGGCCGATGAGGGTGTCGATGAGCTGGTGGGAGTGGAGGGGGAGTGGAGGGGGTGGAGAGGGAGTGGGGGGAATGGGAAGGGAGTGGAGGAGCGGAGGTAGGAGGTAGGAGGATGCGTGGGGGTGGGTGGGTGGGGAGCGGCAAGGAGCACGGGAAAGGGACAGATGGGGGGAGCGGGAGGATAGTTTTGAAGCGCCTATGAGTTTTTCGCTCGTGTCAAAGCATGGCGACGTGCATTGTAGGGCAGTGGAGGTGAAAGGCACGGGTGGTGTATACGAGGACGAGGCAGGCGGCGAGCCACTGCGGGGGCGAGGGTGAGGGGAAATACACGCGTACGGTACCTTGTACATCATGGCGCGGATGACACCGTTCTGCGTGGGATTGCGCATGCACTTGCGGAGCGTTTCAACGAGCGCAGCCACGACGCCCGACTCGATCGCGCTGGATACGATGACTTTGGCGTGCGGGTGCAGGGTGGAGAGATAGGCCAGCGCAGCCAGCGCGGAGGCGCTGGCATGGCGTGAGTTGTTGGCTCCGGTGGTGGTGGGTGCAGCAGCGGCTGCCGGGGTTGACGCAGTAAAGCAGCGCCCCAGCGGTCCCACCAGGCTTGCCATGTTCTGCCAGTCGTCCCTGGTCACCAACGATACATCCGCTTCCTTGGACATCAGCACCGTTTTGACCTTCTCCAACATGTCCTTCGCTCGTTTGAGCACCGGAAGCTCTTTCGCGAGCTTGTAAGTATTATCATCATATATTTTAAGCTCATCAGCCACATCATCGAGAAGTCTTAGAGCTTCCCGCACGGTGGCCATTCCGAAGCCGGGTCGCTGGTGCGAGCCGGTGGGCGAGCAACCGACCTCCCTTACAGGGCGACCATCTAAGCACGGCGATAGCCTGAAGTGTTTTATCTTTAAGCTTTAGTCAAGCCGTAACATTGCTTGGCAACAAGACGGCGCCGCGTGCAGCTTTGAAAGAAACAAACGTCTGGAAAGGGACTTTGCTCTTAACTTGCATCGGTTATCAAGCCGCAAGGCATACTACATTAGATGTATAGAAGGATCATCAACTAAAGCCAACGATGAAACAGAAAGCGGAGACGGCGATGAGTATTCGGCCGGTCGTGTTGGGGAAAACGTACGGGCAGGGCTGCTGCGGCGATGCTAACCAGGACAAGCAGCGTGCCATACAGGGCATCACGGCATGCCCCTTTCAGGATACCACTAAACAACAAGGTGGGCACGTGCGTGAAGTAGCCGAGGCGCCGCCAGCCTCTCATAACCTCCACCAACCGTATGGTGCTGGCACCGTCACACAGCCCCGAGTTCTTCAGTTCTCCTCTTTCCCCAAGGCTGTTATAACTTGGAACAGACCTCCAAGTGCAGTAAACAGGTTGTTTATGCAGGCGGTCCAGATATCTAGAGCCAGAGCCAATGGTATGTTGCAAAGCGGCTGCTGCTGGGTTTTAGCTTGCTTCGTTCCTTTGTGGGTTAGACACAGGGACAGCGCGATGGTCAAAGGACAGGCTGCAATTTAAATTGGGCCAGCTGGGTGATCTCTAGCGGCTAGACACGAGTGATTGACCGTGGCACGGACCACTCCCGTCCTACCCTTTGGGAAAGAAAGAATATTTGCCGTGCTTTCCGAACAAGTGAGCAGGTAACGGCGTAGTGTCATACACAGAGTCATCACTGAACTCTCTTTAAAACCCGAGGCAGGCGAGCAGTGCGGTAAGCAAGTGGAAGCCACTCGGAGCGCTGATGATCGGCTGTTCTCAGGCTCAGTACACATGACCGATTTGTCCTCAAATGGGGGAATTGGACCACGCGTGTCCAAACCCAGGGTGGGCCCTCGGCTTCAGGGAATGGAATGACGCTGGGTAGTTGCTTGTCATTAAAGGGCATTGGGCGTTGCCTTGTGAGTTGTGACTGCTGGGTTGGGACCGCATGTACTACCATTGCGAAGGGGCACCTGATGGTTCCTGTTGCGCGGCAAGCAGATAATAGTATGGGGTGGTGTTGTGAGGTGGTAAGCAGGCAGTCCAGCAGCAGCATGCGGATGGGAGGTGACCTGCTGCCTGGTGTTTGGGGTGTTCGGGTGTCGCGGTCAAACACTGGCCTGGCAGGTCCCGACTTGAGGGTTTGACAACGGTCGCCCGATGCATAAGGAACCATTGTAACGGTCATTCAATTATTGCATAAGGCGTGGCGCCCATGCCTCTAGCGGCGAAGTTAGCGCTTGCGGGCCACACTGCCTCTAGGTGACAGCATGCTCGACCACATGCCACCTCCCATCTTGCCGCTATGATCTTTGGTTCTTTGCACGATCCATGCCAGGTGCGCCTAACTCAAGTAAGCCCTGCCATACACGCAACGCGTCCAGCGTAATAAATTGCATCCTATTCAGCTATTTTATTCATTCGTTAAATTAGACAATGGATCCTGGCATCGTTGGGACGACTACGAGACAGCAACATCTCTATACCTTCCGGCACCATTGATGTATTCCAAGTTTTCAACTGACAAGCAGCCTTGGCCTAGCACCCATCTGGGTCAAGCAAAGCTCTCAGTAAGCGTCGCACCTGATATTATAAAAGTCTAGAAGCGGCTATCAGGGCATGGCCCCTGGGTCTGCTGTGGCCTTGCCTGATACGCCTTCGCCTTGCGCCCGATGTTAAGACTCGTCCTCATCTTTAAGCTCTGAAGTCCATCACCTTCGAACAACACACCGCAGCTTTATAAAGACGAGGGAATTGCACTTCCAAGTCAGAATGCGGTTCGCGGCAGGTCCTCGTTCTTTCACACATCACCGCAAAATTCCGTACATCTGGAGTGCGCAAAGTGTGCCATTGTTCAATCTAGGCCCTTAGCTTTCCTCTTTCCGGGTTAATGCACAATTCACAGCTAGCAGAAGCAGCCCAATCGCCTGCAATCAAACATGCCCAGGCGGCATGGCCCGCTAGGTGCCCGAGGTCAGGCGGGCAGCCGGCGCTCGGCCGCCGCCCCAGACCCGCTGCCTCTCCACATCCGGACCTGCTTTCAGCGGCTGCCTGGCGCTGTGGAGCGGCTGCTGGGGCCGCCCGCTAGCGCAAGGAGTGCTGGCCGGGCACCAGCTGCAGGCCCGCAGCCGCAGCCGCCTCCCCCAAGGTTTGGAAACGGGACGCTGCAAGAGGTCGCAGATTTCCTGGAAGACATTCGAAAGTACAGTGAGAGCTCTGAAGTTGATCGAGCGGCTCTAGCTGCGGCTTTTGCAGGTGATGAGTCATTCCGCTTTGCGCTGCTCCGTCTGGTGTCCAGCTTTACTCGGCAGCAGCACCAGCAACACCAGCAGCCAGCCGCCCGTATTGATGTGCTGCGAAATAAAGCTTTGGAGAAAGCGTGCAGTCTGGTCGGGGTCTTTGTTGAATGTGCAGCCCGTCAAGACCGCAGCATTGATTCGGCCTTGGACCTGGCGACCAAGCTGCTGCGCTCGCACAGCCTGCAGGCCTGCAGTCGCCAGCTGGCTGCCCTTGCCCAGCCCCTGCAAGCTGCGACCAAAGCAGGCCCGGAACATCAGCAACAGGAGCGGCAACAGGAGCTGCGCCGCACTCGCGAGCATGACCAGCAACAAGCACTGTCGCCCATGGCAATGGCTAACACATGCTTCACCGGGCAAACCTTTGTATCACAAGCCATGTACCTCGTGGACAGCTTTGCTCAACTCGCCTACCAGCTGCTCTGTCGACCCATGGGTCAGCAGAGGTCGCAGCCGCATCCGCCCCTCCCGGCCGCCCACCTCGCCTTCGTGTCGGAGTTTGCTTCCAGCCTGCAGAGCAGTGCCGTAATGGAGCACACGGCTTGGGTGCTGCTGCTGGTGGCGTCTGCTGACGCGGCGATTCCGGAAGACGCGGGCTTTTGCAGAGGCCTGGACAAGGTTGTGGGGAGTGCGAAGGCGCTGTTCCAGACCACGTACCAGGACCTACAGGGGCTGATCACAAGGTGCGACGCCGGCGAGGGCCCGCTAGCCCAGCTGCGTACGGCGCTTTCCGGGCGCTGTGTACGGCATGCAGTGCTCGTGTACGGCGTAACCTACCTGCACGCGGCGGATCGCGGTCCGATGTATGGAATGCCGTTGAAGCTGCTGCGGTGGGTGCCCGTTGATTGGAGCGACGCCCTCAGCTCTGGCGGCAGCGGCGGTGGTGGAGGAGGTGGAGGAGGTGGCAGCAGCGCCGGCTGCGGCGGCGGCAGCAGCAGCCGGATCCGGGTCATGGATGCCGAGCCGCTTGTGAATACTATGTTTCTACTCAAACTGGGCTTGGGAGACCCGCCGCCGGGCAGGCGTGCATCTCTGGCACTGCTGATGCGCATGTGTCGCATGGCGGTGGAGTCGGGGCAGTTTTGGGCCGGACCGCCCGCGGCGTTGGCAATGCAACCGCGCGGCAGCAGCGCCAGCGGCGGCGGTGCAAGCAGCAGTGGCGGCGGCGGTGGCGGTGGCGGCGGCGGCGCTAGCACTTCCTCTGCGACGCAGCAGACCTTCGCCGCACCTGAGCCGCTGCAGGCGGTGATCCGGCGAGAGGTTGTCCCGGAGCTGGCGCTAGGCACGCTCTATCTCGCCAAAGACAAGCAGACCCGGCGGGTCGGTGGTGCCGGCTGGTGGGTGGAGGAGGCGGAGTGGTGGGGTCTGGCGGCTGGGGTGGTGCGTCACGCCGTGCGAGGAGCGGCGCCGGGTGACAGGAGGTTTTTGCTTTCCACATTCTACTCGAAACTTGCCCAGCTGGCGCTGGCTACTTACGGTACGTTCCGCGCGTTGCGGGGGCGGAGTCTGGAGACTGAGCAGGGTGCTGCGGGTGCGGGTCGGGGGTCAGACATGCGGCCCTGGAAAGGGGTGTGGGTTTATGTGCTCCCTATCAGTGGAAGGGGGACCTGCATCCTTGCTACTGCCGTACTCGCATCCAATGCGATACCATGGGGCCATGCACACGATAAAAGCCGCAGCGTCGTTGCCCAACCTGGTAACGAGGCACACAAGGCAGGGTGTTCCCCCTCTGCACCCGAGTGCCTTGCGTGCGGGTGTTGCAGCGAGGCAACTGTTGCTGTTCACGCACATGCCCATGCGCCCCGCAGGCGCCCGCCTCCGTACGGGCTCCCCGCCGCCCTCCCCCCTGCTGCGGGACCTGGCCGGCTCGCTGGCGCTCTGCCTGGAGTGGCTGCTGCGGCGGGCCGGCGAGGACACATGCGGACCGGAGGCGGAGGTGCTGGGCGACTTGAAGCGGGGCGGGGATCCGGTTGAGGTGGTCCTCACGTCCCTGCTGCTGCCGCATGCCGAGCCGCACCACACAGCCGCGCTGGTAGCCACGATGGACAAGCTGCTGATGATGCTGCTGATGCCGCGGCGGCAGCGGCGGCAGAGTGGCCCAGACGCCGCGTTCGCCGCCCTGGTGCGCGATCTGATGGATGCCCTGCCGGCGGAGGCTCGCGACCAGCAGCTGCTGAGGCGTTGCGGCCACCCCGGCTGCGTCAATCTGGCGGGGGTGAGTGAGGGCGAGCTGTCGCTGCAAGCATGCGGGCGGTGCGGAGGCGTGTGGTACTGCTGCCGCGAGTGCCAGCTGGCGCACTGGCGGGAGCCGGGGGGACACCGGGAGCAGTGCGGCAGCGGGGGCGGGCGGCGGGCGGGGGCGGGAGGGGGCATGTGAGGGGCCACGATCGGGTGTACCTGGCGCAGCGGTTGTTCATGGCGCAGCAGTTGTTGTGCTGTGTGGAGGATGAGGGGGGGGTGCGAGGGGTCGTGGCCCCAAGCTGAGACGTTGCCGTTATATCCAAGCTGAGGAGTGACACGCAGGTCGCTGGGTATGTGGTGAAAGCCCTCCTGCTTTCCCATTCTGTGTGGGTCAACAAGATGTGCACAGCAGGAGGGAGTGGCAGGGTATGGCATTGCTACGATGCGGCTAGCACGGTGGGGCGGTCAGCCGGTCATAGTGCTGTGGTGGAGTGGGTCTGCAATGGATGGAGGAGCTGGAGGACAGAGGAGGAGGGCAGTGAAGTGGGGAATGGGGAGGAGTGAAGAAGAGTGGGATCTGGGATGGGGAGATATAGTTGGGTTTTTACATAAGAGGGTGTCTAGAGCAATTAAAGTTAAGTATCCTGGTGGGGATCGATTTCGGGGCCGCCTGGTACTCACTCCAAGAATGGAGTCGATCTGTATGCTGTACCATATTCGGCCAGGTAGCGTCCGTTTGTAGAAGGTAGATTTTTTGCCACGAGCAAATGAACGTAATGGGTGACAAGCATACGAACGTATAACCTGAATAAGCTACTTGCAAACCCGGGGACCGGCCCACGTGACTCGAACACTGAAGCCATTTGCGGGTTCTGGAACGCTGAAACGCGGGGCTTCCGACATACGCTTTCTAGCTGTTGACAGGGCAGGGAACGGCCTATCGCACAAGGAAGTCATAAAGCGTTGAGCTCGGTTTCCATTGGGATATGCCGTAGAACCTAGGGTATCAGGGAACATGGCTTGCATATGCTCTCCCCAGTCCAAAGGTGATTATAGGAACGCGTAAATGTACATACAGAGCAAGCTGGTAGGCACGTTCACAGGGATACAAGATACGTCTTGGACGCACGACAAGCTGACAAACGCACAAACCTGTTCACGAATGCGTGATCATCTAGTCGCACGCCTATAGTAGCGTAACGCGTGTTGTGCACGATATAGATTGTTGTCCTTACTTTTGAGCGGCAAAAGCGACAATGGAGTCCAGGTCGGAGGCGCGGGTCTACAGCGGGCAGCGCGCATCAACGTCGGCGAGGTATCGAAAAGGGAGCGTACTGTGTAGTAATAAGCGCCTTTCTTGCCATCGCTTGGAATCACTGCCTCATACGCCCTGTCCCGCCATCCCTGCAGCTTACACGTTAAGCGGTCCGTGCGCTGTCGAGCCTTACGAGACAATGCGCCAGAGGTTAGCCTTGATAGTTATCTGGGAGTCATGCAAAGCGGCGAGGAATGACCACAGCTTTGACCGTTTCGGTTGATGGATGGACGCAGGGAGAATCCCTCTGCCGCTTTCCAACAGCAAGCGTAGCTGGTCAGGTATGCCTTGCTTACAAAATACGTTGGCTAGCGCAGTACGCAAGCGCCTAGCACACCTTACAAGTAACAACCCTCGAAGCGGCATTTACCTTGCTTAAGCGCTCCCTTTCCGCGCTGGCCCGTGCGCCGCCGTTCGCCCTGCACAGCAATCTCCTCATATCTTCTTATGCAGGACTGGCGCGCCTTCCGAGCCCACCTAGTAGCCTGGGAGCGCGCTGCTCGGCGCGCTGCGCAGCCCAGGACACAGCTCCAGCGGCCGCCCTACCCGCCCCTGGTGTCGGGTGACAGCTGGGCGCACCCCCTCGCTGAGCCCGAACGCGGCTGCCTGCTGCTCGCGCGACATGACAACATGAAGTTCTTCTCGGGCTCTGTGGTGCTGATCGCCTCACATGGTAAGAGCTACTGCGCGAAGTGCGAGGCTTACAGACTGTATCCTGGCCCTTCTGGAGGATCCCATTCTTCCGCGTCCCGTGCCTGCTGGGGTCCTGTCCGCCATGCCTCCTCCCGCACGTCGTCCAAGCACGGCGCACAGGGGCTACTAGGGTGTTACGCGTGTCCAAATGCTTTATCACCAAGAGTGTACCACGATGTGCGCGCGCGCAGACGAGGCGGTTGGCTCTCTGGGTTACGTGCTCAACAAGGCCTCGCCGCTGCGCGTGAGGGACCTGCAGGTGCTGGGACCGGCGGAAGGTGAGCAGCAGGCACTCGGAAGGGGGGGCCGGGGCTGGGGGCGGCGACAGGGAGGGCGTCCCATGCATCTGGGTGCTGCAAGCAGTCGTATTGATGTAAATGGGCCCATCACATGCTTGCTTGCTTGCAAACCCGCACCACATGCCCCTCTAGCGCGCATCCTCTACCGCGTTCTCCCCATTCCTCCCCATTCAACACTCTCCATCAGCGCGCACCCCTTCCTCCCGCCGGCCCGCCCGCATGCCACACCCTTGCCACACCCTTGCACGCGCGAGGTCAACAGTTGTTGTCAGGCCCAGTTGATCCAGCACACACGCGCGCGCCCGCAGGGGGTTTCATGGAGGCGTTCGGCAGCTCGCGGCTGCAGCTGGGCGGCCCGGTACACATCGACCACGTGACACTGCTGCACCGCTTCAGAGGCCTGCGCCGCAGCCAGCAGATTGCGGAGGGGATGTTCATGGGTGAGAGCGCTGCTGCTGTGGCTGCTGTGTTGCATGCCCTCCTGATGTGCGCCTGCGTGGTGCGTCGGCCTGTCTGTCGGCGTCCGGCTGCCCGGGTGGCTGTTAGCCGTACGCCTTTTAGCATCGCGCCCTCGCCTAACCCCTTCCCTTCCGCCTCCATCCGAACGCCCCCACCCAGGCGGCCTGCCGGACGCCATTCGGCTGATCCAGGCCGGCATGGCGCGACCCTCCGACTTCCACCTAGCCCTCGGCATGAGCAGCTGGGCGCCTGGGCAGCTGCGGGCGGAGGTAGCCGCGGGACACTGGCACCTCATCAGCGCGAGTCCGGACCTGGTGCTGCCCGCAGCGTCATCACCGCCCGCCGCCTGCTGCGAACCGCCCATGTCGTCGTCATCCGCATCCCACGCGGTGACCTGCTCTTCATCATCGGCATCACCTTCGACCCATGGGTCACATGCGCAGCAGCAGCGAACACAGCAGCAGCATTCAGGCGGGTTGGATGGGAGGTGCCCGGGGAGGGATGCTGCGGCAGAGGGGTGTGTGGCAGAGTCGGACGGTGGCGAGCAGCAGCAGCAGCAACAGCAGCTGCTGGCAGATGCGGGGAGCTGTGGGGTGTGCATGTACAAGCGGATTGCGAGGCTGGCGGTCCGAGGAGCCTAGGGAGCGCTGGGGAGCAGCCCAAGGGGCTTGTGCAAAGAGGTTTCCGCTCTGGGGTACGCCGCGCAAACAGGAGTTGGGAAGGGTGAGGGAGCGAGTGAGCGGTACGAGGGGTTGGACAGGATAGGTGGTGGCTGAAGCGGTTGGGTACCCTAGTAGTGATGCGGTGGGGGGTGGTTAGGTGGACGTGATCATCATACCCCGGCGTGCCGAGGTAGGTGGCTGGCTCCCAGGCTGGCATGTATTTAAATGTTTTATTCCTCTTTTTATAGCCTGGATTTGAGAAGAAAACAAAAGGGTTTGTTGTGGGCGTTCGCGGCGTGCGGTTTGACGTTGGTTGGAACTTGGAAGCAGTTTGAGATGTACGACTTTACATGATCAGCAGGTTACGGCAGCAATGTTCGCTGCTGCGTTCGGTATAGTATAAAATAGCGGAATCCGTAGCGGGGGCGGGGTGTGTCATGGGGAGCGAGCGGAGGGTCTGTTGCTCCCAGACAACCAGGAACCGTACTGCCGTTCCACGGGGCGGGTGATAACCCGGGAAGCGAGGCTTGCAGCCATTCCGCCGGCGCCGCCAAGGGTGCCGGTACCTGGGCTGCGACTCAACCAGACTGGGAGTGCTGGAGATGTACATAATAAGCCTTTGCATGAATACAGAGTCTACGAGGACGATATGCACTGTAGGCGCGGTCGCAAGGGGGGATGTAGTGTGCTTGTGTATTCAAAAAACTGGCCGCGAGTAGGAATGCACTGGATTGTGTGATAAATAATGTGTTGGGGTATGGTGTGTGGCTAACTGTCAACCAGATGTCTTCCTGGACGTACCCTGCTGTACCTGTACTTTGACGATGCGGCGGGAGTCGCAGTGTAGCTGAATTCGCTGTAGTTTCAACGCTATCCCAGGTTCCCAGCCCGTGCAAAGGATTTGCATCGATAGACTCCCGACTGTGTCATTGTGGTGGTGTTTTTTTGACATGTGGGGTCTTTGGAGTCAGTGTTGTGCTACGCGTGAAGTTGTGTTTGTCAGGCAAGACAGGTTTGCTTCAATAAGATGTGAGTCGAGGACGTGGCGCATATCCAGTGTTTTACTACACGACCAGGACACGGTTTCGCCATTCAGGCATTGGCATGCTTGGATGTTGAGATGTTCAGACCCATGGGTCATGCCTGAACCAGTAACACATGCATGGATGCAATTTACAGCATGCGATGCCCCCATGCAAGAGATTTGGATACATCATGTTGTTTACCTACTTCGACTAGCAAGCAACGCAACTGTAACTGTTGTAACAGCGAGGGTGCGAACAATGACATGCGTCGCAAGGTCGCATGCGTTCATGTGTTGTCCCTGCCATGCAGCGGACAAAGCTGCACCGAAGTCCGCCCACATTCCCCGGAAATCTACGCACCAACCGCTCAAAAATAGAACCAAAATAGCTTGGCCCATGCGTGCAAACCCAAGCTAGGACCCGAGCCACAGGTGCCGCTCTGACTGCGCCGTCCTGGCTTCTAAGTGTATATGCTGTGAACAGTCCTCTGCCTTAGTAAGACACGGATCAGTGCTGCCCCCTGCCGATAATGTACCTCAGACCGGAAGCATGATTCCTGCGTTCCAGCTCAAAGCAAAACCTAACGCTGTGACACCCCACATCCACCGAGCATTCTGAAGACATATGGCACACATCCAAGCTATGGACGGTCCACGCCATATGTATGTATGTACAGAGCTGAGCCAAAGTATAGCAGCATCCATCTTAGGCTAACCAGCACCCACCAAAGCTCCACTTGAGTTAGTTGCCCCATTTGACACGCCCCACCAAGGCAGCGTAACCCCAGCCTTGGCCTCCATCATGTAGTAGCAACGATCTTGTGTACCTTGTAATGAACAGGCGCATGTGGCAAGACCTAACTACGTTCCAAACACACCACGCCAGCGAATCCAGCCTGCATCACGAGAAGCCCTGCGCTAGCACCCCGCCCTCCTCCTCTTGCTCACCCTGTCAGGGCGGGCTTCCAGTTTAACTAAACCGCATGCAAACCAGGCACCCCGCTACAGAACAGAACTACAGAACAGCCGCTTCGAACAAAAATGCATCTTCCTTGTATGTGTTAGGTGGGGATCGCTGCTTGTTACTCTTTTACGCGCGCAGCATCAATCATCATATCACTTTTAAAGCTGCATCCCTCCCTTGAGACCGCCCCTCCCCAGCAGCAGCACCAGGTATTCGAGCCCCCCCCTATCCACCCTTACGTAACCTTTCTGATCACAGCAGCACTCTACCAAATCCCTACCGCCGGGCACATGCCACACCCCAGCCCCCTCCTCCTCCTCCACCTCCCCCACCTTCTCCTCCACCTCCGCAACCCAACCCAGCTCGCGCCCGCCTCAGCCCACCTCACTCCTTGGGCGCCTTCAACGGCGCCTTCCACCCATTCAGCCCGGGGATGTGCCCCAGCTCCGAAAACTGGTCACAAAACTCCTTCACCCGCCGACCCAGGTACACCACCACCATCCCCCGCGGGCTCTTCCCCACCTCCGCCCCTGCCGCACCCCCACCGCTCGCCCCTCCTCCTCCCGCCCCTCCCGCTGTCCCCTTCTTGGCCGCCTTCTGCTCAGCCAGCCAGCAGTGCGGCTGGTCCAGCACGCGGCCGAACCAGCTGGCCCCCACCGCCGCCTTGAGCAGCAGCAGCACCTCGGAGGCGGCTCCGGAGCCCACCTCGCGCAGCGCCCGATCCAGGAAGCGAGCCTGGGCGGGCTGGCCGTCCAGGATGCCGGAGGGCGGGTTGATGAAGACCTGGGGACGGGAGGGGGACGGAAAGGGGGCGAAGGGAGGAGAAGGGAGGGAGGCGGAGGGAAGGGCGAAACGTCGGGCAGAGAGGAGAGAGGAGGGTGCGTAAGAGGGGGTGGGGCTGGGGGCTGGTCGATGAGGGAGAGTCTCCCAGCCCTGCATTACCACCTCCACCTGCCTCCCGCCACCTCTCCCCTGGCCACCCCACCCTCTCCCCCCACCGCCGCCCACCTTGCCGCTCCACTTGTTTTCCTCCGCCAGTCCGTCCTCCTCCGCGGAGAAGAAGCGGGCCGCCTGCACCGCCTCATTGGCCCGCGGGTCGGAGCAGGGGTCCAGGTCGATGGCGCCGGCGAACACGCGGCGCACGGCGGCCAGGATGTGCGGGGGCGTGACGTAGTAGTCGGAGTCGGGGGAGACGTAGTCCTGGGGGGTTGGAGGGAGGCAGGGAGGCAGGGAGGGAGGAGGAGGAGGGAAGGGAGAGGGAGGAGGGTTGGCGTGGAGGGTTGGGGTTTTATGTTTGCGTGCCAGCCAAGGCGAGGAAGGAAAGAAGGAAGGATGCGGGCCAGGAGGTTGGGGACGGTGGGGTAGGAGTTTGTATGCTGTACATGCAGCTGTGGGAGTGAGAGAGGAGTGCCAGGAGGGGGGGGGCAGCGGGAGGCAAGCGGCATGAGGGATGAAGTCGAACACAGGCCGGCCGGCCTTCTCCGTCGTCACTGCGCCGCTCGGCCTCTCCTCGCGCACTTCACCTTGCAACCTCCTCGCATCCTGCTCGCACTCCTCTCCAACACCCTGTCAAACCTCGCCCTGTCAACAAACTGCTGCATTCAACGCAACTACACACCGTTGCAGCTCTCGACAGGTAAGGTACCACCTGCCGTACATAACACCACACATCCCTTTCCCACCTGGGTCCTCTTCAGACCCCCCTTTCCAGTTTCCACCTGCCAGTCTCGCGTCGCCTGGCGGTAGGACGCGGGCAGCTCCTTGCCCAGCACCGCCTCCACCAGTCGGTGCGTCAGCGGCACCCCGGTCTCGGTGGCAATCAGGTTGGCCTTGACCCACACCTTGATGGCCTGCTGCTGCTCCAGGCCGACCAACGCGCGAACCTATTCGGGATGGAGGGACCCAGGGTCGGATGAATGCAAGGTGGGTTGCATGGGGGAATGCGCAAGGAACATAAATATAGGACTGGAATTAGCAAAAAGGGGTATAAGCAGGCCGTCATGGGCGTTAATAGGATTTAAGGGCGACATGCGCTTTTGAAGGCACGACAACAAGGTGACGCTAACGGGCGACTTTTACAGGCTACGAAGTAAACCTCCCCCTTTGTGAATTGCAACTGCTGCAAACAAGCTGGGCACAAAAGAACAAAGCCGATATCCTGCCTAAATCGGAAGCTGTCCGGAACGGGAGCAGGCAAGAAGGCAAGGATGATACTCTAAATGTTTACAGGCAGATGGCATAACAACTGCCCGCGTTGGCAAGTAGCAGACGCAGTTCCATGGGTAAGGTGCCCAGTCTGTTGCTTGCAGAGCCAAGCGCAGGCAAGTGTGAAGATGTCCCACGGCTTACTTGAATACCTTAACGAACTGCAAACACCAAGGTTGCCACAAGAGACACAAGGGAAGCTACCAGCCCAAAACATAAGCAGTGACCACTGGGTCTACCGATACCACAGCAGTGGGCCCAGGACCCTCCCCATAGCCACACACGCATACCTGACGCTCGCTTGTTGGCAAGGCAATGGTAGGAGGGAAGTTGCGCACAAGACGCGTTGCAGCCAGGAGACGAAGGGCTTGACGAGGACCGAACCCGAAATCACCTTTCTGCTCAATGTACTGTGTGAACGAGGTCGAGCCCGCGCGCTTGTAAAGCTTTCTATCGTTGATGGTCACGAGCGCCTGGCCTATGCGCAAAAAGTTGTTCTTGAGGGAACTGCCCTCAATGAGCTTCTCACAGCCCTCAAGGTCCTCAGGTTGCTCAACAACCTCTTCTACTGCCTGAAGCAAGACATCTAACTGATTCTCATTTGAGGCCATGGCGCAAAGGGCAGCGCCGGTGGGCTTGCAAGTGTTGGCCTATGAGAACGTGGGTCGGTATCGACCTTTAGCAAAAGGATCACAAATACCTATAGCTAAGATATATACGAAAGTGAAGGAACTCTACCTATGTGTTGCAATGCTTGGGCGCGGGGCTTCAAGCGCTATAGTTAGAATGCGAAGGTACAGGTACGGCCTTACAGCATTGTTTCCGCCCGTTAAGATACTAGCAAACACTAATAGACTAGGAACGAATTCCCAAGTACGTTCATGCGTATACATAGATAGGGATAGACCCAAGAGACGGTACAGACCGCAGCTTTGCGACATGGCATGCTGCCGGCGGCGATAGTGGTCGCTTAAAGCTCTGCTGCAAGACACGCTCTAGGTGGTACCCCCATGGCTCCCAAAAGCGCAGCATCGAAGCGCAAGGGGCCAGCGACGCCCAGGTACCCCCTTGCTTCCTTTCCCCGCACCACCCTTCTCACAAGCCTTGAACTACCCCAGCATATGTAGCCCTAACCTCCCATCAGCAGGCCCCATCGCCCTACCTTGTGTCCTTCGCAAAGAACGCAACTCTCGCTATTCTTGCATAGTAGTAGCCTCAACAAAATTCATAGCCAATGAACCAACCATTTCTTGTAATCTACCCCCCCTCCCCCAACTCCCTGCAACCTCGCCCCGCCTTCCCTCCCTCCTCCCTCCTTTCCCCTCTCCCCTCCTCCTCGCGCCCCCATGCAGCCCCCCCACGCCCCTCGTCCTCTACAAACGAGCCCTCGCCGCCGTCAAGTCCTGGAGCCCCCTGTGCTCCGAAACCTGCGACACGGAGGCGCTGACCTGCCTCACAGCATGCATCTCACAGCTGCAGACGCGCATGGGGATACAGCTGCGGCCGCAGGAGGAGACGGAGGTGGCGGCGAGTGAAGCACCTGCCACCAGCACGGCTGCAAATGGTACGGCACAAGACAGCAACGTTGCAGGAGTGCCAGGAGCAGTTGTCGCAGCGGCAGCGGCAGCAGGGCAGGATGGAGGGATATCCGCAGGGCTGGCTGCGGCGTTGCGTCAGGCGGAGGCGCTAGCGGCCGCGGTTGGAACTGGGGAGGACAGCAAGGAGGAGGAGGAGAAAGACGGCTGCGCCTCGTCGTCAGGAGGAGCATCTCCGTACGTTGCTGTCGTACGGCACAGCTTGGATCTGGATCTGGAGGACTGGGAGGAGGAGCCGGGCTTCCTGCTGGCCTCCGCGCACCTGGAGCTGGGTGAGGGGCTAGGGGGAGGAAGAGGAAAGAAGGGCCTGAAGGACCTTGAACACAGCCTCGGTGCGCTGACACGAACGAACACCCCGGCTGCGGGAGGGCACACCCGCAATTACGGTAGCTGGCGCGCCAGGATGAGGAGCAAGCGAGCACTGCGCTCGCACGTCGTTTGGCTGCTTGTTTCCCCTCCTCACACCTTTCCCACGCCTTCCACCGGCTCCCCTGCTCCCCAGGCAAGCTGCTGGGCCGCATGTGGCCCCGCCGCTGGCGCTGCGAGCGGGCGCACCTGCGGGCGGCGCTGGCGCTGTTCCCCGCCTGCGTGGCGGCGCGGCTGGCGCTGGCGCAGGTGGGAGGGGGGGGTGAAAAATTATAAATAAGTAAGGGAGGGGGGGTGAGGCGGCGGTGGCGGGTAGGGAGGAGAAAGCTGCGATCCTATGGAGGGCGAGAGAAAGGCATGCAGGCAGCCACACCACATTGCTCCCTCCTTCAAACATATAAAACAACAGGCATCACTGAACTTCCCCCTTTCCCGCCCTGCCTCCTCCCCCCAGGCGCTCCTGGCCCGCTCCGACCACCCCTCCGACCTGCAGCAGGCGGAGGGGCTGCTGGCGGGGGCGCTCAGCACCGCGGAGCGGCTGGCGGGCGGCAGCGGGGGGGCAGCAGGCGGGGGGGAGGAGGTGGAGGAAGACGGGGAGGAGGGGGAGGAGGGGCCAGGGGAGGGCGATCGCCGCCGCAGCGACGGCAGCGAGGGCAGCGGGTGCGGGTTTCTGGTCGAGGCTAACGCGGCGTGTCGTGCGGAGTGGCGGGCGGGGGAGGCGGTGCGGCGGCAGCTGGCCATGCTGGCGTGTCAGGCGGGGCGGGAGGGGCGGGCGGCGGGGCACCTGCGGGCGCTGGGATACACGCACCGACTTGCGCGCAAGGTGAGGGGAGGGAGGGGCAGAGGGGGTAAGAGGGCGCCTGCAACGGGCCTCTTCGGGTCACGGAACACGGCAGGAGGGCAACTGCAGGAGGGCTGGCTCTTGTCGTACACACCCTAGCATGGCCCGTCCTTCCCGCAACCCTTCCCTTCCCGTCCTCCCTCGCCTTACCCCCCCTCCTCCCCCCCTTCCCCCTCCCCCCCCCCTCCCCCTCCCCCCAGGTTCTGCACTACCCGCTGGATCCGCTGCTGCTGGCGGACACCGCCTACACCGCCGCATACCCGCACGCCACCACACCCGACCCCGCCTCCCCCTCCCCCTCCGCCGGCCCCACCCCCTCCCCCGCCCGCTACTGCGCGGCAGTGGACGGCGCCCTGCCCGCCCCGCTGCTGGCCGCACTGCGGGGAGCGCTGGGGCCGGGGGGGCGGTTCTGGCGGGAGCACGGGTACGGCCGCGTGGGCTACTTCTCCTACATGCATGAGCTGGTGGGGGCGGGGCTGGGGGGAAGGGGTGACATGGGATGGGTGGGTGTGTTAAAATAACTGGCCGCGAGGCGAAACGTACTGTGATTGCCATGTGTTTGGGCTGGTGGTGCTGTTGGGGGTGGCCACACTGGGCAGTAGTAAGAGCTGGTGGCTGGCGGCCCGGAGGGGGCCAACTCCTCCCCCCTTTCAAACTCACCGCCCCTCTCCCTCCTCCCTTCCTCCGCCCCCCTTAACCACCCCCCTGTCCCCCCACTGCTTTTCTCCCACTCCCTCCCTGCAGGGCTCCCCCGCCCTCAGCGCCATCCACCAGGCCGCCACCCTGCTTCACCGCCTGGTCTCGGAGCGCTTCCCGGCCGCCCGGGCCGCGCGCTTCGCCGAGTGGTGGGCGCACTGCCGGCCGCACCCCTCGGGCCACCAGCTGCACTTCGACAGCGACGACGAGGGCGAGGGGGGCGTGCGGAACCCCTTCGTGTCGTGCGTCATCTACCTGACGGGTGGGGAGAGGGGGCGGGGGCGGGGGCGGGAGGGGCATGGAGCGGATGCTTGAGGGCTTCATGTACCGGTAGTAGTCCTGTCTATGCCCCTGTTCTCTTGCAACAGCACACCCCCACCTCTCCCTCAACCTTCACCCCACCTCCTACGGTCAGGGCCAGTGTTTCCGCGGCTCAGTTTGATTGTTACCGAACCTCCTCTCTGCCACCCCTCCCTCTCCCCCCCTCAGGCGGTGTGGGCGGACCGACCCTGGTCACCCCGCAGGTGAGCAGGGGGCCGAGAAAGGGGGGGAGGGGGGAGAGAGGAAACACCTAACTGACTGTGTGATAGGGCGGGTGGGTGGGGGGAAGGACAGCAGCAAGCGACGGAATGCGGCACCTGACTCCCTCACGAACTCCTGGCGCCTCGTAAGGCCCCACCCCACTCATCCCTCCCTCCCTCTCCCGCCCTCCCTGCCCCTCTCTCCCCCCGCAGGTCCTGGGCGGCCCGCTGGCCCCGCATGGCTGGCTGATTTATCCGCGCGAGAACCGGCTGGGCATGTTTGATGCAACCTACCTGCACGGTGGGTGGCGGGGAGGGGTGGAGGGCTGGGGTGGCGGTGTGGGACTCTTGATGCGGCGGTAGGGGGGGAGGGGAAAGGGGAGGTGTGCGTCCGCACCCCCGCATGTGTTCCTGCGGTGTGTAGTTGAGCGGAAACAAGAGCAAGCAGTTGGGATAGGTTCGCATGTGAACCGCGAGTACAGGCAAGAGCAAGCAGTTGGGATAGGTTCGCATGTGTTCCTGCTGTGTGTGTTGGGCACACGCCCTCATATAGGGACGAGGCTGGTGTGCTGAGTGTGGTGGGGTGCACAGGCGGGGCTGAGCTGACCCCTCCACGTACCTCCTCCCCTGCTGCCCCCTCCCCCCCCCCCCGCAGGTGTGCTGCCCGGTCGCGGCCCCAGCCCCCGGCCTGGGGAGTTTCGCATCACCCTCATGGTGGCGTTCTGGAGGGACATCCAGTGCAGGTGGGTAAGGAGAAACTGTCCAACCGTGAAATCAACTAAGGCAGGTGGGGCGGGGGCCAGGTGGGGAAGGGGAACCCAACCGACATTGTGCCTCCCAAATCCAAACCTTAGGGGGGGCACCCGCTTACACCTCTTTCCCGGCACCGAACTACGGTACTTCATATCTCTCCCTTTCCCCTACCTCACCCACCTCCTAGTTGTTTCACTTATATAATCTTTTTTCACCTCCTGCAGGCCCCGCACCGACGGCCTGCCCGGCCCCTCCCAGCCCTTCCCCACCTCCTCCCCCGACTCGCCCCCCTGCCGCTACTCCTGGATGGCCGACCTGCCGCCCCACCCTGAGGGCCCCGAGGGCTGGGGCCCCACTGCCCCCGTGGACGCGGCGCCCACCTTCATCGACCGCGTGTGGGAGCGGCTGGACGGGCAGGCGGTGCAGCCAGGGGCAGTGCAGTGCTACGACGAGTGCTTCCAGGGGTTCTGAACCCGCTGCTGGTGATGGAGGGGGTCGTAGCGGTATCACCCGCATGTGGTGCTGGGAACGGACTGATGGCGTGGGGGTGACATGACACATGAACTAGGGCTTTGTGATTGGGGTGTGCGTCGGGAGGGGGCGCCATGAGCATGGAAGAGACTGGTCTGTGGTAGCACTGGAAAGCGGCAACTGGCTTGAGGGGTGGTACGGTACCTGGCATGTGCGGCATCTCACGGTGTTGCGCGTTATTAGTTGTGAGGAGGGCATTTAATCACCGCATTGGGAACCCGGTGCGCTTTGCAGAGTCGTGCTGTCTGTTTGTGCTGTTGGCGCAGCAGATGTAGGTCACCTGAAACATCTCGCGTATGGGCACCACTCCTCGTTTAACTTCTCCCATGGTAACGTACATTCAACCAACAACGGAAGGCGTGGCCCCACATTGCATTGCAAGACAACGACGTTCCTTACCCTCACTCCATGGACCGTTTGTTTCAGCTGGTAAACCTTGAAGCAGTACCCGCAACAGGCGCACATCTCCCGCGGTATTCCAGTAACCCAAACAGGCCTAAAAGGATATCAACCATCTGCGGAACACCTAAATCCTAGCCCAGGTTATCAGTGCAGCGTCTGCCAACTTTCGCTTCGTAACCCGGTGATACTTACCCTTGCAACATCCAGGCAGCTAACCTTCCTACACCGAGTACTGGAAAACACGGGCAATGTTTAACGCTCATTTCAAAATAAACCGCGAACCGAACCGCGCAGGGAAGGCCTCTTTGATGGCCTCGCAGTTTTCCACTAAGGTGAGAACTCCTGAGTAGCGGAGTATAAGACCACCCACGTCTTTCGTCAACGTTCCATACTAAGGGCTGGGCTGAATTGCACGCAGTAATGAAGTAATTGGAAGTGACATGAAGGTAAGTGTTGACTCGGACTTCAAGGCTATCTCCCCGAAGCAAAATTGGCGGCTCAATGAAGTTAAGTGAACCGAATTTCCTATTAATTTGGTTTGTGTCTAGGCCAGTCGCCCCACTTCAACGATGAGCGGCGAAATGTACGACGCGCACGTTTTTTGTCGACGCAAGCGGCATGATTTCGCCACGGTATAGCAACTCCTTAGCCGTTCATTCTGCGTGTTCGTGTTACATTGCGTTGATGCTTTGTGCCTCATAGCTCATACGGCCTAGCCAATACTAAAAACAGGCGCAGTCTTCTATTAACCGCTAGAGCCGGATGCTAAATTAGGCCAAGTACAAATGCAGTGCCTTGAACGCAGCACCACGAACATGAAGGCTTCAAGCTCCCGGTCCATTGCGGGTAGGGCGGCGGCGCTGCAAGCGCATAGGCGACCTCCGCTTCGGCTCAGTTTACAACCTCTACAAACTTGAAATCATCTCCATAGCTGCTCAGCGAGCTGCGCTGTCCTTCGCAGATTCCCGACCCGCTACTGCTCGCGGCTGCCGTGTTGCCGCCGTTAGCAGGGTGAGACCGCCCGAACTCGCAGCCGGTCACCGGGCCCCTCCGACCGCCCCCCGCTTTGCACAAACGCTGTGGCCCTCGCTTTGGCGCTCCGCAGGCCGCAGCCGTTCGCGTACAATGCACGCTCCAAGAAGCACGACCAGCCGTCAACAACGGCGTTCCCGTGGGTGTGCCCAAGGGTGCCGTCCCCAACCGGCCCATCCTTGAAGTCCCCGACTGGGAGAGCCACTACCGGCGCCACACGGCGCGTCAAACCCAACCTACGCCAGCTTCCCTTAGCCGGCTACGCCTCTTCTCTGGCACCTCCAACCCGGTAAGCCCCGTCCGTGGCACGCGGTAGCATGCTAGGGCTCTGATGCGTTAATAGCCCAAGGCCAGCAGCGCTTGCCATTCCAGCCTGCACGCCTCCAAGTTGCAGCCTGCTGGCGGCCGTGCTGAGGGACTGACCATGCGGGGTCAGCGCCCCCATGCTGAGGGACTGGTTGGGGCTCGGTGTGCAAGCAGAGCATGCATGCCCTGGGGGGCGGGTCGCGCCGGCGCCCTACACCTGCCCTGCCAGCGGCGGGGGGGAGCTGCGGACTGCCGCTGGTGCCGCAGCCGCACAGCTGTTCAGCAAGGCTGGCGTGGCGCGCCGCTTTATGTACCCGTACCTCCACGCGTGTCACCCGCTACCCCTGCCAACTACCCCTACCTGCTACCCCTGTCAACTGCCTGCCGCCTCCCGGGTTCCTCGCTGCTGCCCAGCTCCCACTCGGCTGCCCGCCGCCCTAGCCCGCGGTACCCCGCCTGGGCTCCCTGACCAATCACCTTGACATGCCATGACCTGCCATTCCCCGCCGGCGTGTGCCCATAGGAACCCCAACCCCGCCCTCCTCCCGCCATGTCCCGCCATGTCCTCCTCCCCTTCCCCCCCAGATCCTGGCAGGCGAGGTGGCGCACTACCTGGGCATGGAGCTGGGCAAGATCAAGTGCAAGCGGTTCGCGGACGGGGAGATCTACGTGCAGATACAGGTGGGGAGGGGGGTTGGGGGTGGTGGCGAGGTGGGGGGGAAGATCGGGTGGGGGCGCGGGGGACCGGTCGGAGTGTTTGCCAAGGGTGCTGGTGATGGCGCTGACCTCGGGGGGGCCGCGGCTGGGGACCGGGGCCGCAGCGGCAGGGATGACCCGCGTGGAGCCGCCAGCCCCTCGCACAGCCTGCTCGATGCGTCTAACTTGGCTCCGCCGCCGGGATTGCACCCATGCGCCTTACACCATCCTCCTCGTCCTCATCCTTCTCTCCCACGCCTCGTCTTGCTCTCTCCCTAACCCCTCCTTCCCTCTCCCCCCTACCCCCCTACCCCTCCCCACCCTCCCCAGGAATCCATCCGCGGCTGCGACGTCTTCCTCATCCAGCCCACCTGCCCGCCCGTCAACGACCACCTCATGGAGCTGCTCATCACCATCGACGCCTGCCGCCGCGCCTCCGCGCGCTCCATCACCGCCGTCGTGCCCTACTACGGCTACGCGCGCGCCGACCGCAAGGTGCAGGGCCGCGAGTCCATCGCCGCCAAGCTCACCGCCAACCTCATCACGGAGGCGGGGGCGGACCGCGTGCTGGCCATCGACCTGCACTCGGGGCAGTGCGTGGGGTACTTTGACATCCCCGTGGATCACGTGTACGGCGAGACGGTTATCCTGGACTACCTGGCCTCCAAGCGCATCGCCACGGGGGACCTGGTGGTGGTGTCGCCGGATGTGGGCGGCGTGGCTCGTGCTCGCGCGTTTGCCAAGAAGCTCAACGACGCGCCGCTGGCCATTGTGGACAAGCGCCGGTCGGCGCACAACGTATCCGAGGTGATGAACCTGATCGGAGACGTCCGCGGCAAGGTGGCGGTGCTGGTGGATGACATGATCGACACCGCCGGCACCATCACCAATGCGGCCAAGGTGCTCGCCAAGGAGGGGGCCCGGGAGGTGTACGCGTGCGCCACGCACGCCGTCTTCTCTCCGCCTGCGGTGGAGCGGCTGTCCAGCGGGGTGTTCCAGGAGGTGATTGTGACCAACACCATCCCGGTGGCGCCGGAGAATGTATTCCCGCAGCTGACCATCTTGTCGGTGGCCAACCTGCTGGGGGAGACCATTTGGCGCGTGTACAATGCGGCGTCGGTGCAGGCGCTGCGGGATTGAGGCGGGGCAGGGCAGGATTGGGGTGGAGCGGAGTGGGGCAGGGATGTGGCTGGGGAAGGGGGGTGCTTGGAGGGAGGTGAATGGTTACGGGGTGGTGTTTGGCCGATGAGGGGTTGCTCGGGCCCGGTTGTTCGGACACACGGGAAGCATGTGGTAAGCCCATTGGTATCTCACAGCTGAGGTTCCTAGTCCCGGAGCCCACATGGGATGGCGACGGTGCGTCTCGTACCGATATGGGTTGGAGCCGCGTCAGGAAGCTGCGTGCGGGGGCTGCCGGGTCGGTTGGCCGCATGCAGGCCGAGGGGCTCCTTCCCCCCGAGGGAGGCTGTGTCGGGCTGTGAGCCTAGCGGCGTCTGCGTCCCTTGCCTCCTCCTGCTGTCGCCGAGAACAGCGGCTGCCTCTTGTCGCTGCTGATGGGCTCTGCGCGCTTGCAATGCTAATAATGTATGGGGTGGGAGATGAGGGTGTAAGGGTCTTCAGTTCTAGGCGTTGCCTGTGGTCGCCGTAGCTGTTTACACCCATAATGGTTGCGTAGCTGAGCTCCCGCCATTTAGAGCGTGCGATTAACTGTTGTGGCAGGCAGACAGAGCTGGTGTGCCTGCCTAGCTGGGGAGGCGGAAGGCCGCTTGGAGGTCTTGCCGTGTTATTATTCTTGGGAAGAAGTGCTCTTTCTTGGGTTTTGCAACCATTTGTTTTTGTCCTTGGTTGTGAGGCTGTGCCGCCACACACATGTGCGGGAGGGCGCAGTGGGCCTCACGGGGCCTCTGCTGGGTTTACCTGCGGCTGAACAGCGTTTTGACGGGGCAGCCACGGGCTGTATGTACGTCCTCTTTCATAGCAGCAACAGGAGCAGGATAGGTTTGTTTGTCTTTGCAAGCTTTTTTCCTGCGCCTTAACTACGTACCGTGCTGCCAGTAAAGGGCAAAAAGTAAAAACCGCGATGAGGGCAGCGGTGTGCGGATAGATAGCCACTAGCGCAGGGGCTGTTTCCAACATGCACGCTGCCAATCGCGTTCGGTCACAGGTGGTATTGTGACCCACACGCGCAGTGCGGCTTGTGGCCAGTTTTCTCAACACATCCCAGCGCGCGAGCTGGGGTGCGTAGGTGTGCCATGCCGTGTGCGAGCCAATAATATGCCCCTGGGGTAGGAACCCTCTTTGTAACGGCACAGTACACTCCACTCTCATGTGGCGTTATGTTTCGATCCTGTATCAATGCTGATGCTGATGCTCATAGTAACAGGTGTGCGGCGACTACATCCAACGTCGGAGGATGAGTTCAACGAAACCGCCCAATCGTACAAGCCATGTCCCATCATGTGCCTTCGCCCACCTGCCCACGTCCACCTCGCCATCTGGCATATCGCCACTGCACAACGCTGTACACCCGCAGGCCGCTGCACAACACTGCGCACCAGGTCCCCACACACGTGTACACTTGAACCGAGAGTTAGACCGAAAGGTGGTTTGTAAAGGTGCAAAGCGGGGTCGCCTGGGACCAATACGTGAGGCGTTGGCCACCACCTCTGACCAGCCGCAGCCAACCCTGGAATAACAAATGCTGCTGTGAGAAGTATATATCAAGGTATCTGTTGGCAGGAGTCGCGGATGTCACCGCTGCGATGGCACACGTCACGTCATGGCGTCATGCCCCATGGCCTGGCACCGCCTCACATCTTGAATCCCAGGCTGAATGACATCTTCTTGCGCCCCTTGCCCAGGATGAGCTGCTGCTGCCGCCGCTGGTCCTCATCCTCGCGCTTCTTCCTGCACAGCCAGGCAGCGGCAGGGCAGTGGGAGGGAGGCGGAGCGGGGCGGTAAACAGCTGCCGGGGGCCAGTATATATTTGCCGGGGCCAGAATCGTTGGCAGCACCAGCAGCAGCCCAGCGGTGAAACCCTGCTACTGCTGAGCTGCCACGTCCTCCAGCGCACCACCCACGACAACGAAACTGCAAGGAAAGGAACTGCAAGGAACGGCTTCGCCTCCCTACTCCCTAAACTCCAACCCTGATGCTGGTACCCCTACCACCATGTTGACGCCTTATCCCTCAGTCAGTTAGTTGTATCCTCTTTACCCCACCACCGCGCGGGCCTCTGCTCCCCTTCCGCCACCTCCCCCCTTCCCTCCTCTTCCCCGCACCTCTCCTCCTCCTCCTTCTTGGCCTGCTGCCGGCGCTGCAGCTCCAGAAAGTGCTCCTCCAGCTGCCTCGCCTCCTCCTCGCGCCGCCGCTGAGCTGCCTCCTCCTCCTGGTGGGTGGACAGGGTGGGTGGGCAGGGTAAGGAAGAAGAAGAAGAAGTGAAGCAGTGCAATCCCCATCCCATGGGGTACGGAAAAAACCAACTGCTTAATCCAGCTTAATCCAGCTGCGCAGGTGGGTGCAATATATGGGTGGAGAGCGGATGGGGGACACAACCTCCAGGTGCCACCGTAACGCCGCATCCCACATGGGGAAACGCGCCCTGGGGTTACCCGGCTCCCCCGGGCTACCCCGCACCTCCTTCCGCCGCTCCACCTCCAGGTGTGCTAGCTCCTGCTGCTGCGCGCGAATGGCCTCCCGCCGCGCCTCCTCCTCTCGGGCTGCCCGCTCGCGCTCGGCCACCAGCTCCCGCTCCACCTGGTGGGGCGGCGGCGGAGAGAGGAGGGGAGAGGTGGGGAGAGAGAAGGGGTAAAGTGAGGAGAACCCAACCTCTACCAACATCATCAACCCGAACAGCCAGGCCAGTACATCCTCTCTCTGCTCCAGTTGCTCCAACGCTAATCCGTCAACAATCAACACCCCCACCACCCGTCCGCCCTCCAAGCCAGTCTCCTCTGTCCTTATATAATTTTTTCCCCTGCCCTGCCCCAACCCCCCCACCCGCCCGCCCCCACCTGCTCCTCAATCGCCCTCCGCTCCCTTTCCAACCGCGACTGCAGCTCCCGCTGCACCGCCTCACTGCCCAGCACCGCCGCCACCCGCCCCTCCACGTAGGCAGCCAGACGCCGCTCCAGCTCCTCCGAAACCAGCCGCGACTCCAGCTCGGCTCGCTTGCTGGGGAGCGGGGAGGAGGGGAGGAGGGGAGCGAGGCGGCAAGAGGGGCGGGGGAAGGGGAAGGGCGTTCGTTTAGGTCTCTTGTGGGCTTGAAGGCAGTGAGGGGAAGAGATGGTGTGAAGCATGGGGTTGAGTCGTACAGGACTGGACTGGGCTGAGCATGCGGGTGCACGCGTGTCCGGCAAGCGGCGTCCGGGCAGCAGCAACACACGTTCGGGCGCATGGTATACACGGGCCCACCCTTCCCAAGTGCACAAAGCCAACACCCAGGCGACACTTCGCACCCCAACTCCCTGCGAAGACCGGTCCCCGCGGCTCCCATCAGCCCCCCTCCCGCTCACCGCTGCAACGCCTCCTCCGACAGTAGCCCAGCCGTGTCATCCTCCTCCCCGCCACCCTCACCACCACCGCCGCCATCGGCTCCCTCAGGTTGCGCCGCCTTTCGCCCACTGGGGCCCTCACTCCTCGCCGCCGCCCCTGGCGCACTGCCCTCGACCGCCGCCGCCGCAGCAGCAGCGGCCCGGCCCCTTCCCCCCCGGCTGCGGCTGCGGCTCCTGCTGGGCCCCCCACCCCGACTGCGGGAGCGCCCCTTCCGCTCCCGGCTGCCACTGCGCCGCCGCTCCCGCTCCCTGTCCCTGCCCTTGCTGCGATCTCTGCTTCGGCTGCGTTCCCTCCCTCGGGGCGCAGGAGAGGGCGAGCGAGGCGGACTCCTGCTCCGCTCGCTGCCGCTGCTGTCGCTGCTACTGCCACTGGAGGTCGAGGAGCGGCTATGTGATCTGGATCTAGATCTAGACCCGCCACCGTACTGGTCATTGGACCTGTCCCGGCCACGTGAGCGAGACCGCTCCCGACCCCGGACGCGGTCACGGCCACGATCCCGGTCCCGATGGCTTCTCCGCTCTGGGGATCGGCTGCGGGATGACGAGGAGCGAGAATGGGAGCGGGAGCGCCGCTTGCCGCCTCGGCTGCGCTTCTCCCTCTCACGCTCCCGTTCCCGCTCCCTTTCCCGTTCGCGCTCGCGTTCCCTGTCCCGATTACGATCGCGATGGTCCCGATCGCGTTCCCGGTGATCCCGTGAGCTCCGGTACGAGTCCCGGTCCCGGTCCCGATCCCGATCCCTTTCTCGGTCACGATCACGGTCGCGGTAGTCCCGTGTCTCTCTATCGTCGTGCTGGGAGTAGCCCCGGTCACGACGAGAGGGACTGCGAGAGGGGCTGCGCCTGCTACTGCCGTACTTATCGCTTCGACGGCTGTCGTTTTTGTCGTTTTTGTCGTGCTTATCCGCTGGAGGAGGAGAGCGGGAGCGCGAGGCTGAGCGAGAGCGTGAGCGGCTGCGCTTTAGGGAGGCCTTGCGAGCGGAGTCATCGGCACGGGCCTTATCCTTGTCCTTGCTTTTCTCCTTGTCCTTGTCTCTGTGCTTTTCAGACTTCTTATCGGACGACTTCTTCCTGTTTACATAGCAGGAGGGATAGAGGGCGACGGTTCGTGGCTAAGAATGCTGGCAGGGGGTTTCTGCGCCCTGTCCCGTTACAGGGGAAATAACTACTGAGGCAGGCGATGGTCAACCCTAAAGTCCAGGTAGAAAGATTTGCAACGGCCCGTACGTATGGCAACGAAACCCCCATCAGCTAACGATGGATCAGAGGAGCTGCAAACGGGCCTCAGCGCCTGGTAATGTCGATCATGGGTTTGGCGGAGGGGTCACGCTTAACCATGACGTGCCATGCTGCTTCAAGCATCACCGCAAAAGTCCCAAAGCATTATTGCTGGGTTGCATTTTATGTATTTTCGTTTGTGCAGGACGCATGACGGGCACTGTACACCGTTTCCTTCCGTCAATGGGCGTGGAGTGACCGGCACATACTTCTGCGCCCGAAGATACGCTGCGATGCCTACCTCGACGGACTCCGAGAGCGCGATGGCTCGCGAGCACGCTTGCTGCCGCTCCCCATGACTGCGGGAGCTTCTTTATCAAAGCCTACGCGCTATAATGGCATCGCACAATCGTTTCCACTGGTAAGAATGTCGCTTAAAGGGAGATATGGCTTTGCTCTAGAAGGTTTCCTTGTATGTTGGCACCGAGCTTGGTCTAGCTCTACTCCTGTAAGACAATGACGATAGTTTCTAATAGTTTCGTACCCACAGCATACATATAACCACGGCAAATGGAACGATACTGCTCCTGAGATGATCCGTGCTCCACCGTGCACCGTGTGCCCCGTGGTTCCTGAGCGGACTGCTGCAATCGGACATTCCGATTTGCAACGTGCACGAAGGAAACCCTTTACATTCCGACCCTCTTGACAATACAGGGCCACTTGTCACCTGACCCTATTGGCGGACGCTTGCATTCGGATAGAGCCAAGCTGCGAACAGTTAAGAAACAGATCCCCGTGTAGCATGAAAGGTACCGCTGTTAGCCCTTAGATTTCTGCTTTTGTGTTTAACTAGTACCCGAGGGGTGGTTGCAAGGGCAAATGGCAGCCCAGCCCGCCCCCACTTCTGAATCAGCGCAATTTGAGTTAGCTGGTCATCTTCGACGAAAATTCCACCTTGGGCCTCGTAATTGGGGCCGATTCAAAGCGGCGGCTGCGGAGAGCGATGCCGAAGGCTATGTGCCACGCAGTGGGGCACACGTAACGCTAAGGGACTTGGCGAGGTAAGGAACAAAGTGCGTACACAGTCGCTCGGGTCACGGAACCCCAGACCAACTATAAGCCGAGACATGTCCATGCCGCAACCAGCATCCTTCGCAACAATGTCCAGCGTCCTCGCCCAACGTTCGCAACTATTTGAAGGAATCTTCTGAACACAATTCAATTGCAATTGTCGGCAGACGGCTATGCCAAAAGCCAAGCGCGCTTACCCACGAATTTCGCGCTGACCCAGATGGCCCTTGCACTCACTTGCACCCTCTCCTCCACGCCTGCCCAAACCCTCCCTCCCTCCCCTCCACCATCGTTCACACAACATGTAATTTCCCATATCCTCTTCCCCTTCCCCTCACTCCCTCCCTCCCTCCAGGGACCCCTCCACGCTGGTGTTCCCCTCCAATGACGACCCCGCGGTGCGTGCGGCGCTCTCCGACGACGGCGGCTGGGTGGGCACCCCCGACCCCACCAAGTTCGCGCCCGGCACCAGCCACCTGGGCCCCCGGGAGCTGCAGGAGGAGCTGGACAAGGGCAACGTCATGCTGTGGAAGGTGGGGAGGGGGAGGCGGGAGTAAATGACTGTTTGGGGGAAGGGGCAGGCAGGCGGGAGGCGGGCCCCGGAGGTGCTGGCGGGTGCTGGCTGCGCCTCTAGGAGAGGAGGCGCAGGCGGAGGACGGGAGGAGGGCTGCATACCCCGCCTTGCGTCAGCGGCTAGCGTGCGTAGGGCCGGAGCTGCAATGCTCCGGAGGCCCGGCCCGGAGGTTCACCGGTTGCACCGTCGCAAGCCCCCACTGGATACCCTCCCACGCATGCTGTTCGCCTGCCTGCCCGCTCACCGCTTCTCCCCCCCTTCGCCTTATCACACGGTCAGGATGTTGTGTCCTCTTTACTCCCCCCACTCGCAGGACTTCAAGCGGCGCGTGTCGGAGCTGCAGGGCTCGGAGGCGGAGGAGGTGGCCGCAGCGGTGCAGCAGCGGCTGATGCAGGAGCGCATGTTCGTGACGCTGAAGGATGGGTCCAAGGTGTGTGGGGGGGAGGGGCGAGCAGGGGGGTAGGGGGCTATAGACTGCATTACTGCCGCTGCAGCACCCCACAGCCCCGTACCCTACCCACCCTTGGCAGCCGGCACCCCGCTTCCCCACTACCCCCGTGGTGCCCCTTATGTTATCCCCGTGGAGTCCGATGGCCTGGTGCGGGTAAGGCCCTCCTCCAACCATCCCCGCACGCCCCTGTCCTCCTCTCCCCCCCTTTCCCCCCCAGGTGTCCCTGTGGGACCTGCAGCAGTACGTGCAAAACAACCCTGAGATGGAGGCGCTGCTGCAGCGGGGCCGCCGGCTGCCCACAGCGGACCCCACCGACCCGGCGGGTCGGCCGCTGCCGCCCGAGCCGGTGTCGGGTCTGGAGCGCAGCGGCGCGCTGGATGTGGCGCTGGTGGAGCCGCGGGAGGCGGAGGAGGCGGAGCTGGACTGGGTGGGGGCGGGGGGTGGGTGGGAATAATTGCAAAGTGTCTTCGAGGCACGGAGCCTCAATCCCAGGAGGGTGGTGCACACGCACACCTGCAGAACCACGGCTAAGTACGGTACTGCTGTTACACAACGCGCGGGTAGTCATTTCTCTCACATACTCTACATGCGCAATCCAGTTACGCCAGGCTTGTGTGGCGTATCCATCCCTCTCCCTCCCCTTCCCTCTCCCTCCCCTCCCCTCCCCTCCTCCTTCCCTCCCCTCCCCTCCCCTCCTCCTTCCCTCCCCTCCCCTCCCCTCCCCCTTCCCTCCCCTGCCTGCAGGCCCACGTGGGCAGCGGCAGTGTGTGGCGGCGGCGCCCCACCCGCTGGCTGGGCGGGCTGGACGGGGTGCGCGACTGGCACCTGGAGCTGTACGTGCACGAGGGCATGACGAACCAGGTGGGGGCAGGGGGCGGGGGGCGGGGGTGGAGGAGAGAACAGTGAAGGAAAAGAAGAACCATGTGTGCTTGTTTGTGTGTGTGCACTGAGGAGGGGGGGAGGGGGTAATGTGGATAGGGTTACCTCCTGCCGGCATCTCCCTAACCTTACTCACCCGCTCCTTAACCCTCCCCCCCCCAGGTTCTGGGCCGCAAGTACGGCTCCCGCGACCCCTACGCCGTACTGCGCGACCCCCGCTACGCCGCTGACGTGGTGCGGGTGGGGCCGCTGGTGGGGCTGACGCTGGTGCTCACGGCGGCGCGGGAGCTGCCGCTGAGGGAGGCGGCCAGGTGGGGGAGGGGGTGGGGGTAGGGGAGGAGGGGAAGGAGTAGGGAGGGGGTGGGGTGGGAGAACGAGGTGAGCCGCAGCCCTACCCCTCCTCGCTGTCTCCTTTCGTCTTGTGTTAACAGCCAGCTCACATTGTTTCGCTGTTCTTCTATTCCCTCGCCTGACCCCTTCACCGCCCCCAAACTGTAACTTACTACCCCTTTCCCCCCATTCCCCGCCCCTTCCCCCCCCCCTTCCCCCAGCACCTGGCGCGACCTGCTGAGCTCCTACTTGCAGCGCCAGGCGCCCCTGCAGCTGCCCCGCCGCCTGAGACCCACCCTGGTGGACGCAACAGACCTCAACGGAGCCACCTGGCCCGCACTCTTCGACAGGAGCAGCAGCAGCAGCAAAGCAGCGACCCGCGGGTCACCGCAGGCGGGCGGGAAGGAGGAGCAGGAGTTCAGCGAGGAGGCGGGTTGTGACGAGCTGGGTGTGAGCTGGCGGCAGATGGGGGCGGAGGAGCACCGGGGGAAGGTGGCGGAGGGGCTGGAGCTGCTGCAGGTGGAGGGGGAGGAGGGGGAGGGGGAGGGAGGAAGGGCGGGGGGGAGGGTGCTCGTAGCGGCAACAACGCCGCTGCGTGTGAAGGGCGCTCAGGCGGCCTGGTGGCTTCCATCCGTCAGCTTGCTCTGTCTCTGTAACCCCGTGCCTTTCCCAAACCCCTCTCCTGTCTCATCCCTCCTCCGCCCACTCTCCCCTCTCTATCCCCCCGCCTCCGCAGTCGCTACCCGAGCTGCTGTGCCCCCCCTCCTCCTCCTCCTCCTCCTCCCCGCCGGCTGGTCCGCTGGCCGGCAGCGCGCTGGTTGACGGGCGCGGGGCCCGGTGGCGGGAGGGCAGCTCGCTGTGGCTCACCCTGGAGCCGGAGGGGGGCATCGTGGTGCAGGGTGAGCATGGGAGGGTAGGGAGAGGCAGGGAGGGGGGGGCAGGGGGGCAGTTATAGGCCAAACCACCGTGAGGGATGGAGGGAGAGGGGGGAGGTACAAGGCAACTAGCATCCCAATGGAGGAGGGAGGGGGAGGAGGCAGGGATTGCTAGAGTGCTGTGTGCCTTGTGTGCAGTGCTGCAGATATGGAGGAGCGGGGCACACGGGGGCTGTGCACGGGGGCTGTGCACGGGGGCTGTGCACGGGGGCTGTGCACGGACTCCCCAACCAGCGCACCACCTCATGGCTCCACATGCCCTGCCTGCGTCCTGTCTGGCTGCGTGTCGCCCTCCCCAGTAATTGAGTTGCGTGCTTCTAGGATAGTGTCTCCGAATGCGCTCACTGCAGGAGTCGGGATATGGGATTGGGACTCGTTGTTTCACTTTTTTAACACCCTCGCCCCGCCCGCTGCACTTCTCACTTGTTTTGCCCCCTCCTCCCCTCCCCCTCCTTTGGAATTTCTTTTTTCTCCCCCTCCCCTCACAGCCCACAGCCCGGGCCCGCTGCACTCGCGCGAGTCCTACCTGCTGGCGCGGCTGGCGGGCCAGGAGGCGCTGGCGGGGGCGCTGGCGGAGGCGGCGCTGGGGCCGCAGCCGCTGGACCCGCAGGCGGCGGAGGCGGCCAGGAGCCTCATGCTGCTGCCCGCCAACGGGTTCTCGGTAAGAGGGAGGAAAGAATGAAAGAAGTGAAACAACGAGGAAGAGGGAGGGAGGGAGGGGAAGCTGCGTTTCCTCGCACCCCGCTACTGCTCCTAGTATTGCTATCGCACATGCGTCTGCCGCCATGCCTGAACCTCCCCCTTCACCCCCGCCGCCCCGCCCTGCCCCCCAGGCCGGCAACAAAGAGGGCGACCCCAACCACCCCATGCTGGGCTGGGTGCCGCACCCCGCCGCACCACCCAGCCTGCGACCTCGCCCCTCCGCCTTCCGACTCGCACCCGAGCCCGCAGCAGCAGCAGGGGGGCAGCAGCGGCCCGGCTGGAATGGCACACTGCTGACTGGTGGGGTGGGGCGGGGTGTGGGGCGGGGCGGGGCGATGGAAACCCATGCGTTGGTGTTGGCAAGGAGCGGCAGTAAAAGACACGCATGGCAATGCGCATGTATTACCTGTTTGCTCACCTCATCTACACTCTCTCCATCTTTTCCCCTCCCCTCCTCGTTGCTTCACCTTTCATTTACTTTCCCCTCCCCTCCCCTCCCCTCCCCCAGGCATCCACCAGTCCCGTGTTGCCGCGGAGGTGCGGGGGCTGCTGGCCAGCGCCTTCCGCGCAGCCGACCGAGCGGCAGCGGAGGTGGACACAGCGGCGGCTGGAGAAGCTGGCGACGAAGCGGCTGCTGCTGCTGCTGCCGAGGGTGCGGCTGCTACTGCTACTGATGATGCTGGGACCGTGACCGTTACTGCGGCTGCCCGGCGGCGGCAGGCGGCTGCCCAGGCGGCTGCCGTACACGTGCTGCGGGAGGGCATGCGGCAACTGGGGCCGGACTCGCGGCGGGCGGTGCGGCAGGTGGTGGCGGAGGCGGTGGCGAGCGGGGCGCAGGGCTGGGAGGAGCTGCTGGCAGGGGGCAGTGGGGAGGAGGGGGGAGAGGAGGAGGTGGGGGCGGCAGGGGGGCGTGTGTCGGACTTGTTTAGCTTGGCTCGTTCTCTGGATGAGCAGCGGTAGGGGCGAGGGCTGGGTTGGGGCTGGGGCGAGGGAGGAAGTGGGAGGGAGTTGTGTGGGAAAGGGCGGCCTGACGATTATGGGGGGAAGAAAAGGGAAGGGCTGAAGCCTAGTGGGAGCTGGGGGTGTTTGGGGGGTCGTTCCTTGTGCAATTTTACCTGTTGTTGTTGCTCCAACGTTTACAACGTGCATGAAGTGAGAGTTCGCTTTGCCCTGCAACGGCTGAGGCTGTGGAGGCATGGGCGCATGGCGGGTAGTGTGCTGTGGTTGGGCGCTCTGGTTGGTTGGGTTGCCTGTGCCGTGATTTGAGGCAGTGGGGTGTGGGGACACAGGGAACCAAACCCGTCGTGCACCCGTCGGATCCGTTCATGGACGTGACGAGGCGGGGCGTGCCCCGCTGCGCGTCCTGTATTTCTCTGGGCTAGCCGCTCCCAAGCGAGGAGCAGCCCGTTTCGACGGAAGTACGGCAGAAGTGAGATGGATGTGGGGAAGGACCTCTCCCAACAATCGTACCCTGTAACTTCTATTATTAACACTTGGTTGCTTTCGGCAGCATGGATTAGGCAAAGCCTGAACATGCCGGCTCATACGCGGAGACGGGTGATGGAAGAAGGATTGGCGCTGACCCTGATGTCACGGAGTTGTTGATGGCCTATCATACATCATAATCATAATCAACGCTAATGGTTTTAATTATCGGTTTAGCTAAAAAGTCCCCATCCCACTTCACAACGCATGAAAAGAAGCGGAGAAGGGCAGTTTCGCCTTATCGCCTTCCTACCATTAATGTTACACACTGGATGTGATTCGTCTAGCACTTCCACTACTGCGATAATATCACGGAAACATGGTCTAATATAAGATGAGAAATACGTTTTTCGAAGACAGATCTCAATGACGTGAACATGCTTGCTTGCCCGAAGCATTGCAGAGCCAAGCGTAGATCAACTAGCGACGCACTCTCATTTACATAGTTTACATCGGATACAATGGATTCGCAATTTAAGGCAAAAGGCAGCCAACTATCAGAGAGAGGTAACAGGTAGGGATCGTAGGTCGTAAGCACGGCAGATATGATGTGTAGCCACGGGGCCCAAATGTGTGCGCTAACAGACCTTAATATTCCTAACGTATCGGCTCAAGCGCAATCATTGCTACAAAACGGCAGCCTAGTTGTACCGTACAACTCCCCAACACCCGCTCACTCTGGCTTTGCTTCAAAGACATATACAGACAGAGTTGGCAATAGGACTGACCTTGACTACTTTACATCGAAGGCCAACTGTGTTTGAAGAACTAGCGCTGCACTCATTGGCTACGCTTTCAAGTTGATGTTTACTCGTTAGCGTCACCAAGTTGTAATGGTATTTGGAAAAGCAGGAATCCACGTTGCTCGGATGACATTCGGAGGAGCACTTTGAACGCATTCAATGGCTACCACTGCGGTTGAGTTGTAGGGAATTCATTGTTACAACAGACAGGGTATCATGGAAGCCCCTGCTTCGCCCTTGCAGCAGCCCACTGGCTCTGCGCGTACGGCCGCAGTGCTGCTCTTAGATTCTCCCCGCAATACTACCAGTGGAGGTGCCGAAAAGGGCACCGCGGTGGACGACAATGCAGCAGATGTTAAGGAAATCCGTCTGTCGAACTACTCAATTGAATACGGCACGCATAACATGCCTGACTTATATGGCAACAAGGTTTGGATTCACATGCTAACCCCCCCGAAGCTTGAGGCGGACCAGGCGGCAGGCTCCGAGCCTAGCCCCGCCCCCAAAAGCGACGCTGAACGGACGTACACCCTCCTCGAGGTGCCGCCTTCACGACGGCTAGCGGCGCTGCAACAAGCACTGGAACGCCTATACGCAAACCAGCAAATCACCAACCGCCCCGGCACCGGCAACTGGATGGCTCACGTTGACGCGCCCACTGCTGCTGCTGCTGCTGCTGCATCACCTGACATCGCATGGCCCACCACACCTGACGGACCGCCCGCCGCCTGCCGCATCGACCTGCCTTTGGTCCTCCCCGCTGCGCGGACCAGACCACCCGCCCCTGATTCCCCCTCCTCCTCCTCCTCCGACGACGACAACCCCACCCAAGCCCAACCCCCCGACCCGCCGCCCGACCCCTCCTTCCCTCCCTCCTGGCTCCCCTTGCTGGGTCGCTCGCTGCTCTTCCTCTACCTCCAGCAATCCCGCTTCATAGACCCGGCCGCTTGGGACTTCTCGCTGCTTGCCGCCCTGCCCCGACTGGTCTTCCTCGACCTGAGCACCACCACCATCAAGTCCGCCCTGCCTGAGGACCTGCCCGCCCGGCTGCCCTCCCTGCGGGTCCTGGACCTGGCGGAAGCCACCTTGGAGCTGTCCGAGGAGCAGCTGGGCCGCATGCTCGTGGCGCTGTCGGGGCCCGTGGCTGCAGCGGCGGCGGCGGCGGATGCGGAGGATAAGGCGACGGTTGACAGCGCCATTCGTGCGGCTCTCTCGACCACAGCGGGTGGTGGTGGTGGTGGTACAGCAGCAACAGTTGCGGGATCAGGATCGGGACGGAAATACCCTCTTGTGCTGGCCACTGCCAGCGTACCCAGGGCGTACGTGGAAACCCAAAACACGTTCGTCTGCGCCTCCTGGGGCAAGCTGAAGCTGCCCGCAAACTTGGAAACCAAGGTTCCGGCCAGCGTGTTTGACCATGCAGCAACGTGGCGGGCCCTGGTGGCTGCGCGTGAGGCGGCGTTCTTTTGGTACGCTCGAGAGCTGTGGTGGGATTTCACGACGGTGGTGAGCCCGGGTTCGTATGGGGCTGTGTCGAGGCCGCATCTGGGCGTCAGCGTGCCGATGGACCCCTCCATGGTGCGGCTGGTGTACGATTTGGGGCTGCTGCCGGCGCCCAGGGAGGAGGAGGAGGAGCCGGACAACGGGCCTGAGATGCGGCACATGTTTGTGGACAGGTGGGTGTGGAGCGAGGTGTGGGTGCGGGTGCGGGTGTGGGGTGTTCTTGTCGGTGTTGTGGTGGTGCTTGTGGGAATTGCGGGTACCGGCTTGACACGACCTGCGCATGGCTGTGTGCATGCTGGCAGTGTTTCCGCGGCTCAGTTTGCCTAATCCTGGCAGTGAAGCATCACACCCGCTTTGCGCACAATGCCTCTGCCAGCGATGGACAGCTCTTGGTAACCACACGTCTTGGAAGCCATGCCGACATGCCAAGATGCTGTGCCATCTGCTGCGATAATCAACTGGCCGCAACACTGACACTGTCCATGCCCACTTAACCATGCATGCTGTCTGCGTGTGTGTGTGTGTGTGTGCGGTTACTGCCGTACCAGGTCCGGCATCCCCAAGCCCACCCACAGGAGCGCAGCCAGCCAAGGCGCGCGGCGCACGCCACCCAATGTACGGCTGTCGCTTGCATGGCCGTACAAACGCAGCAGCCTGGGCAGCCCCCTTTGGTCGCATGAGCAAAAGCTGCACTCGTCGTACCGCGACGCCGTGCACCTCAGCCTCTCAAGCAGGCAGTGGCGCATGCTGGCAGAAGTGTTCGGACCTGGGCAGGGGCAGCCCGCGACGGCAGCAGCAGCCGCGTCTACATCGTCTACAACAGGAGGAGGAGCAGCAGCGGCGGCAGCAGGGATGGGCGAGGATGATCCGTTCGCCTGCGAGGAGTTGTCGTTCGAAGCGTTGGAGCAACGGGAGCGCATGGCGTCAGGAGCCTTGTTCTCTGCTTGGTAGGCAGGCGAGGGCGTACGGCAGTGCGAGGGTGTGCTGCTATAGGCTGCTAGGGGGGTCCAGCAGCTGGGCCCTTGTGGGTTGAAGCGTGCAGGTGCTGAAGGTTCAGACGATGCTGGAGTGAATGTTTCAACTCGTATGAGAATGACTGCTGTGGGCAACCGCGTGAACGCGTTGTGCCACACATACCTCCTCGGTGTACGACACAACCGGGCATGATGCATCCCCCAAGTGCCCTCTCAGGGCATGCGGCTCTCCATCTTGCATGCCCGCCCTCCCTTGTCCCTCCCCCACGGCTTGTCCCCTTCCCAAACCCATTCCCCGCCCCGCCCCCCCCCCACCGCTTCCCCTTCCCCCCGCTCCCACAGCTCGGGTAACGGGTTCGGCATGGCGTCAGGTGGCCGCTACAAGATGGTCACCGCCGTCTCTTTCCCGGTCGCACGCGAGCTGGCAGCTGGCCGGCCGCATGCCGCCACGCCCGTAGTGATCCCCCGCCGCTCCGCCCTCGCAGCCCGCACCCGGGCTCGTAGGCTGCTGGTGGCTGCCCTCATAGGGCCCCAGGCGGCCCGGGGGCAGGGGCCAGGCGGGGAGGCCAACAAGGCTGCTTGCGGCGCGGGAGGGAAAGGGGCAGGCGGAGTGGACCTGGCGGTGGTGTCGCCGGCGGAGCGGGGTACCGTGTCCGTGGCGCAGTTCATGACGGCGGTACGACTGGAGTCTCGGTTGTACGGCAGGGTGCGGCGAGTCAGGTAGGGGAGGTGTGCGCGGGGTGTCAGTGAATTAACTTGGCAGGTTTGCCTTGGGGTGGATACGGGTGATGCACGCGCATGAAGCTCTGCAGGCTGCGGATAGGAATCCTTGGCCGTGAACCTTCCCCCTTTCCCTGTCGCCCCCCCCCCTGCCCTGTCACAGCATCCTTCCTGCCGGCCACCCCGCCCGCGCCACCACCCATGTCGCCCGCTACTGGACCTCGGTGCGCGCAGTGGCCGATCTGCTGTTCAGTGACCCACGGGTCAGGATCGGCGTGATGGCGGGCGCCGTACCGCTGGCGGCCGTCGCTGAGATCTCCTGCGAGGAGCTCCGCGCGCTGTGTGCCAAGCTGGCCAAGCAGGCGGCAAGCAAGGCCAAGCAGACGGGGGCGGCGGAGGTGGGGGGTGGCGGGCTGGGCAGCAGCGCAGCGGGGGTGCTGGCAGCGAAGGCAGAGGCGGCTGCGGACCTGGCTGATCTGGATGCGTTGCAGAAGCAGGTGGGCGGGTGGGGAGAGGGTGTGGGGGGTTACTGGGGTAATGTGTATTGGGTGGCCAAAGGCGGAGGAAAGCATCATTTCAGAGCACCGCTCCGTACCTCGCTCTCATCTTCATCTGTTCTCTCCATGCTCTTACACTCCCTCCTCCCCCTCCCCCCTCCTCCTCCTCCTTCCTCCTCCCCGTCCTCCTCCCCCTCCTCCTCGTCCTCCCCCTCCTCCTCTCCCTCCTCCTCCTCCTCCTCCTCCTCGCCCTATCACAGCTCTCCGCAGGTGGTCGCCTGGACGTGCCCGTTTCCATCCACCCCGAGGACTGGCTCCCAGCGGAGCAGTCCCTGGACCCGCTGTGCGACTGGCACCTGGCCGACCCACGGGTCTGGCCGCACGGCACCGTGCTGCACGGCGCAGTGGCCCGCGGCGCGCTGCACACCGTGGAGTGGCTGCTGGAGCGGGGGCTGCCGCTGAACGGGCGCATCGGGCTGTGGGAGCTCACTCCGCTGCACCTGTGCTGCATGCGAGTAGGTTTGGCCCGCTTGACACGCATCAATCCGGAGGGGGGAAGTTAAAGTAGAGAGGGAGAAAGAATCACAAACGAGAGGGAGGGCGCGCATGAGGGGAGCAAGGGGTAGAAGGGGCTGGAGAATGGGGGCCCGCGGTTCAACTGTTCGACAGTGTGGGATATCTGCACCCAGTGCATCCTGCTCCAAACCACTGCAGTCAATTCGCGCTCACGTTGCCCGTGTGTGGCCCCACTACACTACCTAACCACCTCCCTCGCCATGCATCGTGGTGCCTTTCCCGCCCGTGATACACACCCCGCACCGCTCATGGACACCCCCTCCCCCCCGCGGTCCACAACACGCCCCCTCCCGTCAGCCTGTCCTCTGGAGCTTCCCCGCGGATTACGGTCGATGGTCCCTCCTCGTCAACAATCGCCTTCCTGCACTCCCCTCGCCGCCAGCACCACCATCAGCCGCAGCCGCTGCTGCAACTACCCCCATCCCCGCCAGCTCTGCCCCTCGCGCCGGCGCGCCTGTCATAACCGATGAAGACCTGCTGGACTACATCTTCGGCCCGGATGACAAGTCGCAGAAGACAGCCGAGAACGAAATGCATCTGAAACACACCATGTACGGAGTGCTGCCAGGAAGGGAGCTGATGGCCAACGAAAGGCGACTTGCCCGCGTGAGCGAGCCCGTGCGGTTGCAGGCACGCATGCAGGCTACGCTAGATGCCAAGCTGGGGCTGAACCACACATGCTTTCGGAAGCGAGGAGAGCTGCTGTTTCCGGGAATTCGCAGCTCCAAGGTGCCGGATGACCTGTGAGTGGGGGTGCGGGGTGCGGGGAGCGCTGGCGGGCCCCACAGGTCGGGAACGAACTTGGAGCTGGGAGGAGGAGGCGGTTGCTGTTGTTGTTGGTGGTGATACAGCGATGATGCTGAGTTCTGGGCGTGTCTACATGCTAAGCTACGCTATACGCTGCGCGTTGCCTCCCTTACCTCCTCCTCCGTTGTCCTCTCATCGATTTCCTCCTTTGCCTTCCCCCATTTCCCCCTGCCCTCCCCCCCCTCCAGCCGCAACATCTGTCAGCTCCCGCGGCTCCTCGCGCTCAGCCCCTTCTGGTACTCTCCAGACGACCAAATGTTCGTAGGAGACGAACCCAAAGCCACGCAGCTGCAGCAACCCCGGGCGCGCACACTGCCCTGCACCGCACCCGCCACCACCACCACCACCTGCACCCCCAATGCGGCTGCCCGGGACCCCGCAGCAGCAGCAGCAGGCGATGTGGATGGGGGCAGCGGTGGTGCCGGTTTTGCCAGCGGGTCGGCTCAGCAGCTGGCGGCTGCCGCCTCACCCATGCTACGGCTGCTGCTGGGCCGGGGCGCCGACGTGTCCGCACGCAGCTGGAGCGGGCTGCAGCCGCTGCACTACGCGGCGGCCTCGTGCGGTGCGGAGACGATTGTGGCGCTGGTGGAGGCGGGGGCCAGCCTCACGGCGCCGGTGACGGGTGGGTTTGGGTACCGTGGGGCAAGGTGCCGGGTAGGGGAGGGGGGGCTGGGGAGCTGGGGGAGCGGGAGAGGAGGGGATGGGAGAGGAGGGGAAGGGGGCGGAGGGCGGGTGAGCTGCTTGCTGGGCTTGGAGAAGGTGGAGGTGGGGGGGGTGCATCGTCAGCATCATAATTACCTGCGATTACCTAGGCACGGTTAGAAGCGTTGTGCGGGTTACGGCTGCGTGTTGTTGGGGGTTAAGGGGTTAACATGGTGGCTGCCCCCGCTCCCCTCCTCGCCCCTCTCCACCGCCCTCCCCTCCCCCCCCCACCCGCAGGTACCCTGGTCGGCCCCCTCCACCTGGCAGCCTACCGAGCCGGCTGCCGCTGGTCCGGCCTGCCCCCTCGCGCCGCCGTACGGCTGCTGTCCTGCCGCCCCACCATCCCGCCGTACGCCGTACTGGCTCAGCCGGACGAGTGGCGCGGCACTCCGCTGTTCTGGCTGGTGCATGCGGGCAAGGCGCTGCCTGCGGGCACGCTGGGGACGCTGTTGGGGGGGCTGCGGGCCGGCGTGCTGGGGGCAGGAGGAGGCGGCGTGCAGGGGGAGGGGCTGCCCAGGCCTGTTGTGGAGGGCGTGGCGAGGTGAGGGGGGTGCGGTGTGTGTTAAGAAAACTGGCTGCGGGATGTGTGTGGGGGGGAGGGGGCAGGTTGGGGCAGGATTGGTGTGGGGCAGCAGGGGGTACCGGTGGGGTCGGAGGCTTTTACGCCAGTCTGTCTGTCGGTGTGTGTTAGGTCCCCTAGTCCCCCCCAACCCCCAACCCACCAGCACATCCGTACCCTTCCTGCAGGGCCTGTGCCCCCCACTGCTTTGCCTTAACTTGTGGTTTCCTAAGGTTTGGTATGGTCTTTGACCCTCCTTTCCCTCCCCCCTGTGCCCGCCCCCCCCCTTCCCAGGGTGCTCTGCTACCTGATCGTGCAGCGCCTGGTGGAGCACTGCCGGGTGCTGCTGCACCACTTCCCGGAGGCGGCGGGGGTGGCGCTGCCGCCCGCCAGCGCCACGCCGCTGCATGTGGCGTGCATGCTGAACTGCTGGAAGGACATATCCGACTCGGTGGGTGGAGTGTGTATGTGTTAAGAAACCTGGCTGGGAGGCGGAACGTACTGGGATTGCCGGAAGATGAAGTCCCCACAGAAACGCGATTGTGTGTGTGGGGGGGGGGGTAAAAATTAGGGAAAGAACTGTATTGGGGGCAGGGGCGTGGGTTGGGTGCTGGCAGGCTGTGGGTTGAGACGCCAGGGAAGGTGGGAGATGTGTTTTGTGGTTTCTTCTCCGCACGTACGTACTGGAGGTGGTGTCGGACCCACAACGCCCTGCATGCACGCAACACAGCACACTACAACACCCCTTCACCCATCATGCCCGTCACCACCCCCCGCAGAACCCGCTGATGTGTACCGTCACCGGATTCCCCATGATGTCAGGCGCCGGGTATCCAGAGGTAGGAAGCCCGCAGGCCGCGAGCAGTACGGTGCTTTTGCGGTGCTTGGCATGCTCCATTGCGTTTCACAACCCAACAAGGGGTATACACCGGTAGTTGTGTGATGCATGCAAATTGCAAAGTAATTAACCAGGTGTTATAACAGGTGTCGCGACGATGAAACAGCTGCCCGAGACCGTTTCCTGACTGAATGCAACCCTGCATGTGTGTGCTTTCTCGAGGCATCACACCGCGTGCATGAAGGGATCTCACTCTCGCTTTCATATTTCCTCCCCTTCCAGGAGATTGTGCAAGCGGCAGGACCCTACGTGCCGCCGGGCATGGCCCCCGTCGCGCCCACCACCACCTCCACCACCACCGGCGTTGCAACACCCTTGCCACCTGCTGGCGACGGCACTGCTGCTGTCGCCGCCGCCACCGCTCGTAGCTCTCGTTCTGCAGCCGGCAATGGCCGCGGCAGGGAGCTGCTAGTCCTGAGTGAGAGCTCTGAGGACGATGTGGGCAAAAGGCTGAACGAAGGCGGCGCTGCTGGCTCCGGTGCTGCTAGCAAGCCGGCCGGCAGCACATCTGCCACCAGCGGCGGTGACGCAGATGCGGGTACGGCACGTAGCGGAGGAGCTAACGAGGCCGGCAAGGGTGCCGTCGATGGCGGGGGCGAGGAGGAGGCGAGGCTGTGGAAGACGTGGCCGTATCCGCGGATCAAGGACGGACCGCTGGCGTTAGACACGGGCGAGGAGGGCGCGGTGCTGATGCAGGCGTGCGTGTCCCAACAGCTGCAGGTGGGGGGAGACGGGGTGCGGTGGGGTGGGGTGCGGCATTCTCCCTCCCCCCTTGCCTGTCCTGGCTTTTGCCTTCCGAAAGCTCTCACGCTGCTCTTCACTGCAGGTCGTGTTTTGCTCGGTATACGTCATGCCATACGTGTAGCGTATGGGTAGCGGCATTCCTTGTCAAGACGTCAAGAAAACGTCCTCCTCGTGCCCCCATGTCTTGCTCCTTGTTCCCTGTTCCTCCTCACAACGCCTTGTTCCGCACCCGCTGCCCCTTTCCTGCCTGGCTGCTCCCCCTCCCCCTCCGCGTCCTGCTCCCCCTTCTCAAGGACTCCTGCGCTACTGCTGCTGCTGCCTTCCGTCCGCCCTCTCCCCCCCCCTCAGATTGTCCAGATGCTCCTGGCTGCCGGTGCCCCGGCCGATGCGGCGGATGCGGCGGGCGCCACCCCCCTCATGCTGTCTGCCATGGTGGGCACGGCACCGCTGGCGGCGGCACTGCTAGCAAAGGGTGGGTGCTGCGGTGTGCTGCAAGCCTGCTGCTGCTGGGCTGGGCTGGGGGCGGACGCTGGGTGGGTGTGTTGGGTGGGATGTCACAGAGACGCAGGCAGGCAGGCAAGCAAGCAGAGTCCCCGGAGTACAAGATCTCGTTGCGGAAGTGAGGGCTCGAGAGTAGGGCAACCGAGGCCAGGTGTCAATGGGGAAAGCCCAGCGAATGCCGCGCGAAACCCCCCCACCCCCGCTCTCTCCAACCGCGTCCACCCTCCCTACCCGCCCGCATCCTGCCCCCCTCCCCAGGCGCCCGTGTGACCGCTGTCGCCACGAATGTGCGGCACAACAACGTGCTGGGCTCGATGAGGTCGGTGCTCCCGCGCTTGACGCCGCGCAAGGGGGGGCCCACCTATCTGATGCTGGTGCCGCCGGAGTCGCTGCTGCAGGAGCAGCCTGCACCGCAGCAGCAGCAGGGGCTGGAACAGGAGGGGCAGGAGCAGCAGGCGGGGGCGGCAGCGGGGCCGCCCAAGCCGTCTTCCGAGGAGACGCGGCGGAAGAAGGTTGCTGCGGCTGCCCCCACCTGTAGTGATGAGGATGAGGACGATGAGGCATTGGTGTGTGGCTATGATAGCGAGGACGAGAGGGAGGAGGAGAGGAAGAAGGAGAGGGAGAAGGAGAAGGAGAAAGAGAAGGTGGAGGAGGAGGAAGAGGAGTTCACAGGACCGGAGGCCAAGTAAGAGAGGTTACGGGCTGGGTGCGCGGGTGTGTGGGAGGTGCTGCTCTTCACACCTAGCTCCCTTCCGTTCCTGCTCTAACCTTTACCTCTACCCCACACCTGCCGTTCCCCCCGTGCGCTGGTTTTCCCCCGCACCTTCATATGGTTTGCATGGGTCCGATTTGACCCCCCGACACACCCCTACTTGCCGTTCCCCTCCCTCCCTCCCTCCCTCCCTCCCTCCCTGCCTCCCTGCCTCCCTCCCTCCCTCCCTCCCGCCTCCCTCCCTCCCTCCCTCCCGCCTCCCTGCCTCCCTCCCTCCCTCCCTCCCCCCAGGGTTGAGAACTTCCGTCTGACACCCATCACCGGCTGCCTGTACCGGCTGATGCAGTACCACAAGTTCGAGCTCCCGCACGGTCGCAAGGCGCGGCCGGGTGTTGGCGTGGACGGCAAGCCCTACTCGTATGTGGTGGACTACAACGACACCAGCCAAGTGAAGCAGGCCAAGTAAGCGAGCGGGATGGGTATGCGGTGAAGATTGGTAAACACTCCCGCGTGTGTTGTTGTCCAGGCAACATCGCACTCACTGCATGCTCCCCTCCCCCCAACTTCACAGCGGCATCCCTCTCCCTCCCTCCCTCATCTCCCTCCCTCCCTCCCTCCCTCCCTCATCTCCTCCGCGGTCATGCGAGTGTGTCCTTATTGCAGCCCGTTAAGGCTACCCCATACCACCCCAAGGTATCACCCCTCCACTCCACTTCACTCCCCTCCACTCCTCCCCGCCTGCATGTCTCCCCCCCCCTCCCAGGTGGGCTGACGGCATCCTGTGGCTGCTGCTGCGCCACAGCCCCGCGCCCCTGCGAGCCGCGGTGGTGCGCGCGCTGATGGGCGCGGAGGTGCGGTCACTCATTCGGGAGCTGCCGCGCACGGCGGTGGCGGTGCTGGGGGCGGCGGTGCCAGGTGGGTGGGGGAGGGGCGGGTGTGGGAAGGGGCGCCAGGAAGGGGGGAGGGCAGCAGGCGGTGTCTGCTAAGCCTAGTTTGTGCGTTGTGGACCCCTGACGCCTCCCCTGTCCCTTGCTGTTATGTTCTTTTCTTCCTCGCTGGGCCCCGCTGAGCCTCTCTGAGCCCCGTTGCTGCGGCTGCTGCTGCGGCTGCTGCGGCCCCCCCAGGCAACTCCCTGGTGTCGTACGCGGAACGTGCCACGCGGGAGGCCTGCTCCTCGCTGTCTCCCTTCACCACCTCCTCGCTGGACTCCGCCGTACGGAGGGCGCTGGACCTGGTGGCGGACTCCCTAACCGACACAACCGCAACCGCAAAAGGACCCTCCAAAGACAAGAACAAGGATGATGCTGATGCTGATGCTGATGCTGATGCTGATGGGGACGGCGACGGAAAGGAGAGGGAGAAGGAGGAGGGGGTGGATGCGTTGGCAGCGGTGGTGGCGTCCACGCCTGGGGCCCTGGGAGCTGGGTGGCGGTGGGGGCCGTACGAGGACGAGGTGCTGTACGACCTGATGGCCACCGGGTTGTACCCGCTGTTCGTGTCGCCGGACATGACCAACGGTAGGTGCCAAGTACCTTGCGAAGGGGAGCTTCTTGTGCTGTTGGTGACTTGGCGTCTTGGTGTTGGGCTCTGGACGCGGGGGTGCTGGGGTGCTGTTTGCCGGCATGCATGCTGTCGTGCGCCGCCTCCCTACCCCTCCCTCCCTCCCTTCTACACTCCGCCGACCTCCCGCTCTTCCAACCCGCCCCCCCCAACCCCACCCCAGGCGAGGCCTCCATCCTCCGCATGAGCGCCCAGCTGCTGCAGTTCGCCAACCGCATGCGGCTGGGCAAGCGGGCGCTGCTGGAGGCGCATGTGCGGCAGTTCCCCGCGCCAAACATCCAGGCAGCAGCAGCGGCTGGAGCTGTGGCGGGGGCGGCGGGAGCGGGGGCGGGTGCGGGCGGGGGCTTGTCTCTGGAGAGCATGGAGCTGATGCTTCCAGAGACGTTTTCCACCGCTTGTGCGTTTGCGCAACAAAGGGTGGTGCAGCAGCAGCAGCCGACGCAGGAGGGGGGCGGGCGGCGGCAGCAGCAGCGGGGGCAGGAGCAGGGAGGAGGGGGCAGGGTGGCAAGTTGTAGCACTGGGGGAGGGCGCGGAGGTGTGGGTGGAGGGGCTGGCGGCGAGGGCGAGGGTGAGGGTGAGATGCCCTCCTCGGTGCTGGCGCTGCACACACAAGATGATCTGGAGTACGGCATGGCGTATGCGCGAGTGGTGGGTTGCATGCGGGAAGGGGGGCGGGGGGAGGAGGAGGCATGCTGGGAAGGGGACGGTGACGATGGGAGGGGGTGGCAAGGGGAGTGGGTTGGTTTGCAAAACCAGCCGCAGAACTGACAGTTACCGGTACCTTGAAGAGAGGTGTGTGTCCCTCTTCCGTGCTCCATTCGCGTCTCCTCCTCCTCCTCGTCCCTCATCTCAATCTGTACACGCGACTATTCCCCTATCACCTAACCCCCAACCCCAACGCCTCCTTCCCAGGCGGAGGTGCTGCCGCCCGTGACTTCCATTCGCGCCACCTTCGGTCACCGCGCCCCCCTTCCGGACATCTCCATCCGCCGGCTGGCGGGCACCATGTTCCGCTTCGTGCGGGTGCTGTGCCACGTGAACCAGGAGGAGCTGGACTGGGTGGGTGGGGCGGGGGGTTGGTATTGAGTGGGGGCTGCGGAGGTGATGTAGCGGGCAGGTTGTGGTGTTAACGGCCGGGTGGTGGTGTAGGAAAGGTTAAGGGGTGGTGGTGTATACCGTATACATGTAGTTAGGGGCGGCAGCGTGTCTCCCTGGGTGTCCTTCCCTTCCCCAATACCCCTACGATACCTGTTAGTGCAGCGCCCCCCTCCCCCCATTCCTGCCCCATTCCTGTACCATTACTATTAACCCCCCTCCCCCCCTGCATGCACGCAGGTCCGGCTGCCCGGCGGGGTGACCAGCGCCTCCGCGGACGGGCTCTTCCTGCCCCTCATGCCCGGGGACCCCACCTGGAACGTGACGGACATCTTCAGGTGGGGCTTGCGGCGCCTGGGTGCCCAGTCACTTGCCCCCTCCACAAGGCATACCTCCCAAGTGCGGCACCTTACCTCCCCCCTCCTCCCGCCTGTGCACCCCTCCTGTGCACCCCCTTGCCACGCACGTCCTCCTCCTCCGCCCCCCCCCGCAGACCTCGCCACCTGGGCTTCCGCATCACCTTCGCCTACACCCGCCGCAACCTCACACTCGACTTCAGCGCCCTCACACTCATGCGCTCCGTGCCCATGGACATTCGGGGCAGCGAGCGGCCCCCCGCAGCACATGCTGCCGCTGCTGCCGCTACAACAGCAGCACCTGCAGCTGCAGACCCCTGTGCGGAAGCCAACGGCAGCACCACCACCGCCGGGGGCCCACACGGGCGCCAGACTGCTGCGCCTGCTGCTGCTGCGCCTGCGGACATGGGCGGTGGTGGGCGCGGCGGCCGCATCCGGGCCGCGCCGGTGGATCACAGCCGGTCGGATGAGTTCAGCTACTGGCTGCGCAACCCCGACGTGGTGCGCATGGAGCAGGTGCAGACCTTCGCGGGCAAGCTGGAGGCGGTGGCGGATGCGGTGGGCGGCAACTGGCGGCAGATGCCGGTGGCGCCCGTTTGGTGGATCTCGGGCTGGGTGGACAGGTGGGTGGAGGGGGGTGGAACCATGCGGAGAAGGAGAAGAAGAAGGAGGGAAACCATATGCGTAGACCGATACCGGTTGCGGCATATAGCGGTAGTGGTATTGTACTGGGTGATAAGCTCCCGGTGTGCTATCAGGCGGGAGGTGCATACACAGCGTACCGGTGACAGGCTCCTCGCATGCGCGGCAGCCCTGCTGGACACTAGACTTCCGCTCCTCCTCTCCCCCCTCCCTGCCTCTCCCGCTTCCCAGGTTCCTGCGGCTGTTCCTGGTAACCGCCATCGAGGGCGAGGAGGAGATGATGAAGAAGATCCAGCTGCACAACCTGTACGACCCCAACATTGAGGTGAGCCGCAGCAGCACAGCCGGCATCACAGCTGAGAGGGGAGGGCCGCTCCCAGCCGCATGCGCGCTCTGCACCCCTCGCTGCTGCTTTGCTGACGTCGTGACCTGTGTGGGTTCTGAGCTTCTGACCTCCCCGTGACCTTCCCTCGCTCGCCCCCTCCCCCTCCACAGCCCCCATGGGGCACCACCAACAACACCGCCGCCGCCTCGACCGCTGGCGGAAAGAACAAGAAGAAGGCGAAGAGCAAGGGGAAGACCAGCAAGGGCGCTACTGCCGCCTCGCAGGCTCCTGCCTCCCCGCCCCCCCAGCAGGGGCCGTCCTCCTCCCTGTCCTCCTCCTCGCCATCCCCCTCCTCCTCTCGGGACGCGGGCAAGCTCCGCTGGGACCGCGTGGAGGCCACCCTGCTGGGCCTGGTGGCCTCCATGACGGTGGGGGAGTGGGGGGGTGACGCGGATGAGTGCAAAGGGGGCCCAGGGGAGGAAATGGCATGCCACATGCGGCGTCTTCGTCAGGCTAGACGTCGGGCTAGACAGAGTGTCCTTGTCTGGCTGCACCGGTAGAGCATGTTAATAGGAATGCGGGCACGGATGCGGGTGCGAGTAGCAGGGTAGTGGTTGCCGCCGGGGTATTCAACAGACTCTGGGGCTTTGCCGCTGCGCTTGTGTGGTTGCCTTCCTATATGGTCACACAGTGCTTCTTCGCGCCTCGGCTAACAGCTAATCCGTAACCTGTCCCCCCTTGCACCTGTCCCTGTCCCACAGATGGGGGGCAACCGCAGCGGGCAGGAGGACGGGTTTGCGGACTTTTCCGGGCAGCAGCTGAGCGAAAAGGAGATGAAGGTCATGGAGAAGGTGGGGTGCTTGGGTGGTTGGGTGAGGTGGTTGCGTGAGGTTGGCCGCATCATGCAGTGCCCGCACATGATGCCTTGTGACGTCCCACTTGCTGCGGTGCCAGTGCTGTGGACTGGCACTCCGACTAGGACTCGATGCGTGCTCCCCGCATGCCGTAACGCACACGCCTGCCGTGTTGTTGCCCCTCACCCGCCACCCCTGCAGGGGCTTCATAGCAAGGCGGGGGAGGTCATCATGGGCATGGTAAGCGGGGGTGGAGCGGGCGGGGTGGGGGGTTGGGGGCGCAGGTTGTACAGGGTGGGAGTGGTAGAGGGCCCCCCTGGTGGGTCGCGAGTCCGAGGAGACTGGCTGCGAGCAGTAATAGTATTGATAAAGCATTTATTATTGATGATATTATTATTGTGTGTTAATGTACGGCCGTACGCTCGTCCCCGTGTCCTCTCCGCTCCCCCCCACCCACCTGCAGAGCACCAGCGACAAGAACCCGGATCGCGGCTGCATCGTCTTCACGGCGCAGTGGAACAAGCTGGCGCAAGCGTGCGTGCGGGGCTGTGTGTGTGAGGGGGGGCTGTGAGGTGGGGGGGTCAAAGATATACCAGAGCCACAGGGGGGGGCGTCACTGGGGTGCTGCATTGCTGGGTTTGGGATCAGGAGGCAGTTTGTTGGGTGGTAGGGCACGAGGGAGGGAGGCAGCCCAACACAACCACAACCAGCAGCTGCTTGGTTGCTCTCTGACACACGCAGTTGTCTATCACAAGGTGTGCGACTACGTGTAGGGAGGGCTACTGCGGGAGCCGCAGCAAGTCCGCTGCATGCTGGTACCGGTATTCCTCCTCTCCCTCCCTTCGCAACCCAACCCTCGCTCTTCATGAGCACTTCTTCTACCACCATCCCACTCCCCCCCTTATTCTCAGTCAGTTAGTTGTTTCCTCTTTACCCCCCCCCCTTGTTCGCCCCTGCAGTATGAAGTGGCCGGTTCGCAGCACGCTGGAGGTGCAGGTGGGTGGATGCCGTCGTTAGCGCGGCCATGATGTTACCTCCTGATCTTCCACCTCCAGCGGTTGCTGCTGTTGCGGCTGAGAGAACATGTGCTGTTCTCTCCCATCCTCGCCCCACACAGTCATGTACATACTTACAGTCCCCCTCTGCCCGCCCCGCCCCCCCTTCTGCCCGCCCCGCCCCCTCCCCCCTGCCCCCAGGACGTGTTGTCTCGCATGGTTCGCATGTCTTGTTGCTCCTACTGGAGCAGCTGGGAGTCCTCGGTGCAGGCCATGCTGGGCCTGCTGATGTCGGGGGAGGTGTCGCCGGCGCTGAGGAGGGAGACGGAGGCCAAGCTGCTCAGGTGGGGGGCGGGGGGTGAGGAGGGAGGAGGGGAACGAAGGGACGGAGGGGGCTGTGTGGCGAGGCTTGTCTTGGGTGGGAGGTGGGGCACGTGGGGTGGGAGAGGGGACGAGAGGAGGTAGAGGGGGGGGTGCTAGGGTTAGGGCGGGGGCGCTGGAAGCAAGGCATAGATAGAGGGGCAAGGGCTGCAGGCTTCGCATGATTCCTGCCCTTCCTGTGTGTGTATTTACTCCCCTCTCCCTCCCCTCCCTACCGCACCCTACGTCACAGTATCACGTTGTGCCCCTTTATCACTGCACATCATGCCTTGTTCCCGATATGCCGTACTTTTCACCAATTCCGTCCCTTTTTGTAACTTCCGCCATTCTTCCATCCCCATACACCCCACCGCGCCGTCCTAGTTGTGTCGTCTCGTGTCTTAGGCTTACCTTAGTACTTCTTTGCTCGCATCTTCACCATCGTCCTCTTTCACTTATACTTAACTTCCCCTTTCGCTTTCCTTGCCTCATTCCGCATATCTGGCTCTCCGCGGGACATCGCTATCAACTCGCCTCGACCTAACTTCCTCCATGGTCCTGGCGGCTTGCCATGGACATGTCTCATGGTGCACATATCCTGTGCACGCAGGTACGTGTCTTATCGTGTGTCAGTCTGTGTAGTTTTTTATGCGTGCTCGTGTTGTGCTGTTCCTGTTTGCCTATGCCCAACGGCGCGGTGGGTCTCCAGCTCACCTTCAGCAGCCTCCACACATGCCCAAGACTATGGTAAGGTTGCTCCATAATTGGTAAGTTCGGTAAGTTTAGCTCGCATTGCTTTAACCACCATTTCGGCTCGACTCACGGTTGATTCCACCAGGGATTGTCAGCAACTTGTATCATTATCATACCACACTTTGGAATTTCTTTTTTCCCCTCCCTCCCCCCCCCTCCCAGCCTGGCCTCCGACGTGGTGTTCGCGCGGCGGCTGGTGTGGGGCATGTGCCGGGGCCGCCGCGGGGAGGCGCGCACGCTGGCGCTGCTGAGCGGTGTGGTGGAGTTCCAGCCAGCGCTGCTGGAGGCGATCAGACAGCACGAGGAGGAGTGCCAGGTGTGTGGGGGGGCGATGGGGGGCGGGAGATGAAGGAGGGGGGGCAGGTGGGTAGGACAAGGAAGGGAAGGAGGATCGAGTTGGGTAGGGTGAGGCGGCTGGGGCGGCTGGCACGAGCTAAGCTGGGTATAATAATCCTGAGGCCCCTGAAGCCCCTCATCCGTGCCGCCTGCTGCACTGCCCCCGTATCCACCGGCCCTGCATGCCTGCCCCTGCATGGCCCCTCCCACCCCCCCTCAACCCCCCCAGGCGCTGTCCAAGTGGCAGGAGGAGGAGCACTGGGCGGTGGCGGCGGGCCCCGCCCTGCTGCACCTCACACCCGAGCAACTAGCGGGGGAACTGCAGCACAGGCTCGTCCTCCGTACGCCGCCGCTGGTCATCCCGTACGACACCGCTATCGGCGCCGACGCCTCCCTGCCGTACAACATCACAGGGGAGATGCATGCCGCCGCCGCGGCGGCGGTGGCCGCGTCGGAGGAGGTTGCCGGCCTCACCCCTGCGGCCCCCGCAGCGCCCTCGTCACTGGAGGAGGAGGTCACCAGCAGCACCTCAGCTGATGCCGCTGCTGCTGCCGGCGACTCTGACCCCACCGCCGGCGGCCCTGCCACCACCTCCACCTCCACCCCCGCTCCCCCTCCCTCCGCTGAGGGTGGCGGCAGCAACGCTCGGACGCACGTCATGTTTGTTCGCTTCCGCACCCGCGGCGAGCTGCGCACCGCGGTGTCCTCCCCGCTGGTGACCAACGAGGAGGACCTCACACCCTCCGCAGAGCAGCTCAAGCAGCAGTACCCGCAGGCGAGTCCCCAGGAGCTGACCAAGCTCGCGGCACGCATGGCTGCGGAGGTGCGGCGGCAGCGGCGGCGGAGCCCGGCGCTGCTGGTTGCGCTGTTGCCAGTGTCGCAGTGGGAGGCGGCGGCGGTGCCGGCCGCGCGGCTGCCTCGGCGGGATGACGCGAGTGCGCTGTCGTTCTTCAATCTGGTGTTCAGTCGGTTGCCGCGGGGGCTGCAGCGGGCCGACCCGCATGCGGCTGGGTCGCTGTGGGGCTGCGGGCTACCCGCGGTGCTGCTGCACAGGCGGCCGGCTGCAAGCAGGTGGTCTCCCTGGCTGCTGGAGGCGGATGTGGGCGAGGAGGCGGCGGTGGTGGGGCCGCTGTTCGAGGCGCACACCACCCAGCCGCTGCCCAAGACGTGGATTGGGGTGAGCGGGGAGGAGGGAGGAAGGCGGGAGGGGGCTGTTGCTACAATGGCTGCAGTGACCTGACGTGACTCTGCAGTGGAGGTGGGACATGAAGTCATCGTCAGCCGTCCGCCCCGTTCAATGGTCCCCCCTTCCCCCCCTGCAGGATATCGACTCCAGCGGTGACGGGGTGGTGTCGTACCGCGAGTTCCTGCAGGCCTACCTGCGCCACCGGGCGGGTGAGGGAGGGGGGGAGGGGGGGCGGTTGGGTCATGCGGCGCACATTCGGACATGGCACCACCTGGGGGCTGTGCTGCTGGTAGCAGTCTACTTAGCGCGGGGCTCCTGCCTCACTCCCAGCACTCCCCCCCCCTTGGTTGCCTGTGTACGGTGGTTCCCACTGCGCCTCTGAGCCCTCCCCACCCTACATGTGGCATGCCCCCCCCCCCCTGCTCCCTGCACAGGGGACTTTGGGAGCACCCCGATGGCTGAGGTCGCACCGCCTCCTGCTGCTGCTGCGGGTGGCGCTGGTGGTGCTGGTGCTGCTGCTGCTGCGATAGAGGTAACCGCCACTGCGACAGCGGCACCCCAGACTGCAGCAGGAGCTGAGGAGGAGGAGGACAGTGCAGCAGCTGAGATGAGCGCAGCTGCAGCGCCTGACTCGGCCCCCCCGGGGCCCTCCTCGGACGCCCCCGCGGCTGCTGCTGTTGCTGCCCCCCCGCCCGCTGGCCTGCCCTCCACGCTATCCGGCAAGCGGGGCTGGCAGCGGCTCAAGGCGGCCACTCGGAGCCAGCTGTCGCAGGCGTTCTGGGACCGGGAGAATGCGCTGCGGCGACTGAGGTGGGTGGGGTGGGGGACGGCAGGCGGGCTGGCAGGCGGGCAGGCATGGGCCGCTAGCCAGGGATTGCAAGGATTGCGAGCCACCCCCCACCTGCGCCCTCAACTTTACGCCCTACATTCCCTCCCCTCCGTCTCCCACAACAGGGCTCGTGAGACAGAGGCGCATGCGGCCGCACAGCAGGATGCCCTGATGACAGCGGAGAGGAAGGGCGCGGCAGGGCCGGCAGCAGCAGCAGCAGCACGGCCGCTGCGAGTGCTGGGAGCGCTGGGGGGGCTGGTGGCAGGTGGGGTGGGAGTGGGGAGTGGCAGGTGGGGTTACGTGGTGCACTTGGCCGGGCGCTTCCGGTGGTGCATGCATGCTTTCATGGGGCTCGTGCCTCCGCCCGGAAGCATGCAGGTCTCCCGGGTCTGCCGGCCTGCGTATCACTCCGGGGAGCCATTCCTCCCCCGCTCCATCTATTCCTGCCCCCTCCCCTCACTTACCCCGCTTCCTTCCCCCGTCCCCCCTCCCTACCCCCAGACGGCCCCGGCGGCCCCCCCAGCCCCCCCTCCACCGGCGTGCTGCTGGCGGGTCTGGACTGTCTGGCTGCGGAGGAGCTGAGCGAGGTGCAGCGCTGCGCCTGGACCGTGTACGCCAACCTGCGTAGTGCGGCGAGGTGGGGAGGGAGGAGGGATGAAGAGGGAGAGACGAGGAAAATTAAGGAAACTGACGGAGGGGGGCGGAGGGTGCAGGGTGACTGCTTCGTGCGGCATAGGCAAGATAGGAATAAGCAAGGGCACGCATGGTTCCCGATTGGTGATGCTCGACGGACCCCCATGCCACCCCCCCCTCCGCAGGTACCTCCAAGCCGCCCACACCGAGGGCGCCATCTCCACCACCCCCACCCCCACCACCGCCCCACAGCCCACCACCGCTCCATTCGCCACCTCCACCGCTGCTGCAACCACCACCGCCACCGCCACCATTTCCTCCTCGCCCTCCTCCTCAGTCATCCTGACACCCTTCCAGTTGGCAGAGCGTGCGGCCCTGGACTCCCTGCTGCGATGTGTACGGCAGCCGGGTGCGCTGTTTGGCCCGGGGGGAGCAGGAGGGGGGGCGGCGGCAGGAGCGGAGGCGCCGGCGGCGGCGGCAGAGGAAGCAGCCGCCGGAGGGCAGGAGCTGCAGCAGACGCAGCAAAAGGAGCTGCAGCGTGCCAAGAGCTCCGATGCCGCCACTGGTACTGCTGCTGCTGTTGGTGAAGGAGATGAAGGCGGGAGTGGGGAGGAGGAGGCGGCGAAGAAGGAGGTTGCTGGGCCAGAAGCTGCTGCTGCTGGTGTTGCTGCGGGTGGGGAGGAAGGGGTTGATGGCGGGAAGAAGAAGACGGAGGAGGCTGCTGCGGCTAGCGGGCGAGGTGGTGATGCGACTGCTCGGCCGCCGCAGCCCCCGCGTGCCGTGTCGCTGGCGAGGCAAGGCGATGCGCGGTCGTGGCTGCGGGCGATTGCGGGAGCGGCGGGGGCGGGCAACAGGACGGGTGCGCAGCAGGACGCAAGCAGGTGCGGTGCTGGGAGGGAGGGGGAGAGGTCATGTGCGGCTGCGTGGTTATGGTGGTGGTGAAGGTTGTGGTTGTTAGTTGCGGTTGCGGTTGTGTTGCTGCACACGCACGCGCACACACGGCCAGTTTTCTTAACACACACACAGCCAGTCCTCATAGCACACACGCACCCACCTATCGGCGCCCACATGTACATACATTCCGACTTGCGGCCGGTTCCACCACCACACGTCCCATATTCCCACCCCACAACCCACCCACAACCCCACCCCACACGGTCAGTTAGTTGTTTCCTCTTAACCCCACCACCCCCCGCAGTTCCGCGCACCCCCGCGACTGCGCGCTGCTGGAGCTGCTTCTGGACCTGGCTGCTGCCACCGGCACCGGCGCGCACGCCGACCCGCTGGCGGAGGGGCAGCACCGGCCGCTGGGGCCGCTGCCGGGGGTGCCGCCGCTACTGCAGGGGCGGACACTGGCGTCGGCCGCAACACAGGTGGGTGCTGGGTGGGTGGGTGTTCGGAAAGCTGGCCGCGAATGTGCATGTGTTAGGGGGGTTGAGCAGGGTGGAGTGTGTCCGCAAGGACCCCACCACCCGCCTGCGTCAGTGCAGTGCATCATCATACTCACCCCCACCAACCCGCCTGGGCTGGCTCACATGTTGCAAACCATAACGACGCCTTATCACACAGTCCTTAGTTGTTTCCTCTTTAACCCTCAACCAGCCCGAATTCGCCTCCGCTCCCGCTTCTCATCCCCTTTTCTCGTCCCCATCCCTCCCCCCTTCCCTCCATCCGCACCCCCGCAGGTGGGTGCCGACGCGGCGCTGGAGCTGACCTCCTCCGTGGGTGCTCTGGCGCTCTCCGTCGCCTCCGCCGCCGCCGCTCGCGACGGTCTGCCTTCCCCGCTGGGCGGCCTTGACGAGGTGTTCGCGGCGAGTGCTCTGCGGCTGGCTGCGGAGGAGGTGTGGGCGTTCGTGACGGACATGCAGGCGCTGGTGGATCAGGTGCTGTCGCCGCTGGTGGCGGCGGCGGACCAGAGCCTGCCCATCATCCAGCGCGAGTCCATCAAGGCGATCTTCGGGGACACCAACATTGAGCTCATCCTGGGTGAGAGCTGGCGGCGGCGGCGGCGGCGGGGTGCGGGAGTGTGGGAGTGTAGAGATAGTGGGGGAAGATGAAAACCGGCGGGACGAAAGACAGCGGGAAGTACAGTGGTCCGACCATGCTGGGGTGCAAGTGGGCGTAGGAAGAGGGTGGAGGGGGGCTTTGGGGGTGGGTGGGTGGGAATGAACGTGGTAGTAACTCGGTCGCATGCGCTACCTCCTCCCTCCCACCGCTCCACCATCGTTGCCATAAGGAAATGCTGCTCCCCTCTCTCCCCTCCCTCCCTCCTCCCCTCACCCCCCCTCCCTCCCTCCTCCCCTCCCCCCCCAGAGTACGAGACGGAGCTGCTCAAGCTGCTGACGGTGCACTGGCGCTCGCACGCGCGCACGGGGCTGCTGGCGGGCAGTGTGGCGGGCCCCGCGCAGTACCTGCTGGCAGCGGTGCAGCGCGGGGTGGCGGCGGGCAGGGTGCGGGGGTACGCGGGGGAGTTCGCGCCGGGGGCAGAGCAGGTAAGGCGGCGGGGTGGGTGATGGTGGGAGAGGGTGGGTGGCGGCGGAGGAGAGCAGCGAGGGATGGGTATGGGGAGGCTGGGGAGGTGCGCACCGGTTGTCGTCCGTCAGCATTGGGGCCGGTATGTGGGCAGACTGTGAGCGGGTTGTAGGTTCTGATCGCACCCGTCCCCACTTGTCTGCCTGCCCGATACTCACCTCGTCCCCCTCCCCCTCCTTCCCCCCCTCATCCGCAGCTGGGTCTGGACCCCCTGAGTGGCGGCGTGCAGGTGCGCCCCGTGCTGACCGACCCGCGGGTCGCCTCCGAGGTGCTGGAGCTGCTGCTGCGCCTGGCCACCGCCTACCAAAACTACCTGGACAACATCGACCGGGCGCTGCAGGTGGGGGGGAGTGGGGCTGGGGTTGGGGTTGGGTGATGAGGTGGGAGGGGGGTAGGCGGGGCGACAGGGGCACATGCGCATGGAGCTTGCGGTCTTATCCCTCTCTTTAACCTACCCCGCCCCCATATCCTACATCGCTCCGCATGTGCTTCTGCTTGATGTTGTTTTGCCGTACACCGGTGTACACGCAGGAGCTGCTGTCGTGTCTGGAGCGGGACGGCAAGGGCACCTTCCTGGCGCTGCTGCGGCGCTTCGGACGGCCCGTCAAGGTGAAGCAGCCCAAGAAGAGGAAGAACAACAAGAGCGGCAACGACGCGGGGCAGGACAAGGCAGCTTCGGGGGCTGGGACATCTGAGTCGGCGGTTGCAGGTGCTACGAGTAATGCGGGCGGCGCTGAGAACGGAGATGATGACGAGGAGGAGGGGGAGGAGGATGATATCAGTGAGGAGGAGGAGGAGGGTGGGAAGGACGGTGCCGCTGGCAAACCCGGGGAAGCAGCCATTGTGAAGGCGCCAGGTCCGCTGCAGCAGCAGCCTGAAGCGCCGCCGGAGACCGATTCGCAGCGCAGACAGCGGCTCAAGGAGGCGGCGAAGAAGCAGGCCGAGGAGGAGAAGAGGAAGCGGGAGAAGGCCAAGTTCGGGGGTGCCCCAGTGCGCATCGCCCACCCGCCCCACCACCACGTGCGCCCGCTGCTGAGTGTGCGGCAGATGGCGCGGTACGGCCCGGGGGCGGAGCTGGAGGTGTGTCTGCGCAAGCCCGCGGCGCACCTGGCTACGCTGGCCTTCCTGGCGTCGGTGTGCAGGTGGGGGCTGGGAGGGAGGTAACTGGGAAGACTGGGATGAGTTTAACTGGTTGGTGCGGGGAGGGAGTTGGGGGAGCTTGAGAAGGCTTACGTGGAGTGGGGCGTAACAGGATGCATGCGTACCGTGGCCTACGTGCCTCCAGCGTATCTGTGCCTTTCCCCTCCCGCCTGCCGTACCGGACGCGGCCTGTTTCCTTGACACATCATGCATGCATTCAGCTCAAGTGTGAGGCCGCCCTTCCTGCCCCCTTTCTCCCTCTCTCCCCGCTCTGCCGCTGCCGTACTGCACACACGCACGACAGGTCCATCACCGCGGCCCAGGACCAGGTGCCCGAGCTGCAGGCGGGCACGGGGGACAGCGGGGCGCAGGCGGCGGCAGCGGGGGGGCAGAGGAGGAAGAACGCGAACATGCGGGGCTCGGCAGCCTCCCCCGGCCCCCTGCGGTGGCTGTGGCAGCGGCTGGCGGGGGCGCAGATCGTGCGTGTGCTGCCGCTGGGGGCGGACGTGCACCCCATCTTCAAGGTAGGGGGGCAGCGGCTGCCACCAACACCGTCACCTGGCTGATGGTTCAGATAGCTGCACACCACCTTCACACCACCTGCACACCACCTGCACACCACCTTCACACCACCTGCACACCACCTTCACACCACCTTCACACCACCTTCACACCACCTGCACACCACCTTCACACCACCTTCACACGCCACCACCACCACACCTCACGCACCAACTCGCGGCCAGTACCGCTCCGACTCGCGGCCAGTACCGCTCCGACTCGCGGCCAGTACCGCTCCGACTCGCGGCCAGTACCGCTCCGACTCGCGGCCAGTACCGCTCCGACTCGCGGCCAGTACCGCTCCAACTCGCGGCCAGTACCGCTCCGACTCGCGGCCAGTACCGCTCCGACTCGCGGCCAGTACCGCTCCGACTCGCGGCCAGTACCGCTCCGACTCGCGGCCAGTACCGCTCCGACTCGCGGCCAGTACCGCTCCGACTCGCGGCCAGTACCGCTCCGACTCGCGGCCAGTACCGCTCCGACTCGCGGCCAGTACCGCTCCGACTCGCGGCCAGTACCGCTCCGACTCGCGGCCAGTACCGCTCCGACTCGCGGCCAGTACCGCTCCGACTCGCGGCCAGTACCGCTCCGACTCGCGGCCAGTACCGCTCCGACTCGCGGCCAGTACCGCTCCGACTCGCGGCCAGTACCGCTCCGACTCGCGGCCAGTACCGCTCCGACTCGCGGCCAGTACCGCTCCGACTCGCGGCCAGTACCGCTCCAACTCGCGGCCAGTACCGCTCTGACTCGCGGCCAGTTTTCTTAACACGCCAACTCATCCCACACCCTTTTCCGCCCATGTACGATACCCGTAAAGCTCCGAAACCCCCCCCGTCCCCTGCCTTTCATCCATTCCCTCTGTAACCCCCTCCCCCGCTGCAGGTGTCCCCCACCGCCCGTGTGGCCCCCGCCGCCACCGCGGACCACAGAGTGGTGCTGCGCGGGCTGGGGCGGGGCGTGCTGGCGGCGGAGGGCGGCGGAGGAGCCGGGGAGCGGGCGGGGCTGGGGCTCACGTGGGGGGAGCGGCTGGACGAGTGGATGGAGCAGCGGCTGCTGGCGGGTGGGTGGGCTGGAGTGGGCGGTGGGCGGTGGGCAGCCTGGAGGGGACCTTCCCAACCTCCATCCTCGCACCCCCTGACGTCCCTCCCCGCCCCTACTCCCGCCCCTACTCCCGCCCCCCAGGCACCTTCCTCTCCCGGGTGCTGCTGGCGGTGTGCACGGCCTGCGTGTGCCTCACCTGGCGGGTGGTGCCGCTGCTGGCGGAGCGGAGGACCCACCGGTCGGAGATGCGGCAGGCGGTCAACATGGCGCGACACCGGCACGCGGTACGGCAGCTGGAGCGGGCCATCAATGTACGGCCGGAGGATGACGAGGCGCTGGATGCGGAGGTGGCGGAGCTGCACAAGGCCATACAGATGGCGCTGAAGGAGGCGGAGAAGGTGGGGGGTGAGGACGGGGGTGAGAGGAGGAAAGAGGAGACAAGCAAGTAGCCGCATGATAAGGCTTGACTATGGTTTGTGTGGGGGGAAATTATAATTAAGTGCAACAAGTGTGGGGGGAGTGAGGAGGAGGTTGGGGTGCGGGTGCGGAGGGGTGGCGAGATACCGCGCCAGTTTTCCCAGGTTTCTGGCCTTTTCCATGCCGCCCCCTCTCCCCCCGCCACTACTACCCCTCGCCCTTTCCCGCACACAACCCCCACCCCCTCACCCCACCCACAGGAAATGGAGCTTGACGAGGATGAAGACAAGAAGAGCAAGAACCCCATGGACCTGGACTCAACCTTTTGGACGGAGAAGGCTCCGCGCCGTGTGAAAGACATGGCAGCCCTGCGCGCCGCCCTGCGCCTAGCTGAGGAGTGTACCCTGCACACCACCTTTGCGGGCGCGAGGCTCATGTCAAACGCTCGGCGCTGCGCGGCCCGCATGGCGGCGGCATCCAGCGCCGCGCCTGGCGGCGGCGGCGGCGGCGCGAAGGGTGGCGTGGGTGGCCCCGGCGGCGGCGGCGACGATACGGATGATGAGGCGGACAGGGTGATTGAGGCGATCTCCGCTGCGCCTCAGAAGAAGAAGCAACCCCCACCGCCGCCGCCGCCGAAGCCGGCGCCGGCGCCTCCTAAACCCGACAAGGGCGCTTCCGAGAAGGAGGTTAAGGCGGGTGACGGCGGCGGCGGCGGCAGCGGTAAGGCATCCGCCGGGGCAGATGCGGCCACATCGTCCAAGTCTCTGCAGCTGGCGGCACGACTGTTCGGCGGCGGCAGCAAGCCTGCAGCTGCAGCTGCTGCTGGCGGCGGCGAGGGCGGCAGCGGCGGCGCTCGCAAATCCGCTTGGGGCGGCGCCCTGGCCGGCATCGGAGCTGGCGGCGCTGCGGGCATGGCGGCGGCCGCCATGGCTGCCAAGCGCGCTGCGGAGTTCAGTAGGGTGCTGCGACGGGCGGTACGGCGGCGGGAGCACGCGCGGCGGCGGTGGGACAAGACGCTGTACCTGGTGATGCAGACGGGTGCACTGGATGAGGGGCTGCTGGCTCGGCAGTCGGCGGAGGCGGTGGCGCGGTTGCGTCGGGGCGCTGCGCTGTCGGCGTGGCGGCAGCTGCGGGGGGTGGGTGAGGACCTGCTGATGGTGTTTGGTGCGGTGGCGTTCCGGGATGTGGGCCGGCTGTTCGCACCCGCCATGGCGGCGTTCCTGATGGCGTTCCCCTTCGCGGTGCTGGGGGTGTCTGTGCAGGTGAGGGGGAGGGGGTCCGGGAGGGGCGGGAGGAGGGGGAGGTGGGGATGCGGGTTGGGGAAGGGGCCAGGGTGGTAGGAGTTGTGAGAGAGAGGCACGAGTCGATCCCCAAACTGCCATGCTCGGTGTGTGTCGGTGGTGGTGAGTGAGCCGTGCGTGGGAACGTGCTGCCATGCTCCCACCACCATGCGAACCTCTCCCAATTGCTTGCTCTTGTCCTACTCAACTACACACACACGTTTCGCCTCGCGGCCAGTTATATGAACACACCCTGCCACCACCTGGGTATCCCCCTCCCCCTCACCTCCCCCCCCCCGCCACCCCGCCCCCCAGCTGTCCCCCTCCGACCGCTCCTCCCGGCTGCTGCTGGGCGGGCTGGTGGGGTGCTACGTGATGGCGGGCTTCTGCGCCATGGCGGCCGCGGTGGCGCAACTGCGGCGCGACCCCAGCCAGCTCAAGGTGTACCGCCCCTCCGACACCATCCGCTTCCCCAACTTCAGGAAGGGAACCGCGCTGGCCAGCTGGAAGGTGGGGGGATGGGAGGGGGGGCGGGCGGGTGGAGGTGGTGGGGGTGGAGGTAGATGTGGAAAGGGTGGAGGTGGTGGGGGTGGTGGAGGAACTGCTGCAGCTGCAGCTCGTACTGCTGCTGTGTTGGCGCCACTAAGTCCACCCGAAAAGGCTTGTTCGCTGGGGCACCCCCGCCGTCTCCCCTCTCTCCCTGCTCTCATCCCTCGCCCTCCCCTCCCTCTTCCGTCCCCTCTTCCCTCCCTTCACTTTCCATTTATTCCGCCCCTTACCCCCTCCCCCCCCAGGCCCACTGGGTCAACGTGTTCGCGCTGGTGACGCTGCTGCTGGAGTTCTGGCAGCTGTGCGCCTTCAGCTACCAGCGCCGCATTCCCTACCCCAAGACCTCCTTCCTCAAGCGCATCTTCCCCTGGGCGCTGCTGGACCTGGGGCCCGCAGCCTACTTCCTGCAGGTGGGCCCAACCCCCCCCCCGCACGGCAGCCTGGCCCCCTCCCGGCCTAGCTGTGGTTTCCTAGGGTCTGGTTCTCTGGTATGGTCTGGTTGGCCCCCCTAGCTTCGTTCTAGCCCCCTTCAGGTGTTGCGAGGCCGGCCGGCCAGGGCGGGGAACGGGGAACCCGTCTTGTCCCGCAAACGACGTAGCGCCTCCCTCCCCGGTATCTGCCCCGTGTCCTTCTTAACCCCTCGTAATACGCCCCCCCTCACCCTCACCCCCCCCTCACCCTCACCCTCTCCCCTCCTCCCCCCTCCTCCAGGTCTTCGCGCTGCTGGCTTTCATGGTGGTGTGGATCGCCGTGTTCTTCCCGCAGACCCCCGCCGGCCTCAAGCGCGTCATCATGCCCTTCCTGGGCCAGGCCGCCTACCTCACCATCACCTCCGGCCTGCTCTCGCAGCTGGACTGCCGGCTAGGCGACGGCCGGCTGGTGCGCAACCCCGACATCACCTGCTGGACGGATCCACGGCACCTGTACGGCGCCATTGCAGCGCTGCTGGCGCTGGGACTGTACGTGCCGCGAGCCACACTGACACCGTTTGAGGTGGGGCGGAGGCGGAGAGGGGGGGGGAGGGTAAGGGATGGCCGGAAGGGCGGGAAGTGCTGCGGTGGGTGCTGGCTTGTGTGTAGGGGGGTGCCGCTGCGTACAACCATGAGGCGGCTGGGGTGTGTGGTTGTTGGTTGGGCGGGTGGGGGCACGTGCAGGTGCCGTGACGCTGTGTGCGGGTAGTAGCGGGGAGGGTCAGGAAGGGCGGGTGCATGTTGCATGTACGTACAGGACACGTCGAGCTACAAGTCTCCGCAGCACTCCCCCTTCCTTTCCGCAGCACTCCCCCTTCCTCTCTCACCCTGCACCCTCCCCCCTTTCCCCCCCCCCCAGGTTTTCTTCCCCAGTGAGAACCTTGACGTCAAGTACCGGGGGCTGTACGTGCGGGTGGTGCAGCTGCTGCGGCTGGGCATGGCGGGGTACAACCTCTTCTTCGCCGACTCCTACCCGCTCACGGTGCGAGGGGGGGGAGGGAGGGGCGGGGGGCGCCCTTGCGGTGGTGCAGACAGGAAGGCCGCACTACACGGCCGCACTGGGCCCTGGAAGCCCCACACGCGCGTCACATCACAGCTCCCCGATGATCTCCCTCTTGGCTTTTCCCTGCGCGTCTGTACCTCCTCGTTCCTCGCTCCTCACTCCTCCGTCGCCCTAAACACCTGCTTTGTTCCTCCCGCCCCGTTGTGCCGTGCCCTGCCGCGCCCTGCCGCGCAGGTGATGGCGGGCAATGCGGGCGTGTGCGCGCTGCTTGCCCTCATGACGGCCATCATGCGGCCCTGCTGCATCGGGGTGGTCAACATCATGCGGGGGACGGGGTTCGTACTGGCGACCTGGTCGCAGGTGGGTGGGGGGGAAGGGAGGGGGGGAGCCCGGGGGAAGGTGGGCAGCAGCAGGGGCAGGGGCCGGTGGTTGAAGAATTAATCCCTCAATTCGCATGATGCTGACCCCTGATAACCCCAGACTTCCATCCGCTGCTTCTGACTGTGCCCGCTGCCTCCCCCGCTGTCTCCCTGCCTGCAACCCGGGTGTGCAGGTTGTGTCCGTGGCGGCTCTGCGCCTGAGCCCCCACGTGTTCCTGGACCCGCACAACCGCCAGTGGTACACCGACTCATGGGTCTACGTGTACGTGCTGGTGTCGGGATGGGTGGTCATCGCGGCGGGTGAGTGGGGGTCAAGGGGGGGGGGGGGGAGGGTTCCGGGGTGAGATCGCGTTGGAAGCGAAGACAACGATGTTTGGTGGGCAACACATGTCTTGCCCCCGCCGTCCTCACCTGCCTCCTCCCCCTTCATGGTTTTTACGTGGTTTTCACCTGGGTCCCATTGGACCCCCCCCCACCCCCCCCAGGCGGTTGGCTGCTGCTGCGGCGCCACCTGCGGCTGCGTCGCTCCGCCGCCATTCAGTTCTCCCTGGCCCGCAGCCCCTTCAACTACACCCGCCCGCCGCCGCCTCGGCAGCAGCAGCAGCAGGAGCAGCGGGTGACGGAAGCAGCTGGGGTACACCAGCAGCAGCAGCCGCCGCCACAGCCGCAGCCGGCACAGCAGCCCCAGTCCGCTGCAGCGCCGACGGGAGCTGCAGCAGCAGCCGGTGAGGCGCCTGGGGGCAGCGGGGAACGGCAGCAGCAGCAGTCAGCCCCGCAGGAGGTGGCAGCCGGCGATGGCAACGGTGGTGGTAGTGGTGGTGGTGGAGACAGCGGTAGGGCGGGTGCAGGTGCGGTGGGTGGGCAGGAGCGTGAGGGTGCGAGCGGGGCGGTTGGGGGCGGCGGTGGTGAGGTGGGCGAGGGGGAGAAGAGCCCCGCCAACAGCGGCGATGGCGGGGGTACTGCTGCTGGCGAGAAGATCGGATCGGATGCGGAGGAGAAGGACCAGGATGATGGTGTTGCGGTCAGCGATGATGATGATGATGATGATGATGAGGAGGAGGAGGAGGAGGCTGCCGCCGCCTCGAAGGCTGCCTCCGGCTCTGGCAAGGGCTCCAGGGCTGGGGCGGCGGCTGCCTCCGGTGCCGCGCTGGGTCTGCCGGTGGTGATGGCGCCCCGGCTGCTTCGGGAGCTGGCCAAGCAGGGCCTGCTGACGCCCGCGGACGAGATGCGCGCGTACATGGCGGAGCTGGTGCGGAAGGCGGAGCAGCGGGTGGATAACAGCGGTCGGGAGGACAGCAGTGACGAGGGTACGGGGGACGAGGAGGGAGAGGAGTATGGTGAGGAGGAGGAGGATTGAGGTGACCCGGCAGGGGTGGGGTTGCTGCCTGTGTGCCGCCTGCGGGCGGGTGAGAACTGTGGGAGCGGCAGGAGCAGGAAGAGGAGGAGGAGGGTGCGCAGGTGGTGAAGGAGTGTGAAGGAAGGGCGGTACCTGGCGCGCGCCCCGTGGTAGTGGTTTCGCCTAGCTTCGTTGAACTACTTGTTGTATCGCTGCGTATATCGTATTTGAGAGAAACACTTGGACTTGGGCGCATGGCACCGTCTTTGTGCCCCTCTGGTGCGTGCTCTTAATCGCATGGCTCTTATTCGCAGCGGTTAACCCACTGCATGGCATGTGGCTTGATTGGCTTCCCGTTGTGAGCTGTCCTTTCGTCAATGGATTGCTGTGCACCTGCACTGCTCGGCAAGAACTGCTGCTGTTGCCAAACTGCCGTGTTGCCTCGCTTTCTGCGGTGCTCTCTTGGAGGGATGAGGTTTACCAGGAAAGGTCGTGACGGGCGGGCGGGCGGTGGGTTTTACACATGGCTTGTGCTGCAAGCTGCCGTTCTCGAGGACACTGTTGTTTATTATAGGCTACCTGTATCATCGTCATGATGTGTGCTGCGATCCTTTCTTACCTGTTCTTCCGTACATGCTTCGGGAGCCGGGACGGACGTCCCTTGCAGCTGGCATGTGGAGCCGGTTGCATGCTCCGCGGGGTTCCCCGGGGGCCCGCGGCTTGCGACTTCTTTCCCAACGAGCGGCTATTCCTCCCTCAGCTGAGGGTCTTGAGGGCGTATATGTACATACTTTGGACACTGTCATCTTGATGGTTACGGGGTCTTTCAACGTAAGCCAAGTGTATAAGAGGTGTTGTGGTGTATCTCTCGGTATGCAGGATATCAGGCGATTTGTTGCTGGCAGGCGATCGTGGGTTTTGCTCCTTTAGGTTATTCTCCCTGATGTCTGTGCGGGTTTGGGTTCGGTGTACTGCAGAGCGTACGTAGCTTCTGCCTGGAGGAGCCTGGGTGAAATTCTACGTTGGAACACTGTTTAGTAGTGCCCGGCTGGAGGAGGTGTCTGGAGGGGGCAGTGCAGGGGCCAGGTTGCCTGGGGCGTGTCAGATGCCCGCTAAGCCGGGGGACCTAACGCTTATTAGGACAGCGGACGCCGCCTGGATCGCCCGCCCATCGGACCGTATGAGTGGAGGAAATAAAGATATTATAGATACGTGGCTACCGAGCTGGGAAGGTCCCCAGGCTGGATATCGCTACATGGCGATGTGACTCGGACCGCCTACCGGTTATGAAGGCCTTCCCCCTTGTTACGTTGCATTCTACCGGTTAATCTTTACAACCACACCTGAATCCCATAACAGGCGTGCACAGCACCACTTCCTTGTAACTACTACTGACACCGCCTGCTGCAGTGCACCCCACCGCGTGAGGGGATGTGACGTCTCTGCGCTGAGGCGCTGAGTTCCCCCCAAGTGGCTCTGCGCTGAGCCTGGGTGGAAGTAGCCGGCTGTCATAGCTGCCTTCCGCAGGGGCGGTGCGGCTGTCGGCCTTAGCGCCCGTGGATACCGCACACATACGCTGTGGGGACTTCCTCTTCCGACATCCCAGTATGTTCCTACTCGCGGCCAGTTATTTTAACATACGTACATGCAGGGAGGCGAATGGTGAAAGAGGCAGTAGATACGGGTGAACCCCCGATTGTACGTTGCGTTCCAAGCTTTTCCACCTCCACCCGCCGCACCTCACCGGGCCCCGGCTGCACAAGGCCACCACACCAACGCCGCTCCATGCAAGCACTGTACAAAACGGACAAACGCGTTTCACAGCGTCCATCCAAACCAGCAGAGTCCCGCTACCAGCCGGAATCCGGAAGCATACCACATACTGAACGTGGGGCAGGGTAGCCCTAAAGGCAGGGTAACCCTAAAGGCCCCATCCATCCTCCTTTTCTGACGCCTGCTCGTTGGTTACAGCAGCGTGTATAAAAGCTATAGGCTGTTTGCCCTCCCCGGCCCTTGGCATGCAGCGCCGTCTGTGGGAGCCAACAGCCAGGGCAGCAAAAGGGTGAGATCGCAGCTGCTAACAAGTCCCCTAACTGCTTCCCATGCTTCGCAACTCCACTAGCGCATTACACACTGCAGCCCAGCAGGGAGCCTTGCAAGCCAGCCCAAGCCGGCCAGCCCCAGCCCAAGCTGCTGCTACTGCTGCTGCCCCTAGTCAGTCCTCGTGCTGATGACGTGGCCTCCCTGCAGCAGTGGGAAGGTGGGAGAAGGGGCGAGGGGAGGTGAGCAGGGGAACGAATGAGAGGCGGGTAGGGAGGGAAGCACCGTGGGACGACAACCACACCGGCTTGCAACTAGTAAGTCCTTGACAGCATTGCGCCTTAGCACACAACATGAGCCCAGCCACGGCTCTTGCAACCCACACCACAAGGCGACAGCAACCCTTCGCGTCCGCGTGCAAACCGAACCCCACTCGACACCCACTCACCCTCCGCCCCCCCATCCACACCGTCCCCAGCCCCCCCAGCTGCTGCTGCCGCCGCTCCCCCCGCCTCCTGCCCCCCCGCTGCTGCTGCCGCCGCCGCTGCGGCCACCTGCGGCTCCGGCGGCGGCACCTGCGCGGGCGCCACGAAGACCGCCTCCTCGGGCGGGAACAGCATCTTGATGAGCGCGGGCGTCTTGAGCGGCCGGCGCCCCGAGATGCGCGGATACACATCCTCCAGATAGTAGTACACGTGGCCTGAGAAGGGGGAGGGTCGGGTGGGGTGGGGGTTTTAGGAAGCACCGCGTCACATCTCACATGGCTGTGTTTTCTTCAGGACCCGTGCCCCCCCTTGTTCCCTCACTGCCCGACCCTGTATAGCGTAACCATCACCCACCCGCCTCCCCAACCCGCTCCAACCCGCTCCAACCCAACCCAACCCGCCCCCCCCCACCCGCCGCCATGCCCATGAGGTCCACCACGGGGCTGCTGCCCAGCATGAGGCTGAAGGCCAGCAGCACCCAGGGCAGGTAGGGCGCCGTGAAGTTGAAGATGCCCAGGAAGGAGAGGTGCACGTACTGGTGGCGCCGGCCCCACACGTACACCATCATGAAGGTCAGGCTGGAGCCCAGGAACTGGATGTTGACGAAGGGCGCCAGGCAGGTCAGCAGGCAGCCGCCGAACAGCAGCATCCACAGGAAGTCGGCGGAGCGGCCGCGGAAGGAGCCTGCAGGGGGAGGGCGAGAGAGGACGGGGGGAGGGGAGGGAGATGGTTGGGGTATGGGGGGTAAAGAGGAAGGGAGCAGCTCACAATGCCATGGAGTTGAGGCTGCGGCGGGCGTCAGGAGGCATGCAACGGGCCTTCCTTAGCACCCTCCCACCGCCCGGCGCAAGCCTCCAGGGCCCCCCCGCGCGGTCCTTACCCTCCTCTAGCGACTTGCAGTACTTGAGCAGGAAGAACATGTGGAACACGAAGTCCAGACCTGGGGGGAGAGTTGGGAGAAGCGTCAGCTCCTTCATGTTGTCGTGTATGCGGTAGCCACGCGTTCAGTGTGTGGCTTGGACACCAACAAGTGTAAAAGCACAGCTTGTGTACGGTACAATAAGAAGATGTAACTTGATTGACGCATGTGTGCATCATGCTGTTAGTCACATACTGCTACCCATGCACACGCCACGCCACGCCCGTACGACCCCCCCTTGGCCCACCTAGGTTGCCGAAGTAGAAGAAGTTCGTTACCAGGCGCCATACTTCTTTCTTTTTCAGCACTAAGTTTGCATTGAAATACACGTTGAACGGCGTTATGATCTGCAGTGGTGTTGGGTCGGTCAGACACAGCGATGGGAGGGGTTCCAGCAGGGGAGCCCACAGTCCTTAAGATGCCCATACCTCAAGCGCACAGCCAGCCGTTGTTAAGAAGGCCATCGTAACGTACGCTCTCGTCACGATTGGCAACTGCGAGCAGAAAAGAGAGGGATGGAAACATCTCCTCGATCGTCTTGTTGGGAACGGAGATAAGCTTATACTCACCGACTTGTACCATTCATCCAAAGATAGCTGCAAGGAATAGACGGTAAAAGGTCAGAAAATAAATTCCAGCAAGCGAAGCAACACCATACTCTGAAGCGTCTCGACGCACCATCTTTTCCACGTGCTAAAAACTAATAAATAGCGTAAAGGTAATTGCCCTCAAGCTAATAGTGCTCTGTAGTATTTGAAGCAAGCCAGGAGCAGCGTCTTAATACAGTTTCTGGACAACACCTAAGGAGTGTCAGCACTAACGCTTCTAGCATGCAACGCACCAAACGTAAGCCGTCGGGATTTGGGCCACCGCAACGGTGATCGGCCATGTTTGCCAAGAAGAGTGGAAGCCGTACATATAGACGGAAACGGTTGACAACGCCCTTTTCACACGCTATTAATACGCGTGTTACGGTTTGACATACAGCTAGCAGTGGCCAAGTTTCACCGCAATTTATTGAATCCTGGAATTGTGACAGTTGCAAGGCGGCGAAGGCTTGACATGTGTGCCGTTTCTTCCTGATTCATTGCTAGCTATGGACCAGGAGAATGGTATTTCGAGCGACCCTACTGACGGGGTTGCGCCACTGCAGCCAACAGCTTACGCAGGAGCGCTTGTGCAGCAGATTAAGGCACAAATCATCCCTGGGGATAAGCCTTTGAACAAAAATCAACGGAAGAAGGCACGCAAGAAGGTGTCTAAGCTGTTGCATAAGGTGAGGAGCCCACTGTTTGGAATGGAGTCCAAACCTATGCGACCTGTGTGCCAGAATGCAAGTTCTGTGTTAGGCTGGTTGCTTATTTGACGTAATACGCCACAGACGTTGGGAGTGCCACGCGCCGGGGCTGCTGCCAACGGGGATGCATCCGCCGACGGCAGCGATTTGCCATCTCTGAGCGGAGACACCGGCTGCAGCAATCGACGAACACCCGGTGTTGGAGATGGAAGCGCTCCAGCGTGTACAAGCGTCCCACAGCACAGCAAGCCACAGCCGCACATAGCTGGCACCGACAAAGGTGCAGCCAGCGGTGATGGCTCCGGCGGCCCTGCTGCTGCCGCCGCTTTTGCAGTGCCTTCACCCAAACGCCGGCGGCTGAACGCGGAAGCAGGCCTACCAGGAACAGCAGCAGCCGCATTGCCCCCCACAGCAAGCCCGAATGGGGCAGCCAAGACACGAAATCCCAGCATCAACAGAGCTGGAGCAGCGGCACCAGCAAGGCCCGCTGGCGGCAGCCACAACTCTCGTGAGGGGCCCCTGGCGGCGGCAGCAGCCGCTGCCTCCTTGTCAGGCGGCAGCAGCCACCTGAGCCGTGGCGCGCAGAAGCGTCTCAGCCGCCGCCAAGCGCAGCCTGAGGACCTGCTGGCAGCGGACGGCCTGGAGGACGACATGGAGGGTGCCGGCGACCGCACCGTCAGCGGCAGCGGGGTGCTGCGGGGTAGCAGCGCCGATGGGGGCATGGGTGGCGACCCGGGCAGCAGGCGCAGGAGCAAGAAGCAGGAGTGGAAGCAGCGGCAACGGCAGCGGCATGAGGAGGGAGCAGGCCGCAAGCGGGCGGGCAGTCTAGTTGCGTGCGCGAGTGAGGAGGTGGTGCAGATGCCTCCGCCGGCTGGTACGGCAGCGTCAGCCACCGCCGCCGCTGCTGCTGCTGCCATGGTGTCTGCTGGCGCCATGCACCGGGGTTACTGCATGTACGGTAGTATGATTGCGACTCGGGTGAATGCGCCTCCAATGGCGGCGGGTGCGGGAGCAGGAGCGGTGCCGCCGGCGCCACGGCAGTTAGGTGGCATGGGCCGGGGTCCCGGCGGCGTGGGGGGCCCGGGGGCCGGGGACCTATCTGCGGCCCTGCTGCTGATGCGCGTGCGAGCTACAGCCGGACTGGACGAAGGGGCAGGGGCGGCTGTTGCGTTCAGCAGCGCCACCGCAGCAGCAGCAGCAGCGGGGCCGACTGGTAGCGTGTTGGTGTCCGAGTGTCAGACGTGGACCGTCACGACCACTCAGGGAGACGGCTCAGCTGACGGCGAGCAGCACGGTACGAGCAGTGGCGAGGGTGGTGACGTGGGGCTAACGAAGCAGGAAGCGGCAGCAGCTGTGGGGCCGGATGGCTCCACACCAAGAGGTGGGGATAAGCAGCAGCAGCGGAAAGGGACCTCAGGTCACCAGCAGCAACACGAACAGCGGCAACACCAGCAGGGGAGGAAGGCGGCACAGCAGGCTCCGGAGCGGGCGTCGCTGTACCGTTACGGCAATTACCACCGCTACTACGGCTACCGACTGGGGGCCGAGCTTGACCAGGACCCACGGGTCAAGGTGAGCTGGGTAACGTATAGCGGGTTGCAGGTTAGGTGTTGGGTGCAGTCATCTCGCGGTGATGGTGCACGCCAACATTTCATGTTGGCACCGCTTGCAGCAGGGTTACTGTCCTTCCCTCACCTTGCCTGCCCCCGCGCTCTCCGCCGCAGCTCATGCGCCGTGAATGGTTCCAAGGCCGGGTGTGCGTTGACGTGGGTTGCAACGAGGTGAGTGGGGACCGGCTAGCTGGGGGTGCCCGCCCGGGGCTGTACGGCAGCTGTGGGAGGCCACAGGAGAACCTCATGTGGGCAGACTCTCGTTTGGGCAGAGCTGCAAGGGAGTGTGCAGCGTTGCCTGCATTGTTACGCCTTGTCGCATTGTGATTGCTAGGAGAGTTGGGATTTGCGACGTCATCCTGTCTGTTTGGCCGCCAGCGTGGCGTCATCCTGCCCCTGTGGCTGGTGCTGTTTTCCCATACTAACCCTGCATGCAAATCACGTCCTCTTCCTGTGCTGCTGCAGGGTCTGGTGACGCTGGCAGTGGCGGTGAGGTTCGGCGCCAAGCGCATGACGGGGTACGACATAGACGACACACTCATCAAGAAGGCGTGCAGGTGCGTGGGAGGACGAGCCGGCTGCGTGGGAGGACGGCGGGCGCATGATGCTGGCTGCTCGGTTGCGTCGCGGTTGGTTACGCGGCTGAAGGGAAACCAAGCTTTCCTGCGCTTTGGGTTTGAGCTGCACTGGCTTGCCCCCTATGCGACTTGCTTGTTCACCCTTGGGGGCCTTGGCGCAAGGCATTGGAACGTTCATTGGCTGCGTTCCACTCTGCGGTGTCCACCCAACCCAACCTGCTGTGTGCGCTCCTCGCGTTCCTTTCTCCCCCTGCCATATCTTACCCTCCCGGCAGGAACCTGCGAATCATGCGGTCCGAGTACACCACGCGGCTGCAAGCCCTCACGCTGGGCGGCGGAGGCGGAGGCTGGAGCTACGGCGGCGGTGGTGGCGGCGGCGAGCTGGGTGAGGCAGGGGGCCTGGTCATGGCTGTCACCGCCGCCGCTGCCGCGGCTTACGTCGCAGCAACCGATGGCGACCTGGCGGCTAACGACGACGATGACGACGATGCCGGTGCTGGGGGTACTGGCGGTGACGTTGACGGCGGAGGCGGCGAGGCCGCGAGTGAGGGCGAGGGAGCCGGTGAGGGCAGTAAGGTATTAAATGAAGATGGCGAAGACGAGGGGGCCCATGAGGCTGATGGACCCGCTGGGGGCGGTGGTGAAGCTGCTGCTGGAACCGCTGCCGGCGGCGGCGACGTTGACATGGCGACCCACATGGAGCCGGCTGACATCGCTGCCGCCGCTGCTGCAGCTGCTGACCAGCAGGCGGCGGCGCTCGCGCCCTCCGCTGCGCCCCAGCATCAGTCGCAGCCAGGGTCCCGACCTCAGCTGCAATCCTGCTCACATCCTCGTGGCCCCAGCCTGGCGGCGGGTCCTGCGCCGCAGCGGGTGGGGCTGCTGCGTGCCTCGGTGCGCTCGCTGGCGGGGACGCAGTTCACGCAGCAGGACTGGGGCAACGCGCGCGGCAGGTGGGTGGGTGAGAGAGAGAAGTCGGGGTGAGGGGAGAAAGGCAGGTGGTTCAGGATTGGGGCATGGCTCGGTTCGCTTGCGTGGGCTTCTCCGTACAGCCACAGCTATGCCCCGCCCGCACGCCCGTGTGCCCGCTGACGATAATCCCGCCTGCTGCTGCTGATGCTGCTGCTGGTGGTCCTCAGGCCCGAGAGCGCGGACACCATCATGTGCCTCAGCGTCACCAAGTGGGTGCACCTGAACAACGGGGACGCAGGGCTCAAGCGCATGTTCAAGTAAGCCTGCGAGCGAGCGCGAGGGACGTCAGGGGAGGAGTTTGGGAGAAAGTGCCTTTAGTCTTACACGCAGGTGCTACGGCAGCGGCATTCACGAGCGTTTGCGCAGGGGTCTGTTGGTCCCTGGGGGAAAGGGGCTTCCTTCTAAGCTTGCTTCCCTTGCTCTCATACCACCTCAAACCCACTTTAGTCCTTCCCGCCGCCTGCCGTGCGTGCAGGAAGTTCTACGACACGCTCACGCCGGGCGGGCTGCTGGTGCTGGAGCCGCAACCCTGGAAGTGAGTGCGCGTGGGCGGGGTTTTGGGGAACAACGGGTGCAGCTGCCGCAGTAAGAGGCGGTGCTTAGTACTGCCTGTACGAGCAGCAACGCGCCTGGGGCGTCTTGGCCTGGTCCATTCTCAGCGCGCCTGGTACCGTAACCTGTGCGCCCGCTCCCACGTTAGGTCCTACAAGCGCGCCGTACACAAGACGACCACCAATGCCGTACCCTTTAAGCGTATAGAGCAGCTGCAGCTGCGGCCCGAGCACTTTACCGACTACCTGACCAGCCAGGTGCGGGGGGAGGGGGGGAAATTATGTAAGTGAAACAACGAGTCCCAATCCCATATCCCGACTCATGCAGTGAGCGCACTCGGAGGGGGCGGAGGATTGGGGCCGGCAGGGACGGTGGCATACCAATAAACCGCAGAAACAGTTGCGGCCCAAGCGAGGCATCACTGCCCATGCGGGATGCCTAGCCTGGGCGGCAAGGCGAGTGGCTGCATCCCAGCTTGAGCCCCCCTCGCATTGGCTTTTGTTTGCTGCACATGGACGCTGACTATACCGGTATGTGTGCGGTTCCCTTCCCTTGCACTCTTCCTCAGGTTGGGTTTGTGTTGGAGGAGAAGCTGCACGAGGGTGCGGGCGTGGGCTTCGACCGGCCCATGTACCTGCTGCGCAAGCCGGCAGCGGTGCAGACTCCGATTGCCGCTGCTGGTGGCGGCGGCAGTGGAGCGGGCCCATCCGACATGGGTACCTAACAACCCTACGAAAGTCGTGTGGGGCGTACGGGCAGGCTTGGATAAGCAAGAAGACACTTGCCTGTGCCAACTGGCTTGTGCGTTTTGGGGTGGCTCAGGGAAGGCGTCCCCTAGGCGGGTGCTGAGCAGGATGAAGCAGTGAGGAACAAGACATATTTACGGGCTGGTGCCACAAAGCGAGAGGGGTGTTGCAGGAATTCCGCCCCTGTCCTCGCAACTGGAGAAGCTGCATGGGCGAGCCTTGCTGCTTGCGAACCAGTACTTTTGTTATAGCGTGCGCGGGCGCAGTAAACAGTCTGGACGGCGTAACATACGGGATATGCGTAGAATTGCAACGCTTAGAACTGTTACGTTAGCTGTGCTTTGCAGCGCCGAAGTAGCTATCGTTGCGTCGGGTGCAGCGCCGAAGTAGCTATCGTTGTGTCGGGTACTCGGGTTCGTAACGATAAAATCCGCGGGCATTTCCAGTATTCAAGTGTGGCGATTATTGTGTGTTTAAAGACCAACGTGGCACCGTGTGTAGCAGGTGTAGGCGCTAGCCCGGTAGCCCCCCGCTAGTACCGTATGTTGTCGTAGTCAGGGAACGGTAGTCGGGGGCTTCGTATGCTCGCCCAGCTTTATATTGAGGCAGGGTTTCTTAGTTTACTGCATTTGCATCAATTTGGATTGAAGATTGCAATGAAGACGCCCTCACGCCCAAAAAGGCCGAACGCAGTCACTGCGGTTCTGCTCTACAACACATCATGCTACAAGCAGACGATTGCAAATCATTCCCTGGGAATATGCGCTCTTGCACAGTCCGTCCCATGTCCCTTGGCTGTGGTGGACTCATCAGGGACTCGTGACGAAGCACGTACTCCTAAAGGCGAGTAATGCTCACCGGCCCTAACATCAGAGACGAAGGCCATGTTTCATTAGCAAGCCAGCGAACAGCACCTTCGGCACCCCTGACGGTTGAGGCTGTTGCTAAAGTAGGTGCTAAGTCAGCGACAGCAACGAAGACTCCGAAGGCTCGCCGAGTACCAGTGCTGTGGGCACGACATGAAGTTGAGGTGGGGATCCTGGGATGACTGCCCTTTCGCTGAAACAGTTGACGTTGCGCTTGCTATAGGTCGCTGATGCGTTGCCTTGGACCCATGGTAGCTGGAACGTTACATGTGTGTGCTGCAACCATCCAAGAGACAAAAACCCGGTCGCCTAGAAACTGCTTCGCCACACTGGAGGCTTTGGTGTTTGGAAAACCCGCGCTGTTGCACCGCACTGACCTCTCAACACAGTTAGTCTCACGTGGCGCACCTCCGGCCCTTGCTTCACTTAGGTTGTGCTGCAGGCGATCCGTGGCGCTCCGAAAGGGTCGAGACCGAATGCGGATGATATCTTGCGACAGCTAGGTACGTGTTGTCAGGGGTCGGCTGTAAACCATGGGTGGGCGTTCCTTGCACAGTAGGCCAGCCACCGCATCCTGCTGGTCCTAGTCTCAACAGATTCGTGCTAATGCGCGCAGGTTTGGACCATGATCCTCAGCAGCTTGCTTACCAACGGAGCCGTGTGACTCGCAAGGTTTCGCAGTTGCGTGCTGCTTTGGACAAGGGCGTGGACCCAGAAGAACGTGAGCATTGAAGCGGCTCCTGTGTCCAGCTTTGAAGGGTTGCAAATTTATTTTCGTGCGCTCAATCTGACCAAAGACCGTGTTCAACCGTAAATCTTGCAGTCCTGTCCCGGAAGAAGGCGACGCACAACGTGGCAAACACATGGGGGGTGAGTGGTGGGTCGTACAAAAGCCTTGCTGCGTTAGCTCAGCTCCCACTAACGTGTCATGCGCTACCGCAGGCTTGGGTGAAGAAAGCCTACATGATGCTACCTGACCGACAGGTTTGCGGTTGAGGTGGTGCTCCCGGGGGCAAGTTCCATTAATACCACGGACACGCTATTTTGTAAGCCCGTGTTAATCACACTAACACGATGTTTTAAGCCCAGTAAGAGCCGATACTAGTCCATATGAGTATGTTTTTTGGCTGTGAACGCTTGCCGTGTTCTTGCTTGCCCTGCAGGGAACTGGTTATGACGTCTGCGCGCTGCTCGAGGCGGATCCTGACATCGCACCGCTGCTGGATCACCGGTGAGTCCTTCTTGCCGTGCGGGTTCTGCGTGTGCACGCGATACGGGTACTCAGCGACCCCGTAGCTCCCTCGCCGAGATCCGTCCGCGAGGGACGTTGCGCCGGCATTGCATGTGCTGACCGTGGTGCTTCTTCGTTGCCATGAAGCCTCCGTTACGGCTGCCCGTTCAGGCCATATGCGTGTTTGAGGACGGTCCCAATTTGGAGGAAAGGTGTGCTATCGACTATTTCCCGGTAGGTGTGTTCAAGGCAAGGGTTCCCTGCAAGGGCCTCTGACCTATACCTGTTGCAAAGCCGTGGGTGCTTGGTTATGCGGGCGTTTCAGCTACATTACAATATCGTCCGTGTCCGTTCCCTCATCAATGAACGTCCTCCGTCTCCTATCCCCAGAATGGCGTGTCTTACCAAGCTGAGTGCCAAAAAGGACGGCTTTACCGTGTACCAGTACAACCCTGAGGTGAGCACTCGCCACCCCGCTCTACACTTGGCCGCCCGAGCACATGTCACCAGTATGTGCCTATGACGTCATGCAGCCATCCGTCCCATGAACGGTTCGTTGAAACCTTACAGTGTACCATGTGCCCGGGTGGGTTTGTTGGTGCTGCAGGATGATGTGCCTCTGGAACGGAAGCGCGCGCGCAGCACACGTGGACAGGCGGGCGTGCCGTACATGGGCAAGAAATCTAGGAATGCCAACTAGGGGTAGACTGCAAAGACATTTCTGCTGCCCGAACATGGGCTGTGCGGTGCATGTTTGTGGGTGCATGGCATATAGGACGGGACGGATGCCCTGGCCTACATGCAGCGAATCTAGCGGTACAGCCGCTGAACGGGGTAGCCGCTCTCGTGAGCCCGTGACTTGGCGTGTAGGGATGGCCTTAGGTAACCCATCTTGGGCTGCATGCAATGCTTCGTTTGCATTGGTTACCTGGTGGTTACGGCTGTGCGCACAGACTTTCTGCTTTTAGCATGTTCCGTGGCTGTTAGGGGTGTGGCAAGTGTGCATGCCTGAGGCAGTGTGCCTTTCAAGTGACAGTGGCAGGATTTCAACGCAAACATGAAAGCGCAGCCAGGTTCCCAGAGACGGACTGCACCTTTCGTGGGTAACCTTGATGTCGGCATGGCACGTCGGTACGGCAACAATTGCAATGCGTACATGTTGCTGCTTTTATCGCTATTACGAATGGTACTGGTCTGTGTAAAGCGATTCATCTTTGCACGTTTCACACGAACTCCATCACACTAACCACGCTTTCGGTAGTTGGGCATGCCGAACTGAGGTCCTCTACCTGCGTTGGGTACTTCGCGCTATAGGTTTTCTAAGCAGGGAGTTAGGAAGGCTACTATATATAGATAGGGGATTTCGAGTCACTCCTGTCGTCTTTAAGGCGTGCCAACTCTGCCGAGGGCTAACTGGTGCCGAAGGACGGGGATTTAAGGGGCGACCAGCGCTACTTCTATTATATTTCGGCCGGAAATGGGGCAGGTCGGTGGCCACGGGGACAAGGATACGCTGATACTGTTAGCGAACCGAGTGCACATGGCGACCATTTGCAGGCAGCCAGCGGAGGCCTTACCCAAGGAGACGTCGATGAGGTCATTGCTGCATCGAAGGGCGTATGTAGGTCTACAGCTCAGCCGGTTATATCACCTAGCTTCTGATAATGCTGGCGTTTTACCATTTGCCCCTTGTTCTTGGCCCCTTGTTCCCGTCTTCCAGTTAACCAAGCCGAGATCGAATCTTTATACAAACGCTTTCGCGCACTTGATCGTGGGCGAAAGGGTTACATTTCCCCCGAGGAGTTCCTCAGCATCCCGGAGCTTAGCATTAACCCCGTCGCACAGCGCCTAGTGCGCTGCTGTGAATGCCCAAACTTCACCGACTTCGTCAAAATGGTAGCGCCCTTTAGCCCTCGCGCGTCCCGCGACGACAAGCTAGCGTTCATGTTCTCGGTGTACGACGTAGACGGCGATGGTGGGTGTGCGACGCCCTTGGGCAGGGGCACAGGGGAGGCCACGTAGCCGTCTAGTTACTGGACGTACGCCGCGGCATGCTTCGCTTCCCTAGCTTGGCTGCAACCACGTCCCTCCTAGCCCCCAGGCGGCGGTTCGTTGCCGGGGGTTTCTCGCCCCGCTGGCCTTTTCGTCTTCCCGTCCCATATCTGTAACATTTCGTTCCCTCCTTCCTGGCGTCCCTCCAATCCCCCCCCTTCTTTCCTGGCCCCAGGCTTCATTTCCCGCGAGGACATGAGCATGATGCTGAAGCAGCTGGCGGGCAGCAGCCTCAGTGAGGAGGACCGGCAGGACATCATCAGCCGGGTGCTGGCGGAGGCGGGCGGCGCGGAGCGGCTGGACCTGCCCTGCTTCAAGGCGGCGCTCGGCTCAGCAGACATCTCGAACATGGTGGTGGAGGTGCCCGTGGACCTCTAGTGGGGGACCGTGCAGGCGTTAGGCGGGAGGCTGGGGGCGGGAGAGGGCTCTGTCGGGATGGAGCGGGCAGGGATTGAGGGCTTCCGGAAGGTGCTGTTCCGGGGTGCTGTTTGGTATGTGTGATTTCTAGGAAGTGCAAATTGGCTGTGGGTTAGGTAAGGCTAGCTGAGGGGCAGGGAGGCGCGTTGGTGCAGGGTTGTGAGACAGAGGGTTGCAGGAGTGTTAGAGGCGTGAGGCCCGTACGGTGCTGGCGTGTAGGTAGGAAGGTCCTTGCGTTGCCCCTTCACGGTTCCATTGGTTAACCGCATAGGCTTGAGGAGGCTATGGCGGAACACAGAGGGATGTGTGTTCGCGCGGACAATCGAATCGCAGGTTTACATGTTGGAGAGAGATAGAAACTGCGACTTTACGCATGCCTCTGACCATGTGCCAGGCATCGTTCTATTGCCTTTTTGTTGTCGTACGGTTGGTACGAATGACTTCTTCCTTTTCGGACTGGCTTTGCGCTAGCGTCGCCGCTAATTGCTGCGTACAGCGTTGGAGTGGCTGAGCAAACATGAACTCACGTGGTATGTTTGCTATTTGTTCCCTGGCCTGTTGGGAAGCTGGTATGCCGTTACATGGCCCTTTGCTCATTCACCTTGACGTCCTTGCTTAACAATCAATCAAACGCCGCCAAGGCAGTTGCGGCTATTCCACATGATCTTTGATAAGGAGGTCCAATCAGATGACCCAAGGGTCAATACCAGCAGAAGTGGACAGCTTCCACAAAGCGCATTCGCTACACCATCCACGGATACCAGGTAGTATAGCAGACCCTTAACGACTGCAGCTTGATGAAAAACCGCAGGTTAAAAACCAGGACATTTCACTTTGTTTGGCGATGATGGGTGTGGGTGGAATGCCAGGAAGGCAGCTCCGAAGTACAGCAGGGTGCACAGACCGTGCCTGGCCACTGACCGCTGGCGAAGGTGAAGCTCGAAGGAGTGGGAAGACGAGGCCCAAGAGTGCGGAGAAGCCTCCAGCCGTCTTGCGTGTAAAGACGGCGCTACGTCTTGGGACGATGGGCGCACTTGGTAGGTGGTTAAGGCCCAAGCTGCAAAGCAACAGGGGCCCCGGTGCCGATGTAGAGGGAGAGCCGCGGTGAGGCCGAAGGGGCGGCTGCAAGCAAGCGGCTGCGGCAGCTTTCCGGCGCTGACCTGCTGCGACGCCTGTCACACTGCTGCTGCGGGCTACATGGCTCAGCGAGTGTAGGCGCGCTCCTCCCTCTCTTGCAAATCAACTGGATCGCACAAATCCATGTACAATCCTAACTCATCAACATCACAGCTACGCACACGGCTGCAGCAACCGCGTCCGCTACCGCCGCCTGCCTGCCGTTGCCGTCGCGGTCGCCGCCATGCCTGCCGCTGCCCCCTGCTGCCCGCTTCCCGCTGCTTGACGGTCACGCCGCAGCAGCATGTCCGGGTCGAAGTAGCGCGTGTTGAACACGGCCGTGGCGCTGAGTGCGGCCGCCACCCAGAACAGCAGCAGCACCACGCGGTGCACCGCCCACAGCGCCGTGTAGGCCGGCATGTCCCACATGGCGAGGTACGACACGCGGCGCAGGATGAGCACCTGCAGGAGCGGTGGAAGCAGGGAAGGAACGGAATGGACCAGGTGTGGTGATGTCCAGAAGCTTGGCGGCATATTGCGGTGCCACACCGCATCCAGGGTCCTAACCCACATCACCAAGCCACCCACAGCAAACACGCCCACCCCGACCCGCACACGGCGGCGGCCTCCTGCTGCCGCTCTAATGCCCCTCCTTAGTCGGGCCATGGAACTATGCTTCACTTCTCAACTCTTTTTTCCATCCTTACCGCCGAGTAGACCTTGATTGCGATGCACAGCGCCAGTGCCAGTGCGAAAACGCCGTACAGCGCTGCGAACTCGCGGAGGTAGAGGTCGTAGCGGCCCAGCTGGATGAGCAGCGTCTGGCTGGTGAGCACGAAGAAGGCCATGATGATGGCGATCAGCAGCCCGCCCTGGGAGCTGCGGGGAGGGTGGGGGCGGGAGGCGGAGGGGCACATGCAGAGTGGGAAGAACCTCAGTGAGGGTCATGGGAGGACTAGGAAGGAGGAGATTACCGCCTATGGGACTGCGCCCTGCCCACCGCAGCCGTTGTGTCACGGTGCTCTGCTTACCCGTACACGATGACCTGCGTGAGCGGCGACTGCATGTAGATTGGGTCGGTGTAGGCGGTGACCATTGCGTGCGCCACGATGAGCAGGTACACCGCCCACAGCTGGTAGGTCATGCGGCGCAGCATGTTGCGCGAGCTGGGGAACACCACCTGGGGGCCGGGAGGGCGACAGCAGGGGCGGGGAGAGGATGGGGAGGGGCGTGTGAGATGAGGTGAAAAGAGGTAGCAAGTCAGGGCTGCTATGAGCCGTGGCTGTGTTGAGTTGTGGGCTGGCTGTCGTGGGATGGGGAGATTTAAGACCAGCTGTGAAGACTTGCATGAATGCATGGGTAGAACAGGATACAATGCAGATGGATGATGGTGTGCGTCCTGTTGATGGCTACAGGAACAGCAGCATGATGGGCATGGACAGGCCCAAGCCCCCGTGGAAGCCGTTGCCGGCACTCTAGCCTCACCTCCGTTAGGTCGGCGTCAACCGCCGGCTGCACTGTAATGGCTGCATCTCCAGGTTCTCCAGGCTTGCTGGTAGGAGCGTCATATGCTGGGTTGTCATAAGCTCTAACCTTTGCGCTGTGCTTGCCCGAGCTGGTAAGTCGAAACATGGTCTCCGTTAGCAAGGGGATCATGCCGAGACGCCGCGGGTGGTGTACGAGTTGTGTCAAGAGGTTAGTTTGCCTCTTGACGGGAGTTCATCCGTGTTGCCAACGGCGAAACTGGCACTCCAAGCTAGCTAGACTTTGTTGCACAGGTGGCTTAGGGGGTGCATGAGCGCCTGGGTTGTCTGCTGGAGCACGTGAGCATTCCTGACAATCGGTCAGCTGCAATCGGTATGCGGTTGTCTCTGTATACAAAGCGTGCTACCCAGAATCCTTTATCAGATTCGTGAAGTTGAAAGCCACGCGTTTAGGCACAGTCGATGCCGGAGGAAGCAGTCGTCTAAAAATGCTTGCACGGTCAAACGGTTGGTGTTTGGAGGGCGGAGGTAACACGATGCAATGAAATGGGCTACAAATATGTAAATCATAATAGACATACGTGCAGCTTGCAGGGGCTTCGGCTTTTCGCTGTACTAACGAATGCAAGTCGAGGGAGGGTATGCTTGAGAGGGATTTCCAAGCGCAAGTAGCATACTCGCCCTCCAGGTAGAACATTAGCGTACTTCAGGGCAACTTGCCCTTTTTCCGTAGTGTTGGCTTTGAGGGCGGACTCCTTTCGGGAAAATGAGGTCCAGTGTCTCCCTCTTCCGGACCCTGGGCAAGGGCCTGGGGCTCTGCGCTGATGCTTCCAGCAGCCGTGTGGCGCAGCAGGTTTGTCTCCTTGTGCTGTCTAGGGACTCTGGCCAGCCTCCGTGATGGAAGTGCAGTTTCGCAGCCTTTAGGTCACCATTTCTTATGAACATGCCGTTTAAGAGAAGAGAAAGTCATGACAAGTAGACTTAATACTCAGGAGGGCTGGGTGCTTATGTGCAGGCTGTGCCGGCCCTCTCGGCTGCGATGTCGAGCACCGCTTCGGAGGCTGAGTCCAGCAAGGGGGCTCACTACGCTGCCGCTCTGGGAGGTATTGTTGCTGGTATCTTCGGGGCGTCTTGCGTGGCCTCTGCCAACGAGGTCGGCGACGGCCTGCACGCGCCCCACTACCACTGGTCCCACGATGGCGTGCTGGATTCCTATGACCACGCCTCTATCCGCCGTGGCCACAAGGTATTGGTTTGTGCTCAAAGGATTGTTTTTTTGGCCCGGGTCTGGGTGCATACGGTCCAGCAATTTGCTGAACGCCGGAACGGTTTTCTCTCGCTTGCACATGTGTATCATACGCCACTATTCGCATTACTTTGCTCATACAAGCTGTATAAGCGGCCAACTTGGCAGCCGCCGTGCTGCTTGCTGCTTTCAAATGGGGCGGGTTGCCAGGGATTGAGGGGCAGGACCATTTCGTTAGAAGCAAAGCGGTCCACGCTTTGTTAATCGAACGTGCTTAACTACAATACGATGCAGGGGTGGCAACTACTAGGACAGTTTGGCGACGTCCATCAACTTTCTACTTCGCTCTTTCAGCCGAGCCCGCGTTCTACTGACAGGCATCACCTTTTTTGTTGCTCCACAGGTTTACCAGCAGGTGTGCGCGGCGTGCCACTCCATGCAGTACCTGCACTGGCGCCAGCTAGTGGGTGTGTGCTACACGGAGGAGGAGGCCAAGGAGCTGGCCGCGGAGACTGAGGTGCGTATCAGCAAATGGTCAACAGAGAATGGGGAAAACAGCGACCGGGGAAACAGCGACGGGAGGAATCGTTGCAGCACTGGTCTCTCCGTCACGACTACACCCAAACGAGGCCCAGTCCAAGTCATGTGTCACTCGGAAAGGAAGCAAGCAGCGTCAGTTACCCCCGTACAGCACCGATGTAAATGGTTTAGTGCTGTTAGGCAGTCCTTGATGGTACGGGTGCAGTCCGTCCCCAGTGAGCTCTCCCGACTTCAAGCGCTCCCAGAGCAGTCTGTGTTTGAAGATTCGCAGCAAGAGCATGGCTTAGGTGGCTTTGCTGCTGCAGCGAAGGGTCACAAGGAGCGGTGTCTTCCACTACTGTTCGCTTTCCTGGGCGTTGGTCCCTTGCCTACGCCAACCGGCTGCAATCACCGCATGGACGTTTGCCAGCTCTGCAATTGCGCTAGGCACATATGATGCGGTTGGCCGTAGTATGCACCTCTGCTCACCGATTGGCGCCCCATCCTTGCTTGCCGCAGGTTGAGGACGGCCCCAACGATGAGGGTGAGATGTTCACCCGCGAGGGCCGCCTGTTCGATGCCTTCCCCTCGCCGTACGCCAACGAGGCGTCTGCTCGTTTCGCCAACGGCGGTGCCTACCCCCCCGACCTGACCCTCATTTCGGGCGGCCGTCACGATGGCCCCAACTACATCTTCTCGCTCCTGACCGGCTACCGTGACCCCCCGGCCGGCATCTCGGTGGGTCGGGTCGGACCTGCTCGGGTCGGGGTTGGGGGCAGCGCACAGCAGCGTTACCGGAACATGTTCAGCAGCTGCAAGTCTTATCAAGATGCCAAGGAAGCATTATTGTTGGTCTGCTGTTCCACAACAGCAGGCGGTGACGCGGCAAGCCGCGTTTTCGACACGCTTTTGGCGCTTTTGCCTGATTTGGCCTAACGGGTTTTGTACCCTTTGCTTGTTGCAGGTGCGCGAGGGCCTGTACTACAACCCGTACTTCCCCGGCGGCGCTATTGCCATGCCTAAGATGCTGGTGGACGGCGGTGTCGAGTACGACGATGGCACGCCCGCCAACGCCTCTCAGCAGGCCAAGGATGTGACCACCTTCCTGGCCTGGAGCAGCTACCCCTACCAGGTGCGCACCGGGGTGCAGCTGGGGCTTCTTGCATTCGCATTCTTGCATGCGCTTCTGGCTTGTCCACTTGTTATGCACGTGCTTACTATGTCGGCCTCGCGCTTGTGCCACGACCCTTCCTTCTCACTTAAGAACATGTTACTATGCTTTTCTCACAGGACGAGATGCGCGTGATGGGCATTAAGGCCTGCCTGATGATCTCCATCCTCATCGCCTTCGCCTCCTACTCCAAGCGCCTGCGCTGGGCGCCCATCAAGTCGCAGCGCCTGGTCATGGATGTGGTCAACTAAACCACACGGGCTGCTGCTGAAACCTTCGGCTTATACCTGGGAGGGAGGGAGTGTGCGTGTGTTTGGTGGTTGTTTAAGGAGCGACGGCGGCAGCGGTGGAGTCGGTGAAGGGCCTATGCGTCACTCTGCAAAGGTCGTTTAGGGGAGCTTAACAGTTCTGTTTTGGATTTTTGTCCTCAAGCTTTAGGACGTTGAGGACGAGCGGCGCAGCACGGAGCCTTCCGTACGGATTCTGTGCTGGCGGCTGGTATCAGTTCTGCGGACATGGAAAGAGCATTACCTGTTTCCTAACGTGGGCTCGCTTTTTCGAAAAAGCATGTAGTCGTGTGTGTTGCATGTGGCTTGGCAGCTTGTGCAGCGGCACGAGGTGTGATGTAGGCGGGACGTGTGTGCGGCTATGGTCGACAGTATTTCAGCGTGAGCTACGGACGACTTGCGCGACTGCACGTGATTGCTCCTTTGCAAGGGGCTTGCTTGACCTCACGCTGTGATACTTGTAATACACGGCTTCGCTGCTTTTCGGCCCCTGTCCGGCATCTCTTACCCAACATGACTGGTACTGCATGGGGGTGCAGCGCATGGGCAAGAGAAACACGGATAAGAAGTTGACCTAGCTTGGGTATGAGTATATTGAGACGCATTTTGGAAGTGTGCGTGTCGAGCCATCGGGGTCGACGTTTCCTGTCGTACGTGCGCAGTCCACGTCAGCTTCGCATGCATTGTACATTAGGCTTTTTACTGTCTGGACTATTCATCAGGCGCTAGCGACTGTATTATTGGAAAGAGTTTTCTTAGGTGTTGCATACCTCTACACCAAATTTGCTCCATTATCGGGCCAACAGACGCTATTAACACGCAGATCACGGGCAGAAGGCGATTGGGAAGATGGCAACCATCCGGTGCTCCATTAACCTTCAACACAAGGCGGGGTTCCGGCAATGCCGAGCTGTCCCGGCGCGACGAGGTGCGTGAGTGGTGCTCGGCAAGAACTGCATCTACTTCTTAGCTTATGGCTCACGCGGTTTGTATGCAGGTACCTGTGTTAGGCCTTTGGCTTCAGCAGAGCCACGGCCACAGGTAGGCATCCCTTACCGGTATTCGCATGGTAGGCATCCCTTATTGTGCTACAGAGTTCCCGTTTGCTGCACTACGTGGTTCCTGTGCACAAACATTTTGTGATGAGATACTAGGCCCGATTTAACCAATTCAGATCCCCATCAGTGGCACCCATGCTTGCACTTGCTCAACGCCATGGCCCCAGCAGGCGTCTGCCACGGAAGAGCTCCAGTACAGCCGTCTTTTGCTTACAATTCTGGACGCTAATCCATTCCTAAGCGACGGATCTCGCACGGTAAGAGCTATGCCGTGAGACGGAAGTCCTGCGGCCGCGCACTCTAGAAACGTCAGTGTTCGAGGACAAGCAACCATACATGTTACCATAACACGCTGTTCTCCCGCATTCTGCTAGCAGCCAGGACAAGCAACCATACATGTTACCATAACACGCTGTTCTCCCGCATTCTGCTAGAAGCCATCCGCTGTCGTGCTGCTGCTGCTGCTGCTGCTTTCGAGCCTAACTACCTGTACTAGCAATATAGCGGCCTCGCCTATTCCCGTTATCAGGCCGTGGCCACCACCGCGCTTCTGGCTCGGCAGTATCAGTCCAAGGTGACAGTACTAGTAGTGGATGAGCCAGGTGAGCGAGCGCAGACTGGGAAATGGAATACGACAAAATTGAGCGTCAGGACAGGTCAGGATGTAGTTTGGTGAGGGCAAGCAACCGCAATATAGCAAAGGATAACAGCCCCGATGGATCCCACCGTGTTCTCCCACTGTAAGGCGCCGACAGCCCGTCACAACTCGTATCCACTAGCTTCAAGTCGTGCCGTTCATGCATGCCCGCATGCCCGCATGCTTCCACACAGGAACTGACAACACGGACCCCACCCGGCGGCTGGAGAGCATCTCCTGGCACCTGCGCGAGCGCGGCTGCCAGGACTTTGACCTGGTGGAGAAGGCCATCACCTCGCCCGCCTCCGTGCTTGTCGGTGGGTGCAGGGGCCGAGGAAGCAGAAGATGAGGGCATGTATAAAGGACTACCGGTACCCGGCTAGCATGTTTGTGTGCCTGCCTTCGTGCCTTGGCTCCTCCATACGGGATGCCCTCCCTCCTGCCGTGATTCCGTCGTTCCATCCCGCTCCCCCGCTCCCCCGCACAGGCGACTTTGCTGACGAGATCTCCGCCGAGCTGGTGGTGCTGAGCAGCGAGGCGGTGCACGCCAAGCACGTGGACGCCAACCAGCTGGCGGAGTTCGTGAGCTGCCCGGTGCTGCTGCTGCCGTGAGCTGCCCGGTGCGGTGCGGTTGGAGCAGCCGTGAGGGTGGAGCAGCCGTGAGGGTGGAGCAGCCGTGTGAGCTGCTGGGGCAGTGCAGCAGTGGAGGAACGGGGGCTGCCGTGCGAGCAGTCAGGGGAGGGGGCGCAGGAGCGGAGGAGGGGCATGCTGGCGGAAGTACCAACCCAAGTGGGCTGCTGTAGTTGCTGCAATAACCTGGCGGAAGGGGATGCGTTTTGAGGAGCGGCCATCTAGGGACGCAGGTAGAGCAGAGGGCGCGGTATGTGAAAGCGTTGTGTGTATGTGTGTCGAGCGGAGGCGTGGTTGAGTGGGGGAGCACCCTTGGTCGGGCGGAGGGAGCGCATGGGGCAGGAATAGGAGTGATGGACAGGCCGTGCAGGGTGTTTCGGAGGCGGCATTAACGCGACAGGACATCCAACGCTTTCCAGGTTGCTGCCATGCACCCTTACGTGTGCCCCACCGCTCCATGCGGGACGCACGTTGCGGTGACGCCGTGTTGCTGCGTTGTTCGTGTGCCATCTGTGTTGGCAACCCGGCATTCGGGGCGGTGCTATTGAGTTGCACTTGCGTTGCAGTCGCTTGCAAAGGTGTCATGTGGTTGCCCCGGCGTGATGCAAGATTAAATGCAAGTTGCTTTTGTTTCCTGCACTCTTACGTGGGTTTTGGGGTCCGCCTGGTCGTGTTCAGCCAGTTGAACCGCAGCCCCGGCTGCCCGGCGTGGTGTGTGGCAGGAGCACCAGGGGAGGTGCTCCTGACGGCAAGCAGGTGGATGCATGGTAAGTGTTTACTCGGTCTACAGGGCCCCGTTGAGGCCTACCTGTGCTGAGGTGGCTTGGTGGTTGGCAAAACTGCATGTGAGCGCTCTGATGCTTGTAGGCAAGGAAGCACGTAGCCCGGCCCGGCCCCCCTCCAGGCACCCGGAGGGCTTCCTGTATGCCCTACATCCGATGGGTGCTACTGTCAATCATCACCTCCAATCTTGCCCCCTAGCTGAAGCCGCATGCATGCCAGCAAGCGTGCGGCCAAAGCGAACAGTTGGGTGGCATGTGGCCGTGGAGAGGAGGTTAATGGTCTAGGAAGAGCTGCATGCATGCACCTCGCCCCAGCATGCACCTAGCGAAAGCCAATGCCCAACTGTTAGGTCAGCAGCCGCAGCTGGCCGCGGTGGCCGGCATTACCTGCCGCACCACTAGGCATACCGTGTGGAGAACCCTTCAGGCATGGGCTTGAAGAGCTGCTTGCGTCGGGTGACATGACACGTATCCGTTGTGAACCGCCTTTACAGAGCAAAGTGGACGTTGCTTTTCGGATCGTTTCCGGCGACATAGGTTAATCATGTAGAAAGCACCATAGGCTTGAACACGTGGAAAGTGAGGTCTGTGCAGGGCATATTGAAGCAGTATAGTTCGTTACGCCGGCGCACATTAAGTACTTCCGATGGAAACCTGTCACACCTACAGCGGGTGTTCGCGCGAAAGGCGAATGCTTACGACGTATAACTGACGCACGATGCGGAAGCAACCTCGTAGCAAGCTGGTTGCCCGGTCGTATGCAAACGGGGTGTATGATGAGGTTTGACTTTGGCAAACGTTCTGAGCGCGTCGCGTACGCATAACTTATCGTCTTATCCTACCTATCGTAGCGCCAGCTGCGCTTGCAGGCCTTGTCGGAATCATAACAAGACAACGCTTTGTGTTAATGTAACAAACGTATACCTAACTGCCATTGAAACTGCGATGCAACGGTCGGTGTTACTTCCGCGATGTTCCGCATTCCGTCCGCGGCCCGTGGGTCGGTTTCCGTTGCTGGTGACGAACTTTGCTGAGCGGGAAGGAAAATACAAGAAGCCCTCCGCCCAAGCTATATTGAAGTCGATTCGGCATAATTATCAGAGGACCATTGCCATAAAGCGCCTGGAAAAAAAGAGCGCCATGACGGTAAGCGAGTAAAGGCCGTGGGTTCTGTTACGGAGGTTGGTGGGTGTCGAAACGGCATGAAAAGGATGCTGAAGGGCGATACAATTCTTGCATGCAGGCAACAGCTAGTGGCGTTAACCCCAACTACGCCAAGGACTTCAACGCCTTGATCCAGCAAGCAAGTGCCGACGCCAAGGAGAGGGAGGCGGCCAACAATGCCGTTCGCACCCTGGAGGAGGTCCTGGCTAAGATGTCGGGGCTGAAAGTGAGTGGGTAGAGTAGTATGAATACGAGCGGCGGTGAAGGCATGGCTTAAGGAACGCATGCATGAGTGCTGGGCTGGGCCTTCTGCGGTGACATCGAGGGCGGACAGGTCGGTACCCGCGCACCTCAGGTGTCCCGGGTCGTCAAGGGCGGCAGCTTTGGCCGGCGCACCATGGTTCCTGACCACTTCGACGTGGGTAAGAGAGCTGGGGGGTTGCTTTGGGGGCCGCCATGCAGCGCGTGCGGCTGTGAAACTCTTTGTAGGGTGAGGCCCTTGTTCACCTGTCGGAAGATGGCGACCCGACGCAGACCTCATCGTCTGCATCAGGACCTTCGAGGGCAAGGATCTGGAGTATCCGACGGACTGGAGTGATGAGAAGCGCCTGCTAGACATGCGGCGGAAGGTGAGGCGTGTGACGGACCCGCAAACCGCGGCATGTCCTGGCATCGCGTGTGTAATCACATGGCGCCTTTACCAAGTGCAGGTCAAGCAGTGGCTGGAGGTCAACACTGACTGGGGCATCAAAATACCCGAGGACGCGCACTACCGCTATGTGCTGCAGGTGGGTGAGGACTGGCCCTCCACCATGTCTGTGCCACGCTACTAACCTTCTGTGCCACGCTACTAATCTTCGGGAAGGCGCATGGTTGCAAACTTGCAATTCTCCTAGTGCGCAGGACCGTAGCGTCTCAGACACCTCTAGTCCCTACCGTACTTAGCCTTTGCGCGTCGCGTCTGCCATCCTCAGCAAGTAGTACTGCGTATGCAGCATCACCAGCAAGGATTGGGTTCGTGAGCTGAGGGCTAGAAGATGACATATCGGTATGTTTTTTGCATGCGCGGAGCCCTGAGTGACTAGTCCTGGAGATCTGCTCTCAGACAGTTGCCCCATGGGCGCTGACGGCAAAGCATGGTCGTCCCTTTTTCCCGTACCCTCAACCGCAGCTAACGGTCGACAGCGTTGATGTGGACCTGCTCCTCGTCCCCGACGTCACCACAGGTCTGGCTTGGTGGCTGTGACGTTGTTTGTTACCTGACCTTTCGAGAATGCGTGCTCAGAACTAGCTGGGTTGTTGCACGCAGGCGCGCCAAAAGACTTCGACATGGCCCAGCACCAGATCCTGATGCACCGTGTGTACGACAACCCGGAGGAGGCCGTGTACGACCAGTTACGCGAGCGGGCGGACTCTGCGGCACTTGTAGCGTTCCTCAAGAGTATAAACGAGGACGTCAAGGGAGTTGTACGGCTTCTCAAGGTGCGTGGAAAAGCGAGTGGCGCAGTAGCCCATGACGTTCGTTGGGTCATGTGCTTCTTCATTAGGACACACCTGCTGTCTGGGCTGCAGGCGTGGTACAAGTGCCGCTTGGAGGCTGGCGTCGACAAAGAAGCCCGCATTGGGAGCGTGGCGCTGGAGGTGATCGTGCTGTGTGCCCACCAGCGGCTGCAGAACAACAAGAAGCCATGCACGTGAGTCCCCAGATTAGAACAGCAACGTCGCTAGCCAAACTTTTGGACGCACTGTCGACCCCAACCGTCCCTTGCTGCCATTCTTTACTACTGCCCTTGCAAAACTGATGGGCTATGTTGTCTTGGGTAAGCTTGCGTATACCGGCAGTACCCGTACTTGCTTTCAATAACCCCTGATGCCTTCGGCAACATGCTGTGTGCTATAAATTCATGCAGGGGCAGCGGCTACCGACTTGAGCTGTTCCTGGAGTCGCTGCGGCTGATCATCAAGGCGGTGGAAGATGGGAAAGTCATCATGGTGGATGCGGGCAGGTGGGGCTACCGCAAGAAGCAGGGCATGCGGAGCGTGCACAACTGGGCCAAGGATGCCGTCAAGATCATCCATCCCACCGACTTCACATGCAACCTTGCGAGGGTGAGCCGCCGCTGGAGTGCGAAACACGCCAGTAGGAACCTGCAGTCTGCATGACCCTACTGTATGCCCCATTGTGATCTCCTCCTGCCCGCCCCTACGTGAACCCCTATTAACGCTCCTACGTCGCCTCTTCGCCTATGCACATAACTTGCCTCTCGTCTTCAGCCTCGGGACGGCCGGTCGCCCGACTGGGCGGGCCTTGCGGCGGCGGCACGGGAGTTGCTGGGGACCATAAAAGGCCGCAACCTCAGAGATCTGATGACCTCGACGCTTGGAATGGCGATGGAACGCATAACAGGCACGAGGAAGCAGCAGCTAATCAACGACCTCGACCACCTGATGAAAATTATGGGCTCAATCTTTGCCCCTTAGCTGCCATCGCCGGGGGCCAAGTGCATGCATGGTGGTTGTGGCGAGGATTTTCGGGGCCAGATCCATCCCATGTTGTCGCTGGGGTATTGTATAGGACCCGTTGTAGTGGTTGGAATCGCGGCTGGCTGTGCGTGAGGGACACACGTGAGGGACAGGGCAGCTTACAGGTACGACCTTTTCCTGTGGCAGCAACGCATGCACGGAGCCGGGGGATGGGCTATCGTGGCTGTTGCTGCGGGATCTTCCATTCGTTGTTGTTCTTGTTGTCCTACCTTTCAAATGATTCAGTGCGTTTCAGTACTCCTCGGATTGGATCTCTTCCTAGGATAAAGCAGACTCACGGTAGGGCATGTATGGCGCAGGGCAATACCGGTGAAGGTCCGAAGTTCCTCGCGCCTTGATGCTTTCCAGCGTTTTCCAAGGACAAAGGGCCACCGCCTTGACCAGTGGGACCCGTTCATGCCTTCCATCTGCCACATATTTTGACAAAACACGTCGATCCTTCGAACTTTTGGACCAGCGCGGGCGACCAGCCGTGACAGGAGTGTGCCACCCATGTTGATGTGCTGTGCGCCTGCGTGCAACAACGGGACATAGACCCAGTGCCTGCGAAGTGCGCCTCTCCTTACAAGGCCCATCCTGCCGCCGCTTTCCAGTGTTTTCCAAGGACGAAGGACAACCGCCTTGCTGACTCGTAGGACATATGACTACCATGTGCCATGCACTACCTGGCCAACAAGCCGGCCTGTGTACCCTGCGTTAGTGCAGCAGCTTGATGTGCGCCCGGCCCTTGTTGGCGGTGCTGCGCGGGTCCATGGGGCCGATGGGCCACCTGGGGATGACCTGCGGAGTGAGCGGGACATCGGGTGTGACAGCCGCATGGGCAACAACATGACATGCATGCCACGAGAGGGTTTTGAAGCGAGCACATGCGGTTCACCACGCCAGGATTCTCACTGAGCATGAGGCGCGATGCGACGTGACTCATACAAGCGATACAGCCACATGCGGTCATGCTCTGACCTAACGACTCTCGTCCCAGCGTGCACATCCTGATTCCTGCCAGACCCCGCCCCCAGCACCCCCAGCAGCAGCCGCTGCTGCCCTCACCTGCACGTGCATGTCCAGCGCCGCCTCTTCCCGCAGCCGCGGCGGCTGCTGGTAGAGCCCCATCTTGAGCCGCTCAACTCCCGTCCACGCGACCATCAGCCCATTGTCTGTGCAGTACCTGCGGCCGCAAAGAAGCAGCAGCACCAGCAGCCGTACCGTAAGCATAGCGAGCTGGAAACGCACAGCGTGCAAACGCACAGCAACACAGCGGCCGTCAAGACAGCTAAGAGCACACCGTACGGCCCCAGATCCTCAGCCTCCTCCCCATTCCCTCTCCTCGCCCCGTCCCTCCCTCCTGTGCCCTCCCTACCTCCCTATCCTTACCTCACGGGCGGGTACACGCACGGCAGCCCGAACTCCGCCGCCACCTCGCTCAGCCCCGCCCGCACCGCGCTGTTAGCCGCCACGCCGCCAGCAACCACCAGCGAACGAACGAAGCCGGGCTGGTGGCCGCTGCCGGGCTGTGCAGCTGCCTGCGGCTGGCCGGAGGAGCCGTCGGGGCCCGCAGCTGTTGTGGCTGCTGCCGCTGCTGCCCCCAGCTGTTGCATGGCGTCGTCTCGCAGCCATTGCAGCGCCCTGCGGGATGCGGGAACGGATGAGGTATGGACAGGAGCAGGCGAGTTCCAGCTGAATGATCGAGAAGGGTAAAAGGTTCACATGTCAACAGCATGTCAACAACTGAACGCACGGAGGGCACCGGCCGCAGAAGGTGGCTAACCGCGCACATGGCTAGGAGTAACAGTTACGGTAAATGAAACCTGTACCCCCAGCGCCCTCCCCACCTCCGCGTGCGCTGCTGCAGGAACCGCACGGCGGTACGCTGGAATGACGCCGCGATGTCCGCACACGCCGCCGTGAACTCCACCTCCGCAGCCGCCCGCCGCGCCACCTCCGCCTCCGTTAGCACCTCCTCCTTCGCCTCAGGAGCCGCCGCCGCCGCCGCTTCTGCCACACCCTCCGCGGCCGCACCTCCATCCGACCCGGCGGCTCTGTCTCCGTCCGCGCTCTTGCTCGCGCCGCCGCTGGCGGTGGCAGCCCCCGCCGCCGCCGCTGCCGCCAGCGCCGCCAGCGCCGGAGGCGGGGGGAGGTCCGGCAGCCGCAGCTCCTTGCGCTTCTGTGCGATGAGGGCGGCCACTTGGGTCTTGAGGCCTGAGAAGGAGAAGTTGCAGGAGTCCTTCTGCGCGCCGTTGGCTAGCGGCATGGTGAGCGGGTAGCGGGTGTGCGCCTCGGGTTGCGCGGAGGCGGCCAGGCGCTCCAAGTGGGGCCCGCCTGGGGAGCGAGGGAAGGGGGATGGGGGCGCTGCTGTTGACAGGAGAGAAGGCAGGGAACGGCATGAACGGCAGAAGCAAGGAAAGGCCCGGTCCAGGCGGCGGCGGTCTTGTCCCCTTCCCGCCCTCCAGCTTCCCCCCAGCCATCACCCACCGGTCCACCACCCACCACCAACCACTGTTGGTACTATCATTCACAGCATGGCAGGTTCTTCTTTTCCTCCTCCAACCCTCCGCCTGCACCCACCCGGCACCGCGCTGATCCCCGCCATGCGCGCGATCTTGTCAAAACACTCGCCCACCGAGTCGTCCAGCGTGGTCCCGATGATGCGGTGCCTGCCCACCCCCTCGCACAGCACCAGCATGTTGTGACCGCCCGACACCAGCAGCAGCAGCGAGGGGAACTGGGAGCGGGAGGGGCGGGCAGGGCCAAGGGGGGGTTGGAAGAAATGAGCTATAGGGTGGCATGCGGCGGGAAAGTTGCAGGATGAGCGCGGACCTAGAGGAGGATTACACAAACGTCTGGTCTGTGCCAGCAGCCCAAGGACAATATTTCAGCCCCCACGCGGCCAGTTTTCTGCACACACCTGCATGGGGCTCTCATTGACGGAGGGCAGCCGGGTCATCATGGCGTGCGCCTCCATGTGGTGCACCGGCACGTACGGCAGGCCGTGGCGGGCAGCCAGCGCCAACCCGTGCTGCACCCCCACCTGCGGGCCGAGGAGGAGGAGGAGGAGGAGGAGGGAGCTGGGGGATGAGGCTGCACGCCACTGCACGTCGCTTAACCCTGGAGCCGCCCAGTTAACCCTGGAGCCGCCCAGTTGTAATATCCCGCTACATTCCCTAAAACGGCAATGCGGTTGCGCGACAACCCAGCAAGCCGACAAACAGCACCCCAACATGCAACGGCTCGTTCGATTTCCTCTTCCTGCTCCTCCCCCCGGCTCCCCACCACACACACACACACCTGCAGGCACAGCGCCAGCCCGGGTCCAGCCGTGACCGCCACCGCGGTGAGGGCCCCCGGCTCCACCGCCGCAGCAGCGAGCGCGGAGTCGACAGTGGCCTTCAGGGGGGGGGGGGGTTAGGATGGGGGATGAGGTGAGGTGTGGCGTGGGGCCACTGAGGCGCACCGGTCCAAAACGAGGCCTTGGTGGTGTAGCATGCGACAAACGGTGGGAGGTCTGGAGGTTGCGGGTGGCGAAGGGCTTACGCAGAGTGCCGCAGGGATGAGCCCTAGACACGTCTACGTGCCGTAACACACGCCCCAAGCGCCCCAAACTACTGCCACCAGCTCCCCCAACCTTGCTTTGCAGCGCCACATACTCCACGAGCACGGTACCCCCATGGAGGGGATCACACTCGCTCACCCACCCACCTGGATGGCAGCCGCATGCGCCTGGCGAGCCACATCGGGCTTCACACCGCCGTACTGCTCATGCAGCCCGGTCTGCGGGGGTAAGAGCAAAACACACACACACGCGTGTCAGTCCAGGTTGAAGGTCCTGTGCCCGGCCCACACATGGCAACAAAGTGCGGCATGCGCAACAACACCTTCACCCGTACAGCCCGCACCACCACGCCTCACCTCGCCTCGCCTCGCCCCACCCCCTACCTGGGAAGCGATCTGGTGTGACAGCACGGTGCCGTCCCCCCGCACCACCGCCGCCGCGGTGTCGTCGCAGCTGCTCTCAATGCCCAGCACCAGCCACTGGGAGGGGTCGCCGCTCGCAAGCGCCGCCGCAGCCGCGGCATTGATGGTGGTGGTGGTTGCAGCCGCCGCACCGCTGCCGCTACCCGCCAGTAGTCCTGCCGTACCCAGTGCTCCGGAACCAGCCTCCGCCGTACCGCGCCATGCCACGTCAGCGGGGGGCAGGCGGTCAGGGTAGTCCCGCCGCCACCTGTGAAGCAGCGGGGCATACGCGGTCCCAGCGCTGCTGCAGGAGCTGGTGCCGGTGTCGTTGTTGCTGTCGTTGTTGCTGCCGGGAGCGGCGCCGGCGCCGTCTCCCGTGGGGCGGGCAACCGGGGCAGCAGCAGTAGCAGCAGTGCCGTCAGAGGCAGCGGAAGCAGCTGGCCCAGCCGCCTCCGTAGCCACCGCTCCTTCCTGCTGAGGCTGCGGCTGTGGAGGGGTCTGCTTAGCCTTGCCTCCCTTGCCTGCCTTGGGCGGAGGCGGGTGGAAGCGCGTGCCGAGCGGCGAGACGGACACCAGGCGGCCGGATGCCTGCGCGGGGAGGAGCAAGTCAGGAAGGAGGAAGCGGAGGGAACAAAGCGTTAGGGCGCCATGTCACCACCTGCATGCCAAGCCGTACCACACCCTCTCAGTGTCCCCATCCTCGTCCCTACCACCCTCTCCTCAACCCAACCTCCGCTCCCGCCCTCCCACGCCCCCTGTCCCTGTGCCTCTCCCCACCTCCCTTCCCCACCTGCGCGCCCATGCCGCTGACCTCCACCGCCAGGCCCTCCCGCGCCAGCGCCATCACCGCGGCCGGCATGCGGTCCGGCCACTCGATCAGGCACACGTCCCGCCGGAACGCCGCCTCGAAGTCGATCAGCCCCGCCATCTTGTCGTTCTTGGCGCCCAGGCGGTAGGGGTCCATGTGGTGCACACTGCCCGCACGAGCCGCGGCAGCAGCGGCTGCGGCTGGTGGAGGTGCTGATGGTGGCTGTAAGGCTGCTGCTGCTGCGGGTGCCGCTGCGAGGGGTGCGGTTGTTTCGTCCGTGGCTTGCTGCAGTGCAGCTGCATGCGTCTGTTCATCCGTGTGGCTGGCGCTGCCGGTGCTGCGGCTGGTGTTGCAGGTGCCGCAGCCGCTCTCCTTTTCGTAGGCGGTGTCGTCCTGGTAGGTCAGGCACAGCAGGAAGGTGGGGGAGGGCACCTCAAGCAGCGGGTCGCGGACAAAGGCGCGAACGAAGCCGCGACTGATGGTGCTCTTGCCGGCGCCCAGCTGACCGCTTAACGCCACAACGGTGCCTGGGGCGCTGCAGGCCTGCTGCAGCGAGCATCCCAGGGCCTCCATCTCGGCCTCTGTTGTGGCCCAGACGTGGTATCCGGGCGCGTAGGCTTCCGGAAGCAGGTTGCGGATGTGGGCTAGCAACGGTCCGGCATCCATGGCCGAAAGCTGAGCGCGAGGCGTTGCGCTGAGTGGAGCAGATGAGGCACCGGGAGAAAGAGTTTCCCCTTCGAAGACAGGAACGAGGTGGAAGTGTAGTTGTGGGACCGTCTGGCCTGCGGCAGGGCCATTGTTCTGCACGATGCGCAGACCGATGCAGCCCGTCGCGCGCTGGAGAGCACGCGATAGCGCTTGCAGGTCTGTGAACACTGCCTGCGCTGCCGCGGGTGGAAGATCGTCCAGCAGTGTAGCCGCAGGATGCTTCACAATAAGCAACGCATGGCCGCGAGCGACAGGGTACTTGTCGAGCACGGCGAATGTGTGCTGCGCCTCAAAAATAATCGGCGTCTCTAGTCCACCACTTTGGAGCAATAACGAAAACACGTTCTTCTGATTGTAACGATAAGCGGTCACAGGCACCGCCGCCGCATTGCTAGCTGCAGCCATCTTCTGCCGCTTGGCGCGGGGTTCTAAGCCATCCATAGCACAATGAAGCTAGAAAAGCAAGCTTATATGTCCCTCATACAATCTCGCCACGGACTGTACGCAGAGTGACTAGGCTAATAAAGTGAGTGCAATTCTAGTGGAACCATACACTGCGTAAGCGAATAAGCCGGTACCGCCTTGCCTAGGATCAGTTCATTTGACGTTTATATGCATCGCGCGTACTGCTGCATGAAGCGCCTTGAGGGCTTAGTCAGCTTGCAACACTTCCCAGGTAACAAGTACCGTATGCCCTGTTTGCGGAGTTGGAAACACATGACGTAAAATCGAGGTTAACTTTGCAATAGATGATACCCGGTTGGTGCGCCTCGCACGGTGCATGCTTGCAACACCCAAGCCGTAAAGGCGGTACTGCCTATATCGTCCGTCCTCCACTTGGCGTAATCCCTGACCTTGGTGAAATTAAGAGCATGTCTACACCACCAAGAAACAGCCAGAAGCGGGCCTCCCGTGAAACCTGCATGCCTCCCGGAACCCAGCCGCTGCTCAGAGCCCTGCTAGCCCAGTCAGCAGCTTTCATGGCAGCTGTAATACCGCGCGCCGACGACACGACTCGTGAGGTGGCCCCCGTTGTGCAGATGGCTACATGACCACGCAAGGCCATGGACACGTAACGGAAACTCGTTTCGGGCGCAGATGGCCTGGGGATGATACTTCGTGCACCACGCGCGCGTGCGTGCAGAAAGTAATGCCGGCAGCCCGGCCAAGTACTTCAGCTTACACTCCTGGCAGTCTCTGACGCTCTTCCGCTTTACTCCACACCGTGGGTGTCATCCAACGCGTACAGCAGAACACACTTGTCAGCTACCGGTATGCAGACAAGAATGCGCACAACAGTGTTGTTCCAGTCCATGCAGGCTGTGCGTCCGCCAACCTTAGCGCAGCTTAACACAGCACGTGCGCCATGCATCGCACTCTCCAACACGCCTACCTCCTTTCCTGGCCGCCGCCGCTCAGTGCAACATCATGTGTGTGTATCGGCAGGGCAACTAAACGTGCAGCCGAGGTGCAATATGCAGAAAAAAATTTGCAGGGACAGAAATCATGAGCAAGTACCTCCACACATCGGGCGTACTGCAACACAGACAGCGGTTCGTATGTTCGGGGCCTAGGTATTCTTAGAGGCTAATGAGGCTTTACCACAATGAGGACTCGAAAGCAACGCCTTCAAGGCAATACATAGATCTCCCCTTTCCGGTTCCTTGAAAAACACAAAGATGCCTGCTAGATGCTATCCCCCAGTCCTCAAAAGCCGCTCTTCTATGCATCCTGTCAGTTCTCCAGCACAGCCCGGAGCTAAGATTTTCACCTCAGCCTCAGACTTCTACCTCCATGGCAAAATGTTCATGGCATCCTTCCTTCGCACACACGGGGGCTCCTACTCGCGGCCAATTTTCTTTGAACACTTGGGGGCTACCAACATCACCACCAGCAGCAGCCTCGCAGGACCCCATCCGCAGAGCTTTCCACACCCCCAACGACCCATGCACTAAACAGACTACATACCTCTAATAGCTCTAACAACGCCTTTCCAAACGTACAGGGCGGCTTCGCCCCCCCCCCCTTGACGTAATGCCTTCAGCAGTGCACAGCCTGAACACAAATCTACAAAACAACTGAACGCAACCGGTGCCACCATTAAACTATACTCCAGCATCAACTACCGGTAACACCTCCCTCCTGTCTCCCTTCGTCCTTGTCCTCCACCACGCATGCCCATCCTCCTCTTCCTCTTCCCGCCGTTACACCACGGCCCTACTCTACGCTACCCTACCTCACCCCATCCCACACCTCTGCTACCAAACCCCCTCAACCTCCGGCCTACATTGTGTGGATCTTCACCACCTCCGCATTCGCTCCCGCCTCGGTCTTCTTGCTGCCCTCGCTCTTCTTGCCGCCCTCCTTGCTGCCCTCACGCTTGGGCGAGCCGCCCGCTGCAGGCGACGGCTTGGTCTTGGTGGCCTCGTCCGAGTTCCGCTCTGCTGCCGCCGCCGCGCGCCGCTGCTCCACAATCGCAGCTAGCTCGTCCAGCTTGATAGGCGAGCTGGAGGCGGTGTCGTACGGATCCAGACCCAGCTTCTCGAAGAGGAGATCCAGATCCGACGGGTCTGCAGGCGGGCGGGCGGGCGCAGGGGAGGGCGCTAAATGTGGATGGTCCGTCGTGGTTGACTAGAGCAAAGGTTGTAATAGTAAAGGTGTTCGCTGGGGCCCAGCGTAATAAGGACTGAGGTAAGCGGCAGTGCAAGGAATGTTCCTAGGGCGGTCCCGTAGGGTCCAGCCATCAAGCCACGTAGTATCATAGACACGAAGGATGTTCCATAATACTAAATCTGTTACATTAGTACGTAAGCGCGTAAGCATACCTAACGCTTCCACTGCTGGGCAGGACAACTAACACTACTACCTTATAATGGACCGAAGACGCTAAAACGACGAAGGCAGTAACCAAGGACACAAAACGCAAAGCTTGGATGGCACAAGGCCACTTTATTCGTTTCCTCCTCCGCCGCCCTCCACGGCTACACCCGCCTGCCTGTCCTGTGCTGGACATCAGCGAGTACCGAAAGTCCCCATGTCCGGAAACCGCCTGATCACCGCCACCATGAGTCAGCCACGACGCCGAATTAAAGTCCGCTACGGTTCTCTCTCCCACATGCAAAGAAGTAGTACATATGATCGACGACATCCTAACACACACATCCAGACAGACAGATAGAAACCGAAACACTTGTCACAGCACAGCGCGGAAGATAAATAATCTCTCCTCTCATCACTACAGCATAAGTTCCGTACTCGTGCAACTAATAAGCTCTTGTGCAACCACCGTCCACGCAGCCCCGCCGCTGCCGCTGCCGCCGTCACGCCTGCATGTTAACTATTGGATGAAGGGCTGATGCTCCTATAATCAACGCGTCGTCAGAGCCCGGCCGGCCGCCTGCTGTACCTCCGAAACGCCCGGCCAAGACTGCTGCTAAGCGACGGCTTGAACAGGCCAAAGCAAAATCACAGCTGCTCGACCTGAACTCACCGACACCGCGCTGCTAAAAAGCAATTTCTGTCCCGTCACAGGTCCCAGAGACACGCTCCCACAACAAACGCTATCCAGAAGACACCAAAGGCGTCAAAAGGGAGCGCCACCAGCAACAACGGGCTCACATCAAATTCAGCGAAAGTTCACAACCGTTCCTCACGCGGCGCATTTCGTCGCCGTTCCGGCCTAGAATAGTTCATGCAAAGAAGCCAATAAGCCTTTAACTCGGAGGACCATGCAACACACACCATCTATACACACTAACGCATCATCAACAGTCCCGCACTAGCGGCGCTACGTTTACACACCCGAGTCACCGGGAGGTCATTAATTGAGGGTTGCTCTAGTAGTAGTAGTTCTAAAACCTTACGTCCACCTAAACTGCTGTAAACTTGAATGCGTAAAGAAGACCCCCGACACTCACGGAGGAAGAAGAAGTGCGCACGCACCACACACACAGACAACGGTCAACAAGATATACATCACACACACGCACACACTCCCGCAATAGATGACAGCACACTCATTCGCAGCCAGCGCCCAGCAAGAGCGCGGCGATCATATGCCCTCACTTTACCCCCATATCACAGCAAGAACCAAAGCCCCACCCACCTTTCAATCAGTAAGGAAAGCCCCAATTTTACCCCTCCCATCACCCCTCCCCCCGTCCCCTCAGTACCCGCCCTGCGCCCGCGCCCGCATCCCCTGCGACCCACCCAGCTGCTGCCGCAGCACCATCACCGCCGCCTGCAGCTCCTGCTTGGACACCACTCCGTCCCGGTCCGCGTCCAGCAGCTGCAGCCGGTCGCCGATCTTGTTCTCCACGTTGTCCAGCTCCAACTCGATGCTATGAAGCATCTTGGCCACGCGGTCGCCCAGGCGCTTGGAGGCGTTGGGCTCGCCGCCGCTGGCGGTGCTGCTCTCAGTGGTCCTGGCCCTGGTGGGGCCGCTGCCGTTGGCCGCTGCGCCGCCGTTGGCTGCGCCTCCGGCGACCTGCAGGCCTGCGCTGCTGAAGGCCATGGAGCTGCCGACTGCGGGAAGGAAGGGGAAGCGGTCCGAGCAGGCGGTGGTTGAGTTGACGACTTCATGGTGGGGTTACAACGACCACAAGGCAGCGCGACTCATCACGGCCTCGCCTCCCACCGCCTACTCGGGTCCCGGTACTCACCCGTCTTCTCCACGATGCTGCGGTTGAGTCGCGCCATCTCGTTGCGCACCAGCTCCATGAACAGCTGCCGCTCGCGAGCCACCGCGGAGGAGGCGGCCAAACTGAGCAGGGACTCCAGGATGGCGGACACGCGGGCCTCGCGGGCAGCGGCAACCTAGCGGGGAGGAGGAGGTGGGGATGAGTTGGTGGAGGAAAAAGGGAAGGAGGGAAGCGGGCAGGAAACTGAACAAAAGAATGAACTGTATGAGTTTACCCGCGCTTTGAAGCTGCGCTGCAACTCCTTGTGTCTGCATGTAGCAGAGAGGGGCAGCACCACCACGCATGCAGCCCTGCATCCAAACTTACCTTGGCGGCCTTCTCCTCGTCAGACAGCGCCTCCACCGTCAGCGCGGCGTCCAACTCGGGCTTCAGTGCAGCCCCCATGGCAGCAGCAGCAGCGGCCTGCGCAGCCTCAGCCATGCCGGGGCTCAGCACAGTGCCGTTCGGCGCGAACGCAGCAGCCTCCGCGGCCGCGGCCGCAGCAGAGGCGGCCCGCGCCTCAGCGGCAAACGCAGCCATATCGCCCGTGGCGCCAACCGCGGCAGCCGAGGTGAAGGGCTGCGCCTCGGGCGCGGCCTTGGCAGCTGCAGCCTTGGCGGTGGCGGCCTTGGCAGTGGCGGCCTTGGCTGCGGCAGCGGTGTCCTTGGCTGCCGCCTTTGCCGCCTTGGCCTCCTCCTTGATCAGCTCCTCCTCGCGCTTCAGGAACTCCAGCTTCTTGGCAAGAGCCTATACGTGAGGAAACAGAAATCTGAAGTTAGCGAATCCAGTGTTTCCGAACGCCTTAACGCATGCACTGCGAGGTAAGACTCATGGACGATGACTTGTGGGTCTCCAACCGCGATCGCAGCAAGCAAGGCATGCGTGAACGTAAGCCGTACAGCTTTGCTGCAGCCACAAGTGCTGTAAGGAGGACAGCGGTGGCTCTCGCACCTTGGCTCCGCCCTTGGCCCCGCCCAGCGCCTCGAACTCCACGCGCTCCACCACCTCCTCGGGGATGACCGACAGCGTCTCCTTCAGCTTCTCGTAGGCCAGCTGCGGAAAGGTGGGCAGGGGAGGGAGGAGGAGGAGTGAGCAAGGCGGGGCAAAGTACCGGTAATAGAGGCATTGTCAAGGTAGGCGAGAAGGAGGGAAGCCGCCACACTCTTGTACGTGAGCTTTCCGTTAACTTCTCCCGCAACGCGTGTGCGCATGCATGGTAGCATACTACAAGAAGCCTGCTACGTACCATATTGCATATCAGCCTTCCTAACCCTCCTACAACCGCCCCCCCTTTCCAGCCACTTACATCCTTCTTGGCCGCCACGTCCTTGACCGAGGCGGTGATTGTGAAGGCGCGACTGAGCAGCAGCAGCGAGGAGGGCAGACCGCGGTGCAGCGACAGGTCCAGCCAGTCCTGCAGCTGCCTGAGGGGGCGGGTACGTCCGTCCGGAGAGGGGAGCAGGGGCAGATGAGATGATGACCCACATGGGATGATGCGTCTCTAAGCTTTCAGGCCACCGCTAGAACGCATGATACGTAACCGGTCTGAGCAAAAGCGCCTTTCGCAATCCCCATGTGGGTCATATCCAAAGCTGTTCTCACGCCCAGTCGCACAGCAACGGACCCTCAACACCGTCTTATCTCTCCCCCCACCCACCTGCGCATGAAGGGCACCGCGCCCTCCCCGAACGGCGCGCGCATGCCGCGGGCGCGGCAGGCCTGGCGCAGCTCGTCCTCCGTCAGGTTCTCCAGGCCCTCACGCTCGATCTCGTAGTCGTCGTGCTTGATCTGCGACACAAGGACAAGCACAAGCAACCCAATGGGCGTCAACTCTGAGGCAGGTCCGCACGAATACATCGCAGAATAACACGGTTCCGGCTGCCCTTCGATGCCGTTTCAGAGCCTCAAAGCCGACCAAGATGAAACAGCAGCCCCCCCCTCCTGTCCGCACCCACCTGCTGCAGGCGCGCACGCAGGCGGTTGCGCAGGAACTGGTCGGTACCGAAGGGGCTCAGCCCCACGAACTGCGCAATGGACACCAGCTGCACGCGCTCCAGGTTGTCCAGGGTGAGCGCGTCGTTGAAGAGCTGCGCGAAGCGAATGATCTCGTGGTTCTCCACGGCAGCACCCGCGCGGATCTGCAGGGGGGTGAAGGGTGGTGCGGAGAGAGTGAGCGAGGAACGAGACACGTCTGAGGAGTACGAAGGGGGACGCAGCACGCACAGGCGGAAGGCTGACACTGGGGCAAGCCTATGCAATGCCCTCTCCCCAGGGCAGCCTGCCCCAACCAAAACCAAACAAACCCACCCACCCACCTTCTGCAGGAACTCGTAGAGCTCGTTGGCGGTGACGGCCTGCTTGCCCTTGCCGGTGCGCTGCAGGTCCTTGGCCATCTCGCTCACAGTGTCCTGCAGGCGGGGACGGGGCGGTGGTAGTGTCAGGGGGTCGCCAAGGCAAAAGGGCCCGTCCTCATGCAGCCATGCAGCCACGGGTTTGCGTGGTCGCTTCGCCTTGCAAGCGCTCCATGCCTCGACATGGCTTCACAGTACTACAAAGCCCCCTCCCTACAAAGCCCTGCGAAGCCTGATGTGCGGCAGCGCTGCGCACCCACCTGGAGAAACTTGGCGAGCTCGAGCTTGACCGACAGGCGCCGCTTCATCTCCTCCTCCTTCTTCAGCTTGTCCTCAAAGGTGGAGGGCAGCATGTTGGGGAACAGCCGCAGCAGCAGCGGCAGCGTGAACTCCAGGAAGGGCACCACCTGCACGGCAAACAGGGAGCAGCGGGGATGAAGACTGCTTAGGTACAAGATATCATTTGTTTGCGCAAGAAGGTTTAACGCTCGCGGTGGCAGCAGGGGCGTGCAAGAGGAACACTCTCTTCATGCAAAGGGAGTCACATTTGAGCTTGCGCACTCGGACAACTCCAGTGCATGGGGTACAGTTCATAAATCATTGCCCCCAGCCAGCCATTGCTCGCCAAGCTTAAACCCGAATCCCCCGCTGGGAGAAGGGGTGCTGCAAGGCTGCCCTACTTACCACGATGATGACGAGGGGCACCAGGCGGAAGAGGTCGGCGGTGGTGCGCGTCAGCTGCCGCCGCTCGCGCCTGCAAGCAAGGAGGGGAAGTGCATGGCCGAATTTAATATCCTTGCCGTTCTCGCTGTCCTTGCTACCGGTACTACATGCCCAGTTCGCATCATGGTAAGGGCCATTTTAACGCCTTCAGCATAATAAATGACGAACGAATGGTGATACCGGTAACGTAGCGGCCGCAGGACTGAACGCACAGGGCAAGGTTCTGGGCCGACCACTTTCTTTTCCATTTACCCCATCCCAAGATTCCCAACACAGGCCCCTCCCCACCTCGTGAGCTCCTCCCCGCGTGCCGCCTTGAGCGCGTACGTGGAGGCGACCCGCACCTCGTACGCCAATAGCTTGAAGCCCACCTGCAGGGTTTCATTAGTTTCATTTAGAGAATTGCAGAACATAGGTAGAACATAGGTAGGAGATGGACAGCGTAAGGAAAGAAGGGGGGACTCATATGGGAGAAGGAGTTGCCTCGGCAGTGGGGGAGGTGTTTTTCAGTGCAAGAGTCATGAAATGTTCAGCCGCTTCACCAGAAGCTCATTTAGCTTGGGATGGCGTGGAAGGCATCTCTCAACTGGACGCTTCTTCAAAATGCAGGTGAGCAGCGCGTGCAGAAACTAACACCGACCGAACAAGCCCTAACTACCCATCTTGTCCATCGAGGCCCCTATGAAAACAGGCAGGAATATAGACAAACAAGCAGTACGCATACGCATACGCACCCAATAATGGTGTGCCTCGTGCTTGAAGCCCGTCCACATGGCCGACTTCTTGGCCTGCCACTCCTCCTTACTCATGCTGCGGAAGCGCTCTATGCGTGATGGAACGGTAGCGGTAAATCGCACGACCGCCACCAGCCCGTTACCAATGGCAACGATCACATCCTTGACCTGCGAACCAATTCCTCGCAACGACGAAGGCCGCTCCAACTGGTTAAGCCGCCAGTGCAAGTCCTCGATTTCTCGGATAGCAGTGTCGCAGTCCTCGGCCTGTTAGCATACCAGTCCAGTGGAGTTACATGGTCAACGGCTTCCTTTCATCAAACAGGTGGGCCAATGATCGATGCAAAGGGATCCGCCTTACCTTTGGAAGTGAAGCAGAAGGCTTTGCTGCGGGTCCAGAAGTGTGCTTTGGCAGCTTTTCCGCAGAAAGGCATGGCCGCGTGAGCTGGAAAGGTCCTGATAACAGCCGAGAAGAATGAAAGCCCCGGCTTTGGGCAGCAAGTGATGCACGTGCCAACGGTGGAAGAAGGCGCAACTGGTCTGCGAGCTGTGGGAAGCATGTTGGGCCAGTCGGTTGCTTCTGATGGCTGCAGTCGGCGGCAGTCGACAACAGCTCCAGGACTCCCAGCGGCTGCTTAGCTCCACGCTGCAGGACATCCAGGTTGATCAGGACGCCATATGGCTTTGCGTTGCCCAACAGCACCCAGACAGGTTGGGAACGTCGCACGAACGCCATTTGTCAGTCCCAGGCCTCTGCGCTTGTCGATGAAGTAGATATGTGAGGTTAATGGATCATAGCATTTGGGTATATGGGAGGTGAGTCGGCTTCACAAGGAAGCTGCCGCCAGTTGCCCTATCAATATGGTCGCTTACAGTGAACTGAACTTATATTATGTTAGAGTATCTGCCTACATTTCATGACTGGCCACAGTTTAATGGGAATGCGCTGGAATAATGCTTTGGAAGGTGGTTGGTCGCCCTGTGCCGTACTCGTAGAGCTGGTTATGCTTAGAGCAGCAACCGTTGCTTGAGGATGTCAGTCAGGCGCCAGACGTCACCATTTGCATTCCTAGTATGGCATCAGGAGTTGCTGGCACTGTCTGCAGGGCGATGTGCCGATGTCTGCTTGCTGCGTCCATTGTTTGTTACCCTTCCTTTTCGTGCCATCTTATTGTCATGAGTTGTTCTTGTTATTGTCTACGTTTACAATGCGGGTTTTGGCAGCATAGCTGAAAAAGTCTGGTCGCCGATGTGAAGGTTTGCTGGGGAGACGGCAAGCCGTAAGGCAGCACATCATACATACCGTATGATGCGTTGACTCGCGAAGCCGCAGATGGCTAGAAACTTGATGTCAATCCCTTGTAAGTAGCTAGGGAAAGCTAGCGGGCATGGGTGCTCCCCGGTTGCTTACGTTGCCGAAGGCCTTGCAAGGGGCCTTGCCGTCTTTCAAGCTAGTTGGAAGCTACCAGTAAGGTTGAACGCGGCATGCGTTTTGGTCAGGCCGATGGCTATGGGAGGGGCCGAGGGTCGCTCGCGACGACGTCGCACGGGACCTCGACGGCGACCCACCTGTCACGGCCGCAAGCAACAACCCGCCAACTACCTCGCGCATGCCCTTGCAGAATGAGTATTATTACCCGTAAGCTTCAGCCGTATGATCATCCAACAGCTTTTCCCTTGTATCACAAACACAAGTGCGATCAACACCCTCGTGATCCCACTTTGACAATCAGGCAGCCTAACCCACCGCATTCATCCGCAGTTAGGTACCGCCGCACAATCCAGCAGCAGGAAACCAGTTCCCCCAGCGTTTAGGGCTTAAAGCACGCTAAAAGTGAGTTGTAAGGGCGGTGCTTTGCCATGGAAGCCGACCCATGGGTCCCTAGGAGCTCCCACGACACGACGTGTATGCACCGCTGCCGCCTTTGGCTGGCACGGTCTTTCCGCACAGCTATGCGTAAAAATGCTGCACCCTCATCGGCCTAGATGTGTGCTGTTCATGTTGCTTTCAGCAGTCATGCAGTCATCAGCTGCTTCCCACAGGCATGTTAGATGTTATCGTGCCTGATCCCTTCCACCACACCAAGGCATCCGCTCCCCACACACCCCTTCCTCTGCAGGCATCTTAGCCTCCCTCAACCTCTCTTCTCAAGCTCCCAATCCACCCACATCAACATAAGATGGTAGCCCGCGCGGCCGGCTCCTCAGCCCTGCTGCTGCTAACTCTGCTCGGCCTGAGCCTCGGCATCGCAAGCGCACAGCAAGCAACCCCGCTCGACCGGCTGGAGTCCCGGTTCGGTAGCGGCCTCACCAACACGCGGCTCATCCCTTGGGGAAGCCTCATCAGCGGCAACAGCAACGAGAACACCACCACCACCACCACCACCACCACTGCACCTGCGAGTAGCACCGCTAAGCCTGCTGCCACCACCACCACCAGCCCCACCACCACCACCAGGGAGGGTCTGCTGGGCGGAGCTGCGGGTCTGCTCCGCGGCAACGCCACCACCGGCGGCGGCGGCCTGCTAGGCGGCCTACTTCGCAACGGCGAGGCCAACGCGACCGCACCTGCCTCCACTACCACCACCACCGGCAGCAGCAGCCCCACCACCACCAGCAGCGGTCTGCTAGGCGGTGGTCTGCTGGGCAACGGTGGCCTGTTGCGTGGTGACACCCCCGCCTCCTCCTCCTCCTCCTCTTCTTCTTCTTCCTCCACTGCTGCCACCCCTGCTGCTGCTTCCACCGGAGGCCTGCTGGGCGGTGGTCTGCTGGGCGGCGCTACCGCTGGCCTGCTGCGCGGCGCGGCCAACGCCAGCACCTCCACCCCGGCTGCTGGCGCCGGTGCCGACCGCATCATCAGCGGCAGCGGTGGTCTGGTGGGCTCGCTGACTCAGTGCCCCATGCGGATGGCCAACATGACCTCCATCAACTTCAAGCCGGTGGCTGCCTCTTGCGGTGGGTGGGGGCGCCGGGGTGCGGCTTGGGGGCGGGGGCATGCAAGGAACATGCAAGCGCCTTCTTGCGTGGAGGGATGTTAGTAGCAAAGTAAAGCAAACCCTGTACCCTCATCTCGTTTACGAGGCCGCCGTTGCCTCCTGCCTGCTTGTCTGCCCGCAGACTCCGCCAAGCCCGACTTCTGCAGCGCCTGCATCTGCGCGCTGACGGACGTCTACATGCCGGCCTTCGTGGCGGGAGGGCTGTTCGCCGGGGTCAACCAAAGCACCACCGCAGACAACTTCCCGGTGGAGAAGGCATCCGCAATCATCCGCGCCTGCACGCTCGGGGTGAGGGACGCGCTTGCTGTCCGCTGTGTGCTGTACGCTGTGTGTTAAGAAATCTGGCCGCGAGTAGGAACGTACTGGGTGGTACGCTGTGTGCTGTGCTGCGGCCTCGATGCCTACGCTGTAGGGGCACTCCTGGGACCGGAATTAGGGACACTCTCTGAGGGACAGGTGTGTTGTTATGGCAGCCCGCCAGCCGCTCCTCCCGCCTCTGGCGGCCAACCTCCATGAGCCTTACACCCGCACCCTGCACCCGGGTGCTCCCCTCCTCCCACCCTGCACCCGGGTGCTCCCCTCCTCCCACCCTGCACCCCGGTGCTCCCCTCCTCCCACCCTGCACCCGGGTGCACCCCTCCTCCCACCCTGCACCCGGGTGCTCCCCTCCTCCCACCCTGCACCCGGGTGCTCCCCTCCTCCCACCCTGCACCCGGGTGCTCCCCTCCTCCCACCCTGCACCCGGGTGCTCCCCTCCTCCCACCCTGCACCCGGGTGCTCCCCTCCTCCCACCCTGCACCCGGGTGCTCCCCTCCTCCCACCCTGCACCCCGGTGCTCCCCTCCTCCCACCCTGCACCCGGGTGCTCCCCTCCTCCCACCCTGCACCCCGGTGCTCCCCTCCTCCCACCCTGCAGGAGTTTGTTGTGCCCATGCTGGCTGCCGGCGTGCGCATCGCCAACCTGGAGGGCCTCACCAAGTGCAACTACACTGGTGGGGGCAGGGCGCATGCGGACGGACAAGGCCACACGTGGGGGCTGAAAGCTGCAAGCCTCCCTTGCCTGTTCTGCCTGTACGACATTGTCAATACCGGTAGCCTGTCCTCGACCTGTCCTCGCTATCCGTTCCCCAAGTTTGCCATATAATCGCACTCTGCCCCCACGCCGCCCTCGCAGGTAACGCGACCCCCACCTGCCTCGTCCAAAAGATGACTGCCGGTGCGCTGCAGGCTAGGTCGGCCACCGGCCCACGGGTCACCGCCAGCAGCGGGCGCACCGACACCTCCGCCGACCCCACCGCCTCAGAGGAGTACTACAGCGACGACACCGCCGCCACGCCCACCTCCGGCGCTGCCAACGGCGCTGCCAACGGCACTGCCGCCGCCGCCGGCCCCACCTTCCGCATCACCTCCACCGCGGCGCCGCAGGGACGGGACGGCCCCATCACCGCCACTATTGCCGGCAGGGTGAGTTCGCCAGCAATACCTGCAACATGCAACAGAACACGGCAGCTGTACAGCTTTGCATACACCTACACGTGCACACACGTACTCACTCACATATACCGGTAATACTCGCAACCTATAACCGCTCCTCCGCCCGCCCGTTCCCCCCTCCCCCCTTTCCGCCCCCCATGCATACAGCCCCGCACCGTGGGGGATGTCGCCTCCGCCATCCTGGCCCTGCCCGCCGACCAGCGCAGCCTGCTCAGCGAGCGCGCCATGGCCATCATCACCAGCTGGGCGCAGAACGCCTCCTTCGCGCCCGCAACCCTGGACTCCACCACCCAGGCCGCTCTGGTGCCCAGCGAGGCGGGCGGCGCGGTAGACCTCACCAGCGTGCTCACTGACATCGCGCTCATGCAGATGCGCGGTGCGGCGGCGCCCGCAGCGCCGGCGGCGGCGACTAGCCCGGCGCCGGTGACGGCGGAGAATGTGACGGCGCCAGCGGCGGCTAATGCTACTACGCCTGCGGTAAGTGGGGTTGGTGGTTACAGTTACAGTACAGCTGGTGTACGCGTGGTGTTGCTTGTTGCCGCAAGATGCTTCCTGCTTGCCTTACCATAATCTCTCTAGCTGTGTAAATGTTGAATGAATAACCGTTACACTGGTTCCCTAACAGGACGCCACCACGCCAGCTGCTGCTGCTGCTGCTGCCAACACCACCGCGCCGGCTGCCGCTGCTACGGACGCCGCCAACAGCACCGCCACCACCGGCCCGGCGAGCGACTCTGCGACCGCCAACACCACCACCACCACGCCTGCCCCTGCCACCGACCCCGCTCCCACCGCCACTCCCACCCCTGCAGCCGAGCCCGCCCCGGCTGCCGAGCCCGCCCCGGCTGCCGAGCCCGCCCCCACCCCCGCGTCGACCAGCACGCCCTCCCCTGCTGCCGAGGCGACCTCCCCTGCCCCGGCGTCCACCCCGACCACCACGACCGAGACGCCCGCCGCTGCCGCCATTGTCACGCCCTCCCCCGTGTCAACGCCGGCTGCCGCCGCCCCTGCCAGCAGCTCCGCATCTGGGCCCGCTCAGCTGGGTGCGTTGCAGCTGGGCATGGCACTTGCAGGGGCCGTGCTGCTGTCTAGGATGCTGCCGGCGGCGTGAGAGGGCGAGGGGTCCGGAATAAGCTGCGGGTCTGCAGCGAGCGGGTTTGGTACTTTGCAGTAGGGGTTTTACATGGGGTTCGGGGTTTCAAATAACTAGCGGATGCCAATGGGTAAGGTCTTTAATACTGCCTGGGATGTGATGGTGAAAGGGGTGGTGCTTGGATTACATGATCCATGATACTGGACTTGACCTGCATCTGCCTTACACGGTTGCTTAGGCCTGGGCCTGACGTACGGCAGACTGGATTTGACGCTGAGCAGGCTTTCTCTCCCGCACATGGGCTGTTGTCTTTTGACGTGATACCGGTACAACGAACGGGAGCCTGCTAGGCGGTACGCGCCTGGTTGTCGCGGACCCAATTGCTACAGAGGACGAGGAGACAGCGACTATGACATCCGCTGGCGTGCGGACCTTTGTAACCTTGGTACAACGTGCACCACTTCACATTGCGACTTGAGTCAAATGAACCATGGGTCGGGGTGCGCAGCTAGCACGCAGGAACTGCATTCGCTGTACATTTACAGAGCTCTTGCGCATGTGCTGGCAAGCGGCGAGTACTAATATTTCACCAGCACATCCTAAGCTGCACGGCAGCAAGAGCACCTCTGTTGCAAGGGCTCCTACGCCAGCCCGGGGCAAAGAACGTCAACATGCACATTACGTCCAGAGCATTATGTTGTTTGGCCTGGCTTGCCGCTATGCAGGCCACAAGACAGTTGGCTGACAAGCATTGGCTGCCTTCCTCTGAATACGACAAATGAATTGCGTCTGCCAGGACAGAACACATGCCCCCCCGGCGACCACGTACCGGGGTAAGCAGCCATACACACACGGTGCCATTTGCATTAGCCATAACAGCGATGAGCAGCGAGCGCATGCGCACACAGCAAGCCCGCACTGGCTTGCCTCGCCCAAAGCAGGTTCAAGAATACGCATTAGGTACACGTATGGACACGTAAGGTACCAACCCTGACCAGAAGCTAGTGGATATGTAAGATCTGTGCTGGAAACCAACAATCCGGGAGTCCGTAATCCCTCGCTATGTTGCTAAACATCCTCACTGACGTAATGCGGATAACATCGTCTGTAACACACACCGTACCGGTCGTACTGCTCAGTTCCACCATTTAACAGTCAATGCAATAAATGAATGATGACAATGCTTCTTGGTGCCGAACGCCACCAATCAAACCACCAGGTAACACATGCCTAAGTGCCTACATCAAACAAAAGCGTGCCACTTCCGTGCCGTACAATAACTGCGTGTCTGCACAGAGAGCCGTTAGGCTCGAGGCCGTAACCTAAAAACCCCCACCATTACCCCGTGCTCAAGCCATCATCCCCACGACTCATGCCTTGACAGCCTCAGATGCCTCAGCCCCCTTCACAGCTGCAGCTGCTCCCCCTGCTGCCCCGCTCGTCTCTTGATCAGCATTGCCCGCCTCCCCCTCCTTCTTAGCCCCGGCCACTTCTTTCCCCTCTTCCCCACTCCCCTCTCCCTCCCCTTCCGCTGCCTTCTCCGTATCCCCCGTGTCCGCAGCCTCCTCCGGTGGCGCCCCCGCTGGTTCCCCCACCTCGCCCCCAGCTGCTGCCTCCAGTCGCTGCTCCCCATCAGCAGCCGCACTGGCGGCCCCGCCCTCCGGAAGTGCAGCCTCCTCCCGCACCTCAGCATCATCCGGTGCGACTGCTGCTTCGGTCGCGGCGGCGGCAGCCTCCGTACTGCCTTCCGTGTCGCCGTCCTGTGTCGTCAGCGGCGCTGCGGCTGCTGCCGTGGCGCCGGGGGCGTCCTCGGGCTCCGCCGGCGCCGCAGCCGCCTCCCCAGCCTGCGCATTATCCTGCGCCGCGGCCGCCTCCTCCGCCGGCTTCGGAGCTGCCTCAGCCTCAGGCGCCTCCTGCGGCCCCGGCGAACCCTCTGCCTCAGCCAGCCCCTCTTCCTCTGGCTGTGTGGATGGATCCGCGGGCAGCTCCTCAGACCCTGGCAAGGGCTCAGCCGCAGGGGCCGCCTCCTCCGCAGGAGCTACCTCATCAGGTCTACTTGAGACTGTCGCGTCCTCCGGCGCATCTACCGCCTGCTCAGGAACCGCCGCGGCCTCAGCTGCCTCCGCAGGCGGGACAACCTCCGCTGCCTCATCATCAGCTAACGCGCCCCATGGCTCCCGCGCTGCACCCTCCTCTGCCGGCTGCGGGGCATCAGCAGCCTCCCTCGATACCTCCTCCTCCTCCTGCGGCTCCACGCCCTCAGCAGCCTTCGACTCGTCTCCCTCCTGATCCCCAGCCTCAGCCGGAGCCACAGCCTCGGTTGCTGCCGCAGGATCCGTAGGCTCTCTCGCCTGGGCTGCTTCAGCCGGCTCCGAAGCCCCTTCCTCAGCGCCGAGGGGACCTGCCCGCTCCTCCTCACCGCCCTCGGCTGCGGCCGCAACAGAGTCCGCCAACGCATCGGCCTCATCTGCAAGCCCCTCAGGCTGCTGCTCCGGCTGTGGCTGCTGCTCCGGCTGCTCAGGGGCCACCTCCGTCACTGCAGCGGTGGCGGCGGCAGGGGTCGAGTCATCCGCATCAGCCGCTTGTGGCGCCAACTCAGCTGCTACCTCCTCCTCAGGCTGCTGCTGCTCCTCCGGCTCCCTCCATTGCTGTTCCTCCTCCTCCTCCTCCTGCTCCTCCTCCACCTGATCGAACTCAGGAGGAGGCGGTGGTGGCGGAGGCGGAGACATGGGTGGCGGTTCGTACAGCGCCGCAGCCTTGGCGGCGCGAGCCACGGGGGACTCCATCATTGGCGCATCGTCATCGCCGTACCCCTCTCCCCCGCCACCGCCGTACCCGCCCTCACCCGCCTCCTGCTCCGGTATAGTCTCCATGCCTGCCGCAAGCGCCGCCGCACCCGCCCCTGCGGCTGCCGCTGCTGCTCCCACCGCCGCCGGCGCCGCACCCACTTCAAACACCTGCCCACCCCCAGGTACGGTACGTGTCGGAGCCGGGACGTTGATGGGGATGCCGTCGTCATTGAAGATGAAGGGTGACACGGCGCGGTCAACTAACCGGCCATGCCGTACCAGCGCCGCGGGCCCGCTGGACTGCTGCCTGCCCCTGGCGGCGTTGGTGGCCGTGAGGGCGGGCCCCTGCAGCCGCGGCTTGGTGGCCGCCGGCAGGGCATCCGCTGGCGGCGGCGGCGGCGGAGGCAGTGACGGTGGCGCGATTAGGAATCTGCGGCGGTCGGCGGCGTTGGGGCTGCCGGCGGCGGCGGCGGCTCCGGTGGGTGAGGAGATGGCGCCGTAGCCGCCCCCGTTGTCGCTGCGTCGGCGTGGGGAGGTCTTGCCGCCAGGGGCGCCGCCGCCGGAGCCCTTGCGACCTGAGGAGGCACGGTCCTGGCTGGGGCTGACCGGGTTGTCGGCCTTGGATGCCGGCTTGATCTGCGCAAGTAAGGAAGTATAATGGGTAAGTGGACTTCCCGCTTGCAAACAACGGCAGCCCTAAGCCAGTCCAGAGACGTTACTTCTCCCATTTCCCTAGTTATTTACCCCAAGGTAATCGAACCCCCGCAGCGTGTGTCGCCTCCTCCCGCTGCCACCGAATGCACATCGCCCACCGGCCGCCTCCCCAACCAGCACCGCACAGCCCTCACCTGCACCTGCCCAGTGATGATCTGGTGCGGCCGCACGTGGCGGTTGCGCGCCTCCTCGTCGTACTGCCGCTTCTTCTCCGCCTCCAACTCCGCCTGCTGCTTCTCGTACTCCTCCTGCAGAGGCGGCCACCAAGACACGGGCAAGAAGCGTTATGTACAGACATCATGGCAGGCCATGGCGGATGTCACGATTGCAACTTGAGCTGGGGTCGGCAGGAGCCCTGTGGTAGCTCGAATCGCACGGAACCGTTGCCTCCCCTCTTTCGCCTTACAGCAAGCGCGCGCTTCCATCTCTCGGTCGACACCGGCCAAGTGACAGCCATGCAGCAGCCCTTCAGGCTACAGGCCTCCAACTAACGCGCATCACACCACAACCACGCCGCGCCGCCCACCTGCAGCCTTTGGTGCAGCGGCTTGGCTGCCAGGAAGCGCCCGATGGCCCCCCGCGCCGCCTCCTCCGCGCGCGCCCGCTCCTCAGCCAACCGCGCAGCATGCTCGTGCTGCTTGGCGATGCGCTCCCGAATAGCTGCGCGCCGTGCCTCCAGACGCGCCTGCTCCTCCTCGCGCCGCTTCGACTCCTCAGCCTGTGGCGTTGAGGCCGGTGGCGGGTGGGTTTGAAGACGGCACGAAGGGCCCTTAAGCAACATGCATGCAATTTATCCCCTGGCCTCGCCTCTCCTAGCCCGCTGCCCCCCAACCCCAGCGCCCCGACCCACATTGCGCTTCTCCGCCTCCTCCCGCGCCTTGGCCTCCTCCCTCCGCCGCTTCTCCCGCATCCACTCCAGCCGCCGCCGCCGCTCCTCGTCTGTGGGGTTCGACAGCTTGACTTCCCGCCGCACCGACGGCCCGCCCGCCTTGGCGCCGTAGCTGTTCCACCCCGCCTCACGGACGTCACGACCCGGACTCGACCCGCGACCTGGGCTTGATCCGCGGCCGTCGGGGCCAGGGCTTGAATCCCAGCCGGGGCTGCGAGGACCTGAACCCAGATCGCTCCTGTTGCCAGCACCGTCGCCACCACCACCACCACCGCCGCCATCGCTGGTACCCTTTTTGCTTCTGTTTTGATCTTGGGCGTAAGGCGAGGCGCCCTGCGCTCGAGGGATGTGGCTGCCACCTGTTTTGCGTCCAGAGCCGCGGCTGCTGCCGCTGGCTGCTGCTGCGGAGGTGGAGGTGATGAGCTGCGGCGTGGAAGCGGTGGGTGGTGTGGTGCGGCCCCCGTTGAGGCTGGGCAGGCGGGGAATGGTGCCCTGGTCTGCGGGCGGCTCCTGTGCTGCTGGCTGCGGGGCAGTGATAGGGGGTGTGGGAGGCTTGGTGACCCCAGCAATAGGGGGTGTGGGCGGCTTAGTGAAGCTACCGGCGTTGCCACGGCTTTCGGTGGCGGTTGGAACAGCTACAGCAGCGAAGCTGGAGGGCGTCGTAGGCTTGGAGGGTGTCAGGGCCCTCCCAGTCTGCATAGCAAGGGCAATAGCGGACAGATGTTGATATGCCCAGCGACAGATGTTTGGGTGTGAGGTGTAAATATCATTAGGTGATGGGGCAATGATCAATACCGGTATGTTGTACCATGTTTACGGATGCCTTAATCTTGAGCAAGGCTAAGCTCTCAGCGTAGGTTAGGTGTATGCTGCAGACGACGCCTCCCTTGCATCCCCAGCTACCTGAGAAGGAAGACGCTGGACAGGTGGTGGATTGGAGTCCAGCACGCCTGAAGATCGGCGCCTTAATTGCGATGCCTCGCGGTACATTTGGACCACCGCATCGCCATCGGTCTGCGCCGGTACGCCAGCGTCATCTACGGAAACGTCAGCCATGGCGGAAGCTGGCAGGTCGGAACTGCTGCCTTGGTTTCAGCGCCCCTACATTGCCATAGTGTCAAATCGGTAGGCGAGGATTAACTCAATTGCGAGGCACACCGTGAGGGACGCGGGGCTTGGACATCCATACTTCCAGCCACAACCCACCTGGACCCAGCTAGCGCTGATCAAATTAGATGAAAGTGTTGTCTGTAGACCGTGCAAAGCAATTCTCTACAGAGTACCTCATGCCGGGTGAACGGTTTTAAAAGCCGCGCGATATGGCTACACCGGAACCTGTTCCGTTTGATATTCTGTGCAAAACAATGACGAGCAAACTCTTATGCAGGAAGCGTGGCCAAATCCTGCACTGATCTTTCTATAGTGCTCAAAACAAACGTTGCTATAGGCTCTAAGAATTCCAGGTAGCAGACCCAAATCTATCTAGTATGATCCTAAGGCACTGTATGCTGTCGCAGGATATGTCTGAGTAGATTCTAGTCCAGGATTGAGTTCCCTTGCCGCTGTCCTCCGCCGTACATAGATATCTTGTCGCCCCTGCTTGCCTCTGTTAGGATGGGCAACAGGAGCTGTAAGGTGATAACAATTTATCGATATTACTGAGGCAGCCATATGGGCCTTCATTGTTATACAAAGGCCAGCTAGACCGCTGCGTCCTGGAGGATCCTACATAGACTAGAGGCTGCTGCTCCAACAAAGCGCAGGGTGGCCTCACTTAGACTCCATAGACCCCTTGGTTTTCAGCCTGCAATTTTTTCTTGCAGCGCACCAGCTTTGGGCCTCCTGCTCGGAAAACGGTTGGTCAACTTGAGTCAACTATCGCCACAAATACTCCCCAGGTCGATGGGTCAGTGAGTTGCATAGCCCTAGTCAAGCCAAATAAATATTGTCAACGCATCGGCAACGACAGGGAAGTACCTACGTCAATGTGCCTCCCCCATGCATGCCAACCCGGTATACCAATCCTCCCAAGCAACCTACAACATGCGGGGGCCCACAGGCGTGCATCACAATACGTTTCCAACAGGGAGTTGCCCTTCAGCCGCAATGTCTCCATCCATACCACCAGCTGGCATCAACCATTTGGCACTTCCAATCCACAATCCTCCCAGTCTCATTTTCTTTCCTACATTACCCGTAAGCCCGCCACCGCCACTGCACAACCCCCACGTCCTTCCTCTTTCCTCCTCCTCCTCCTCCCTCCTTCCATGGCCCCTCCATCTCCATCCCTCCTCATCCCGTCTTGGCTCCCGGCTCCGGCATCAGCGCGTCCCTCATCCGGTCCAGCAGCCCCACCATGGGGTGCAGCAGCTTGGCTCCGGCAGCCGCCGTGGGGCCGGAGGGGTGCGGGTGGGTGGGCGCGTTGGCGAAGGCGGCGGCCCACTTGCGACCCAGCTTGGCGATCTCCGCCTCATCCAGCACGTGGCGAAGCGGCTCGATCACCTGGAACCGTGTGGGGGTGGGTGGGTGCGAGGCGTCATATGCGAAGATCAGGAAGATACCGGTGTACTGGTATCTTTGGTAGTTGCGGTTGGAGGAGGGCAGATGTGAAGCAGGTGTTGCAGGAGGACGGCTACGGGAGTTGTGATGACGTCACGTCTCCTCCAGCTCCTCTCCCATCCTCATCCCAGTCCCCGCACTGGCCCGCTCCCTGCCCCCCCCCCCCCGACATCTGTGACGCCATCATCCTCCGGTAAACTACGCCCAGGGTCAGTGTTTCCGCGGCTCAGGCTATCTTCCTCCCTCCGACCCACATCTGCCTCCTCCCGCGACAGGTGCTCCTCCTCGATGGCTCGGAACTTGGCGAGGGTGATATCGTACACCGCCCACTCGGCCTCGGTGGACGGCACGTGGCTGTCCAGGTAGTCCAGCAGCTGCTTGTTGACCTGGGCAGGGGGAGGGAGGGGAGGGGGCAAGGGCAGGAGGGGAGGCAAGAAGAAGCGAAGGGGGTTAAGTAACGATAAAGTTGCAAGAGGGGCGCTAAAAGGAGAGTGCATACGTCAGCGAGTTGCGTGTAATTGGGACTTATTCAATGCTGGCTAGGGGGAAGGAAGGCTAGAGGGTCGGGAACAGCCAGGCAGGGGCTTGCTTCCGGTGTTGGAAACCCTGGCAGCTGCCTCGCACTCCCCACAGCAGTGCACCCCAGCATGCAAACCATAGACCCGGGCCCCTGTGGGAGCACCCGCCCGACACCACTCACCCGGTCATCCATGACCTTGGTCGTGAGGGAAGACATGGGCAACACGGGGGGAAAGGGGTGGGGAAAAGGGGAAAGGAAACGGCTCAGCAGCTTTCCAAGCAAGCGTGACCGTGCATGGAATTCCCACGGAGGAACACATGCATGTGCACTGGCGCTACTGCCGTACGCATGGCGCGCACCCCCTCCCTTCCCCTCCTTCTCCCCGCCCCCCCCCCACCATTCTGTCGTACAGCATCTTGCCCAGGCCGTGCTGCGGCAGCCTGTCGCGCACCAGCGGGTACAGCGTGCGCTCCTCGGCGCTGGCGTGGCGGCTGATGTGGCGCACCAGGTCGCGGGAGGCAGCCAGCTTCTCCTGCGGGCGGGAGAGGGGGGGGGGGAGCAGGGTTGGGAGGGCGGGAAGGCAGGAGGAAGGGGAAGTGGGCAGGCGCCGGCGCATGTGTTGTAACTGTTGTGCAGTGCGTGGTTGGTGTGGCAAAGCCCGCGACGGGCGTGCGTGGGTGTGCGCAATCAGGCCATGTGTGCTTCAGGCACTTTCTCCGCATGCCGGTTGTGTGGGCGCCTACATGTGCGCCGCAGGTGCGTTGTGCAGCTGACCATCAAGAAGTGTGGAGATGAAGGCGGGGGGACCCATGCCTGCACACCAGGACCAGGCTACCATGCTCCTACATACACCCTGCATCTCCCTGCAACCTCGCACACAGCCCCCCACACGCACCTGCGCCGTACCGGCGTTGTCGCAGCGGTAGAAGAGCTGCCTGCTCGTTCGGGGAGGGCATAGTAGAGGCCCCAACATGACACACGCCGGGGAGCGAACCGTGGGTCATCATCAGTCAGGCCAACCATGAAAGTCGAAGACTCGTTTTTGCAGCTGCATTTACTGCGCCGCTTTACCCAGCAGGGACCTGCCTGCAGCGTCCGCCTCGTGCATGCCCTCAGCGCCCACGCATATCCATTTGTCCACATGACTCCGCTCACACGTCTCCCAGGATACCTTCCCACCCGCCTACCACCCTCTCCCGCCCACCCACACTCACACACCTGATAACCTGGTGGTCTGCCACGATCGCATCCAGCCCATTGGTGGGCACCGCAGCAGCCCTGCCGCCCCCCTGCAGCCCCGCGACCCCTCCCTCTGCGCCGCCAGCAGCAGGCATGCCGTCGCCGCCGCCGTCCCGCACCGCCGCCTCAGGCCCGGGTACCCCGGGAGCCGCCGGGGCGCTAGGGGCTGTCCCCGGCTCCGCCGCCCCAGCAGGGGAGAGGTCGGCCGCGGAGGGCGGTGGCTGGGATGCCTGCATGGTGGGGTCAGGCGGGCCGAAGCGCTGTGGCTCCTTTTTGGCGATGCTGCAAGGGAAAGAGAGGAGGAGGAGGTGGGGGAGATGGATGGGGGAAGGGGCTTAGATGTTAGGCAAACCTGCTAGTGGTGCACTAGTGAACAAAGGAGAAGGTAAAAGGGAATGCGTAGGGCAATGAGTGCAGGGCCACAGGACCACAAAACGTGGTGCGGCCAGCAAGCGCTCAGCCTCCCCACACACGTTCCCTCGCTGCCTAAACAGGCGCAGCTACGGAGCCGAATTAAGCCAACCGCTTTCCGGATTGCATCAATTGGCGTCGATAAGAAAGACCGCATACTGATGATGTCAGGGCCACGTTAATGTAATCAGCTTTACAAGGCGGAGAGACAGAGTGGTGGGATCCAAAGCGTCAGGGTTTAAGCGCATGTCTGACCGGGTCGAGGTTGGGACGAACGACTTGACGCTTTGACCGTAAATAACCCTAGACAAGGCCCAACTGACATCGTACATCTACTCATGCTGTCCATGACAGTTGAAGTTGGGAAAGCGGCCTGGTTGCGACGCGCTGTGCGAGATGACCCATGGGTCAGCATACGAGGCGACATCTGTAAGCTGCGGCAAAAGCAGCTCCTTCTTCGCGTCCCTTAGCCGCCTTTTTTAAAGGTCACAATGCTGCATGCAGACTCTATGCATCACGAAACACAGGCCGTTGTTGCGGCTCCGACCTCGGATAGCACGCAAGCGTTGCGCACCTTTCCGGAACAGGCATCTCGCGGGCGACCTCTGAGGTAGCGCCACCGGTTTCCGCCATGTTTGTGATTATTGCGCCTATTTAGAGATGGTAGAGACAAGAAATGGAGGGAGGAAACCAGGAGTTTGCTTCCTGTGGTACCAAGCTCAAAACGTGCGATATCCAGCTAGTAATTTAATTCGATGGGGAAATGAACAAGTAATGGGTATGTATGTTTTACGGTTTGTGTACTTTAGTTCCCGGCCACCTCTTAGTGCAAGTGGATTCGCACGGTCAAACAACCGAGCACGTTGGCTGCGCGTCATGACGTGGTCGCGATCGCGCACTGCAGCTTGGTGCACATAGCCGTCGTAGCTTGGTTGTAGTGCTGAATCCTAGGTATACATAGACGTACTTTGAAGGCCCATGGATTACTTTCTGGGCATGCTGATGTGTACCTTCGGTAGGTCAACCTCGGAGGCGGAGGAGCTTCCTTTCGACCTCGTTTCTCTGGCTTAAACGTGCTGCGTTTATCCAAATCAACCTCAGGCTTGAAGCAATAATCACAAAGATGGCTGTAGTACTGGTGCCGCGCTGCCGGACCTAGCTATTAGGCACATCCGTTGTCGCTCGCCTAACAACGACAGCCCCCTAATAACGAGAGCAAACTGCTTGCGGGGTTACATGGCATGACATGACAGGCTGCGGCAGAGCCTGCGATGGCAGCTGGGGGGCAGGGGCTGGGACGGGGATGGTGGCCATACCGGTAGCTTTCGTTGGGGCCAGCAAGCATCCAGCGCGCAGTGCGGTGTACTTCGCTTGGTAAGGCTGCGATCCAGCCCACAGGTATCGGTGCGTGCTGGGTTACACTCTCATCTCACACCACCCTCCGTCTCTTCCATGCACCTCACAGGCCGGCCCTGCTGGTAGGGACCCCCCACTCAGGGCACATACCGCTACCAGAGCTCCTGCAGTACCGTTCTACGTCTAATCGACGTGTCGGCTTCTCGAGTCACCGCCCCAAGGCATGCAGCCAGCTGGCCCACCCGGACCAACCTGGCAGCAATACCGGTACTGTGGAGCCCAGCACGAACCTGCTGGTCTGCGGCCTAATGATGACACGAGTCTATACGAGTGTACGAGGTCGAATCGAGGAGGGCGAATGTACTGCAGGGCCGCAAGGCAGGGCCGCAGGACTGCAAAACATCCATACTACGCTACTAACAGATGACGAACACGAGCAGACACGT